TGAGCATGGAGGCTATACTCCGTGCAGCTATTCAAGATCAGTCTCTCAGGGGGTGTTTCGGATGGTAGAAGGGATATGTATATTAATTGGGGGAGCCTGTGATGGGTCATAGAAGACGCCTATTGACCAATGCTATGGGGCATTGCGTTCTTGACACGCAGCTTTTTACATGTTCGACGAGTTATGTTCGTCGCAGCAAGGCTCAGATCACAGACTTAAATCCATACCCATATAGCAGTACCTTGGATATCGCGAGAAGTACGGAGTATAATCAAGGGGAATGTTATTCGGTGGTTGGGTCTATGGGTCTCGCAGCCCCCAATCGTTATGCGATGCGTGCGCAGGGGAAAAGCGGTTGGCAATGCCCAATACAAGTGTATGCCCTGGGATGGGGATCCCTGGTGGATACTCAGAAAGGTTGGATGACGAACAACAATTGCTGATGTGCCGGGGTTCCACCTAAGTCGCCTTTCACAGCCCGCATCGTTGGCACCTCCAATCAAATTCTGCACCAAAAATATCTCCTGGGTTAGTCGATGGCATCTGGAGCCATTCTCTTACGCACATCTCTCTTTGAACGTCAACACTCGCTCTTTTCTACTCGGGTCTCATATTGTTTCTCACATAGGTTCGATCTCTGGACAGGTCGCCTGGAATAGCTTGCTTTCAACCTACCCCGCGAGATCATTGCTGCGCTATTGCGCCGTTGTACCTGGAGTTTAAAGTTCTAACCTTGATATTTTCTTTTGATTTTTGAGATACCATTCCACCGGCTAGATCTCTATTCCCCTTTGACCAGTCCTGGAGGGCACGCGAAACACGCATCATGTCTTTTCCCCATAGAAGCACATCGCCTCATTCGCCTCATTCGGGTAACTCTTCTCATTCACCCCCGGCAAGCGAGAATAGCATGTATGGTCCACGAGAGGTGAGTGACAAGAAATCTGGAACGAAAGACAGAATAAATCCCCGCCAATGCAGCAGCGGATGCTAACACAGTTCGTTCAACAGCAAGCATACGGCTACGAGGACAAATCAGAGAACATTGACAGCCAGCAATCTTTGCTCTACCGCAATCAGCCCAGCCCATTCAACGCTTCCTTCGACGACCCATATGCCTCGAGTGAATCCCTCCGTCGCTACACACTACAAGATCCTGGAGTCACGGTCTTCCCCGATGGTCCATACCAGGAGCCCACAGCAGGCGTTAACCGTCGCTCGGGCATTCCATCGGGCATTCAATCACCTATGTCAGAGACCCCATCAGAAGCCTGGCAGAACCGACAGGCACCTGGCTCAGGGCTGCGGCGTTATGCTACGCGAAAAATTAAGCTGGTCCAGGGCTCTGTCCTCAGTGTCGACTATCCGGTCCCGAGTGCCATCCAGAATGCGATTCAGAAGGAGTACCGGGAATCGGAGGAGGGCTTCCCGGAAGAATTCACCCATCTGCGTTGTAAGTCTTTATGTGAAATAATGGTGATGCGACTGGAGCTAATCGCATACAGACACCGCGGCCACCTGCGATCCTGACGAGTTCACCCTACGCAACGGATACAATCTGCGACCCGCTATGTACAACCGACACACCGAGCTTCTGATTGCCATCACCTATTACAACGAAGATAAAGTTCTGACCGCCCGCACACTCCACGGTATTATGCAGAACATTCGGGATATTGTGAATCTGAAGAAGTCGGAGTTCTGGAACAAAGGTGGCCCGGCCTGGCAAAAGATTGTGTGCTCCTTGGTTTTTGATGGTATTGATCCTTGCGACAAAAATACCCTTGACCTGTTGGCCACAATTGGTATCTACCAAGATGGTATTATGAAGCGCTCCGTCGATGGCCGAGAAACAGTCGCACATATTGTGAGTTCCCATAGTTCTTTTGATTCGCCCCAGCAGAATCTGCCATCCCTCTATCCCGGTGATTTTATAGTCGACCAAAATCCACTAACAAGACCTAGTTCGAATACACTACGCAACTTTCTGTTACCGCCAACCAACAATTGATCCGGCCCCAGGGTAACGATTCGTCAAACCTTCCTCCTGTTCAAATGATTTTCTGTCTTAAGCAGAAGAACAGTAAGAAGATTAACTCCCACCGCTGGCTTTTCAACGGTTTCAGTCGTATCCTTAACCCCGAAGTCGTGATTCTTATCGATGCCGGAACTAAGCCGGGGAAAAAATCACTCCTTGCATTGTGGGAATCCTTCTACAATGATAAGAACTTGGGTGGATCTTGTGGTGAGATTCATGCTATGTTAGGAAAAGGGTGGAAAAACTTGATGAATCCTCTTGTCGCTGCACAGAACTTTGAGTACAAGATCTCTAATATCCTCGATAAACCCCTTGAAAGTGCCTTCGGGTACGTCAGTGTGTTACCAGGTGCCTTCTCCGCGTATCGCTATCGCGCTATTATGGGTCGCCCCTTGGAGCAGTACTTCCACGGTGATCACACACTCTCAAAGCAGTTGGGAAAGAAGGGTATTGAGGGCATGAACATCTTCAAAAAGAATATGTTCCTTGCTGAGGACCGTATTTTGTGCTTCGAGCTTGTAGCAAAAGCTGGATTCAAATGGCATCTAACGTACGTGAAGGCGTCAAAAGGCGAGACCGATGTGCCAGAGGGTGCAGCCGAATTTATCAGTCAGCGACGTCGTTGGCTGAACGGTTCGTTCGCCGCTAGTTTGTATGCAATGATGCATTTCGGACGAATTTACAAGAGTGGCCACAATATCCTACGGCTGTTCTTCCTACATATCCAGATGATGTACAACTTCGCGGGTCTTGTTATGACCTGGTTCTCCCTCGGTATGTATTGGATCCCGTGTTCTTTGGTGAATTTTATACTAACTTATGACTCAACTAGCCTCTTTCTGGCTGACTACTAGTGTTATCATGGACCTTGTCGGAACTCCTAGTGAGGCCAACAAGGATCAGGGATGGCCTTTTGGTAATGACGCCTCGCCAATTGTGAACAACTTCCTAAAATATGGATATATTTTCTTCTTGATGCTGCAGTTCATCCTAGCGCTAGGAAATCGACCAAAGGGGTAAGTCAAGATCCGAAGAAATTGCCTCGAAGTGCCTATCTGACCATTTGAAACAGTTCACGTCTCGCATACACGCTTTCGTTTATTTACTTCAGTGTCCTTCAAGTCTACGTCATCGTTCTATCCTTCTACCTTGTCAAGAACGCCTTTACTGGAGGTACACTTGATTTCTCTATGGACGACGGTATTGGCAACTTCCTCCAGTCTTTCTTCAGTTCTTCCGGGGCAGGTATCGTTCTGATCGCTTTGGTTTCGACTTATGGCATTTACTTCATCGCAAGTTTCCTGTACATGGATCCCTGGCATATGTTCACGTCCTCATGGGCATACTTTGCTGGCATGACCTGTTCGATCAATATTCTGATGGTTTACGCTTTCTGCAACTGGCATGACGTTTCTTGGGGTACTAAGGGTTCAGACAAGGGCGATTCCCTCCCCGTCGTTGAGACGAAGAAAGATGATGCTAAGTCAAACTTCATTGAAGAAGTTGACAAGCCTCAGGCCGATATCGATAGTCAGTTTGAATCGACAGTGAAGAGAGCGCTGGAGCCGTATGTCGTGCCCGAAGATAATGATGAACCAAGCATGGACGATGGCTATAAGGCTTTCCGAACCAACCTGGTGTTGATTTGGATTTTCAGCAACTTGATCCTTGTACTGTGTATCACCAGTGAAGGAATTACCCGTCTCTGTCTCACAGTATGTATCTTGTTTAACTCTACGCTGCGGAATACACTAACTGAAATGTGCAGAACACTTCTACCGTCCGTACCTCTAAATACTTTGCCGCTATTTTGTGGACGACCGCCGGTCTGTCGATTTTCCGCTTTATTGGATCTCTCTGGTTCCTGGGCAAGTCCGGTATCTTGTGCTGTGTCTCTCGCCGTTAAGACCTTTCGACGCATAGCCAGTTGTAAATATCTGTCTTTTGGCTTGCGTTGTTATTTTCGGTCTCCTTTGGGGTAGAATTTCGCTGGTTTGATGTTCATGCTCTGTATTCCCCACGTTTGCAATCGCAATGGCATCTATGTTTTTTTAACTCATGTATATTGGAAAGGAGTGGCCTTTTTGTTTTGCATACACGATAGAACTAATTTATCGACTTCAACATATTATGAGAATGAGTTTGGACCTTCAAGTGTTACACTCTGACTTGTACTTTTGTTCTTTTCCCCCCGCGTCCCCCGACATGCCGTTCCCGCATATGCACCCCAGTTCCTACTCCATCCGATGTAAATCATATATTCGAGCCGATTTTCCGAGAAGTGGAGCGCAGATAGACACAACCGTATCATCTTCTGCTGAGCATCGGTGCCATCTTTTAAAAGTGGCCAGGCTGTCGGAGGACTTTTGAGCAAATAGTAAAAACAGACCTCGGACCACAGGATTCCGAGAGACCCCCTGGTATAGGCCAGGGAAAGCCAATGCCAACTTAGCTTGGTTTCCTCCCGCCCGTGTGCTTTGGCTGCTTTGGCTTCGCATCCTATCTGCACACCAGCGTCATTGGCTGATCCCCCCGCATCATCTAATATTGATTTCTTGTCTGACTGGTCTTTCCCATCAGCCCGGATGCCCATGGAATCGCTCATTTGCTTATGCAAAAGCCCTCAATGGAGACAATCTGGGCATGCATTCTTGGCTCTCGGCTGAGTTACCGTTGTTCCCGGGTTTATTTCCATATTCTGCAATGCCATGGATTAGGGAATGGTGTTATCCAAACGGATTGGTTCGTTCCCCTCAGTATTGGGGATTTTGTCTGATTAGGACTTTGTAAAACTGTCTGACTACAACCCCCTGTGTCCGCACAGGCAACTAACTTGTATAAAAGCCAGCTTATGGTCCGCAGTTAGTAATTTTCTTTGCTTATCTGTAAATCTCACTGCTCTATCTAGCCCCAAGATCGTCTCTATTGATCCACTTGAATAACCCCAATTGATCTGCCCTCAATGTCGCAATATATCCCCAATATTCCTACCAATTGCCTTGCCAAAAAGGTCGTTCTTATCACAGGTATGCCGAACCCTTCCTGACTTCACTGCTGTCATCTTATCTCACCTTATACAGGTGGTGCTAATGGCATTGGTGCGAGCCTGGTGACGCAATGCTTGGAGCGTGGTGCCAATGTATGCATTGGTGACCTCGATAACATCTCCGGCGAGCGTCTACTAAAGCAATGCTGCGACAAATTCCGCCCAGAAGAAGACATGCCGCCGCGCGTGATTTTCCAGACCACGGATGTCACCAACTACCCATCGGTACTGGCATTGTTTGATCTTGCTTTTAAGACATACAAGCGCATTGATCATGTTGTCTCGGCAGCTGGTATCGTAGAAATAGGGAATTGGTTCGATACTTCACTCACGCTGGAGACCGTTCGCCAGGTAAGCTATTGCTGATTGGATAAAAACGGCTTGGTCAGGCCTTCCTTTTTTTGAAAGCATCTAACAATACGATCTTACCTCAAGACCCCCTCTCACAAAGTCATGGATGTCAATCTCCTTGGTTCGATGTATGTTACCCGAATCGCCTCTGTCTACTTACGCCACAACCGTGGATCCAATTGCGACCGATCGATTCTACTATTCTCGTGTGTCTCTGGTTTCAAGGACAGCCCGTCTCTTTTCATATATCAAGCTTCCAAGCACGGCGTCGTTGGCCTCATGCGTTCCCTACGCAACTATATCTCCTCTCCGTACAAACACTATCTTCGTATCAATACCGTTTGCCCCTGGGTGACCCAGACAGATAGCATCAAGAAAGTTGAGGCACAGTGGAAGCATGCTGATCTTCCTATCAATACCCCCGAGCAGGTTGCTACTGTGGCCACCGGAGTATTGACTGATCAGTCTCTCAACGGCACATCCATGTTCATTGAAGGTGGCCGTGCTTGGGAAATTGAACAGAACATCGACCGACTAGAGAGCGAATGGCTAGGTGAAGCGCCGTCTAAGGCGCTTGCGTTGGGCCAGGGACTGCTCGATGATGGTTCTATCTGGACTGCACCAGAGCGACCCCGGAAAAAGAGCACTATTTGTGTTGGAGTGCCGCCGGGAGTACCTCTTGACAAAATCAATGGACTCACTAATGGTGTGAAACATGTTGTTTCTGGTGGAGTGACCAATGGGATGTCAAATGGGTTGACCAATGGTGTGCACTAAAAGTGGTTGCTTTTGGAATTTATTTTTCTTTACTCATGACGTGATATTTGATATATCGGACACGGGCAATATAGGATACTAGGGATGGCCCCGGGAGGTATCAAGAATGACGAATGACGACTGTTTACTGTTTATATCCTCCTACTTATAGTTCGAATTCAATCATGGTTTTGTCTCTGAGGTTCAAAATGGCTTGGATGGGATAACGGTCTATACCGATGGAGTAATGAATGTCGATCTGATCTTCATACTGACAGTGATGGGTAAGCTGTGCCCATGCGCCGCCATTGACGTCATTCCCTATCGAGCCGTAGAGTGTCTCTACTAAATAGAGAATAATATAAAAGCAAAATGATACATCAAAAACCTGAATGTTTCCTACGATTTGGAAGCCTATATTAAGAGCTCAAGTATGAGTTAAATAGTAGTACAAGATCAAAAATCTTGAAGTAGAATTATAATTAACAGTGATCTATGGTATATGAAATCCAACAAAACAAAAATTAACAGACGAAGCAATGCAACATTCCCATTGGAAAAGGACCAGTCCAAAAAAACCGGATCTTTTCCCTATCGATATGCCCGACATCATCCAAAACGCCCATATTCCCCTTCTATAATCGATGGCTTGGATTATTTGAACGACTCCCGTGTATGCACCCGGTCGATGTTGTAAGGGTTGGCCTCATACGTGGGCACGCGATGGATGGTGTGGGTGGCATTGGTGGAAGTGCGCGAAAGTGTGTGATGAATTGAGTTGACATCCGCAGAGGTCTCCTTAATGTGAGGGAGCGATGCGACTTCATCGTCTCCCGAAGTGGATGGGCACTTCTCAGGCTCAGGTTCAGAAGGCTGCTCAGAGGCCTTTTGCATGCCTCGGAGAAGATTTTGAACAAAGGCCTCCGACTGCGCAGAGAACGTGCAGTGTTTCCGAATGGACAATCCATATTTATAGAGCAGGAATGGGAAAGGCACGCATGCAAGAGCCAAGAAAGCCGGAACACAGGACGCCCAATGGATTCCGAGATCTTGGTACATGTAGGTGGTGAAGAGCGGGAATGCAAATCCGAACAACGACCGCAGCAGTGCGTTGGCTGCCAAGACGGATGCGGCGAAGATGGTGTAAGCATCGATTAGGTAGTTGAAGACACTAAGGAAGACGAGCAACATTCCGAATCCGAAGGGAACTCCAGCAGCGACGCTTGCAAGCCAGTGGACAGATGGATCATTGGTCCATGCAAACCAGAAGAGTCCGATAGGAAGGGCAATCGAGCCCAGCATACATGGTGGGAGGCGGGATTCTGGAGGCGCATAGCCACCGTTCTTCTGGAGGAGTTTCGCGTAGCGCTTGTTTTCAGGAATTGAATATGCAACCGCACCAAGCATACCAATCATGACGCCGATGAAAGCTAAGCCGCCGACACCTTGGCTCCATCCACGATGGACCTGATATACAATGGGGAAGGCACCAAAGAGCATATAAAGGGTTCCGTAGATGATGGCAAGGTAGATTGAGAGTAGTAAGACGATGGGTTCCTTGAAAAGAAGAATCATAGGTCGCGAAAGAGAGAGTTTTAAAGCGGCTTTCAAAGTCAGACGTCCCTGATCAATATCTAACTTACTGCAGTACACCTTGCCTGTAAGCTTAGAGAGAGTCTCTGCACGCCGGCGAAGAAGAACGGGGGCATATGTCTCAGGCTTCAATGCAGCTCCTAAGAACCACATGGTACCACAGAGGATAGCCAAGAGACCCATCACCCACTTCCAGCCTCCGCTAGACTCACCGAGGAAGCCACCGACGATAGGCCCAATAACAGGTCCTAGGAATGGAGCTAATGCGAAGGCCGACAAGGCCAATCCTCGTTCGCGAGCCATGAACATGTCGGCGATAACACCTCCCGAGTTAGTGAGGGGAGAAGAACCAAAGGCCCCGGCAAAGAATCGGAAGACCAGCATGGTCTCGATGTTTGTAGCGCCCGTACAAGCAGCACAAAAGATTGTTAACCCGCAGTATGTTGTGACGAAGACAAGCTGGCGACCGAACATTTCACTCATCGGGGCCCAGATCAGAGGACCCAGGGCAAAGCCCAGTACATAGAGGGATACCCCCAAGGTCGCAACCTCAGTTGTTACGCCAAATTCTTGTTTAATTTGAAGGAGACCACCAGTATAAGCAGACGAGACCAGAGCAACGACCAAGGTCTCGAGGGCGGCGACCACGGTGATGAACCATTTCATGGATGTTTTCAACTGGAGAGGGTTTTGAAAGTCCTTGGGCATCCATTGCACAGCATAAGGATCTTCTTCGGTCCCTGAGCCAGCATAAGGGTGGTCAGCAACCTCTTGAGTGATAGCGCCGGGGTTGAGAATGAGTCGCCAAAAAGGGATAGAGGTTGGCAGCTGCAAGGAGCTGGCAGTCTCGGCTACCTCCATTGTTGATCTGCGTGTGATCTGCCTTAGGAGATATAAAGTATGGAGTAGAATTTTGACAATGTAAAAATTTTACTAGAGACGATAGACCTAGTTTTATCCATATATTTACATGATTTATAAACGAAAAAGCAATATCGGAAACACTTCTTGTTTTAGTTGTTAGTGGAGACATAGAATAACAAGCTGCATATTTGCTCGACAGGAAATAAAAGAAATATGGCTTTTTCTTAGAAAGAGAAAGAGAAAAGAGACCCAAATATACTAGAAGACCCTCTCATTGGCCTTCAAGATCTTCGAGAAGCCGACTATCTCCACTTAGACCCGGCCCGATCAGTAATCCATTCGGTTTGCCCGACATTTTGCTGATTAGACGAGTTTTTTTTTTCTTTCGAGCCGAGGTTCATTTGGTAGTTCTCGTAATATTATACGTATTTAGGGCTATATTATCTATGTTCTTTTGGCAAAATACCATTTTTTTATGGACAAGCACCTAATACTATCACAAATAATAGCAGTGGACCGCATTTGAACCAAAATTATAGTCCATTGGGGATGTAGTCACGGTGTGATGTGATTATCAAATGTCCCCATTATGGACATCATGGACGATTAGAGTGCGTGTGATGGATGCTAGCGCTGCAATTACCCGGTGGGGCTAAGGTGACTCAAGGAAAGGGGCTAAACGACAATCTTGACTACTCCGTAGACAATAAATTACAGTCAAAAAGATACCAGAAACTGATGCTCATTTTCATTGACACATGTCTAAATCATTACAGACTCTTCTCGATCTCAGCAACCTCAGCCATGACTTCACGGATCGTAACCTTGGCCCCCTCCCCCACCTCCTCGTAAGGGTGTCGAGGGGCCAGGTTATCTACCGCATTCTGGATCCCGGCCAACTTGGCAGAGTAGCAAGCCACAGCATGCTTAGTTGACGCAATTCCACTTTTGATGGCGCTTTCAGCGAGCGCCGCTTTCCTTTGGAGTGCCACCGCCTCCTCAATCTGTCCCTTCTGATACAAAGCATAGATCCGAGCCGTGACTTTAGGAAAGACGTTGGCGAAAGCGGCAATACACCCAGCGCTTCCAGCAGCTAGACCGCCAATCAGGAAATCAGACTGCCCACCAAAAGTCGCAAACTCCTCGGGCGCAAATGCTGCAGCCAGTCGGGTGATCTTCCCCACGGATCCACAAGTCAACTTGACCCCGACCACGTTCGACCGTCCACTAGACGCCGACTCTCGTGCGATAGCGGTAATGGTCTCGGAGTCCATGTCTACCCCATTGCACACACCGGGGAAATTGTAGATTACTACTGGAAGAGGTGCCTTGGCTGCCACTTCGGAAAAGAAGCGCTTCACCACGTTCATGTTGGTGGCTTTGCCGAAGTATGCGGGAGGCAGGACAAGGAGGTAGTTGGCGCCGGCGGCTGCGGCATCCTGTGCGAGCTCGAGTGTCTGCTTAGTCGAGTGCGCACCGACTCCGGTCATCAGTGGGAAATCGGGCCCTACGGCGGCTCGGGCAGTGGAGATGAGCTGAGATCGCTCTTCTCGAGTGAGGAGGAAGGCTTCTGAGTTGGTCCCTAGAATCACTAGACCCGCTAGCCCGGTTGTGGAGAGATAGGAAAAGTACTTGGATTGAGAGTCGAGATCTAGTGAGTCGGTGTCATGGTGGAAAAAAGTGACCGCGGGGCACCAGACTCCGGATAGAGGGACATGAGGTTGAGGAGAAACGGGGTGAGAAGCCATTGTAGAGGTTGTAGAGGTATATGTCGGAGTATGTACTATGTAGTTAAAACTGTAAAAATGGCACTATTATTGTTAGTAGTCTCCGTACAACGTGAATCTCTTATAAGATATCCATATCTGATGAGATATTCCCCTCTCGGATCAAAGTGAGGGGCAAACGGCCATATCTCCGATGAATTTAAGCTATTTGGCCGCTGTTTTGGCGTTTAACTTGCCATTGTCGGATCCCAGAACCGATGAAGCCAATCTCATACATAGATCAGCACTCTAAATGAGTCCGATCTCGGGTTCTCCACCCGACCAACGAATCAGAAGTCTTTGTATATGGTTTGCTTGACTCGGTCCTATCTCCGACCTAGATTTACTTGGGTGGAGTCATACAAGTGCAGTGAGCATTTGGGTAGCTCGGCCTGGAACCCGAGTATGATATCACGTCAGGTATGACTCCCGTCAACATACAGCTTCCTTTAATACTAAATACGGGCGCAGATCAACTATGCAGTTTCTCCATCGTACTCCTATATTGAGCCGATTTACACAATGCCCTCTGAACCCATCACCCGGAACGGTACTACTCAGTCCTGGTTCGATCAGGCTCGTTTAATCAAACCCGATGCAATTTTTGCATTGACTGCTCAGTATCTTGCAGATAAATCTCCCACAAAAGCCAACTTGGGCCAGGGTACGTACCGTGTGACGAGCATGCGAACCCGTGGGTTCTTCCCTCGGTCCGCAAGAGTCGAATTTGCTATCGCAGGAGTTGAATCATGAATATATCCCTATTGTCGGCATCGCAAATTTTCGCAAAGAGGCTGCAAAGTTGGCGCTGGGCCCACAATCTTGTCAAAAGCAACAGGACAAAATACTAGCAATTCCAACTTGGGACTTGTCATACCATTGGAAAAAAAGGCTGATCAGCCTGTAAATAGTTGGCGACTTGCCAAAGTCTCTCTGGCACTGGCGCACTGCACTTAGCTGGACTGTTGCTAAGAGCTTGCAAGACGCCTCTTCCTAAAGTATACATCCCTGAGCTGACTTGTTCAAACCACCATCAGGTGTTTTTGCCCCTTAGTTTCCAATGTGAATCTTCGAGATCCGGCAACCCAGGGACAAAAGATTTGGACATTGGTTCTAATTATTCTGCATTGAAATCGGCCGAGCCCAATTCTGTGTTCATCGTCCATATATATGCTCACAGCCCAACAGGATGTGATCCAAGCAACTATATGTACATAATTTTATTGACCTATCCGTATGCTATAATACTGTTCTTACAATAACATGATACATACGACCATAGGGTATGGAAAACAGGGCTTCCCGTTCGCTCAGCCGTACTTAAACCATATATATCTAAGGATATATATGCCAGTCAAATATATAACTTCTTTTCACACCCTAATTATCTTACATACACTACTACTATCATTTTAGTACTATTATGCTAACACAACCCCTTGCCGCACGTAACACCGGCCCGCAATTCCCCTGGTTATTCCAGCAAATGAAATTCTAGAGGCATTCATAAAGCACAACGGCTGTTGCTCACAGGCTTCTGCAGTCTGAATGAGTATGTAAGATACGATCTACTTTATAACCACTATTATACCTACTTTATTTGATAGATAGATATTGACCTCATAGTAGATAATGTATCTAACTGCATTACTGTAAGAGAAGCAGAAACACCAAGTAAATCTTTATTGCAGAGCAATATGAAGAGAGGGTCCTCTCATCACCTGCACAAAGAGCTGCTTCGCCTTGATTACCCCTCACGAATGATGGGGTATAGTTCACGCAGCTAACGCCTCACTTTAAGAACTATGAGTTAACGATAAGAGACTTCATTAGAAATTATGAAGAAAGAATGAAACGCACTGACGTACAACGCAAACCCTTCCAAAGCAACCAGACCGGAAACAACGGTTGGCGCCTGGGCACCTTCCTGTGTGGGGCTTACCCATCGGGTACCCCGCACATCCTCCGGGGCTGAGCCTGCAACTAATATGTGTATGTGATTCAGTCACTATAACATACATATGCGGCGCTGGATTGAGGGGATGAAGGCAAAGGAAATGCTGTCAGCTCTTGAATGGGGCGCTTTTAGCATAACAATGGAATTCGTTGGCGGAGTGTGGCCTACGTGTACCAATTAAATTTGTCCTGCGCCCGAGAGTTTACCCAGGTCCATGCAAGCTCTACGGCGACTCTACCATGGGGTTTAACTCTTCCAATCATCTGTACGATCACCACCAATATTTCAACAATCTTATTCTTTTCAATAAAATAACCCTGTGAGGTGCAGGTGCGGCTGTAGCTGTAGGGGGAAAACGTGACCTTCCGTCACGCACATAAGTTATGTGCTCTCGAGGTCTATTTCTCCTCTCTCCCTCCCCCTTCTTCTGAAGTTTTGCATGTTCCGTACAGCTGCTGTTTCTCCAGCTTGTTTGGCACTTGAATTTATATTTTTATTGTGACAAATTACGAGAGTATCATGGGGGAAGCTGACGATGCCCTCAAAGACTTCATCGACGGTATACCAGATGATAAGCTGACTGGGATCAGCAATCATACCTTGCACAGTGATCAGAACTACAGGCTTGATAACCAAGGAGTAAGCCAACGGCGGTTTTGAGTGCAGCCCTTCGAGTCTCGGGTCAACAAGGCCCAGTCGAACGGTCACCTGGTGCTTAATATTGGTTTCACTAGATCAGACGAATGTGCAAGAAACTAATCATTCAATGTTATCTCCCGCTAGCTCACATCCGGCGATCCCCAATACTACAACCTTCAAGTTCAAGTAAACTCGAGCCCGAGAATCAAGTCTCTTAAATCCAGTAAAAAGAGGGGGAGCCGCACGGGTACCACTGTCGCCAAACTCCTTGTCCCAGTCAAAGATACCTGGTCGGCCAAGGAAATCCGGGAGAAGCTTGGGAAAGCCATAATGATTTAAGACTTCGTCGTTTGGGAGCCAATCAAGGCAAAGTGCGGCTATCAATAAACGGGTGAGAGCAACAGTCCCGTGGCCCGTTGCATTTGATTCGGAGAACTAATACTCATGAAAAGGATGAATGTAAGAAGTAGAAGACTCTTATTTGATATTTGGGGGTTTTTGTGGCGCACAAGTCATGTAAAAAGCGCATACCGGGACAAGGTAGAGGTGCTTGCCCGCCTATTCTATGACATAAGGCCTCGAGGATTGTCTAGCAGTTCCTGAGCCTTATCAATCCTTTCACACAGGCCCTCAGGGTTGTTTCCAGAGGTGACATCTTCAATCCACTCTCGTATGACCCGCGCCTCGAAAACATTATCGCAACTCCGTACTGCATAATCAAAATCTCTTTCGCGCTGGGTTTTTTCAAATACATCCACCCATCCAGGTTCCAGAGCTCTCATCGTATTCATAAAGACGCCACGAAGAAGAGTAAGCTCATAATTCTCCAAGTGCTCTAAGTAAAGATCGCAGGGTTCTCCATCCTCTTCATGGTAATATGTTGTTCGATCGGGCTCTGTGCGTCTAATTGGCCCTTCTAAAAATGCGGGATAATTGCAGGCAGCCCACAAAGGAAGTGCTGCGACACATTCCCAGTCTAAGACAGCAGCCAGCTCTCCGTTGTCTTGGACGAGAATATTTCGGTTGGAAAGGTCATCATGGACGATGATCGATGGTTCAGGGCTGTCTTCAGAGTGGTCCTCATTGGGCTGAAAAACCAATGATAGGAGGTTTTTCAGCTTTCCAATGATGTCCAATGTTCTTGTGGCATCTTCCTTCCTAGCTTCCTGCTTACGATCAAGATCACTTGATGGTAAACTAGAGAGCTTTGATTGATAGTTCCTTTCCTCTAGTACCAGACGGGACAGCATCCAGTCTTTGCTAGAATTGAATGGCCCCCGGTGAACATCCTCATGAATACTCGGCCCCCAGAAAAAGTCCATTGAAACGATTCTACCCACGTCGGGAGGGCCTGGGATTTTCGATTCATTCAGGGCCGATGCGTTCGAACATACTGAGCCCTCAGCAGGCCAAATAGCTTCATCTAGCCGGGAGCCATCGGCAGTACATGGCTTTTCATAAATATTCCCAATCCTCTGGAGTTTGTTCTGAAAAAGCTTAGCGGAGTAAGCTGCGAATTGTTTGACCAAGGTCCTTTTCGTAGGAAATGACAAAGAGTGCCATGCATCTGCTAAAGGCGTCCCCGACGCTTTAGTCATGAGGATCCATTCAAATCCAATTGAATTCGCTCGGGAAGTTTGGTAAGCGAGAACCCGAGGAATCGGGATATCTGTGATATGGGAAATCCAGGCCATGGTCGACACTTCGCTCATAGTCTTGTAGTACGGATCAACTGGCAACGCCACCCGCATAACGAAATCCTGATCATCGACTTTTGTGACATAAATTTTGTTCAAGCCACCTTGGGCGAGGAAGGACACACTCACTGTGCTTTCTGGGCGTAGCGACTGTATTGTGTGTTCGATTTTCTCAAGATCGGGTTCCATTGTCCACTCAGGCTCTAGGCCAAAGAGGTGTTGAACCCAGACGACGCCCTGAAACCGGTCCTCTAGGGAATCTTTCATCGTGGGGGGAGATGCAGTTTTCCGTAGCTATGATTTGGGTATGGAAAGCTAAGATGGGGTGGGGAAAACGGGTGAGTTGAGAGTTAAGGTTTAAGAGTACGCGTGGGTCGCGACCCGGAACAAGTTAGGCAAGCTTAGGAGTCACCGCTTTAGAACTGCAAGACTTTCTGCCGTAGCACCGGAGCAGTTCATTATTGGTGGCATCTCACCGCCCTGGGCTTAATCCGATGCCTCCAGGGCTGCTTTAAACGGTAAACCTACCGTCTACGTAATTGCACCAAGCGGCAGAATAACCAAGGAAACGATGAGTCCGTGATGGCTTTGTCCAAATTCAAGCTGCATAAAGGCAGCTAACGCACTACCCCAGTCTCTATAGCTGCTGCTCCCCCCCCAGTCATCATCAACGCAGACCAACGTTTCTCCGGAATTTGATCACGGCCATAATTTGTCGGCTCTTGCTAGACCTTCCTGTAAAAGGTGATCACCCGACTCATTGCTGCGTTATAGAAGGCAGATTAACAGGTGTAAACCAGAATCAGGTTCTCAATTTGTTTGATTTAGTCTATAGGACAAACGACGAAGTAGTAAAGCAACAAGGTATGGCCGTATTGTTGCATCAACGTCATGCTCTGCTAGTCACTAGCAGCCGTGCTAGCAAGGCTTTTGAAGACAGAATTTCATGTTTCTCTCAAGTTTGAAGAATCAACGCCCTTGGTTGATTGAAACCTACTGGATTGGGGCTTGCGCAGAACTCCTGGGGTCTCATTTTGTACAATCAGATTGCAAATGTCAACAGCACTGACTTTTTGTAAAGGAAACATTGATGTCAACAAATGTAATTGCTGCTTTATTTGTTGTTGGAATATAGATTCACCCGTTCAAAAATGTCTCAATTTAAATTACGCACATTCGCGTTAGTTGTTTTTTGGGGGTCCGTGTTCGACACAAGACTTCGTCACTTGGAAAGCTCCGAACGAGAACCAGCACAGCCGTTTGCGGATAATAGCCCGGTGACAGATGGCACCCCTACCGATATGAAAGCTATGGTCATAGCAAACTACCTGGAAGATCTCGGACCACTGAAGAGGTCCCTTAGCCATTCCACCCTGGTCACTGCCTGTCAGCTCGCTCTTGAGGGCCGTGGTCCTCTAGATCTTAAAGACTAGGTTATAGCCACTATTGCCTGGCAAAAAGCCTAGATGCGGCGGGTGGACGGGTCATTAGAATATATGGCTGGGCGGGGGCTTATCATGGATATTGTCGACACAGAACTCGCCAATCAAGCACTAGCGGACCGCCATGAAGACCTCGTGTAGCCTGTGGCTGAAAAGTTGCTTGAGGACTATAGGCTGGATTTTCTATTAGAGCCCCCAATATGAGGCCATGTCCGTGTTCACTTCAATGATGCACAGAGCCGGTTGATTAGAGTTGTGGCTTACAACTGGCTGATGCACCCGGACGAGTTCGATCTTGACCGCGTGTCGAAGGAGATATTTGCGTTCTTTTGTTAGTTTGTTTCTCGCTCTTATCATTAATGCTAAATACTAGTACTACAAAAACTACTACAAAAACTACTACAAAAACTACTACAAAAACTACTACAAAAACTACTACAAAAACTACTACAAAAACTACTACAAAAACTAGACTTCCCACCCACTCGATTGTGTCGTGGGTGTGTCGCCGTAATTGCAGTCAAATGTTCAACAATGGACAAATTGACTGTCTCCTCATCGTCCCCATTTTCCTCTTCTAGGTTTCGAACGACCTGGATCGGGCGGAGGCGGCTGCTCGTTATATTCGCAAGGTCATTACTTGCCATATTCCCCGGATACCAGGTTGGAATTGATGCGTTGAAACAGACTAGCTTCAATTCCTGTCTCAGGTGATAAGTCTGTCAATTGCCGACCAGACGCACGGATTGCTCACAAAGGCCCTAAGTCTTCTCAGTCTGTAGGAAACTTAGGCTGCATGTCATCCACCGAATGATCGCATCCTTGCGTTCCTCGTTCTCGTTTTCATTCTTGCTGGCAAGATCCATTGTCTTACCCAGCTTCACCGTGAGCTCAGGATCTCCCTCTTTCCCTCCTTTCTTACACTTTCCTTTGGAATAGAAGGCTTGGATCACGCGTACTTGACGAGCGCCAAAAATGGAGATCAACAAGGCAGCGATGCTCGGAGTCCCCGAGAAGGTAGGCTGACGGGATCGGATACCAATCATTTGTACTAACACGGAAAGCTTACTTGCGAGTATACTACTATCGCCAGGGCAGTCGAAGCTGAAAATGGCTATCTGTAAATGCGGGTAGGGTATTTCCTGGTCCTCAGGATCTCGAATGCAGAATTCATCTAGACTCAGCGGGCACCACGCCCAGGTAAATGGATAGCTGAGGGTCTATGATTTTTGTAAAAAAAAAAAAGTAAGGGCCGGTTAGCGATTATACATATCCTCTATTGTATATACACCGAGTTTTGATCGAGGATTGCGTAAGGAGGGGAGACTCTGTAGCCGTGGCTGCAGATATTGCGTTCCAAGATCGCAAGATAGATAAGACACGACAGCTTGGAGCTGGATATTGTACGGTGGTATATAGATATTGTCACCGAGCTCGGGGGTTTGAGCTTACTAAAAAAGAAAAGATAGAATTCCTTACGGGTTTTTATATTGTGAATGACAGTAGTCTTTACCGCCTAAGGATCAATCGAGGTTCAATATCAACCTTTGCCATCGTGGGTCTCACCAGCACTCTTTCCAGCAGTCCTTTCAAACGTATTTTTTTTTTCGCCAACGTGGCCTGGTCTATCTAAGATGTGGCGGACAACTCTCGCCTCGCATATCAATTGCTGGCCTCAACAAACAAAACGTGGATTACGTTGGACAGTCGATTACTGAATGTTTGAAGCAAGGATGCTAGTCGAGACCTAAAGAATTTTCGTGGTAGTGGGATTTTAGTGTGTAGTCAATTGCCCAGGGGCTTGGCTACAGGAAAAGGACTGATTATATGCATAGAATATAGGAACACGAGACTCCACATATTTGTCCTGAAAATCTTACCTGTTTAGGGAGGCCAATTGATGACAAGATGACACCCTATCAGGGCATCAGGGACCTAGAAACTCTACTAGTCAGAGCTGACCATCACCCCGGTGGAGCATCGGTTGCCTGAACATGATCGTTCGTTCCTGTTATAGCAGCGATATTGTCTATTAATTAAGTGCTTGCGTGATTGAGTAAATAGAAGAGATAAATGTCAAGCGGAAAACCTCTCTTTATAGACCATACTCTTGCATATTGGACCCATCTAGACTTTCTCATCGGTGTGTTGAGCAGATAGTATTATGTCAAGATAGCCATAATCATCATGTAAGGGTTATCGGCTTATTACCGAAATATAAGACAACAGGCTGAATTTTGCAGTGATCCACACGGTCGGGGCCGCGCGTGAAAGGTGGAACTAGTCAAGTACATAGCGGGCACAAACTTCTAAACTTCTATACAGGGATCTTCAGTGGAACTACTCCGTATACGCATTGGGTATAAGCAGGTTAAAATCACGCAATGTGTGTGCAGCCGTTTCGAGTAGCATCATAGCCGAGATGACCCGCAGCTTCCGTGTACTCCGGTGTCTTTGAGCGGGGGAACCAGTCTGGGGAGGTTAAGCGATATAAGCAATGGTCATGAAGTGCATTGTACCTTAATACAAAGTACTAGAACAAAAGTTGGGGGAATTAAGTTCATTACGTATATAAGGATATATCTCCAGTGGTGATATCCATGACCAGCTCTGGGGATCTCCATTCCCCCATTTTGAGTTTTTGAGAATATAGCGAATCATATGGAATGAAAAGTTGCGGTATTTTCCCACATTGAAACTCGATGGCGTTGGTGGCGCTCCACATCTCCTTTACAACATAAAAATAGGATGGTGTCTGAGGGTAGATAGGATGACTTGTTATGCATATAGGATATATGTAGAAGTGGAAACCTTGTATTCTGCACAAAGTAAGGAGGTAGGATAGTGTTAGATATTACAGATATCATATTACACAGTCTCCCGAGGCCCTTCCGAGGTCTGTTTGCGGTAGTCACATGACCCAGCCAAATCTTATCGGTTGCCCAGACGGGTGCGAACGCCCAGCCAACGCACCCCGAGTCTTTCATTGGCAAGTCGGCTCTCGGGATCTACTGTGGCGTGATTTAAGAAACATGCTCTATATCACTTCAAATGTTCTTTTTACGGAGTAGAGCTTTCTATCTAATTGCTCTTTCCCCCGCAATTAATAACGCGGGGAGAAAACTCCATGTAAAAACGTCTTGTCAATGCGTAAGTATTAAAGTGGTCCTTTAAAGTGGCTCTTCACTGTCTAACACCAATACTGAATTTCCTTTACATAAGACTTGTCCCACATCTTATCGTGGCGTTGGGGGCAGTACATTTCGCTTCCATTTGCCCGGTTGACTTGGACTTGTGGTCTTGTTCCATCCACTTGTCATCCACTTCTACCCATTTCCAATGGATCTCTCTGTTTCCGGTCAGCTCGTTGGATAGCCGATCTATCGGAGTGGATCAACGTCGTACTCCACGTGCTGGAGTGACCAAGCAGAGTTCACAAATAATCGTTAGTCATGGAAATCCTGCTTTGCCTCCCGATAGTGCCGCATTCGAAATGCGCCGAAATTTGTCTTTCTTTATATACCCGCTTCCCACTTTCCCCCCCCATTCTGACCGTAGACTAGCCTCACTTCCATCCACCATGGGCGTCGATAATATCTCTAACGACCATGAAACTGACAAGGTGATGGATACGGAAGGCGAGAAGGTCGCATATGGAGATGTGCCTCCTCCACCCTTTGAGGCGGATATGGTCGGGGAAATGAGTGAGGCCGAGAGGAATGTCTATGACCACGGCATCAAGAAGTTCAACCGTCTCGGTTGGAAACGACTCACCATTGTCCTCATTGTCGAAGCGATTGCGCTCGGTAGTTTGTCCATTCCCTCCACCTTCGCAGTACTAGGCATGGTCCCCGGTGTGATCTGTTGTATCGGCATCGGTCTCATCGCCATCTATACCAGTTACATTGTTGGAATGGTCAAATTGGCTTTCCCCGAGGTTGCCAATTATGCCGATGCGGGTCGGTTGTTGGGAAATCGGTTGGGGTGTGGTCGCTTTGGATATGAGCTCGTCAATGCCATGCTCGGTCTCCAATTAATCTTCCTCACGGCCTCGCACTGTCTGACGGGAACCATCGCATTCCTCGACATCACCAAGAGTGACATTTGCTCGATCATTTTTGCTGTCGTTTCCGCCATCATCCTGCTCTTGCTTGCCATTCCCCCCAGTTTCACCGAGGTGGCTATTCTGGGCTATGTCGATTTTGCATCCATCATCACTGCCATCGGAATCACAATTATCGGTACTGGTGTGCAGGCGACCAACTCACCCGGTGGACTTTCCGGAGTCCCATGGTCTGCGTGGCCGAAGGAGAATGTCACCTTTACCGAAGCTTTCATTGCTGTGACCAACATCGTCTTCGCGTACAGTTTCGCCATGTGCCAGTTCTCCTTCATGGACGAAATGCACACTCCTCGCGATTTCATCAAGTCGATCTGGACCCTAGGTATCACCGAGATCATCATCTACACCGTCACCGGTGCCACGATCTATGCCTTTGTTGGCCAGGATGTTTCCAGCCCTGCGCTCACTTCGGCTGGAACTACCCTCAGCCGCATTGCATACGGTGTTGCCCTCCCTGTGATCTTCATCAGTGGTTCGATCAACACCGTTGTATTCGGGCGCGTGGTTCACGGTCGCATCTTCAAGAACTCTCCCATCCGCTTCATCAATACCAAGATGGGATGGTTGACATGGTTGGCTATCATCACCGCCGCCACAATTGCCGCATTCATCATTGCCGAGGTGATTCCTTTCTTCAACGACTTGCTTTCGATCTCTTCTGCTCTTTTCATCTCCGGTTTCACTTTCTATTTCCCTGCCATGATGTGGTTCATGCTCCTTCGGAAAGGCGACTGGAAAGAGCCCAAGAACTTGGTCCAGGCAATTGCCAACACCGTGATTTTCCTGATCGGTATGGTGGTGCTTGTTGGAGGAACCTATTCCAGCATTGACGACATCGTAAGTTTTTTTTCCCCATCATCTATCTTATGACAGGAATGGCGGTGCTAACTCACTCATAGATTATCAAGTACGACAAAGGAGAAGTCGGCGGTGTCTTCTCGTGTGCTGCTCCCAAGTAAGGCCAATCACTTCCTTATTATTAGCATATCTCAATATGGGTTATGAGCGTGCTCAAGCTCGCGCTTGTACGGAAATCCCCTCAGCCCTGGTTTGGTTTGAGATGGGGAATTCATTTCTAGGCGTTGCATCTTCATGATTCACGATGGAATCATGGAGCAAGCGAAATATGTAGATATATTATAATGTTCTCATTCAATATTCATGATAAAGTTATGTTATTCTTTCCAAGATTGACAAGAGTATGATGTGTTCGAAGACTTCGTGCTTTTGCCCCTGAAGAAGCAAAGGATGAGCTAGTGAGAACGATGAGCTTCAATGCTATTTATAGATATATTGTTTCGCCGATACAGAAAGCCATTAGACCCTGATTGGCCTTGATTCGGATCTCATGGGTATAAATCGGAGAAATATGGAAAAATGTGGGGAGCACATGAAGTCATTCAGGGTCTGCAAGGTATTTTGCCTCGATATTGAAGCTGGAAATTAACGTCTTGAAAACTTTCATGCTCCAAATTCAAACAATCACTTATGGATTACTAGATATTTCCAATGAATGATATGGATCTGGGATAGTATACCCCGTTAAGTATACCCCGTTAACGCTAAGGGATAAGACACTGATTGAACAACGAGAGAGATCGGCAACACCGCCCCATAAAATAGTCATACTGGTGTCATTTTGCGGGATATCTGCGCCTGTAGTCTGATATATAGACTCTATAAGTGAGACAACCTCGGCGACGGCAGTGGCGCTCAAGTATAAAGAGAGGAAGCATTTCAGCATCCCAGTCAAATCCAGAAACATCAACCATCAATCCTCTCAATTCAACCATTCCTACATCTCCCCAACCCAATCTTCCCATCCCCCCAATCCGCCAACATGCAACTCAAGAACCTCGCCATCGCTGCCTCCGTCAGCGCCGTCGCCTCAGCCGCCCCTTCCACCCAGTCCAAGACCTTCGGCGTCGTAGCCATCCACTCCGGCAGTGCCGTCCAATACTCCGCCTTCAACGCCGCCCAGAGCAGCATCTTCGCCGGTCTACCTAACCAGGGTGCCAGCTGCGCTCGTCCAAAGGAGCAGCAGGCCACCTTCTACATTCTCGACGGTGCTCTGTACCTGTATGATCAGTCCGCCACTCCCCAGCAGATCTACGTCGATCGTTCCGGCATGGGTATGTTATCACCCTCAACTCGTAATCCAACTAGGCGCAAATAACTAATTGATATACAGGCCAGGGCAAAATTGGATACACTACCGGTGCTCAGCCAGCTCCCAAGAACTCCGAGCGCAAGGGCTGGACCGAGAAGAATGGCCACCTCCAGTTCGGTGGAAACGATCTGATTGCCTGCCCCAATAGCATTGACGGTGCCTGGAGCATTTGGGCTTCGGCGGGTGTTTCTAACCCTGCTGGTAACTCTGACTGTGTCGGCATTGCTGCTCGTGTTGAGGAGACCTCCAACCCCAATGGCTGCAGCTACACCCAGTAGATGTTACTGTGGAGGATTAGTTTGTAGATTTGTTAAATGTATATACTTTTTACATTGCATAGCCTAGGTGTGGCAAATGCAGGCAATGGTCGCACCTTCTTGGACAAATTGAAGCTTCAAAACATATATCTCGACAATATCATTCTATTGTAGGAAGGGGAGATAAAATCAAGAGCGTAATCTACTCAACTTTAAAAGCATACCTTTTATCCAACAGACTCTCATTGGTATCTCAAAGTAGAAAAGTTAAGAACAGTATTGTAAGAGAATAGTGCAAAATCTTTCCGGAAGGGTTTCTTTTAGACCACAATTTTATTTTGAGTTACCTTTTATGTTAGTATACCGTATAGGCTATTTCCATTGGATGCAAAAATAACGATAGTTAACTATGGTCGAGATATAACGTATTTCACCTGCAAGTTGGACACAAGCGCTACTCCGAAACACATAATTAACTAGAGTAGGACCTCCACAGTACAATTCTGTGAAATACAACTTGACGTGGAAACAACGGCAGCATATATAGTCTTCCTGGTAGCTCAATGCTTCAAAATGTTTACTTGATATCCAGCATATATCTAGCTTCTTTGCAAAGTCTAGAAAGTATTTGTGACCAGGATTGATATATATATATATATTTTAATCTTAGAGCAATGTAATTCAATACCATAATACTGCAGCCTGTCAATCTTCTCAAAATTGACTGTATATGGCGTTGAAAAGCCTAAAGTACCTTTTATATATGTATCCTGTAGAAAAGGTACCTAAAATCAAAACTTTGTATTGGACCCTTGCGGATCCCGCAAAGATACAGGAATACACAAATACAGATTACGAAACGATATTACTAGGTGATTTTCCAGCCAAATATTGCGGTATCAATGCCTGGTACGTATATGGTACCGCCAATGGGGCCAAACCCCTGAAACAGAGCCCCTAAATTCTGACTATTTCAAATTAAAAAAAGAAAACATTTCCCCTTCTCTTCAGGGCTTATTTTAAGTTTACGTATTTGTTCTAGGGCTTGCTTCTGTGTGACCGCAGTATGTTCAATAATTTCCAGACATTCGTCGTTGCCCTCCTGGTAGGCACTACTGCGGCTAGGCCTCTGCAAAGCCCACAAAGCCCAAAGCCCAGCCCATCCTTCGGGCCCATCGATGGTTATGAGCTTATACCTTGAGCCCATAGGGCCTATTTAGGCCCATACTGGACCCCTATTATTTATCAAACAATACAAACATACCAATCCATCGCAACTGCATAATTAATATATTTTTTGCTGGTTTTTTTGGGTATTGAGATTACTATATAGGCTAGGCTGTATATAAACATTTTGAAGCTAGTATACGTGAATCATTATATTCTTCCTCTTCTTCACCTTCTTCTTCCTTTACAAATTTACAAGTAAAGGTATAGAAAGAAATGATTCAAATGATTTGATTTGATTAATAAGATACTAGAATTAGTGCTATATTCATATAATTCCTACTTCTTACCATGATAATTAAATGCTGAGTATACAGGTTGGAACATGCGTAAAATACAGTCATTAATCAGCTACTTTATGTATGCTAAGATGATATTTATGCAGCAAAATGGGCTTTGCAGAGGCCTAACTGCGGCAATCGATCTCAAAATCAATGATGAAGGTAGGTGATTCTATTAATATATCGATTGGTTCGAATGATGCCTGGCATGAAAGTAGAATCTATCAAGAATGCAGCAGCGATTGCGGCCTTCAACACGATGTCGACGTACACATCCAACATGACAGGTCGTATTCCAGGCAAACTTGATGGGACATGGGGGGAGGGCGGTGCCTTATTCCAGACGATGATCGAATATTGGCATTTTACTGGCGACGCTTCCAACAATAAGGCTGTGAGTCAAGGCATGCCCGATATACTAAAAACCAGACCTATTCCGACTGGGCGGAGAAGATCTGGAGTGCCAGTGTTCCGATTTTGAACACCACCAATTGGAGGATTGTCGATGGGTTAAAAGCTGATTGCAAGTCACACCAGGATATGCAATGGACTCATAACTACCATATCTCAGTGGGGCCGCCTATATGTACAACGTGGTGAGTACTCGAGTCTACTCAAATTGGAGACACGTAACGATCGCTAACATGAATAAAGATAAATGGGGAAATATCCAAATGGAATTCAGGAATCGATGGTCTCCTCAACACAAGCTTCAAGCTCTTCTTCCCACAGAGCTACGGTGGCAAAATCATGACAGAGACCAGCTGCGAGATTACCAAAACTTGCAACCGATATCAATAGTTTTTGAAAGGTCTTTTTACATCCGATCTTGCGGCTGTCACCCGTATGGCACCTTATACCAGATCCTCGATCCTCCAAAGATTGCAGGGGTCTGTTGTTGCAGCCGCCAAGCAATGTACCAGCAGAGGCAATGGGACTCTTTGTGGCCAACAGTGAAAGTCAAAATGGGATGGTACTACAAGTATTGGAGGCACAAAGCGCTACCAATCTATTTACCTCTAACCTGGTTGCCTTCGAGCACATGGATGTTGCCACCCCAAGATACGTCAACCACTCCTACTGAGATCCAAAGTGAAGCCGCAGGCGGTACTACCCGGGAGAATGCAGGCAATCTCCTAAGAAGCCCCTTCGATTAAGATGTAAATCTATATTTATAGATGGGAGTTTAGAGTTATTTTCTATCAGATCTAATAAGATAAAAAAAAAAAAAAAAAGATATCCAATCGGGGGTCGAGAAAGCCGACCGACGATGTCCAATCGCGTTGGAGTTTGTTCGGCAATTTTCTCCGAAGTTCAAAAGCCAACGATTCCGATATTTTAAAACACATAACAACATAAAACAGGATAAAAACAGGGTAAAACAAGACCAGTCGCGTGTCAGATCCGCCACTCGATGCATCTAGTTCCCCTCTGGCCCGTTTTTTGCCTGTTCTGGAGGGTCTTTTGGGGTTGACGGTTTTCCCTATTGCCTCCCCCCCTTTTGTGGCCGAATTTGCCATTCCACTTTTCACCGTCGGTTCTCTAGGAACCTATTAAAATTATAGAAAAAAAAAGAAGAAAGAAAAGGAATACCTGAAGAACTCATGTAGGTGTGACAAGACGAGGTCTTGGCACGGATGTTAACTTTCAATAGGTATCTGGACTTCTTTACTCTTCTGTTCCTTGACCGTGATAGCTATCACGCAGACTCATCTATTTTACCAGTCCTTGGTCTTATGTGATCGGATGCGGATCCCCATTGCTCTGCAGCTTGGGCTGCTGGTGTTGCTGACTGCGCTCTTGGGGGTCGCAGCGTTAGCAATTGCAACGGTAGAGAGTCCCCAAATCCGAATGAGAACCGAATCTGATCAATTTTAGTGGTTTACCACCTACAACTTTGTAGTGGATGTTGAGTATGTGCTGCTCTCTAAATATGCAAGCCCAAATCTAACCTTTGAGCAGATCGCAGGGCCTCGAACTCGTTGCGATCACTAAGGCCAGTCAGATTGCTTCAAATTTGGACCTTCTCGAAACAACCTGCAAGACCATCGCGACGCGAATCCTGATACAATCAGCCCTGAAACGTTACTATGCGGGAAATAGGTCCGAGGAGAACTGGACCAATCCTATAGCGGATGTTCAATCGGCCCTTGGTAGTCGGGGATACTTGGACCTTTACCAGGCCATCATCTACTCCAAGAATGGCCAAGGAGGAACGACCCTGCTTAACCAGACAAGTGAATCTGTTCCGGAAATCATCCTTCCATATACGTACTCGAACGGCACTTCTGTGCAATTGGGAGATGATGGACCAGGCTATCCCCCTTCTCTGTATCCGAATATGACTTACCGTGGCGGGTCAAGCGATAACGATCCGACGACCGCCTTTTCATTCCCTGATTATGAGCTTGGATTGAACTCCGCACTGCTTCTTGGTCCATTGAAAGTCAACAACTCCTTCTCTCTCCTGTCATTGACCCTGCCGATTGTCAATAACACTTCAGATACAGAAATCTTGGGCTTCATAAGGTGAGTAGCTTTTCCAAAGGTCGAATAAATGCAAGACATCGAAATTGATCATCCCCAAGTATTGTCGCTAGTGCCGCGAACCTACAAAGTGTCGTTAGCTCGCGAGATGGGTTAGGAAACACCGGCCAGGTCCTCCTCATTGGACCTTCACGACGAGCAAACACCTTCTCTCCCACCGAGCAGCCCGCAACAGCCACATCTTCCGCTCATGCTGCCGCTCTTAGTGGAGCGGAGGTTCACTACGTCTTCGAGCCTACCCCTTTGCCCAGCCAGGCTAGTCGGCACACTGGCATGTCGACCGATATTCCGTTTGTCCTTTCTACATACCCGATGGCTCTAAGAGCCATGTTGCAACCATACCAGACCGTGAACAGAGCCATCAGTGACCTGTCAAGCCGAAATGAGCGAGGGGCGAATGTTGCCGTGGGCGCAGTCCGTCCTCAAAACACACTCGTCGAATGGGTTCTTCTCGTAGAAGAGACCCACGCGGAAGCATTTGCACCAGTTGTCCGATTACGGAAGATTATTCTTGCCTGTGTTCTTGGCACAGCGGGAGCCATTGTCCTCATTGTTCCTCTTCTAACCCATTGGGCAGTTGCTCCTATACGAAGATTGCGTGCAGCAGCCCAAAAATCCGTCGAGCCCGATATGTCACCACATCGTCCTACCTCGGGGCCACAGCAAATTGGGTCGGTAACTGAGGATGAACACGGCGATACAGTTGAGCAAATTGAGGAACTGAATGAGAAAGGCTCCGCTGGCATGTGGGTGAAACGTCTGCGACGTCCCTTGGGGCGATTCAACAGTTCTGCAAGCACGAGCAATTCAAAGAGTTCCCGAGGCTTCCAGATACCGGCCAGGGTCAAAGAAAGAAAACATTGTGTCACGGATGAGCTCACGGAGTTGACAAAAACTTACAACGAGATGTCGGATGAGCTCACAATTCAGTACAACCGGCTAGAGGAGCGAGTCGCTGAGCGCACTAGAGAGCTTGAAAAGGCCAAATTGGCAGCAGAGACCGCCAACGAGAGCAAGACATTGTTTATCGCCAACATATCTCATGAGCTCAAAACCCCTCTCAATGGAATCCTCGGCATGTGCGCTGTGTGTATGGGCGAGGATGACCTGTCCCGGATCAAAAAGTCGCTCCAGGTGGTCTATCAGTCTGGCGATCTTCTGTTGCATCTCTTGAATGATTTGCTCACATTCAGTAAGAATCAAATTGACCAGGCTATCCAGATCGAGGAAAAGGAGTTCAAGTTGTCTGATGTTCGATCGCAATTGGCTATCATCTTCCAAAATCAAGTTCATGAGAAGAATATTGACTTCAGCGTCAGATTTGTTTCTGGTGCAGTGACCGAGCCAAAGGGCGCCATATATCGCGAAAATACACTGGAACGGACCCATTCAGGATTGGGTTCAACACAGTCTGGCAGAATGGCAGACATGGTTCTTTGGGGTGATCAACATCGAATCCTCCAGGTACTGATCAATTTGGTCAGCAACAGTCTCAAATTTACACCTGAACATGGGAAAGTGGAAGTTCGCATTCGCCTTGCGGAGGAACCTTCGAGTCTTGAATCCCATGTGGCTCTGAAAGACACGCCTCGACGCAACTCAAGAATACGATCCCATACCGCCTCAAGTGCCAACTCCTCGGTGCACAGGACTGCCCTTGTGACCGACGGTCAAACCAAAGGACAAAGAGTGTCGCAGTCTAATCTTCGCCAGCTCAAATTCCACTTTGAAGTCCAGGACAACGGCCCAGGTATTCCTGCCCATCTCCACCGGCGTATCTTCGATCCTTTCGTTCAGGGTGACCTAGGATTGAATCGGAAATACGGTGGAACTGGCTTGGGTCTCAGCATTTGCGCTCAGTTATCCCGTATTATGGGAGGTGACATTCTGCTAGAGAGCGAAGAAGGACATGGAGCTCTTTTTACTCTGAGAATCCCCTTGGGATATGTCAAAGAAGTGCCCCCAAGCACGCATGCCTCAAGCATTCCAGGATCACGGACCCCAAGTGTCCTGTCCTTGGAAGAATTTTCCAACACTACGCGAACACCCTCAAACCACGGATCAGTGAGGAGCGAACCTCCTGCGCCTGGATTCGAGAAGTCAGAAATCCAACCACGTTTGGTTGGATTGAGTCAACCATTTTTCACGCCGACTGTTCCATCCCCTCCTACCACATCGTCCGGCAATTTGCCATCCAATAAAAACTCAATTGACAGCGGCGATGGCTCCAAACGGATACGCGTACTAGTTGCCGAAGACAACACTGTTAATCAGGAAGTAGTTCGACGGTGAGTGCTGATGAACTTGTGTATGAGATATTTCAAATGCTAACCTCGATACTAGAATGCTTGCGCTGGAGGAGGTGTATGATGTGACAATTGTCAAAGACGGCCAGGAGGCATATGATACTGTCAAATCAAAGATGGAGAAGGGAGATGTGTTTGATCTCATCTTTATGGACATCCAAGTAAGAAGCCCTTGCTTTCGCAAAGTTATGAAGATGCTAATCAATGCAGATGCCCATCCTCGATGGTCTCGAGAGTACCCGACTTATACGACAGATGGGCTACTCCGCACCCATTGTCGCATTAAGTGCTTTTGCAGAAGAAAGCAACATCAAGGACTGCATGGATTGCGGGATGGATATGTTCATAAGGTTAGTCGATGAGAAGCAAAAAAGCATTCATCTTGATCTGCAACTAACAAAAACAGCAAACCCATTCGAAGACCTGCGTTGAAGCAAGTCCTTAGCAAGTTTTCCACCATCATTGAGGAAACTGAATCTGGCTCTTGAGAATGATACATCATCCTTCACATATACGGAAGAGAGATGATGTAGCTAGCAGCCAGCTAGGCTAGGCGTTTATCTATTCAAGACATACGGTGTACATAATAAGCCTATCTAGGCATCCTACAGCGTTTCAAAAGCTGGCTCGAAGTATGTGATATAAATATGTAAATAAGGCTATGATCTACTAAACAGTTTATCATCTACTCATGTTACTAGTTGTTCCTAGATATTCTGTTTAGATCTCCTTTCTTCCAACCACTTCTTGGTTTTATATCTAGATGGCAGAAGAAGGCTGATGATGAATTGCCACAGAGAAGTCCCCAAGAACGCAACCTCACAGACGGAAGTTGAAGGGAAAATCAGAAATATGGGTGGAAACCATAAGAGTAAATGAAGATATCGCTGGTACCTACAAGCGAAACACTTATAATTCGTTCCTTAAAAACTATGATACTCTCCACCAAAAATGGGTTTTTGGGACTGATTCCATACCCCTTACAAATCAGCCTCTGTACCTATATACCTACTCTCTAGTAGTAACCCCAACTCGGCGTTTTAGCCTAGTTCATACTTCAGTTGGATGGAACATCTGCATAGTCATATGCAACTAGTTAGACTGCAACAGGTTAATTGAACTTTGATTGATTGATTGATTGAATATATGTAGATTTGGACAACTAAGTTTATAAGGGGCTCAATACGCTTAAAAATGTGAGCAGCAATGGGTTTATAGAATGTCAATTAAACTGTGACTTGAACTTTAGTTGTTTTAGAAACTCGGATTCATTAATAACATTGGCAATCCCACACTAGTAGCTTGCAGTGATCCCCTAACTTCTATATATTGTCCTGAATAACCAGATCGTGCATCGTGAATGGTGAAGATAACAGAACGGGAGTAACCTAGTAGGCAATCTCGAAGCTGTAGGTAGGATCATAGTGGATAGCCCAGTATCCATCCCAGATCTTCTTGGTGACAGGTCCAACCTTTCCATCCTTCACAGGCTTGTTATCAAGGCTGGTAATGGGCATGATACCTCCAGCAGTGGTACACATGAAGATCTCATCGGCATCATAAGCGAGTTGGACAGGAACCAACTCAACCTTAATCTCAAGGCCGCTGGCGTGGGCGACATCAATCACACTCTTGCGAGTAACACCCTCGAGAACTCCACGGGCAGGAGTGTACAAGACATTGTCCTTGACAAGAACGATGTTGAATCCGGAACCCTCGGTGAGGTTGGTATCACCGTCAGTGAGGAAGGGGTATTCGGCGCCACGATCCGCAGCCTCGAAAAGACCGCGAACGAGATCACCCCATTGCAGGTTCTTGACAGTGGGGTCAATGCAGCCAGGGGGCACGCGGCGAACAGTGCGTGCGATAATGGCGCTTCCACCAGTGGGCTGGACCTCGGGCTCCATGCACCAGACGTAGGGCTGAATGAACATATAGATACGGTTGACGATATCGCCGGGGCGAGCGCCGCGGACACCCTTCAGTCCACGTGTGACAATGATTTCGACGAACGCGTCACGGATGCCACTCTGTGCAACCATGTCGACCAGGATCTTCTTCACCTCCTCGCGGGGGAGAGGGAGCTGCATGCGAATCTTGGTGCAGCTGGCTTCCAGACGGGTGATGTGGTCATCGAGGCGGAAGAAACGTCCATCCCAGACGGAGGGGACATCGTATGTCAAGTCGCTGTGCATGAAGCCCTGATCGAGGATGGGGATGCGGGCCTCGTGGAGGGGAGTAAGTTCTCCCTCAACCCAAGCGACACCCTTTGCGTAGGGGTGGGTGCTTGTCGCAAGAACGGCCTGGCGCTCCTGGTAGGCAGCGAAGATCTTTTCCATGGTAGCCATGATGACTGATTTGTTTGGGAGTGTTGGGGAGTTTGGATGTCTGATCGGCACAATTGCTTGAGGAGGAAAGTGTGTGAGTAAAGCTAGATATTCAAGCAGATATAAGGACTTTTAAGTGCCTCTGTATGCCCTCGACATCGCGATCGCCTCGAAGGGAAATATCTGATACGATGCTTATGGCTCAATATGGAAGGTGGCCATCGGAGCTGTTTTGCGACGATGCGAGGATCCCTTGCCTCCCCGATCGGGTAATATATAGATCTCCCGATCGGGAAACCAGGTTAGTCATCGGGTCCAGCGGGCCTAGACCCACTCAGGTAAAATCGGTGAAGCCAAGAAAAATATTTGGAGATATTTAATTTTAATTGCAAAACAAAGCCGTTCACTGCTATATTACCCTCTTTACCCCGTTTTTGTTTAGGGGGTTGGATCTCGAAGTAAAAAAAACACATCATGACGAAGAATATTTTGGTTATCGGGTATGTTGACCATTGAGGATGACCTATACCGATAAACAGAACAGTTGTTGATGTTTTGATCAGAGCTGGTGTTGCCGGACTGACGACAGCTCTTTTGCTGTCGAAGAAGTCTGGCTATAGCATCGTTGTTGCAGCGAAACATATGCCTGGCGACTATGACATTGAATACGCATCGCCATGGGCCGGTGCAAATTACATGCCGTAAGTCAAACACATGGAGCCAATTGAAGATTTTATAATGATCCATACCTAATTCATGATTTCAGCGTATCTATCACCGGGACAGACGCCGCGGAATGGGACAAAAACACATGGGGCCCACTTGAAGATCTCGCGAGAAACAACCCTGGAGCAGGTGTACACTTTCAAGGTATAGGGCATATCGCTTTCTATTCGGGTCCCCTTTACTAAAAAGTTGGGATAGAATGTGAGATTCACAACCGAACGAAGGATGTCGGGTCAGCAACAGCTGAATGGTTCAAAGAGCTGCTATCCTCTAACCCTTGGTTCGCCAAGGTTGTCCCAAACGTGAGCTTTAAAAGACCGTTGATGTTTGTTTTTTTACCATGATACTAATTCGAACAGTTTCGGGCACTCCCTAAAGAGGCTCTTGGTCCGGGCATAGATTCGGCCACAGTCTTTACCTCCGTTTGCATCAACACGGCAATCTACCTCCCATGGCTTGTTTCTCAATGCCTGTCCAATGGAGTCGTTTTCAAGCGAGCCGTGTTTGATCATATTCTGGATGCTACCGCATCAGGCGTTCACCCGAACGGCCGTGTTGACCTAGTGGTCAATTGTACCGGCCTGATGGCGTCCAAGCTTGGTGGAGTGCAGGACACCACGGTGGTCCCTGCACGAGGACAGATTGTTATCGTCCGGAACGATGCAGGAAAAATGCTGGACATGTCTGGAACGGATGATGGCGAAGAAGAAGCCTGCTATGTTATGACCCGAGCGGCCGGTGGAGGCACCATCCTCGGCGGGTCTTACCAGAAGGGTAATTGGGAATCTCAGCCCGACCCGAACCTGGCAATCCGTATCATGAAGCGAGCTGTCAAGATGTGTCCTGCATTGACTGACGGAAAGGGAATTGAACATCTGGATATCATCCGTCACGGAGTTGGGCTGAGGCCTGTTCGAGAGGGCGGTACGCGAATCGAAAAGGAGCGCATTGGAGGAGTTTTGGTAGTCCATAACTATGGCGCTGGAGGTGCTGGGTATCAATCCTCGTATGGATGTGCACAGGCCGCGGTCGACCTGATTGACCAGGCCTGGAACGTTCAAGCTAAGCTGTGAAAGCGCTAGTAATTAGACCTAGAAAGATTACATCCTTAATCCCTGTTAGAAAGCATTTCGAGCATTCCTTTGTATTAACAATTATCTCATTTAACCTAACAAAACCTATTGTGACCGATACACCGCTAGGTATGCACCTGCATCAGGTAACTGTGCGAGATAAGAGACACCTCGTGAGGGGTAAAGGGGGTAAATCTATCAATTGCTAATTCCCCAGAGGGTTTATCTTTTTTTGAATTAGTCTAGATGTAGGCTCAAAGGAGAGAGATGTATGGAGTATAGAGTGGGAGTATAGAGAGATAACCAAAGTCCCGAGGCTAGTCCCGAGGGAAGGTCACCTGCTCAGATTAATTCCCTATTCTAGAAGGAGAGCGGGACGTTTACTTCCCTACAACAATACACTAAAAAAGAGAAAAATAGTCTATCTTTCAGCATCTGACGTGATGATTTCTGATCAAGGAAAGAGAACAAATTCACTTGGATTTGCCCAAACAGATTGCCATACATGTGCTTCTTTGGGCGAAAAGTGCGACCGGCGTCGACCGCGGTGTTCAACATGTCTCGGTCAAGACCGCAGATGTGGTGGCTTTGCAATGCCTCTCTCATGGGACCCTAGGCGGATGTGGTCGGACAATCCTTCGGCAGCTGGTACATCCAAAGACCTACCGAATGAGGAGATCGTCACCGACGCCTCCCCCAAGGCTGTCTCCACTGCATTTGCCGCACGGTCAGACTCACCCAAGCGTTTCCGCTTTGTCAAGGGTGCTTCTAGACCAAAGAAGCGTCGCCGAGCCAACTCGCCAAAGGAGCAAGCAAGCCGAGTTGTAACAGAGAGCTCGTCGGGTAGCCCAGAAGTCGTGCCTAGAACCGCACCCCAGCACCTGGAGATATTTGATGACCACCAAAGGGGCAATAGCTTATCTGGCCTAGGTATGTTCAACTTTCCATATACTTGCAATGTTTCAAACATATATGTTGCTTACAACTTCTTAGAACTCCAAGACGCACATTTCTTTGATGATTTCAGTGTGTTTGACTCCATAATTCCTAACATTTTTGCGTCCACTCCCTTTCTCGATATCGACCCACAGGAGACACTGGCAACAGGACCTCCTGGTCTGATGGAATCACCCAAAATGACAATGACACCTCTTTCCCCATCAGACAGGTCTATTGAGCCAGCGTTACAGAGTCTTCCAACTAGTTCAATGGTTCAAAACATTGACCCAATGTTTCGAGATCAAGCAGAACAAAGTGCTCTAGTTGATTTGGTCCCACGAACAATACAAGAACCCACAAATCCTTACGCTTCGGCACGTCTTCAAGCTGTTCCTATGATATCTGAAATCTCATCTAATGACCATGAAAGGCTCCTTGAATTGTGTAAGACTTCTGCATGACTTCCCATTTTATGAGAAGAGATCAAGCTTATGATACCATAGATGACTCCGAATTCTGTGTGCTGCCCCTCACAGGGGACATACCTGGGACAGTGAATCCATTCCGCTGCAAACTTCAAGCATCTCAACGCTCCCGCCTTCTATTTCATTCCATACTAGCACTATGCTGTCAGCACCTAGGCCGTTTGGCTGGCAGCTGGCCAAGTGCAGCTGCTGAGCATCGCCGGAAAGCTGTTCAGTTACTTGAATGCGCATTACAAAGTAGCCCAGTACTGAGCTTATTGGAGCCTATATTAATACTTTTTACTCTCGATGCAAGTCTTTTGCCTCGACCATACATGTGGCTGAATGCTAACCCATGGTCCTAGTGTACCCTCTCCGCTACCGGGAATTGGTCAACTCACCTGATGCGGGCACACTCAGTACTGCAGGCCCATGGTGGCCCAAGTGCATTGACGACACCTCGGATTCGGTCACAAGTCGCAATGTTTATCTGGTAATAACCTGAAAACTCTTTGGCCCTGACGGTTGTGTTGCTGACTATCAAAACAAGGTGGGATGCCACACTCGCCTTGATATCCCGACAGAGTCCTATTATGGACCAGGCATATCTGGACTTTTTAGTGCGATGGGAAAAACAAGATGAATGGTCTTTCTTCGATCTGACTGGGTGTCCCCGAGAACTACTGGTTCACCTATTTCAACTTGCCGAGTTAGCCAAGCAGTGCGAGATCGCCTTATCCATGAAATGGCTTACTTTCAACATGACTCCTATTCAAAAAATAGAACATGAACTGATCGCGTGGAAGAACGACGCAGACTCTTCATCAAGTTCAGATAACTCCAATTTGACCGAAGAAGAGGCAATAAAGCAACTCCACGAGCAACAAGATCGCTACCACTGTGCTGAGGCTTGGCGATATGCATTGCTCCTCTATCTTGAATATATCTTCAAGAGCGATCGCAAAAGACGGTCTATCGGCGTCAGTAGACTGGCACGCAAGACAATTGACCACATTCGGTGCTGCCGACGAACATCCCAAACACAAAAGCAACTTCTTATTCCGGTTTTCCTCGCTGGTAGTGAGACCTCAGATGAAGATATGCGCCATTTTGTGAAAGAATACTGTTCTTACTGGGGTGAGAAATCTCGATATAGCATGTTCAATTCTGTTCCGGTGCTTTTTGACGAAATTTGGGCCTCGGGAAAATGGTGGGGTGCCGTGATTGACAGCAAGACCCGACCTGGTCCTGGTCATGGACAGGGAACTACGCAATTATTATTTGGATAGTGCTGGTGATAGTAATTATATTGTTAACGAGGTTTGAGTCTACCAACTACATCATTCGTTCATATTGGTAATCATGTTCATATTTCAAGTTGTGATTAACACATAATATAGACATCATACACTTATTCACTTATTCACCGATACTTTTGAAAAGGTGGGGAGGTATCACTATAGAAGGTGCAGCAGCGATAGGTAGAGAGACAATTAGCAAACAGGAAGCTAACTCGTTTTGTTCGAGGATACGTGATATATATTGCAGTGGATTCCAGGGAGGCCTGGGACATCACACCAGCACAATTTACCCACGAATCCCACAACTGATCTTTATTTTGAGCAGTTGGAATCTTTGTCTCTACCACTACTAGTGAAATAATTTAATGAAAATCATGATATTTTCTGTAATAAATTGCCTAGCTACAGAATTCATCCTTCTACCACCATCCTACCACCATTCTCGTGTCCTTCCCTCAATCATGCTATCTGAAATGACGCTCTAGTATATACATATACACCCAGGTACAATGTAAAATCAAGCCTTCAAGTGAGCACTCCTCCAAGCGGAGTATAATTAGCAAGAAACGCCAATGAATTCCTTGGAGACCTCAATGTAGACGAGGTCGTTGTTGGTGCCCTCGTAAAAGATTCCGTATCGGTTACCGCCGAGGTCAATGATATCGGAATAGGCCATTGCACCAGCCTGGAAGACGACACCAGCAGACCAAGTCTTTCCATCGTCGCAGGAGTAGCGGACTGTGCCGTTGCTTCGGCTAGTCTTGCTGTTTGCGTTGGTGAACAGGAGAATCTTGGAGTTGGCGGAGCCCTGTGCCGCATCAGGGTAGGCTCGCGTAATTGCTCCATTGTTTCCTGGATCAGGGAGCTGGGTCTCTGAAACTGGGACTGTCCAGTTCGCACCACCATCGGTTGAGGTTGCCACCTTGCGGTATCCGCTGCCGTCACTGGGGCGCGAGTTCATCATCAAAGTGCCATCGGACAGCTCGACGACTTTGTTCTCGTCCATTCCGGTGCCGATGACATTTCCCTTCTGCCAAGTAGCGCCACCATCGTCGCTGAAAACGCTGTAGGCTTGCGAGATGATGTTACCGCTGGGTTGGACGACTCTGCCGAGGAACTGCTGAACCAGGCGGCCGGCGTATGTGCCATATCTGATCTGAATGCCTGTTCCAGATGAGGCAAACAGTCCAGCGATTCCACCGACATTGGCAACTCCGTTCACAGTGCTACCCAGGGGCTTGATGGCCTTGGTAATAAGAGGGGGTGCACCAAGAACGCTCGATGCAACAGGAGGTAGAGAGGGCTGGTTGGTTGGGTCGGTGGACCAGCTAATTCCCTTATCGGTCGAAACCGAGACTTCGGCACTAACGATACTCAGATTGGTATCGTCGTCTCCGACAACGCCACCGAGGTATCCCTGATTCTTCGAGAAGACATGGAAATTGAAAACCTTTCCAGTCTTGTAGTCGGACACGTAGCTTGGGTCACTGAAACCGTACTGCTGGAGGGTCGAGGTCCCGGCTTGACCTTTGGCGATGTATGTGGGCGCACCCCAAGTCCGGCCGCTATCAGTACTCCGTCGCTGCATGATGGAGTTCGGGGCGGGCGAATCACCTCCATTGGGGCGCCCGTCATACGAGGCTAGGATGATACCATTCCACAGGTTGACCAAGCCAACAATTCGGTAGTACGGATAATCTCCGACACCCCTGCTGGCCAGAACCTGTGTGGAGGTGATGTTCACACTCGCTGCAGGGGTTGCAACAGCAAGGATGGCACACAGAGATAAAGCGCGCTTGATAGAACCATCGTTTCCAGACTGGAACAATGTGGAGAGCATATTGAAGTTACTCCACCGAGAATGTTTCAAACAAGTGGTTTTGTGAGTGAAAGAGGAGATATAGAAATAACAGGCTGAGAAGATAATGGATTACTATTTTCCTGGAGAACAGGGATACATTTATAGAAGATTAAATCCGATTAGATTCGGGGTTGATATCTCAATCTGGACAAGGACAATATGGACGAAGGGAAGTTGCAATCTATTGAGTTTGATAGACGGGAAAACATAGTATAGTAGTCTAGTAGTAGCATACCTAGTAAGAGTAGCATAGTAACATTGCATCAGATAGTACCTGGTACTTTTGACTTGGCACACGTAAGCTTCCCCGCAAAATGCCAAAATGCAGATATGGGGAGAGATACCCACTGGTCCCCACTGCCCAGGTGGCTCCGCTGGTTTATCTTCACCATGCTGACTGCATTATCGCAATCTTGTTCCTCTAACCTTGAAGAACATAAGTGAACAACTAAATCAGCCACCCGATGCCACACGGCGCCATGCGATATCAACCCCTCTTCATGACCCCACAAGATATCTTAATGCGATCGCGAGGATCCGATCGGAGATCCGATCGCGTCGCAAACACAACCCGATCGGGTCCAATATCAACGTATCAATCCCCACACAAGGTGGGATAGGCAGGCATCTACAGCAATAAACCGCAGTACTTAATAACTCTGAAAATTCGAAATAATAATGGAGAAATACTATTATTCATAGCATTCACAGTGATCTACTCTTCAAAAATGGCATCCACCAGCACCAAGATTAACAAGTCCTTTCCTCCGGGAATTCACGGCCCTTCTATCACCTTTTTCCAAGATGATCAGCAACAGGAGATTGACTGGCCCACCCAAGAACGGCACTTGGAGTACATGATCACTTCTGGAATGCACGGCAGTAAGTTTCGATAGTCCAAATCCACAGAGTAGAGCTAATCGAATCACAGTTGTTCTTGCCGGCTCCAGCGGTGAATCAGCCACTCTTAGCGTCGCAGAGAAGAGCATGTTGGTCAAGAAGTCTCGTGAGATCGCTGACCGCCACGGAAAGTCCGATTTCACTATCAGCATGGGTTGCTTGGCTGGCTCCACCCGCGACATCATGGTCCAGATCCAAGCCGCCTACGAGAGCGGTGCTGATTTCGCCCTCACTTTGGTTCCCTCTATCTTCCACTGGGCCATGACCCAAAAGGCCATTACCGACTTCTTCGAGGAGATCGCCGACCGTGCCCCCATCCCCATTGTCATCTACAACTTCCCCAACCTTCTCTCCGGATTGGATGTCAACTGCGACATGCTCGAGAAGCTTGGTGCCCACCCCAATATCGCTGCCGTCAAGTTGACCTGTGGAGGTGTTGGCAAGGCCTCAAGAGTTGCAACCCAGTTCGAGCCCGCTCAGTTCACCAGTGTATCTGGAATGAGTGACTGGCTGGTCGCCGCCTTCGCCGCCGGAAGCACTGGTTGCATTTCAGGTGTTGCAAACATTTTCCCTCGTGTAAGAGCAGACCTCGTCCTGGACAGAAATTACAGATTACTAATATGTTCGGCAGGTTATGGTTGAAATTTACGATCTGTACTTTGCCGGTAAGTTCGCCGAGGCTACTGCACTGCAGAAGAAGCTTGTTCTCCCTGAGTGGGGAATCGGAACATCGGATGTGAGCGGAATGAAGTGGATTATCTCCAAGGAGCGCGGTTACCCCCTGTCTAGCGCACACTGCCGCCGACCATTCCCCAAGTTCGACGACGTGGAGAAGCAAGAACGTGTCGTCCGCTTGGTCGCACCCCTTCTCCCCGTTGAGGAGGAGCTGAAGGCGAAGAAGGTGTAAATAGAGATGAACATTATACATATTGATGCCCGCTAGATGATAGAAGAATGAAACAAAAAATCGCAAAATCACCAGTTCCATCACATGTCATGTCAACAGTCGCTGATGATTAGAGTTCAAACAATAGCGAATGTGGTATAAAATAGCTCCAAACACACAGAACGAATGTCCACGCGCTTTCCTCCTTCACGCTGTCTCCTTTGGGTCTCTTGTAGTACGTCGGCAGTCATGTTCGCGTTGGTGAAGACATGCTGAAGACCACGAATGGTTTCAAGAATCCACTGAAATTCCTCATAGTCATCTTCTTCAGTGCCCCATAAAAATAACGGCCACAGCATATTGACCGGTATAGATTCATTATTGTTGACCATGCAATGCACTATTTCCTTGATTTTAGCCAGCGCTGTAACCGCCGCCTTAGAGCGAACCAAATGCCGGTGTGCAACTCGATGGAGGTGAATGTAGCAGGCGTAAAAATTAGCAAGATATGTCTGGAACGAGCGAACAATAGTGGACGCGAGCGGCTCGGCCAGAGTATCAGTACCAATATTTCCAGCCACAGCATGATCTGTGAGTGGTGGTCTCCGGTCATACAAGGATGACAAGTCCGCCAAAATATCAGCGGCGATAGCCATCACTTCAGTTTCGTCCTCCACGCTCCCTCGGCTACGATGATTATGAGCAATTCTAGTGATGCGGCCGGTGATGGTCTGGACTTCCATGAAGAAAGCAATTCCAGGCTGGCATAGCAGATCATAAATCACCTCGTGCGCTCCGGGATTATGGGCAGAACCCATGCTTTGTGGCGTCGAGCTCGGGGAGGTCGTGTTTTGGGGAGAGGTACAGGTATAGATTCCAGATGTGTCGTTGACCAAGACCCCTTCCCCACCAGCCGATGCCGCGCGAGCGTCCAACAGACGAATCCAAGAGATTATTCGGAGCTCTAATACGCCGTTAGTAAGACGAGCATCAAATCAACTACTTCTTCTACACACCTGTGGAGCCCAAAGCACTCCTCTCTGCTGCTTGTAGCGCATCATGCGCCTTTCCAAGATTCAAATAGGCTAGATCCAGCCGCGCAGTAAGGAACTAAATAGCAAGTCAGCTAAAATGAAAAAGAAAAAAAAAAGTTTAGTGCGGGGTCGAGTGAAACCGACATTTATGTATGTAAGGAAAAAGATGGTCGCCAGAACATATCTGAGCTCACCACTACTAATTATTAATTCCCCCATGGATTTTTCAAACCGCTGCGACAACTCTGTCGCAGCATTATCATAGTACTGTTGGTAGTCCGCTGTGCCCCCTGCACTTCCGGACTGTATAGCTTCAAAGGCCGCGATTGAAGAGCGGAGCATTGTGGAAGAGGTTGCCATGGTTTCAAGCAGTTCCCGCGCAGAAGCACATCTCGGGCCATTCTCAACTGGGTCAAGAATTGGTGGCAGTTGTAAATGTAGCGAATTTTCAGCATCCGGGTTGGCGACTGGAGATTGTTGCGGTGACTGTCGCGGAGGGAGAGAATTCGGGGAATCTGCGTCGCTAGATCGCGCCTGCTCATAGGAAGCGTTTCCTAAGGTGGTAAAATCACCAAAGTCTGGGAAATAGACATTTTGGAACATATGAAAACCCTCTGTGGGGGCATTCAGGGATTGGAAGTCAAAGAGCTGGGGCGGAGGAGACATTTGATTGACCTCCAAAGAGACGTTTGACTTGAAAGGATCGTCGTTCTGCAAGGGGGATTGTCGTTGCGGCTCGGGGGCTTTCCAATCACATTCTAAGTTCAAACGCTGGCAATGATAACATCGAGGTCTGCGTTCGTTGCATCTAACCTTGCGACGTTTACAGGTTAGACAGCCATTTCGCGACCGAGGACCGTATGGACGACGGTGAGTCTCTTCTCGAGCGATGAGAGGTAATGTACTCATTATTCTTGGATTTTTTTTTTGGTTAAGGCTATGGAAGAAGGGGAGAGAAAAAAATAAAAAAACAGAGGCCAAAGATCAGGCCGCGATACCATCACGAGCCGATTGACTCTCCACTCCGATAGCAAATAGCAAAAGTATTCAACCTGCACCATGCCACCATGCCAATCCCCGCCTATAGTTATTATTGGCTTGTCCAATCAGTTGCCTATTACAGGACCCCCGCACGCCAAGGTTTGATGAATAGTTCTATGATTTCAAAATGGAGGCGCTAATTCGATCCCCCATGGAGATGTGGTATTCAATGTGGTTCTGCAACACTACCATATCCCTGCTACACTGCTGCAACATTGACATTTCGATACATGCCATGTGAATAATGTGAAACTACTCCGTAGGTAGAATTACTACTAGAATTACTAGTGGTTAGATAACGGCTTAATACCCAGATAGGCTTTTGCGGGGGACCCGTTAGAGCTTGCAAAATGAAAATATTTTTCTACAAAATTAATTAGATTGGTCTATTGATTTAGTGGTTTATATATTAAGCTATCTCATATATGCACATACGGATAGGTTCATCAGGTACTCGGACGTTGGGCATTAATTTCAACTTAGTAAAATCTACTAAGTAACACTAGTATATATACTACTGCACGTTGTAGATTAGTAGATTAGATACGAAGTCGTCCACGTGTGTATATGTAATATGGGTTAGTCCCCGTGATACTATACTATAGCACTACATATTAAGCTAGTACACACTAAGTAATAACTAGAGTACCCCGCGACTTTCCCCAAAACAGAAATTCCCCTATCTGCCTGCCTATTCAAGATAAAAATACCCCTTTCCCTTTTGGGTAGGCGAGCGGCTTTTCTGTAATAGGCAACCGACATCGGCTCTCTCGGTTTCATCGGTCCCAATCGGTCCCCATTATCTTCCCCAACATGCATTCTCCTCTCCCCCACCATAACCGACCCGACGATCGGAAGCTTCGTACAACGTAGATGTATGTGCTATCGTGAACAACATTAGGAATTATAAAAGGCACGTTGCTCAGAAATAAACCAAAATACAAGCCAAAATTAAAAACTGTTCAATCCTCAACCCTTTAAAACTCATTCATCATGTCGTCTCTTCCTCCTGGAGTTGCTAAGTCCATGGCCGAGACCAAGGTCGAATATAGACGCCTTGGCAACAGCGGTCTGCGTGTCTCTGTTCCCATTGTTGGATGTATGAGCATTGGAAACCCCGAATGGGCAAACTGGGTCATTGGCGCCGAGAAGGCCCTTCCCCTACTCAAGGCCGCTTATGATCGTGGTGTTAACACTGTTTGTGCCCTCCCTGTCTCCTGATTGGAAATTGAAAGCTAATTGCGCCTAGTGGGATACTGCCAACATTTACTCCAATGGCGACTCCGAGAAAGTTATTGCCCAAGCCATCAAGGAATACCAGATCCCCCGCCACAAGCTGGTGCTCATGACCAAGGCATACAGCTGTGTTGGAGAGCAACAGTTCCACGCCTATCCCATCATTGAGGATTTGAAGAAGACCAAGGATTATGTCAACCAGTTCGGTAAGTTTATACCAACTACTACATTTGTGAAGTAGTCAGACTTACTAACTGTCGTTCAAAGGCCTCTCGCGCTCGGCAATCTTCACCGCACTTGATAACTCCCTCAAGCGTCTCGAGACAGATTACATTGATGTCTTCTGGATCCACCGCTTTGACCCCGACACACCAATTGAGGAGACCATGCACGCTCTTCACGACCTTGTCATTGCTGGAAAGATTCGCTACATCGGAGCCTCATCTATGTGGACTTACCAATTTGCTATGATGCAGGCATACGCCGAGAAGATGGGATTGACCAAGTTCATTGCCATGCAGGTATGTACTAGTCAAAATGCCCCGACTAAGACATTCAGATTGCTAATTTGGAAACAGAACCGTTACAACCTGCTGTACCGTGAGGAAGAGCGTGAGATGATCAAGTACTGCAACCTGACCGGTGTTGCTGTTGTCCCTGTAAGAAGACCCTTACCATCTTGAACCATTTACAATTCTTTTGACTAACTGTTTTGCTTTCGTATTAGTGGGGCCCACTTGCCGAGGGCCAGCTCGCTCGTCCCCTGAACATTCGCGGAACCACTACCAGATCTTCTGGCGGTGATGAAACTCCTTCAAGCATGCGCCCTGAGTCCATGGAAATTATCAACAGAGTCGACGAGCTTGCCAAGCGCAAGGGATGGACTATGTCGCAGGTTACACTTGCCTGGCAGCTAAAGCGTGTGACCAGTCCTATCATTGGTTTCAGCAGCGTCGCCAGAATTGAGGACGCTTTGTCCGCACGTGGCAAGGAGCTCACAGCCGAGGAAGAGAAATACTTGGAGGAGGTATACACCCCCGTCGAGGTTGAGGGCCACTTCTAAGGGATTAATCTTTTACATAATCTCCCTGTTGAAGCGTCATGGTCCTCCCCCAGCCATGTCCATCCTGGTTTACCTCTTTTCGCCGATTTTATGATTCATGCATCATAGGTCTATAGATATTATGAAATAAAATTTTTGGTTATAAACATTGCTGCTACACTTGTAATTGGTCAACCTCTGTTGCCAATTGGGGCTATATGAAAACGCTTCAAACTAAGCTAACCCTTACTAATATATATATCCACAACTAACTACCCAAAACGTGCTTCAAGGTTCGCTTATTTTAATTCACACATAACCTAATATCTACTCTTGCTTAGTCGAGAGTAAGAAAAAGTTTAACATTAGATTTTATGTGTTTGAATGTGAGTATATATTATGAAAATGAGAAAACCATGAAGGGAAGGAGTAAGACTGTACAAATCTACCTCTCCTAGGTGTGGGAAAAAATACATATTTTACCACTAGGCCATAACAAAAACCAAGGCTCCTTTATGGCTTGGGGGCTTATTTTAGTCTGTACCTGTGGAGGTACTAATGAATTGGATACGATCATGTGACACCAGGGATTCGAACTGTATGGATAGGCATTCTAAGTGTTTTGCATGTCAACCTTTTCGAGTCATGAGAGAAAATATTTTTTCAATAGCGAAATTTCTAAATACAAGATATATCATGTCCAACCTCTATCCCAATTCACAACCGAATTTTATCTATAATGCTGTAAACCAAAATATGCACCGATACCGTCACAGGGGTCCACCGAGACCTCCATTAATAAACATACACAAAGTCCTCATTCTTCCGGTCAGTCAAGTCCACAAATGGTGCTGCGTCCTCCCCTGAAGTTGGTGCCTGCACTTTCCCGTTTGTTTCAAACCCAGTGGTCATGGAGTTGTCTTGGACCTCCGCCGACTTTCCATTTCTGACTCTCTGTTTACTATGCTGCTTATTCAACCAGAAAAGATTGAAGACTTGGATGACCACAAGGCCAATCAAAGCAATAAAGATCCCGAGAACAGCCCGGATGCCGGGAAGATAGGAGGGGGCCTGCTCTGCGGTGAACAGAAGCGGTCCAGCGAGTGCTCCCGCAGATGTACCAGCTTGGTAAAGTGCCATCGTGGTGGAGGTCTTGGCGGCACCAGCCGTGTTTGCCACGACCCATGACAGAAGTAGGGGATTTGCGGCAAACAAAAAGGCACAGAGATAGTAGGCCAGTAGCAGCGGTCCCTGATTTTTTGATACGTCGTGTGGAAGTGCGTAAAGAATTGCGATGCCCACCACTACAGGGATCATAAAAGTGATGATGACAGCAGATTTCAGCTTTAACTTATAGGCGCACCAGCAACTCGCAAGGATGACGATTGTTTGCATAGCACCAAATGGTATGTTGAGCAATGAAGTGTCGAATGCGTCAAACCCGAAACCTTGGACAATAAGAGGGCCAAAGGTGCTCGTCATCGCTGATCCCATATTTGGCAGTAAGGCCATAATAATCCAAAGCCAAGACTTAGGGTCTAGGACAACTTCGACAACTTGGGACCAGTCAAAGTCGTAGGAGGCAGTACCGGTATGATTTGCGCGGAGGCGCTCCACACCCTGTCGTCGCTCGTATTCGGTGAGGAAGCGGGCGGTAGTGATATCGTTGTCGAGTCTCCAATAGACCACAGGTGCGCTGACAATAGTAACCAACCCAACAACAAGGAAGATACTACGAAACAATTAGCGACATTCAATATCATGATTCCGAGTGACTTACATTTGCCATGGCTTCAGCACCTCCGAGGGAATATGGCCAAGACCATACGACAAAGCAGAAGCTACCATAGTCGCCGTTCCGTTCATGGAATTCCAAAACGAAACTCGGAGTGGTTGTTCGACGCGGCGATACCACTGGCCAGTGAGGATAGTGAAGAGAGGCAGGCATCCGGCTTCAAAGAGACCTAGGAAGAAACGAACGGTAACCAACCCTGCGAAGCTGTTGCATGCAGCAGTACTTGCCGCTGCAATTCCCCAACAGAGGACCATGGATGGCATCAGAATACGGGGAGGGACCTTCACAATGAGCCATGCCGAGAATGGCTGCCACGCGATCTGTGCGATAGGGGCAATGGACGAAACAAGAGAATACTGGCTTCCCACGAGACCCGCATCCTTCTGGAGACCGAAAATGGAAGCAGTTCCTAGGACACCCTTATCCAAGACCTAACAGGCGGCTAATCAGCATCGTGGATGATGGGTGATTGAATTTGCATCTCTCACCTGCAAGAAGTATACCCATGTAAGGATCACTAGAATGTTTCGATCGGTCTTTTTCCTGATTCTAATGTTCTAAATGGACATGGATTAGCAAGTTCTTCGTTTCCCAGAGAGCGTTGAAATGTACATACGTCTTCATTTGTGAGAATCACAATCTCGCCATCTTCCGAGATATCCGAGTCGGCCCTTCGGTGTATAGAGTGCGAGTCCGGAACCGCTTCGATATCGTGATTGTTCATTATGAGCGAGCCTCCCTGGGCAATATCAAACTGGAGAGAGAAGTCTTGAATGAGCAAGATGAGAACCTGGTCGAGAAGACTATAGAAGAATCTTATAAAGCCACCGGAGGAGTCTAACCAGGGTCTCTCTACCTATAAGAGCACGATCATGGAGATTTAATTAAACGACCACTTCATCATGGGCTGCCGATCTCGCACCCTTAAAGTCTGGGGTAAACCGTAATCTTGTTTCCCCATAGTGGGCCCCGGGTCGTTAGCGTATACTACCCTGCCCTCTCCTACCAAAGATGGTAATGTTGGGATCTCAGAACCCGACTTGATTGGTGTTGTCGCATCGAGCCTTCGGAAATTCCCGCCCCCAATATCATTATCTCACTGAATTAACATCTACACCAAGAGTTTACTTGAATAATATCATTTTCTAGATAAGATATCTTCCGGGTAATATGCCCAGGTGTAATGTGTGGGATTCAATTGGCTTTTCTTCTTATTTAGCCGGCAGTTAATTAAATTTTGACTACGGAGTAGGTGAAACAAAAGATACAGAATACAAATCCAAATCCACTGTGGATGAGTAGCGTAACATTCGACGATAAGCCTACAAGCGAGGGTGATAAGCAGATGTACTCGGACCCCACTGGATAAGAGGAATACCTAGTCACTCCGAATCCTCGTGTAAGCGATTGGTGGACTAGATCTGTATCCCGACCGGATTTAGATCAGGTGCTAGGAACACGCGTCTAAGATGCGAGCTTGGGAAAAAGCCCCCGATAGCACTAATACACTTGCCGTCAAGCCCATCCCCAATTTGGGCCTAGCCGATCGGGTGTCGGGAGGAAGCTTTGTGTGTCACTGTCAGAGGTACTATACTCGTTGTCTTGGCCAATCGGTTTCTTCACTTCAGTGGCTGATTGAAGGTAGATAAGTGGTGCATCTCTGCTCTCATTCCAAATGTAGCAAATTTTTCAGTTACCAATCCTGGAATTCTGGTGAGCATCTGTCCTAGCTGGAGCTAAAATGCTTTAAAAGTTAGCTTCCTCTGCTAATAATATGGACAGACGAACTCTCAGGTCTTTTTCTGATCTGACCAGGAACCAATCAGCCCCTCTTTTCCCCTTCAGTAAGCGCTACTTTCGCACTCGGACCAACGCTTTGGCCCAACACTAAGGAAGATCTTGAATTAACCAAATGATTTTGTAGACATGTCTTCCGATCAAGGCACACAAATTATTGGTTATGCTCAGCCTTGGATTGTTTCTCCTGGAGACCCAGTTGACATCAAAGTAAGTGATTTGCTTCCCCACGGTATTAGTGTCAGGGGCTGTTCCCCAGATCATCGCTGTACCTCGGTACTTCCCAGGCGCTAACCCGTTTTAGGTTTCAAGCACCGAAAAGGAATATGATCACCGTCTAGTCCGCCTCGTTCAAGGTTTTAGCGGTGCTCATGCTCCCCCCGTTGTGATTGAGGATATCACTGAAGTCCCCGTTGGCCACCACGAGGATGGTTCTTATCAAGATGCCTGCGCAGGCTCCTATGCTCTTATCCCATCCTGGGCTGAGGTGGCACCTGCAGCTGGAGAGGGCTTCGAAGTAGAGTTTCACGCACAACCATACCTGCTTGACGTCGGCTATTACTGCCAGACTCTCGTATCTTGCCTCGATGTATCTTCTCGAACTGGTTTCGCTGTCGTTTTGAAAAACTCAAAGCTCGAGTTCTTCATCGGCACAGGAAAGGAAATCCAGGTTATCCAGAGCCAGCTTCTTGTGAACCGCTGGCGTTGGCTCAAAATCACCCTCAATATCGTTAACAACACGTTCACCTCGAGCATCCACCAGTTGAACCGTCTTGCTGAGTCCGCTCCTAATGGCGAAAAGATGTCTACTGCCTTGTCGGCACCTCTGGTTTTGGGATCAAATTCGTTGATGTTTGGTGCAAGCATGTTCAAGGACATTGATCAACAGAGCTCTAAGGCATCATGCTATTACAATGGTCGAATTGACTCTCCTTCCTTCACCCTGACAAGCTCATCACCGCGCACGGTCGCAAAGTATGACTTCTCCAAGGAGATCTCCAGTGACGGCATCGTTGATGTTTCTGGAAACGGTCGCCATGGTGTTTTGATCAACGCACCCACACGGGCTGTGAAGGGATATAACTGGGATGGCACTCAGCCCGACTGGACCAAGGCTTCGTACGGATATGGAGCCATTCATTTCCACGAGGATGATCTGGAGGATGCGAAATGGTCCACAAACTTCACCATTACTATCCCCTCAACAGCTCGCTCCGGTGCATATGCCGTTGAAGTCAAGTGCGCTGACGGAACAAGCGACATGATCACATTCTTCGTCCGACCTAATAAGAATTCCACGGCAAAAGTGGCCTTGGTTCTCACAACATTCACATATCTCGCGTATGCCAATGAGCGCATGTACGATGAGACCAAATCGTCAGCGATGACAACTCCGGATGGAGTTACTATCGGGCCAGGCAACACGTACTATGAGACTCTGTCCCGGCGACCGGATTTGGGTCTCTCGGCCTATGATGTTCACACGGACGGCTCCCCCAATGCATTCTCCAGTGCGCTGCGACCGATCCTCAATCTCCGACCGGGATACGTACACTGGGCCTTGGACCGGCCTCGTGAGTTCAGCGCTGATCTTCTCATGGTTAGCTACCTGGAACGTTCGGGAATTCCTTATGATGTTATCACCGATCACTGCTTGAGCATTAGAGGCAATGAAGCAACCAAGCAATATGAAACGCTCATCACCGGATGTCACCCTGAATACCACTCTATTACTTCTCTGGACGCTTTCAGCTCATTTGCGAAGTCAGGGGGTAACTTGATGTACTTGGGCGGCAACGGGTTCTACTGGGTCGCTGATGTTGTCAGTGATCGGCCTCATCGCCTTGAAGTTCGGAAGGGTGATCAGGGCTGCCGGTCCGTCACATTCCCTGCCGGAGAACGCATGCACAGTCTCACCGGAACCCTCGGAGGACTCTGGCGCAGTCGTGGTCGTGCTCCCAACTACCTGTGGGGCATTGGGCCATGTGCGTTCGGTACTGGACCCGGAAAGCCTTATGATATCGATTTGAAATATGCACAGGACCCGAAATATAACTGGATCTTCAAAGGCATCGACGCAACTCAGCCGCTTGGTGAACATGGCTTTGGTGGCGGTGCCAGCGGCGACGAGATTGATCGCCTGGATTATGCGCTTGGCACACCTTCCAATGCGGTATTACTGGGAAGAAGTCAACAGCATGATGATTCCTTTGGACTGTTCAACGAGGACTCCATGTTCCCCATGGTGGATACTCTCGGTTCCACTTGTGACATGGTCAGAAGTGACTTGGTATATTATGAAACCTCGGGAGGTGGCGCGGTATTCTCTGTTGGCAGTATCAACTGGTTCTGCAGCATGGCTTGGGATAATTTTAATAGCAATGTATTTACGATGACCGACAACGTGGTGAGAGAGTTTGTGAAAAGAGGAAAGGGTCCGGGTGAGGAGAAGAAGTGAGCCAACATGACGCTACTGCTAGTCCAATTTCAGGTTATTATTTTAGACCTTATTTCTCTCTTTCCTTTCCTGGTATTTTTCTCTTCTATACTAGTAGCTCTGGGTGACACTTGGTATCTTCCGGAGAAATCTCGGGATAATTCGATCATCATATTGTTCTTTCTTGCCATGGAAGACGTACAGCAACTACACCGATATCTTGCACCGCAGAAAGTTCGGTTTTATTTAATCCTAACTGGTCTGAACTAGCTAAGATCTCATTGACTACAGAAGGAGAATCTTTTGGACCGCCCAGTTACTCGATTTCGGCTTCATTCCTTTGGTCTAGTCTTAGTGCATCTGCATAATGTATCGACTGGATCTTTGCAAAACTGGTATACGAGGAGCGCAAAGAGGTGACATATATCAAGTATTCGCAACTGGCCTTTTCTAGGAATTATATGTACTTCCTACTTTTTCTAACAACATGTATACTACTCCCATATCAGGTCCTGTGTCAGGTCAGTCCCTCGGACTAGGCATGTGACAAGGCAGGTGCCGGTAGCAGCTTGCGTTGGCTTCACCGGAAAGGCTACTAGTCAACAGCACCACGTAGAGGTCAAAGCTGATGGCTGTTGGATCTTCTGGGACAACGGGAACAGCCCCAGAAGACCCCGATCTTGATGAATGACCGGTCTTGGCGTAAGATATGTGTGATTGATCACTCAATCTACTTCGAGAGTCAACCCTTTTTTTTTCGAACTTTTTTTTCCAAGAAAGAAACAGAGAGCAATCTATCGTCGATAAAGAAAGAGAGAGCAAGTTATTCGTCGATTGGTTCACTGGAGGATTCATCCATACTAGGTAGACTCTGTGCCTTGGAAGGTGGCGGGGATTGGGCTGGAAGTCTGAAAGGCATGTTTTAAGGGAGCACGTTATCAGAGTGGATACTAGCTCGCTTGCTCGGGGATCCTCCTGGCGACGTGAGAACAAATTTCTCGGGGAAGTTGTGCATCTGGCGTTATCCCGTTAGACACTGAAGGGCATGGAAGTCAATAGTTTGTCTCTATACTCTCTATTATCGTACCTTTTTCTTTGTCGTCTCGCTTTTGTTGATCGGGTTGAACTGAGAAGATGGGGCTTGGTCATGGGAGGAAGGGGGGCTTGATGGTCATCCCAGGAAGTACGTGGCATGTTAATCAAACGGTCATGGAGACCTGGTTGGGCCTTTTCATGAGACAAGGAGCGAGATCTGCTAGCAGGGCCTTGGACTGCTCTAGGCAATCTGGACTCGGAGAAAGCTTTGCATTTTGAGGATGAGTTATTGACTAACTTACCCCCTGCGACTGTGGTATATAACAATTGTCAGCTTGTCATCATGGAGGCACTTCATGCATTTTTTGGTACACCATATACTTACCGATCCCAGGAACATCATCTCTGTTGACGTTGCCTACTCACTAATACTATAAAAGCTACTACACACTCAAAAACTGCTACAAAAACTATTACAAAAACTACTGCAGAAACCACTGCAAAGACTACTACAAAAGCTACTACAAAAGCTACTGTAAAAGCACTACAAAAACTACCAAGGCACATTTTGAGAACATGCTTCGGATGGTCGCAACCATCAAACAAAATTTCACAAATATGTAGCGCACCTAAAGCAATCCGAATGCCGAATCAATCCCGGTGTCTGGTTTCCCAAGATAATTAATTTGCTCTTACCCCTTTTGCTCATTGTTTACTTGCATCTAAAAAAGAGTTCGCAGTCTTCATCTATGACATGTTTTTATCCTAGGCTAAGTGTATATACAGTCAGGTGATACTTGTGTCATTGAGGGAATTAATACGTTACGGTTGCCAAGAAGCGCCTCCCGAAGTAGTTTAAACGGGTACATACTACATACTAGTACGTATGTAGGTAGTAGTGTGTATAGTAAATCTCATTTCTTAAGAATCAGAGAGCATCTTACCCATCTTCTATTCCCTCTCACAGATACTTCTATATCCTCGTGCAAGTGTTCCCTTCACCTCAAAGGAGCACCCTCAGCGTCCTCAGGAGAGCTTGCCCGGGAAGGAGTCGTACCTAGGCCGAGACCTCGTTCCGTCAGGAATCACCACCGTCACCTTCCAAGCCTTTCTTCATCTCTACCTTCACTTTCACTTTAGTTTTAACCACCTGGGGGGCTTCTACCTCGGCAGCTGTGCCGCCTTCACACTTACGGTCGCCTTTTTGCTCATTTGGACTCCTTTTCTCAACCTGATCGCCACAATGAATCGTCGCAACCAAGTGAGCAGTGATGAGTCTGGTGGCTCCACCATCCCACCGACCCTACTTACGAACCAATTATCCGCCTTATTCGATTCTTTACGAAATGAAGAACTCGAATTAGAGTCACACCTTATTTATACTGAACCGCGCGAAGTGTTAAGCCGTATTCTATCTCCAAGTTCTATGGTTTCAACCTCACCATCGCTCACACTGTTCAACGCTTCACAAAAAACAGCTTCTGTTGGGTTTCGCAGCATTGGTTTTGGCCAATGTGGCATTGTTTTCGAGCGGCCGGGCCGTGCTTACGTCGTCAAAATCGCCCGCCCATCATTCGAAGACGCCCTCTGGGAAGACTTTCAAGCACACTTCGCGGTCTACCAGGCATTCACGAATCAGCAATCGGTGGAGGTACGGGTTCCTCGGATTTTCTCATATGTGCCGAAAACAAACAGCAAATGGTGGGATGGGCATCTCGATCTTTTTCCCCAATCGAAACTTCCTTTCCCCCTTCCGACAATGGCCTTGATCACAGAGCGGATATTCCCGCTGCCTAAGCTTGCCCGAAAAGCTCTGATTGACGTATATTGTCCTACACCATTACAAGCCGCGGTCATGTCTCATGATACCAACCGTGATTGTCTAGCACGTATCTATCTTGGCCGTCGCCGTGGGGTAAATGAGCTGCCGCCACCGAACTTCACTCTCAGAAACTTCAATCTATGCCTAGATCAAATGATCGAACTCAATCTCCCAATCCAACATTATGCTAGAGCTATTGGACAGACATTGGCAATTATGCATTGGTCGGCGAACGTTGATTGTTATGACGTCGAATTCGTGCTAGGCAGTGAAGGCGAGAGAACTTACACCCAGGATATTTCGCGTTCATTGGGGCTCAGCATAGAACAGGTTACCAAGATGCCCCCCCACACAGATCTGGAGAGTATGATACGTGCGAAGTTTGAACGTCGAACCACTCGCATCTGGGTTCTCGATTTCAATTTATGCAACATATGGAATGAACAGAGGGGACTTGAAAGGCCAGATGAGTTGATAAATCATCTCGTAGGATCATTTTTCGAAAACGATCCATACTACCCGCGTCCATCTCTTGAGCTCGAACCTGAAAAGTCCCTTTGGCTTACTTTCAGCTCGTCGTACCATGATACAGCAGTGAGCCTCCTCTCAGTTCCTGAAAAGGACCCGCGCCTCGCATTGCTTCCAGCAAAGTTTCTTGATGCTTGCATATTTCGACAATCACAATATCCAGCCTAGGGAAATGGCGGGGGATTCGGCTGTATTATTATCTTGCAGCCCTGGAGACGTCATAGGCTTTGCTGATATCTGAATTGCTTCCGTACAAACTTAATAAATAAATTGGATCTACCAATCTGAACTCGCCTACCCCATTTCTCTTTCCCATTTTCATCTCTCTTCTCTTCGACCACCCGCAGCCTTCTGTGATTTTTATTCCCTATATCTACGCTATGTCCAATCCCAATCTTGGTAAGACAGATACCACCGTCTACGGTATCTCCACCGATATTATGAATTTTATATTTAGAAAGCTCGACAATGAGTCTCGGGTAAGTATATCTAAATCGTATCAGTAACCCTGATTCTAATATTTACTAGTGGTTAATCAAACCAGTCGGTGTCGTTGGAAATGGGTTCGAACAAGTGCTTAGTCTGCTAGTCTATATGATGGAGAAAGCGGCCTCCGCCTCCAAATGTATATCTTGCCAGACACAACAAGGATCAGGGGAGTCTGACCTGATCTTCGACTATATCCCTGAGACAGATGATAAGATGGATGTCAAATAATTTCGTCGCCGCATTCGTCCTCTGGCCTTCTATCTTGCGTCTTCTTCCTCTTATTCGCTGCGCCGTCTTGATATCCTTCTTATTCTCCTTTCCTGCTTCGTTCTATCTTCCACTCCTTGCTTCGTTTAGCTTAGCGCCTATCATGTGAAAGAGTTTTCATATTCTCCTCTCTCTTCTAGTTTGGTCTCCTCTAACATAGACGGAAGAATAGCACACACATTCTTTATATATAGCTAAAGTCCCATTTATAGCCATCTACTGATAGCAGAATGTTTACTACGAAAAGCATGCTCGACTTCAAAACTTAAGGACCCGGACGACTATCCCTAAAACGGACCACCTCCGTTCTAGTACTGCTACTCGGGCGTAGACCATAGCTTGGTATAGTAAATAGTGCCGTGGTATAGTAGTGAGTCTACTGTCAGTCTCAGAAAAGGATCCGTGCCTTACATTGCTTCCAGCGGACTTTCTTGATGCTTGCATGTTACGACAATCACAAAATCCTGCCTAGAAAAATGGTGCCGCAAGGGGTTTGGCTGTTGGAACTTGAACTGTGAAGTGGAAGAAATAAAGCCAATAGTGGGTAAATTATATGTTCGTAAGGATATTCTGTGATATTTACAATTGGTTGCCCTCTCAATTCATGAAGAGTCTACCTAGCAACACCATATTTCGTGAATAATGGATCATTCAGCAATCGGTCCAAGGAACTACCTTCCACGCCGACAAGGATCTCCATACCACCATTCGGTAACACCGGGAGCACAACTTGACAGCCGTTAATGCAACCAAGATGGGGCACTCGTACAGCCTCAATATTGTTTCCTAGCAGCGGTCCCCACTCCAACCCGTACAATTTGAAGTTCACCCATGAGGTTAGCACACAGTTGAAGCCGGGGACATCCAAAAATGCGGTAGGTGCCAGCCGATCGACGTCTTCAAGTTGGTCCACAAGAGCCACCACGTCATCCGTAAATTGGTCGTCGGCGCGCAGAATCGCCTTGCGGATCTCCGTCGCCAGATCAGCCAAATTCAGCGTGCTAAGTATTTTGCGGACAGGCAACGAGACTGCAACATACTCCAGGAAACATCCCAATGTATCTGGGTGTATCTTAGGATCTGTTCGCTGCCGCCCATCAATTGCAATATTGTAAACAGACACAGGGTCACCCTCCAGGGTCTCCAGAGGAGACTGTACTGCCATCACTGTACGCCAGAGTAGCGCCGCAAGAGCATCATTAGTTGAGATCCATTTTTGACTGGATGGCTCGGTCGCATTGGCTGGGGATGCGTCTGCCTTAAGTGCTACCAGAGATTCAGGGGAGAAATAGAACACTTGGCCGCGATGGCTCAAGGAAGTCATCTTTGGCGGGGCTCCCGGAGGTGTGAAAGGAAGCAGAGTATACTCTGGATGATCTTCGAGCTTTCCAGCATTCTTGCCGGATGGTTTCATAACTTGTTCGCGATCTTTCCAGATGGCCTCTGGAAGTCGAATGGGATCTACGATGCTCAGTCCCTGAGCCCGGCGACACTCCTCTGCCCATATGCTTGTCCAAGTATAGAATGTTGAACCGTCTCCGGCCATGTGGAGGATGCACCATGTTAAGATCAACCCTCCCCGGATAAAATTGGCCTGCACAATTGAGATTGGCAGTCGCTCTTCAGCTGAAGGCCAGACAGATCGGGGACAGAAAGTATCGGCGTCGAAGGAGGCCACGGGGAAGGATTTATCTTTCAATTCCGCATAATCAGCTCCAAAGGACTCACGCAGGTCCTTGACCACGATGTGTGCTGCGTGTTCGTTTGCCTGTTTCTCAAATCTCATCACACCCTTTTGCTTTGAATCACCATCGGGAACGGCTTCGCATCCGACCTCTGGAATTCGTCCTATGAGAGCTTGGTACCCGGCTTGGAGTACCCGAACAGCTTCCTCCAAATCACAATCGTCATTTAGCTGAAAGGGAAATACATAACGAAGATAGCCCTTGGGCCCGATACGCTCCAAAGCTGTAAGCTCAGGAATCGGTTGCTCATTCATAACAGAGCTCATGTTGAATCGATTGATTTGAGATACCTGAAAAATGAGGTTTGCAAAAGGAGAGATAGGGATTTTTAAACCACGAGAGGGATAAAAAGAGATTATATCAACGGGAATACTGTATAGGCTCTACTTTAACACTTGTACAAAGTACAATTTTACAAATTATCAGCGACTGAAACTAGTCCTTTACAATAAAACTGTGATATTTTAGTTGGTTAAGAGGGCTCAATGACTATCTATTGTTAGGCATCTCCATTAAGGATGAAGATGCTGGTCTAGCGCCATGTGGGACGCAACGTCGTAATTTCACTAAAATATAGCGCGGATAGCACGGTTGTCGATTGTGTAAAATAATATACTCAGGTACTCAATTTGCTCTTATTTTTTTTGATTGTTTTTTATTTGGACATCATATATAGTACCTTTGCTAATATAATTGTTATATTATCAGACAATTTCCGTCTCAATATATTATATTATTAGCATTGGCAAGTTGCTAGATAACCTAGCGCCGCAGGTTTTGGCTCTAGAGCCCTAGTGGCATGGACTATCCTAATAATGCTACAATGGCCCGCTTCCTTGACACCGGATGTTAATGTACTCCATCATTTCCGGTAATTCTTTGACTATCAACGCACTTTATTGGTAGGATCAGCGTTTTTTAGCGGACGCCGATCACCTGTCATGGAATGAGCCTGTGGGCAATTTGGTTTTATTCTCTAGGCAATATCTTCATGTGGTAAGGTGTTTCTCTGCAGCGTACTTATGTCGTAGGTTCAGGGGTGAAGTTTCTTGCTTCCTTGGCCGGCGAAGAGAATTCATGATAGCGACAGGCATTGTCTCATTTGGTTCGCAAATTTAAGAGCTGGTCCTGGCAAGCATCTCAGTTCGATGCTGTGAAGTTTCTCCCATCACATACGCACATACTGCTATGAATGTGGACCCGGCCATTCTCGCTGTCTTTGGGCCGGCCCCGTCGAATATTGACCTCACTGCCAGTGAGGTATCTGTTAACAATGGCGTGGTAATTGCAATGCTCTGTCTCGCTACTGTGTTTGTGATATTACGATTTACTGCTCGAATTGTTCTCCAAAATGCCCTTATGACGGATGACTGGGCAATCATTGCGGCATTAGTGAGTTAACATTTAGCCTTCGGATCGCATTTACTAACTGTATTCTCTCAAAGAGCTTCATATGCGCTACCACTGGAATAAGTGTCGCGGGTAAGAACCGAATTTTCCTGCAAAAGACAACCGTTTAACGGGCCGACGGTGTATCTAGGTGGCACTACTGGTGCAGGAAAACACATCTGGGCAATCAAGCTGGGAGAACTGATGGACTTATACAGAGTAAGAGAATTCCCTTAAAGGCACGCTACATTATTTTAATCCAGCTTTATTCAGCTACTATTCACCTATACTTTCATTTATGCCTCGGCCTGCACTTGCACCAGACTCTCCATTCTTGCTTTCTATGCGCGGGTCTTTTCCCCATTGGAACAGTCTTTGAAAGTGGCTCTGGTTTTTGGCTCCTTCCTCACAATCTCTTATCCTGTCATCATTTGGGTCACCATGGGTAATGCTTGCAAACCGGTCTCCCACTTTTGGACACAATTCGGCGGCACGAAGGGGAAATGCATCAATGTGAACCAATTCTTCCTCGCGTTAGGCATTCTGAATATGCTGAATGATTTGATCATTTTAATCATCCCCTTTCCGCGAATCGCTAAGCTCCAAATGACGCTGCGGAAGAAATTAGCGATTTGTGGCATTATGGCCGTGGGAATCTTGTAGGTCCCCTTCCTTCTTCTTTCCCTTGTTCCATGAACGGAGCTGAGCTATAATCATTCCAGTGTTTTCGTTGCCAGCATCGTGCGAATCTATTTTCTCTCTGAATTTATGAAAGCCGTCGATGTGACTTGGCTGATGGGACCTGTCTTCATCTGGTCAACCATTGAGCCATCTGTCGCAGTAGTTTGTGCCTGTCTGCCCCATCTTGCACCGCTTGCTCGACTGGCTCATCGGTCAATATTATCAAGTTTGCATTCACAAAGGACCACTGGCATTTCTTCGGAAAGACCAGAAGGACTCAGTGGTTCGGGGCAGGGTCTCCAAAAGGGAAATAAAATCAACAACCGTGGACCAACATTTGACTACGGGTTAGATCAACTGAAAAAGTGCGCAAACGACGATGAAATCGGACTAACCAACTACGTCACTGTTGATCCCAATGGAGGCATGCATCCTTCAAATGACTCCGTCTCCGAGGATGGCCACAATCACTCGATTGCTGTTCATTCAAGTTTTGTCCAGTCGGAATCACCTAGGCCGCCCTGGTAAGGGCTTTATGGGCTATATCGGACTGGATAAAAAACTCATCCATAAAAATCATTCAATAGACAATTTTCATAGGAAGAGACGAGTTAGATTGCCTCACAAAAAATATTGATCAATAAATGAAATCACGTCCCGTGTGATTCCTCTGATTCAATGAAAAACAGGTTATATATAGTTAGGTAGACTAGCATTTGTCATCCAAGACAGCCTGCGGATTCGTTTTCTTTCTTTCTTTCTTTTGTTATTTCCGATGCGATAAGAAACCGGTTATTTCTAGATCAGAATCTGCCTAGTTGCTGGACTTCTTCGATCTTTCTCCTTAGCCGCCCGACCGACTATCTCCAACTTCAAAAGCGACCTTTACTACCAAGAAACTAGAAAATACACCGATTCTACTCATCATGACTGTCATCTATCTGCGGTTTTCCCAGAACCCCGCTCCTGAACAATCCATAATCCTCGTCGCCGAAACACTCCAAAAGATCAACACCGATCTTAGCGAGTCCGAGCGAACTGAAGATAGCATTACCTTCACTTCTCCGGATCATAATGTCGACATTTACGGTGATATCTTCGAATCTTGGCTGGATTCGGATCCCCCGGTTATAAATACCTGGCGAATGTTGGCACACGGTTGACAATTGCCTGGTCGTTGGTGCCTGGTCCATGAGGCTGTCTATTGCTTGTTTGCTTCTTCCTCTCTGTTTATTATTTTCCCTCCAGTTTCCTATTATCTTGCAATGTAATTGACTGCGCTTCCCGGTTCCTGCTTCCCGCTGTTGATAGGTTGTGTGCCCGTACATCTCCTCTTCCTCGGGCTCTAGGTATTGGATGATAATTTTTTTAAAAACCCGGTAAAATTCGATGGTGAGGTCGCTTACTGGGTCTCTTATCGCGCTTTGTTCTCCAAATTTTCAGCTGCATTTTGTGCGTGCGATAGGCCTATTTTGACGAGTGACCTCTAATTGATATGGCTTGCTCGCGATTTTATGCTAGGACCGCCCCCGATTGACGAAAATTGACGGTTATCCACATACGAACCCGCTACTCTCGGTAGGTACCTACCTCAAGGACCCACTACAAGCGTGCCATCTTCTCAATACAACCAAATGGCCTGAAGGAAGTGATCCTCTACTACCCGTTGATCTCATGAAAAATATCGTCGGCCTGTAGTGCAGCTACACTTTCAACTACTCCCCAAGCCGGTTCTACTAGCGTGTGGGTAATATATCGGGAAGTGGAACATTTTTATATGAGGGGCGAATCAATGAAAGCTTTTGCGGTATATATTAGACAGGTATAGCCTTGCTCTCGATTTCTTTTTCCTTGGTCTTATAGAACCACAGCGGAGCAAGTCCAAATATCAAAGCCAGAAGGGCTAACAGTGTATTTCCCCAGCCAAGCCCAAGCTTGCCGTACATTTCTGGGCCAGACAGGGGCACGACACCACCTATCAGACTACGGACGAGATTGTTCGCGGCAAGAGCACTAGCAGAGTATGCGGTAAAAGCACCGACTAAATATGTTTGCACGCTAGTCTGTATGAATAGAAAATTTCGCATTAGTTAGGGCTCAAATTTAGAAGCAAAGAGTAATCTCACCATTGAACTTGAGAAGCCAACTCCAATAAAAAATGTGCCTATGATAGGAACAATCCAATGAACGCGATATTGCGCTGTCCAGCCGTAAATGACGAGTCCAGTAGGCAGCGAGACGGCAGCGGGAATTAACATCAGGAGATGATATCTAGATCAATGTAATAAGTTAGCATGAGTAATTGAAGTGAGCTCAAACTTGTAGATGGACTGACTCTGCTCTCTCTATGCCGTAACGCGCTGTTAGCTTTGTGTGAATTTTATCACTACAGTGGCCTAGAAATAGTTGCATGGTACATCCAAGTCCCATACCAAGGTATGTAAGCCCTGCAAGCCCTTGACTAAATCCGTACTGTTCTTGGAATACCGCTGTATATGAGGTGAACAAGAGGTATATGATGCCGTAGATGAGACCCATATAAAGTGCCATAACGATGCTGACTGGGCTTGTGCAGAGGAGCTTCATGGGACGCATAATAGCCAGCAAAAATAGTTGCTGAAATGGTAGTGCTGATTTAGCTGCGGATTGAATGTCTGGGTCTCCGCTTTGTTTCCGTATCTGGGCAGCTTTCAGTTCGAGAAGCGTTGGACCATATGTCTCGCGTAAGAAGATAAATCCAACAAGAGTGGTAACACCACTCTAGATAATGATGACTATAATCAGAATAAGAGCAAAATTGATATAGAGTATAATCACATACCAGAATTGTCAAAAGCCAGAAGATCCATCTCCAGTCGGCTTCCTGGGATATGAACCCACCGGCCACAGGTCCCAGGACTGGAGCAAGCAACATGCTGAGACTGAAGACACTCATAATACTAGGAGCGAGAGCCATATTAGTCATGGAAACTCAAAGACCAAAATAGCTACTGGCCAGAAACAATACACTCACAACCCTCGCTCGTGCACAGGAACCAGATCTGCAATAGTTCCACCGCCATTTGTCAATGGGGCACCTCCCATTATGCCAGAAAGCAACCGAAATATCAGAAGTGATGTTGCATTGGGTGAAAGTCCACAGCATGCTGTACAGACTGTAAATAAAACGTTGCCGCCGTGGTATATTTTATTTCGACCATATATCTCGGATAGCGGTGCTAGTAGCAGGGGCCCTATTCCGAACCCAATAATCTGTAGAAGATACTATGTTAGTAAAAGAATGTCCCCAGAGAGGCAGAGAAGGGTTTCAGTGAGACTAACGTAGATAGATACTGCAAAGTTCATCAACATGGAGGATGTGCCTTCGAACTCGTTTTCAATTTGTAGCAATGCTGGAGCCATCATTGAAGATGCGAGTGGACTAGGAACCGACGTTAGCCTTTTCGTCGCCGGCGCCCAAAATTGAGCAAGAAATCGCCGTACGTTGTGAAACGCATCATGCAGACTGAGCCGAGAACTTTGTTCTTTTTGCTTCGAGACCAGTTTATTGGTTTTTCGGGGTCGTCGGGGCCATTCCAGTCTGCTACTTTCAGCAGACTAGAGTTTGATGATGCACCCTCTGATGAACAAGAAGAGCCGGGCGCCAGTTTAGCAATCCTCGCATCCTGCGACTTGGTTTCGCCGCTCATCATCAGATTGCAGCAGTGCCGTTTGGGAAAATATACACCTTTTCTAGATTGGCGTCGATTTTTCAAGGTCAAATTGAACGAATTTTGTATAAGACACGAAGGAATAGTAGTACCAAAAGAGCAGCTAAGCCTCTCTAGTCTATATACAATAGTCCTTTTACACTCAAATTGGATACTGATGTCATTATAGGGCATTCCGATGTCCGATCCCTTGCTAGAGTATACGTCAAACCCGCACGTAATTACTTTAGTACCTTGTTACTTGATGCCTCCTGGTCTGTCGATCAAACTTAAATTATTAACGTTTTGCATCTATGATACTGTGTTCTGTGCCATAACTCCGTATATATCGTCAATCGTGATATTATTGATTTTCGACTCCACCCTAGTCTTGATCGATTTTGAGAATTCTCCACATCAATATTTATCCACATGGCCATTTATTGTGGTCCAATGGAAATGGCCACGTCAACTTCCATGTAGATCAAGGGAATAATTGATCAGCACCCCTGCTGATCTTCAAACGCCGCAACCGTCACGCAACGTGATGATGAATTCCAATCTCTCGGCATTTTGCATTTTCCAGAAGAAAAGCTTCATATCCACACCTGGGCGAGCGGTCCGTCAGCCACAGAAGATCATTGATTGACGCGGGACCCTGCGGCTGTAAGACAGGTGACCTACGCTAAAGTTGTTTCTAGTTCAACGTCGATCACCTCCAATCTGATTCTTCACACGGGTAGCAGGACTAACGTACCCCCATGAAAGAGGTAATGAGATTTCTAATTAGCATTTTAAAAAGTGTGAGATAAGAGTATTCGAGGTACTGGGGCTCGTTATTCAAAAGTTATTCGCCAGGACACTAGACGTTTCCCAGTAGTCCTCTAGGAGTAGACACGCCCACCCTTCATCACCCCTGTACAAAGCTAAGGATCTTATTTTTCAACTCTAAAAGGCTATGTTCTGATTGACATATATTAGCAGCGAGGATATAGTTGAGGAGTTGATATCTGAGAGGGGGGGGGGTAAAAGGCGATGGCTACGAGGCACATTCATGAATATACGCAAGGACTATTAAGTATATACACAACCAGCTTTGATAGGTAAAAGCAACTCTAGAGACCTTGCACAGGGATTGAAATCTTAAAACAACAAAAGGATACGAGGGAAACAGAAGCGCCTGAAAATGAAAATGGAAATGGGTCTAGTCGGCCATACTAGTCGACCTCATCCGCCTCAAGTCGATCGCTTGGTGAGGATCGGCTTGGTAAAGGCAAGTCCAAACCCTTCTTTCTCTGCATTTCGGCCTGTTCCAATCCCCGGCTTAGCATGAATTGTAGCAAAGTCATATCCTAGGCGTTTGGCATCGATGAGCCGAGCCCGGATTAATGCTTGTTGAACTCCACGGCCGCGGAAATGTGGCGTCGTACTATCAATGTAGAGATGTGCGACACGGCCGTATTTTGTCTCCATCAACGCCATAGCCCCACACCCGGCGACTCTCCCGTCAATCTTGCCAAAATACAAATTGGTATCGGTTCTCAACGTTGCTGTCTCTGCTAAACTCCGTAAGACCTCATCTGAGCGGCCGTCGCCTTTGAATCCAGCAACCGAGGCGCGGACAAATGTCCCCACCGCGGTATCATTGGCCGGGGCTCGGCAGACAAGCATGTTGGATCCGAACGGAAACTCAGCCGGTAAATCCACGTTTGGGTCAAAATCAACATGGATTCCTTGTAGAGACCGAGCATAGATATTGAGGAATCCGTCAACCACATAGCCTCGTGTGGCGAGGGCTTCAAGCACGCTTTGGTCGGCGTAGGGGCAGAGCAAAATAGAAGGGGTCAGATTCGCCCTAGCATGGAGATCCTCGATATCAGAAAGATCATCCTCGGTGACTTGTCCTTTCATGCCAAGGCCAAGTGTGCGGTTTAATTGCTGGCCGAGATCAGGTGTAGTGAGAGCAGCCACACCACCACCTGCGACGGAGTGTAGACTGATCTTTTCGTCAGGAAATAATGTCTTGCCAACTTCCACTTGGCGAGACAAATGGAGGATGTGAGCCTCTTCAATCTGGCGAATGGTATCGAGCTTGTTGAAAAGTGGTCTTGTCACAGCAGGTGAAGTTGGTGGTGCTGCTGGTTTCCGGTGCTCTGTACAGAGGCTGGAAGTGCTAGTGTGTACCACGAGCATAGTGAGGATAAGCGTTTGGGTCAATGTACCCAAAAGCAAGATGGAAAAAGCGAAGGTAGGGAAGCAAAGATGGATGACAAGGAGTAGAGGTACGTAAAGCTACGATGAGTGTAATGAACATATGTCGAGTTAATGTTATTGATCTCTAAGAATCACTTCAACTTAAATATGTTACTCCAATAGTCCCCATGACGCATCGTTTGCTGAGCTATCTCCTCACCTCCTGCATTCTTCGCTCTGACCATATGGTTGATTGCGTATACGGATCTTGCCGTGGGTGAGCAGATCCCGGAAGTCTATCAGATTGACAGTGGGGTCATAACTGCAATATAACTTCCCCTTATGAGATATGTTTCAAATCCAAATACCAATTGAGGAGGGTGACGAAGATGCGTGCGAAGCCGATCAGATGATCAGTCGATGGATTGATTGTTTGGCTAGACCCGTGAAAGAAAATTGTTGTTTAAATGTCCGGTGTTAGTTTGCCTCAGGCTCCAAGGTAAGATCAGCTCTCATCCGAGACATATAGGGGTTCAGTTTGGCTATGAATAAAAAGCATTCTGATCCTTTTTCTCTCCTTGTTTGTCCAAGAACTGTTGACTGCTGCGTAAATCTCGACCACGGAATACTCCATATAGTTTATAACGCCTTTATGTTTACTATAACCAATGAAGAAAGGGGTTAAAAAAGGTTGGGGTGCAGCAAACTTGGCAGGGCGTCACCTATGATCCCCCCATTCCAACCGATGCCAAGATCAGCCCTCATCATAGCTCTCTTATACCGATGCTCTTCATTCCAATTATATCGTTACGTATGTTACTTGAGTTTTTCCTTTCCTTGATTTTCCCCCGTTCGACTACTCTGCATAACGTATGTCCTGTGTTTCTCTCTTTCCCCTTGTCTTGGGTTGGAGGACATCTACTATCTATGAGGCCAAAATATACAAATTTGGCGAATGGACATGAAGATTTAGTTGCCAATAGGTGGGTAGCGGGTGCCTCTTAATCCTTGATAAAACATCCATGAGAATATCCATGAACTGTCACAAACAGAACCTGCTCACCGCTATTTCCAGCCATAAGCGCAGTGCCTCCAGAGTAGAGCCCCTGAGGCAAACCTAATGACATTCTTTGTGTCTTCTGCTCAAAGACCCTTCCTTACCTAGAGGGCCTGTCGCTTTTCGTTTTTTCCTGTTCTACTGCCACCGAAAATCAATTGCCGATGACAATGGAGCAATATCTCTTAGCAAATGTATCGCGATATCAGTCTCTCGTGCAGCGTTTTGTGCCACAGCCACCGACCACAACTGAGAATAAAGACGTGGCGAACTGCTCGAACATTTCTGTGGCTATTCGTATACGGCCTATATTAGATCATGAGATGGTGTCCGGCCAGGTCCCTGCTATTTTTCCTCGAAGTGAAAATGGAGTAGTGGACCTTCATGAATTGAAGAGGGTGGTGAGAGGCCTACCTACGTTGAATGTTAGTCGACCCAGTTTTGAGAAAAAGGTAAAACATGACCACACCTACTTATATATTCCTAGTCTTCTTCATTCAGGGTTGGTAATGTGTTCGGTGCCGATTGCGCGACGGAGACACTTTATACGAATATGCTTCGACCACTTCTTCCTTTCGTATGGGAAGGAGGTATAGGCACACTGTTCGCATTTGGACAAACAGGCTCCGGCAAAACTTATACTATCAGTGAAGTGGAACGACTTCTCGCGGAGACATTGTTTGATGGGGCTTGGGCAACTCAGCGGAAACTACATGTTTCAATGTTTGAGCTGGCCGGGAACTCCGCATATGGTAGGTGATCTACCGAGCAACTCGAATTTCCTACCCGCATACACTTTTATATTCCGGAAAAAAACGCATGTAAACCAAGCACTATGGGCATTATTAACCTAATACAATGATATGCTGATTTTCATTCATGATCAGACCTTTTAGACTCGCGTGCGCCGTTCTCGATCCTCGAAGACTCGTTTGGCAATACACAGCTTGTTGGGGCCCAGGAACTTGCTATCAATAGCAAGTCGGAATTCTTAGCTTTGATTGAAAAAGCCACATCATTTCGACAAACTGCCGGTACAGAGAAAAACGACGGATCCTCACGCTCACATGCAATTTGCCGTATTAGGGCCGTGAACATATCACCAGAACCTTCGGAAGATGGCATCCTCTACTTGATTGATCTCGCAGGGTCAGAGGCAGCACGAGATCTTTCTAATCACAGCGCTGATCGCATGAAAGAGACACGTGAGATCAATATCAGTCTCTCCATACTCAAGGACTGCATAAGAGGGATAGCAAGTACTAACAACACGCCCGAAACATCCAAAAAGCGCCAGAAGGACCAGTATATTCCATTCCGTCAGAGCACTTTGACCAAGGTCTTGAAGCATGTGTTTGACCCGTCTGGTACTCGAAGCTCGACGACTGCAGTATTAGCCTGCATCAACCCAAGCTTTTTAGACACATCAGCAAGCAAGAATACTCTTCGTTATGCCCATATGCTTTGTGCAACTGAGGTCAAATATCAGTCGGTCGAGCATAATCCTGCGATACCCAAAACATGGAGTAACAAGTTTGTTCGAAGTTATATCACCAAAGAAGTAAGTTATACATGGTAAACCTGAATTGTCGCTCTCCCATGTTGCCATAATGCTGATATTTGAGAAGTCGGGTAGTCCTGTGATTTCACCCTCTATTCTTGCACCGCAGGAGTCAGGCGCTCAGCTTTTGGCGATCCCCTTGAACAAATTCATCGCCCGCTGTCTCCGTACCAAGGGCGTGACGGACAATCAAGCCAAAGCCTTCCATGCCAAGCTTTGGCGCCTACATATCGACTCTACACATGCCCCTCGGTCGGACCAGAAGTTAAACGGTGATCTAGTGCAAAAAGACCACACTGCCCGGGAGAGCGTGTCACCCATGACCTACATTTCCAGCCGTGACTTGATGTCCAAGGGGGACATGCGCACATTTAAAGATCGCATTCGACCCGGCATGGTGGTTTGTTGTAACGCGATGGTTGATGTCCCTTGGACTTCGTCTCAGCAGAAACTGGTCATGGTTCTGTGTCCACAGAAAGTCGTTGGAAAAAACATGAAAGATGCCCTGGGCAATGAGATTAATTCAGGGTATTGTTTATCACAGCATGAGAACACAGAACCCACAGGAGCCACTCACCAGCGCTATCTATGTGCTATGGTCTTGTCTGGAGGTTTGGCAGACTCATACGAGGTCAGCATCTGGCGGCAAATTGTTGTGGATCTGAGTTCTATGGAGACAGAAATCTCACTCGAGTATGATCCTGCCACAAGATACTACCACATCTGTTGAATCTTGCTTAGAGTTAGAATTGCATCCTTCCTTGATAGATTGTGACTTCACCCTTTCCGACGAGGCAAATAAAGCCACTGCGCTGCTTCTGTATTAACGGATTCCACTCTTCTCTCTATCTTTTCCCTAGTAGGCAATGCAATTATTTGATAGACTAAAAGGTGATTGATTGAAAAAAACTTTCTTGGGAGCCGTGTACCGTCAATCTCACAAAATAAATGAACTCACATACATGGCTCTCCTTCTTCGGCAACATCAATATATTATGAAAGCTTTACATTCTGGTTAAAGTAAACAAGTGACTGTCACAATCTGAGTAATCTACTATGCATGTAAATATCGCTACCTTGTGATGTACTCGGTTATGTACATAATAATGCTCCATTTCACCCGTCCGGGACTACTTCAGATCATTTCTCCTCTCAGTTAACCAGCTTTAGCTTGGCTCACTGTACGTATGTGTCCAAGCAACAGGCTCCCCAAAGTTTAGACTGCCATCAGAATCAGTTCCCAGCAATTGGATCATGGTATACCGGCTATCATCACAGGCGCCAGAGCTCGATGTGGTCGCATGATACACGATCCAAGTCTGCGAACCATCTGGACTCTGGAAAAACGCATTGTGACCAGTTCCATAGTTACCATTCGCCGAAGTAAACACACATCCATCTTGCTTGCTCCAGGCGCTCGCTTCCGTAGGAGTCGTACTACCGTCCCAGGCTAGGAGGCCAAGACAATAACTTGAAGTCCAGCAATAAGAGGCCGAGTAGGATATGTATGTAGTTCCCCCGAAATATAGTGCAGCTGGGCCCTCGTTAACGGGTGTTCCGACCTGCTCCCATGATTCAGTCGGTTGCGAAATGACGTAAATGTCCCCCGTCAGAGAGACGAACTCCGATCCTAGGTTCTGAATACATAGCGATTGGTAGGTCACACCATGGAAACAGGAAAACATCAAGTGATTCCCATAGTCGTTGAAACGAATCACCGAGGCGTCGATCGCCCACTCGTTCGTCAACTGTCCAGTGTATGTGTAGTCATCCCACGGGGAAGCCCCGCCTAATGAAACACTATCAGTCAATGCTTTGAGTTTGCGCTTTGTTGGAATTATAGACAGTACCTGTTAAAACGTGTAAGCGTTGTCCATCAAGACTCTCACTCTCACCAGCAGTGTAATAGATGTACCATTTGTCACCCAGGTAATGCACTTCGGGAGCCCAGAAATTGCAGCAGTGAGATGCAGTAGTCGTGGAGTAGACCACTTTCTTTGTCGCAGTCTCGAGACTTTCCACTGTAGTTGAACGCGATATCTCAACATCGCTCCAGGTAGTGGTAAGAAGATAGTAGTATCCATCAGTATACACAACAAAGGGGTCACTTCCACTTGGCTTTCGAATAGGATTGTTCCATGCTAAAGATAAACTGCAAAAGACAAGGAAGCTAATGAAAATGGATAGAGTTCTGTTGATCATCTTGTAAACGAGTTGAACTTGTGTTTGATGCCTATGCTATGAGATGAGACGTACAAAGCCTTAACAAGCAGACAAACCCATTGCCTGTTACTTTGAATGACGCATTTGAGCTCGACGGTCGATTTGTGGAAATTCACTCAAGCTTAGTATTTCAGCAAAAAAGACTTGGCCCGTGTTTCAGTATGCCACCAGATCGACAAGCCCCGCAAATACGGAGAATGTGCCGTTGGCATGAGGGAGATCCGCCGGGATGTTACGCCTTTTGAACTGCAAAGCCATACTGTAACTTTATATGGAGGACCTGTGTCTGGATTGGCGCACTTTGTTGGTGATCCTACGGGGTACTTAGCTCCGAATTAAGGCGAGTTGAGTTTTTCCATTCACTTGGATGCTGCGATCGATTCTTATATTTTGCTTCAGCCCATGGGGTGAATGACGTAGACATTTTGCCCCTCAGGGATATCCATCAATCTAGATGCGTAGAATTTTGAATCAGGAAGGTAAATAGCGACCGTAGATAAAAGAAATTTGAATTGAGGCAATCGATATTGACTTCAGACATAAATATGCCATGTTAAATGAACCAAAAGAGCAGAGCGTTGTAAAGGAGTGTTCAGAGCAAGCTATGTTGAATAGCGACGGAAGGAAGGAACGATAGAAAAGAAAAATAAAAATCGATGAAAGGCCTACACTTTCGGTGATGCGCTGAAGTGACTTCAATAGTCATCTCCACGACTGATCACCTCCTTGCCTGATTCTCGCAACAGAATGGTCTAGAAGGGTTAGCATTGCAGGCTATTTTATAATGAAGGAGGGCAACAAACGTGTTCAAATTGCGCAGAATACGATCCTTTGACGTCCATCAGAGGCTGGTAGACCTCTACATACCCGTTTGATGCAAGGCTGTTCATCTACTCACTGTAAGCACACGATTTCGATGGTTGAACTATGAGAACTCACACCAGCCAGATAACGCTCGACGCCAAGCCGTTCAAGATAGCGGCGGCAGAAGACGAGGGAGCCAAAGTTTTCGTTGATTTTCTGATAGAGGGACTTGGCGCTGGCAAGATGCGACGTGATCTTTTTTGGTGCGGATGGGTCTTTACCATAACCATACACCCCAGGCTAAAGAAATACGTGAATATGTGCCGACTGCAGGCAAGGAGGATAAAACGTACCCCATCAAACAGATAACCACGACCGGTTGTCCCGAATGTTTCGATGGCAAATATCTCCCCCAATTCCATCTTGGTGTTGTCATTGTTCCTGACAAATGGGATAGACTTCCCGGCATGGATGCGATACTGCTCAATATTGTGTCCAGTGATGTTGCGTACTGCCTTGACAGGGAACGTCCGGCCATTGATATCAACCTCGTAGCTTTCCATCGCTTCCTGTATGGCAGCGCTTACATCGCTAATGCGGACGTCGACCCCGGCATTCTAGGAGTTGTCAGCGGTGGTCTAGCATTTTAAAAAAAAACGGAGATCGGTCACCTTGATGCCAGTATTGGTTGCGTCCTTGACAGCGGTAAGGAGATTGTCGTAGGTTGGGTCAAAGGACATTGTGAAGGCACTATCAACAATCCAGCCGTTTATATGAACGCCAAAGTCGACCTTCATGACATCGCTTGAGTCCAGGACCACATCCTTTTGACCAGGGTTCGGCGTATAGTGCGCAACACAATTGTTGAGTGACAGGCCCGTGGGGAAGCCCATTCCGGATATCAGACCTTGCCCAGTCTCAAGGCCAGCATTGTCGAGCAACGCTCTCACACCATCCTCGATTCCCACAGCAATCTCCGTGAGGGTCTGGCCCGGACGAACGCTCTCTTGCGTCCAGTGTCGCACTTGGCGGTGTACCTCGGCAGCCTTGCGATAGTCGTTCAAGAAGGTGTCATCTTCGATGTGGTGACGGGACTGGTGTCGGACTTCCTCGGCGGTTGTACGGGCGGTATTTTCGACCACAGACTCATAGATTTGAGCTTCACCATGTGGATACTGGCGATTGGGAAAGAGTTCGGCGAGAGGAATTCGCGGTGGTGAAGATTGCTTCAACACAGAGGACTTCTTCTTCGGCCTTCTTCGTTTCTTTTTCGGATTTGTTGAAGGTGCAGTTTGCGAGTTCAACAGGGTAACGGTGCAGGTGATATTATCGCCATCGGCATCGTCATCTGCGTCTCCTTCTCCGAGCGAGCCATCGCCGTCGCGAGACCAATGGGCACCCCGTGGTTCCCCACCAGCGGCGTTCGCCTTGGTTGAACTGGGAGGAGCATCTGCTAAAGGTTAGCTGACTGTAATGAAGGTCGATTACTGTGTGCCATACCACCACCTCCCTGGCTGTCATTCTCTGCTGTTTTAGAGCCCATGTCGACATGAAGAAAAGTAATGCGATATGAGGGGAATGTCAGACGGTGGAAGTACCAAGTAAGCAAATTTGGTGTCCACGGGTGAGGGGCGGGCCGGCCCCTACTCGGCCCCAGGTAATATTTTTGTTGTGTTTGTTTTATTTGCTGTGTTTGGATGTTTCTGTTTCAGTCATAGCATCAATCCTCCAACATTTTCTCGGCAAAGCACGTCTCTTTTACTCCAATTCTCTTACTTTTATAAACCAGTTAAAACTGACCATTGCATAACATTACAGCTGACCCAAAGTCTACAATTTGCCTAAACAGAGGGCATTGTGAGCGTAGATACTATGATTGATCTTCCGTCCAAGACGTGGTTTCATTGTGGGAATAGAATCATCAAGTTGAGTGAGAGATTTGTAGGGGAAGAAATAAAGAGGCATTTAGATACTCTTTGAATCGATTAGAACATTCATAAGGGCTGGATAGTGAAGGACCCGGAAGATGCCAAATTCTAGGTCCTCCGTATAAGAGCTACTTATAGCAACTGCTTCGCCGCGAGATTCACAAATCGAATAAGGAAATCAAAGCTCTCGGGATAATATATAAAGACCTTAGGCCAGACAATATCGTTTGGAGTGAAGAGCGCGGACGTGCTTTGATCATCGACTTCCACTGTTCCACTTGAAGACGTCGACCGGTCAAGCAGAGACCGGGAGCTGTAAAACGACGACTGAATCATATGGAGGTAAGAAATACAAGATGTCTTCATATTTAGTGATAAGAAAATATTTTCTCTATCTGTTAAATTGGCGATTTTGTTTTTGATAGCCAAATTTCCATTGTCACCTATATATTCCTAGGTAAAGTGCGCTCCCTGCTTACATGCTTCCACACCACCCGAGTCATTATATGAGCCGGACCTCGGAATCATATACCCTCATAAGACCATCATAAGACAATTGCAGTTTGTCGTTCAATTCTAATATCCAAGACTCTCGTGTACAAGTAGAGATTGAATAGGCAAGGAATAATAAGGGACAAACTGCGACGTGGAACAATTCCCGTCAAAGCTCCTAGAGCAATCAAGCAATCATTCTATCCACTCGCACTCGTATGCTCGAGTATACTCATCCGGGTCCCAAGCCAAAGGTCTCGTGTCTATCTCTTCAAATTTCAGCTTTACACATTCATCTATGTACTCCTTTTCTTTGGGTGTCAAGAGATGAAGCCTTTCCTTCCACACATTGTCAAAGCCAAAGCTTTGAGTCGGTCCAAAGAATGGCTGGTCAATCTTCTGCCAATAGATCGAGTCGAATACAAAATTATTCCGTGCGGCATACATGACCCAGAAGTTCCCGCTCTTCCAACTGTCTCGCATTGGGCCAGAGAGACGCTGAGTCTCCATAAGTTGACCGGCGCGGATTGCCTCATCCTCGCAGTCATTCATGGCTTGAAGAAATGTTTCAAGTCGTTTCTCATATTGTATGCATCAGTCATCGAGCCCTTTAGGCCAATATTCCGGCTTTTCGAGAAGAAGCCACCAAGGCGGTGCATGAGAAAATTCGACAGGGGCGGTGTATGTAAACTCCCAGTCCACCACTCCGACAATATTCTCAGCTTCATCGACGAGGACACTCTCTGGTCGAAAGTCATCGCACCAGATTGGAAATGGGCCAGCCTCATGGCACAGCCATTTTTCTCTCAATTTCTGGTCTCGAATAAGTCTTCGGAAAAGAAGTCGCGCCACAAATTTTCGCCGGTAGTCATCCTCGGAGTCAACGGAATCGTTCCTTTGAATTATGAGGTGTGAAAGCTGCAGTTCCGCCAGGGCGTCAAAGTACGACGATGCTTCAGAGTATGTGCTATTCGGTATTTTCGATCGAGGTAGTGTTCCCAGTTGCACAACTTCATTCATGGAATATGATAAGGGTCGATTCAACACCTTCCACGTCATACTCCTTGGGTCAAGCCCAACAGACCCTATCTTGTTGAGCGTAAGAGTAGACAACGAAAGAACGATTTTGGCCAATTTTCTGTAGAGGTCCCCCAGCCTGACCATATCGAGGTTGAGATTAAGAACTGGACGGACGGTTGGATCTGATTCCGGATTTTCAAGAAGCCTGCAGATACTCTGTTTGTGCTCGAAATATTCCATGATGATAAAAGGTCCTAGGTTTGCGGGACTCTCTTGTTTCTGTCCCTAGCGAGAGATAGAAGGCACCGGAATCGGGATTTGGTGTGATTCTTGGGTTTTCTCCAAAATAAACTGCATGACCCTGACTTCATTGAGGACTTTCTCTTCGGGAAACATAATAATACCAGGGAATGGAAACCGGATGATGGCGGTTGTATCATCGGTAAAAACTATCCGAAAGCAGACATTGAATCCACCCAACGCGAAGATATCAAACTCGCGCCATTCCCGAGGATAAAAGTGCGTTGCAAGAAAGCGACCAACTGCATTGAAGGGGTCCTCGTCTTCCTCGAGATACTTATACCAGCGTCTGTAGACAATCGTCCCTCTTTCCCAGGCTTGGTCGTCGTAAGCAAGACGTGGTTTCATTGTGGGGATAGAATCATCAAATTGAGTGAGAGATGTGTAGGGGAAGAAATAAAGAGGTATTTAGATACTCCTTGAATGGATTAGAACATCCATAAGGGCTGGATGTATATAAGGGGGGACACGGACGGGGAGAACCCAGCTTTAATCCGAGGGAAAGGAGGCAGAACCACGTTGCGATTCTAATTATGTGGTGATACTGCATGCCAAGTTGTAGGGTTCCTACTCATAGCATGTCCTTCCATTGGTGGTTAATGACGGCTCAGAGAGTAACAACCAAGTTGACTTGAAGGGGGAATGTGCTTGCGAGCTTACAGAGCTTCTTAACGCCCTCTTCCTTTCTCAGTTATAGTATCTTATTGGTAGATTGGAAATCGAGAATGGGAAGCTAGGCAGAAACTGGTAGATGCATCACATGGCACTAAGCACGGATTCGGCAAGCACCGATAAACTGGTGGATCGAAGCGCCGTTCAAAGAATCGTGTTCCGCTAGCGAGCACTGGATAAAGCACACAATTTCTCACCTAGGCAATTTACCTAGAGTCTCCAAACGCTAGATTTCGTCCCTCAACCACAGCGAGTCCTAGGATTGTTTGAGCTTTGGACAAAAAATGGTGCAAAAGCCCCTGCGGAAGTTTCTTGTTAAATCCTCGTACTTGGTGTTCCTGGCTAAAGGGCATTCAACCAGCCATCCATACGATAGGGATCTTACATGAGGTGACGCTTGGAGCTTGACGATAGTCTCCCGAGGCCGTCCTGAGGTCGTCCTGAGATCTTGCTTGGCTATTACATAAGCCAAAATAAATGCCAAGACCCCCGTTAGTTTGGAGGGATTTGGTCTCCGACAATCTCTCCATTTTAACGGGGACTGTGTTCATATCCTACACGCTAAGCCCTTTGTGGAAAGATGGGTCTTCCCCACATTTTCTGCGATTTCGCCATTTGACATGCATATCCCGCCATAACATTTTACCCGACCAACCGATAGTCCGAAGCCTCCTCTCAATGTTCACATTCCTGGACTGTTGTGGACTATCGACATCCTCATTGGTATGGGTTCGAATAAGAAAACATCGAGATCACGGTTTGGTGGGTCACTCTCTCAGCAAAATGGGTCATTCCGCTAATATGTCTAGGCTGTCGCACGTGCCGTGCCCGAAAAGTGAGAAACCATCTTTCTACTCCAGATGATATGGCATTCTAAAGCATTCAATGATATTTCACAGGTCAAATGTGACGAAAAACCTGGCGAATGCGGCAACTGTGCTCGACTGCGACTGGTCTGTTCCGGCTACACAACGCCGTTGAGGTCTCAAGCAACCACGGATGAAATAGACCAAGGAGATCCACCAAGAGGAAAGAGGACATTTCGCTCTTGTGTAGCATGTCGTTCTTCAAAGACTAAATGCTCGGGTGAGCAACCATGTCAACGATGCCGTTGGAAATGTTCAACCGAATGTGTTTATGCCGAGTCTACACAGCCCACTTGGGTACGCAGAGTCAATGCGACCCCAACAGGCAATAAGAACTCTTCTCCATCCCAGCCCTCTATGCCTGAACGATCTTTTGAACCGACACCGTCTAGACGGGACAGTCCGCCTACGTCGCAACAGGCTTTTGCCTTGGTGGAAACCGCCGGGAGTTCATCATCTTCACTTGACTGGTGAGCCATGAAGAACTTCGCTCATATATCCATCTATTGGGCTCATACTCACTGGTCATAGGCTGGGTACTCACTATCTCCCCAACTCATCGAGAATCGCAATGCTAGTCGAGGAGTATTTTAATAATATCCATCCTCTACGCGCCTTTGCTTTTATGCACAAACCTTCTTTCCTCCAACGTTTGGACGGAGAACTTTCAAAGAACTACCACAATAATGCTCTGTTACATATTATCTGTGCATTGGGAGCACAGTAAGCCTAGCCCACTGACATCGCGAAAGCAAGGCCCGATCAGCTCATATCTATCTTAAAGGTTTTATGCTCTGTCATACAGCGAGACGACAGCTCCACTTGAGCCCAAATTTATCCTTCTTGCAGGCACCCAGTGGGCTAAAATTGCCCAGCGACTCATTCTTGAGACTATAGATCGTGTGACCATTGAGAGTCTAATGGTGCGGCCTCTTTGAAATTCAAGCCCATTTCTATGCCACAATGTTGTTACTGATAATTTAGCCAGGCGGCCGTTCTGCTTCATGATTATGCAGTTCGATTGGGAAACTTTGCAAATGCGTTCATGCTGAGTGGAATCACTACTCGCATGACCCAGGCACTACAGATCAACCTTGAATATAATACCGACATACTCTGCCGGGATACTGGTAACGGGCTTCCAGTCACAGCAAAGGAATCTCGTCGCCGATTAATGTGGAGCTGTTATATAATGGATGCGCTTGTTGGCAGCGGAGTAGACCAGTTAACGCTGATGGATGAAAGAGATATCAAGATTCAACTTCCATGCAACGATCGCAACTTCACTCAGCAAGTCCCTTGCCTCACAGAAACTTTATATCCTGGAAGCTGGCTCAAATTTATCCCGGAAGATTTAGACACAAAGTCTCTGTTGCCAAACATGGGGATAATGGCGTATTTTATTCGACAGATTTCCATCCGCAAGAGGGTTTTAAGGTAATTGCAATCCTATTTTCCTATTATTTCCGAATTTTTTTAACATTGGACAAGATATATTAAGCATTTGGGAGAGGCTATGGTTCCTTGGGATCCCGCGTCAGAATTTGCGCTTCTAGATTCAGACTGCCGGGCATGGTATGACTCTCTACCTGCAAGTCTACAGTTCACACCCGATGCAATATACATTCGCAAAGACACTTCGCAATTAGGCGCTCTGTGCTTGCTCCATTGCGCGCATTATCAAACCGTCTGCGACCTATATCGATTAGGAGCCCCTGCGCTTTACAAACTCCGAGCCGCTTTCGACTTCCCTCCTGAACAGGGGGAGTTTCTTCGGCATCTACAAAAGGTTCTCTTTGATTCAGCTCGGGCTTTGGCAACTATCATTGGTCAGACGGCTACGCATGGTCCCCAAATGTTGGCAGACTCTTGGCTTCCGACCATCGTGTATGACAGCTGCCGGATCATGGTATATCATTTGACTCACATCCTGGATCCGCGTTCAGAGAATGCGAAAGCTCTTGTACGGGCTGCAATCCCTCTCCTCCGCAGTAACATCAATGTACTAAAGTTAATGGCATCACTCAATGCAATTGCAAGTTCGCTCGTTAGTCCTCTTTCCCCTGTCTGCAATCCCTAATTTGAGTGGGCCCCCGGATTACTGATCTGTTTCTTGCTTATCCCAGGCCTCCGCGGCAGAAACAATGCTTGATCGTTCTGGTATTGAGTCTGAGATGGTCACCCAGAACATCATACCCGATGATCCATATCAGTCAGCAGATGAGGAAGAAACTCCTGTCCAAAGTGCGCCGGACTATGTCCTTAACCCCTTGACGATTTTCCGAATGGCCCGCAAATCGATACCTGAGCGACATGCCCCCGAAAGGGCGAGCAATACATCCGCGCCTAATAGTGTCCTCCCCGAAAATACCGTCGATATGGATAATTCCCCTTGCGAAGTTATTAGCGAATCCCGGGTAAATAGTGGCCCGGCTGAGTTAGAAGTTGATCAGCCGAGCCTTGAGGAGCTCCAAACTCTATTCATGTCCGATCTTGGATGGGCTTGGCAGCCCGCGGACACAGCTGCTGGATCAGGAACCGAGGGAGCTGGGCTGTTGCCATGGGCAGGTGGATATCCCATCACTCAGCCACAACCCTGGTTGCCTGTGTTTCCATTTCCCCAGCAAGGTTGACGGCGTTTGGGCTAACTTCCATGTCATACGTCATTTTGAGTTATTATATAGCTTTGATGATCTCTTTGATCTAGCTATTCAGAACATGTTTGGTCATCATTAGTCCAACGCCGGATTTGGTTTAAGCCATCAATCGGCCTGGTAGTAATATTCATAATTTCATAATAAGATGTTTTAGTTAAATTGTTACAGGAATTTTCAGGTTCACTCCGCATCCAAGGGACAAACAGGAGGGGTATCGTTAACCTGGATACCTCCACGCTTCCTCTCCAAACTATCGTGGTATGGAAGCTTCCAACCTCCTTCCGATTCTGGGGCCGAGAGCCAAAGTCGCATCAAATGGCGGCGTCGGGCAGGGCGTCCGCTCTCATCAAGCGCTCCAGCTGGGTAATCGGTGTAGGCGGTTCGCGCATGGAAGACATGTGTATTACTCAGGAATTGAATATCACCTGGAGCAAGAATCATGTGTAGCGAGAGCTCAGCGCAGGTCTTCTCAAATATCTCCAGGGCGTATTTCTGTTTGTCTGACAAAGGAGGGATGCGTGCGTCAGGCCCTGAGTTGAAGCGCGCCAGCGATGTCACGTTATTGGGGTCGAGCCTTGTGTAGACTCGTGGGTTGGAGCGTGTCTTATCGTTTTCAAGGTAGAAGACGCTGCATCGCATCCAGGGTTCTTCGCCTTCAGATTGCTCACCCTTCCGGTCGAAATACCAGTTGGGCTCACATAGTGTTTCTACCACATCAGGATGTCTCTCCTGTAGTACATTGAATACATGATGAGTGGACACGATGTCTGATTCACCACCAGACAGAGATTTGGTGATGCAAAGGAGACCGACAAGGTCGGATCCGTCGGTGTGGAAGTATTGGCTAGTAAACATGTTAGCTTTTGGTTCGACACAACCCCACATCCAGTATAAGTAGGTACCTACCGAGCATTTGTTCGGTAGATGCGAACTTTGTCAGTTCTGGTTGGATCTTCTCCTAAATCTTTGACGTGACCCAGGACATGACCACGGCCGTTTTGGCTGGTGAAGTAGCCCAAGTATGTGCCAAGGCCCATGTATGCTGTTGCACACTTCTGGAGATCCCATTGTTCAACAGGGAGGCCTCTGAAACGGAAGAATCCTTTGCCATTGAGCAGATCCTGACGGAGATTTTCCATCCGCTCGGATAAGTTGGGCAAAAGGAAGTTTGCCTATAGACCAGTTAGTTTCCACAAATCGTGATTTTCATGCTGATAATCATACCTTTGTGATTCCAGTTAAAGGAATGCCACTCTTGATAAACTGATCACTGGCACCGCTGATCTCCGCAACTTCATCTGAGGTAAATCGATGTGTCCAGAGGTCATCATTCTCGCGATATTCCTCGGCTTTCCACAGTGTAGGCCCGGTAAGGACTTTCGGGAACTCGGAATAGGGCCGAACTAGTGAATATACGGGAGGGTGCTGGCCGGATGTTTTGAATCCATCTGGGAACACAGATTGCTTGACGGGCTTCGAGAAGGTCTGAAGACCAGGAGTTTCCACGAGTCCGGGGGCCATGGTTGAACGAGATTTGATATGAATAAATAATAACAGTGGTTCTTTGTAGCAGGAATCTGTTTGCAAGCGTCCCTGAATAACCAGTTTGATCTCTCCTCAGAAACGGATTCTGATTGATATATATACTACTGTCATTCTGCATCCACATCTAGTGGGATGAAGGTTGTTCGGCTCGTCGGGTCGATCGGTGTCGGCCTGTCGCTTCATTCGTCATACCTAATACCTCACGACTTGCATCAAAACTTGCTTAAAATATCTCAAGAAAATGTAGAACACCACTGGGACAGCTTGGACCCGAAAATACCTAAGTTGTTCTGCACATAGTAAAATCATCAGAATGCGATGCTGGACTGTTGTCACGGCTGGTCGGCTAATATGGCGACATGCCAAAGCGGGCAGCACGCAATATCTGCCCATAGAATCGCAATTCTTGGCGAATCAAAGTGATGACAAAGATCGGCGCTGTATTGGAATAGCGATATATTCGGGGAGTACATCGATGTATACAAAGAACATAGTTATATATGCATGCTTTGATCAACACATATACCCAAAACCCCGATCGCGTGATTCAATATATTAGATTAGATAGGTGCATATGTACATTTTTGTATTCTAATTTGGGTCTACCTTGCCCCATCCTGACTTATCGTGGGCTTTACTCATTCATATGTGAGTTCTGGTCGCCGAAGCTTCCAGCCGATGCCTCGATGTCTGCTCGCTTAGTCGTAGCTTGATATGGGCGGGACACTGAGTCCAATGAGCTGTTCCGGACTTTCTCCTTTCCATACAAAGGCAATGTATTTATATCGAGAAGGTACATGTACCAATAGTAAGTCCCTATACTTCCTATTAGTTTGGGCGCTCTGTTCGCGAAGATAAGCGGGTTTACTGACCACAAAATATACCTCCACCAATGATATTTCCTAATAAGGTCGGGATGATACCTTTCCAGATGTATAGGCCGATTGTAATATTTGGCGCTCCAAGCCAGATCCCCAATGGAATGAATGTCATGTTTGCAACGACGTGGTCAAAGCCCAGGGAAACAAAAGCAAATGTAGGCCACCAGATTCCAATAACTTTGGATGCCAGATCCCGACCTTGGATACCAAAAAAGCAAGCCAAACAGACTAGCCAGTTACACCCAATGCCACGCAGGAATATCATGTGGAAATCAGGGGTGACTTGCTTTTTTGTGGCAAAAGAAATGACAGCGGACTTGAACGGGTCTGCAGAAAAAACATTTCCATCTATAGGTCCAACATTAGTCACAATGATTTGGAGCAATAGGGATGTGAGAGTCAATTCCGTACAGCCGAAGATGATAGCCACGACAAATAAAGATCCGGCGAAGTTTCCAAGGAATGTCACTGCCCAGTGAACCAACATTTTCGACCAAGGCAAGCGCCGGTGAAGCGCTGCAACTGTAGTAAACTGATATGCACGTTAGTCACTTGGTCATCTAACTTGAGGTTACTATGTTCGTTTTGTGGGAAATCATACCATAAAGGATCCAGTGCAAAGGTCTGCACCTGTTAGGAGGATCATACATAGACCATAAGGAAACACCAAGGCACTGATGGTTCGCATCAGACCTGGGGCATTTTCTTGAAACCAGGGTGTGGCATTGGTACTGAGAGTAGTTCCGCAAGCGAATGCAAGTAAACAGCCAGCTGAAACTGCACTAAAAAACACCTTATCCAATCGCATATTCCCCTTGTGTGCGCCTGTGTTTGCGACAGCCTCGATCACCTCTCGAGGAGAGAATGCATCGAATGTCATTTTGATCAGAGGATAATGGTAATCAATCGATTGGAGATATTCGATATTTGTTCGGTTAGTGATAGCCCCTCCGTGGGCAAAACAGGCACATAACTCTGGAGGGTCAGTAGAAATATATCATTTTGGCTCGACAATTCCCTTCCAGGTGCAATGGATGTCTTATCTCCCACCTCAGCGGGAATCCTCCCTTGCATGGTTAATTGCGAATAGTTGGTGCACTCAGATACTTCAAACCCAGACCTGGTATGATCATTGAACTCAGATAAGAGGTTCAAGGTTGGTGACAGGATGACTGAATAATGAGCATGTTCAAATTCCAACGATCTATCGAGTCAAAGGAGAATGAGTTATCAGAATCAAGAGTCTTGGCAAGATAAGGATATATTGTCGATCGTACATCTCCGCGGATGTATCTATGTATAACTATAGTTAATTGTAAATGCTACGATATGCGTGCTATATACTTTGAATATCTATGTATAATGTACATTATCTATTAGGGACGCACCTTTGGAGTTTATGCAGCGCCTCTAGGATGTAGGTACTCCGTACCGGCCTTGTCATTGTGACATGGCAACCTTGGAACACCTTTCCCCATGTGCTTCCGCCGCTATGACGTCAACATCGACTTTGCGAACATAAATTCGTTCTCACTAGGCAAAATGCAATTAATATTACTCATGAATTGTTGCATCTAATCGAGAATCCAATCTTTAGTTCTCACTAGGACAGTTCCGCAGTGTAAACAATGAAGGACAGAGACACCGTGATTGAGTACCTCTCCCTTGAGAAGCTTAATAAACAAAAATGGTTGACAATCCGACCAGCGAATTCAACGATCTCGTGAATATGACTCCAACTGAGCTCCGTGGTTGGCTTGAAGAAGAGCAATCACTGACATCGGGTTGGGAGGGCAGTTCCGGTGAGACTATTGGTCACGAAAGGTAATTATTTCCTTGTTCAGCCTCGGTCGCAGGATTCCAGCGACTAGAAAACAGAAATAAGCGCTGAAAACCGCGATAGTGGCCGAAGGATTGTGCGGATCCTCGAGCACAATCCCACCGCGAACCCGTCCGACTACAGCGATCAAGACATAGACCACATGCGTCGCGTGGTATCCTACTGCAAGCGCCATTTAGCGCAAGAAGAGCGAGCCAAGCATGATACGAGTAGCAAGAGTTACCGATCGCTTAAAAATTGGGGTCATGATGCACTCAAAGAGTAGGGTCGGGTACTTGCAATACCACATGTATCAACATGGTGAAATCGATTATTTTGTCGAGTTTGTTAGAATGGAAAGATTAGCCATGCTTCGGGGCATTGGACAAGGTATGATATGTAAGATAGTAGTGAACAATCTGCACCAAACGATAGAATCTCAAGACGCGTTCTTCTGTTTTGTGCCTTGGTGCCTTATAAAATAAAAAGTGTCATGTGACTCATGCCTGTAATAACCAAGTCACATGATACATGCTTATCTGCACCAGTTCTTGCCCATCTGGGCAGGTGCAACTTCCACGATTACCTGGTCAGCTCAACTACTGTGTTCTGGCAGCTTTCCAACCTTGAAAGGTTTGAGCTGGATCTTAATAATGAAGTAGTTGAAAAGAAGAACATTTACAGATTAGTTGTGTTGATTCCTCTGCCAATTATTGGCTTATTCTTGCTTTTTAGTGATCAGGACTTGCCCCTTTGTTTCCCTCACTGAGTAGAACTGAGCACGCCCCTGAGCCGTCTCGTTGACCTCACCTGATCGTTTACATTACGTAAGCGTGTTGATCTGCCCAAATTCAGTCGCCGCTCACAGGCGGTGTCCGCCAGGAATCGCTCCAGGAAATGCCCAGGTGCGGTGTCCGAGTCGCGAGCTACGGGCCCAAAGTAGCAATCAATCGTAGATCGTCAACACAGTGTATCCTCAAGGTTCGGAAATATTCACAATATTATATGGGGGGTTAAGTGATTCTTAACCTGATAATATATATGAAGCCTATGCTGTGATCATCAAACAGTCGGCAGTTAACTATCTGCCGAACTTTCTGCCATATTTCCCGTGCTTCTAGGCGCGCCTCGGTCCTATGTGCATACATCCCGGCCATTCCTCGGCATTCCGCGATATGAATGCCGGGGTATAGGGGCCCTTAATACAGTCCACAAAAGCAGTACCAACAGCTGTTGTTCCGGAGACCGTTATATGCCTAGCAGTAACGCTATCCGTTCGTAGTAACCAATGGCGTAAAGTCGCGTATTGTTTCCTTCCTGTAGCCGAGCTGGGAGAGAAATCATTGCCGTTAGAAAATATATATATATCTCACATCGACCGTTGTCATAAATCCTGCAAACATATTACTAGGAAAAAAGTACCAAAAATTCTACAGCACATTACCTCAACAAATATTGCATGTTTGGCTGAGTAATCTCCTAGCCCTTGTCATGTCGATACTCTCAGATGATGTCAAAGCCAAATGGCTATTCGGCTCCACGCTGCCCTTTGCAGAACCCGCATGGGCTCGAGGCTGTCCTAGTCCGTATTATAAGGATAGTCACAGACGCCTCCGGGCAGCTATGAGGGTCTGGGTCGAGGAGGTGACTACTCAATCCTTACCCCATACTTAACTGGGAACCTTGATCCTGACTCTGGCAGAACCTTATTCCCAATACCCTAGAATGGGAGACATCACCATCGCTCCCAGACTCACTCTACGAGAGGGCGGCTAAGGATGGTCTAATCATGCCTATGGCGTCTGGGGCTTCTATTCCGCAAGAGTGGAGAGGGAAATATCCCATCATCGGTGGCGTTAGCCCTGAAGAATGGGATGGATTCCATGACTTGATTATTCACGACGAGTTTGGGAGAGTTGGTGGAATAGGGTATGTTAAGAACAGCGCTGGATATGCTGATGCTGAATCACGCTGACCCCTTGGAAGTATTGAAAATGGTCTAGTTGGCGGTGCTGTAAGTTTCATTACCTATAATCTTGATGAAAAGGATATTTCTAACACCCCTCAAGGTTTTAGCCGTGCCAGCACTTCAGAAATATGGTTCAAAGCAGATCAAAGACACGTATGTTTATCCTTAAAATTTAGTGATACTAGCTAACGCTGTAGAAAATAGTGTTATACCGGACATCCTCTCGGGTCGCTTTCGGATAGCCCTGGCTATCACTGAGCCTGGAGCTGGCTCTGATGTCCAAGGAGTGCAGACAGAAGCGAGGGTATCGGACGACGGGTCACACTTTATCGTTGACGGAGAAAAGAAGGTCTGAATACCCTTTATCGATTCGCATACGTCGTTCAACATCAAGTGTTAACAATATTTTAGTGGATAACTTCCGGCATGTATTCGCATTACTTCCTAACCCTTGTTAAGGAAACAACAGGTGACTTTACGCTGTTGGTCATACCACGAACGGATGGCCTTACCACTAAGCATATCACGCTCTCCGGATCGACAGCGGCTGGTACGGCTTTTGTGGATTTCGATAGTGTCAAAGTCCCAATGGATATGGTCGTTGGCGAGCGTGGGAAGGCACTCAAATACATTATGTCCAACTTCAACCACGAGGTCGGTGCATTTGCCCTATAATTGCAGACTACCACTAATGTAAGGCAGAGACTTTTCATTGGATTCCAGGCTCTTAGATGTGCTAGAGTCTGTTTGGAGGATTCCATAAGGTTCGTACCTCAGTTCCCATACCATTACGCCCTTTAACAAGATGTCAAGCCACGCGATGAACCGAGAAACATTCGGCAAGAAGCTTGTTGATCATCGTGAGTCTCCCTTCACGTTCAAGACATTGAAGATACTGATGTGAAGGACAGCCGTTATCAGGTTCAAGATTGCCAACATGAGCCGAGAGACAGAAGCTTTACAGGCGTGGGTCGAGGCAAGTACTATCGAGTCAATGTGAATTTTGCATCAACGGTCACTAATTATAAGAATAGAGCTTGATTTACCAGCTCTCACAGCTCTCCTCTGAAGAGGCAGTTCTTCTTCTAGCTGGTACAACCGGCCAACTCAAGGCCCATTCCGGTATTGTCCTAGAGCATGTCGCGCGTGAGGCAATTCAGATCATGGGTGGCATTGGATTAACTCGTGGCGGTCGGGGAGAGCGTGTTGAACGTATCTGGCGAGATATCAAGGCTATCACCGTTCCTGGGGGTAGTGAAGAGATTCTTTTGGACTTGGCAACACGGCGGGCGCTCAATGTCACTGCAAAGTTACAGGCGGAGGCAGCCAAAGCGGGCAAGAATAAGTTGTAACTTATGAGGCTAGTGTCATGGTGGAACTCAAACTTGACAGTGTATCACTAATTTACATATGCCATAATCCGCATATACCACAGCTATGACGGAGTCAATTTCGATAATATGTAGTTACTAAAGTGAATTCTTTTTTGAGACTGGGAAAAGTTCGTTAGGAAGAACGCGGAGGACATGATCATGCGTTCCCTTCGCTCTTGTCTCCCTGGGACGAATCTTGAAAGGCACAAGCCAACCAAGTGGATAATATTGAGCATCAATGATGAAATTAAAGATCGGGGACTCACTCCCGGTCCGGAATAAGCTTAGTGAGCATGATCCTGGTCGCCCTCATAAAAGCAGCGGTAACTAAGGATAACGAAGCCCGGGGTAAAGGAAATGTGTTATATGCAATCTACAGTGACCTATCTACATACGCATGGACACATGATTAATAAACTACATGTAGGCACCCTACGGCACCTAAGTGTAGTTAGTACCTTTTTTCCATTCTAGGGGGACTGGTTTAAATGATATTTATTAATATCGTGAGACATATGGTCTTGCTGATGAGAAAATACTCCAATCATTATCGAGTTATATTTGCCGCTGATTCTCGGCATCTGCTATTACAACTGATAAGCGGCCACTTTGTACAAACACCGACGATTCGCTTCAGCCCCCGAGTGTCAAATATGAAAGATACAACTGCACTCGTGTCACGGGTTCACCCCCACGACCCCCGAGTTTCGGTTGGTCTCGGTATTAACGGGCTGTCCGAATGGGGATCTCCACTCCGAAACTCCAGGATGCGTTGTCATGTGGAAAACAACGAGGATATTCTAATCGATTGGAAGAGACAGAAAGCACTAATCGATATGTGGCAAGGCTAGGTCGCTAAATGTCTTGGCTAAAATATGTTGGCTTTAGAGTTTCGTGGGGGGAGGATGCGGAGGCGTGGGGGGAACATGGGGAAAACCAGAATTGGTAGAACGGATGACGGAAGGGCTGATCTGAAAACGTGGGGTGATAAAAACTGGGCTATATATATGGTTTGATCCTTGATTCTGTCAGCCAAGGCCCAAGGGATAGCCATTTCTCTACAATGCAAGACCCAACCATGTCCAAACCAAATGTTTTTCATGATGAAGCGGCAGAGCAGCACAAGGGGGGAAAACACATCGATAATAGTGGCATCGTACGCGTCTCCTTGACCGAAGAAGACAGCAAGCGTATCTGCCGCAAGACTGACAGGACAATTCTTGTTGTGCTCGCCTGGGTCTATTTCTTGCAGATCCTCGATAAGACAGTCCTTGGATACGGTGCGACCTTCGGTTTACAAAAAGACACAGGACTTACCGGAAACGAATATTCGCTGGTCGGCTCCATCTCACCCATTGCGCAACTTGCCTGGCAACCATTTTCCTCATACCTGATTGTCAAGGTTCCCCACAAAATCCTTATGCCAGTGCTATGCCTTGGCTGGGGAATTGCACAGACATGCATGGCTGCGTGCCACAACTTCAACTCCTTGATGGCCGCTCGCTTCTTTCTAGGCCTGTTCGAAGCTGGCTGTCTTCCTCTATTCGGTGTCATCACGAGTCAATGGTACCGCCGTGCAGAGCAACCGATACGCATCGCTGCGTGGTACAGCACAAATGGCCTAGCAACCGTCGTTGCGGCTGCTTTATCATATGGACTGGCACAAATTGAGTCGGATATCTTCAAATCATGGCAGATGTATGGAATCAAAGCCTCAAACCATCGACAGTTGTACATTCTGACTCTCTTTTAGCATTTTCCTCGTTGTTGGCCTCATAACCGTCGCCTCTGCTCCGGTCGTCTACTGGCGCTTGGATAACGATATATCCACCGCTCGGTTCCTCACTGAGGACGAGAAAGCTCAAGGAATAGAGCGCCTCCGAGCCAACCAGACTGGAACTGGAAACACAGAGTTCAAGTTCAGTCATGTCCTGGAGGCCTGCTTAGAGCCTAAAACATATCTGTGGATTGGAATGGCAATGCTCCTCAACATCGGCGCTAGCGTGACCAACATCTTCGGCCCACTGATTTTAAGCGGTCTTGGATACGATAAATACAGGACAACTCTCTTGACCATGCCATTTGGCGCGTTACAATTCCTCATCATTCTGTTGGCCAGTTATCTTGCCCAAACTGCTCGTCTGAAGAGTGCTATCATCGCGGGTTTCATGCTGCCCGTGATAGCTGGTCTATCAATTTTGTATGCAGTACCTCGGACCCAGTCTGTGCAGGGCGAATTGCTTGCTGGCTACTACCTACTCGCATTCTTATTTGGCGGCAATCCATTGATTGTGACCTGGATCATCGGCAACACGGCAGGAACCACAAAGAAGTCCGTTATCATGAGTTTGTACAACGCAGCAAGCTCAGCAGGAAATATCATTGGTCCGTTGCTCTTCAATGAGAAGGACAAGCCAGCCTATCAGCCAGGCCTGCGCGCCTGTCTCGGCATTTTCAGCGCCTTGGCTGCTGTTGTTGTCATCCAGTGGGCCAATCTATGGTTCCTCAACAAACAACAAGCCCGTCGGCGTGTGCAAAATGGAAAGAGAGCTGAAATAGTTGATCTTTCGATGCAAAATGATTATCGCGAAATGGAGGATACCCTGGAGGAGTCTGGACTTGAAACTGTGCCAGTTGGAGATAATGCGTTTCAGGATCTGACTGATCGGGAAAATGATGAATTCGTTTATATTTACTGAAGCTAGTCGCCATATGCGGTTTAATATATGCGAATTGACTCATAATATCAGCTATTCCATAGAGTGTCTCATTCTTCTCTCATTTCTCTGTTATTGTAAGATGAAGGCCTCAGGCCACATTTTGCGCCTTGGTGCCTGAGTAACCGACGCGCGACATCCCGAATCGGTGGATGCATGTCGATTTCTCTCCCTCTTGTTTCTCTTATTTTTCCTATCTCTCTCCGCTCTTTCCGTCTGTTTCGACACTCTTTCTCTGTACTTTATCCCTAACTGGTTATTTCCACCTCTTGCCTATCCTGATCTGACTCGCATTTCCTAGATAGGGGGTGATCTATTTTCATCTCCTGCCTAGAGAGTATGTGATATATTTGCATTTCATACCTAAAAAGAGTGGGCTAGATTTTTACCTCTTGCCTATAGAGGGATAGGGCGGCAAGCAGCACAAGCTCCCTGGGCCACGCCCAGGCCACGCCTATTTGCCACGCGTTAATCGTTCAAACTACAATATGCAGCTATCATCGGATATTAATAGTTGAAATTTGAATATTTCCGAGTCTAGGAGTCACATCGACTAAGATTTGTGGCTCGTGGAAATGTGGTTGACAACTGAAGCGTGGGAATGGCCCAGGTAAAAAGGGGCTCTGTATTGGGTCCCGGTCTAGGTATGTATGTAGTTAGATGAACCGTAGTATTGAGCTTACCGACTACTGACTCTGTAGGAATATGATTATTAGGGCGAATATCCTTTTTGGAGTCTCCTTGCGCAATACCACCATACAATGAACACAATTCGTCCGTACGACAGATGCTTATAATCCCTGTGTACAGGTCATGGATTGCTTGATTCCCTTGAAGAGATCTCGAACATGCAAATGCGACAGGCAATGCTCTTCGGACTCGGACTCGGTCTTGATATTTCAAACTAGGCGGACTGGCACTCCCTGGGAATCTAGGATCTTGGGGTTTCTAAATTTCTAGTGGAACATGAAGCAGGAAAATACAGGAAGTTGCTCTGCACACATGGCGAAAACCCAGTGGATCGCGTGTCTTCATCATGATTTGTCTCGTTTCATATCACAACCCCGGAGGCAGGCCTCGGAGTCGGAACTAGCTGAAACCAATGACAAGCTGATGCGAGATTTGATGTCCGAATTGTCCTGATCTGACAACCAAAGCGAGCCTCGGCACATTGATATGTACCGCTCCCCGTCGCTGGCAACTAGAGTGTGAATGTTGCGGAGAAAATCTTGTCTCCATTGTCCATTATTGATACCCTATAGAATTTTCATTGCAATACGCACAGTCACACATTGGTCGTACCAGCCTATATAGAGTCAGTGAAACCTGAGCTACACAATGACAGGCGATCTTCAGCATACCGGGGAACCGATTGCCATCGTGGGAAGTGCTTGTCGCTTTCCCGGTGATGCAACAACACCCTCGAAGTTATGGGACTTGCTCAAAGCACCTCGAGATGTTCTCAGCGAGATTCCAGAAAGCCGATTCAGCACCAAAGCCTTCTACCACCCCGATGGCCTTCACCACGGCACTACGAATGTCCGACACTCCTATTTGTTGTTCGACGATCATCGACTGTTTGACGCCCAATTCTTTGGAACCAAGCCAGTGGAAGCAAATTCGATTGATCCGCAACAAAGACTGTTGCTCGAGACTGTTTATGAGGGACTTGAAACATCTGGTATTCCCATGGAAAGGCTACAAGGGTCTAACACTGGTGTATACGTTGGGTTGATGACCAATGACTACGCCGATATGCTAGGCCGTGATGTGCAGAACTTTCCAACTTATTTTGCATCAGGAACTGCTCGAAGCATTCTATCCAATCGAGTCTCCTACTTTTTTGACTGGCGTGGACCTTCCATGACCATCGACACGGCGTGTTCTTCCAGTCTGATTGCCCTACACCAGGCTGTACAGAGCCTGCGAAGTGGCGAGACTGATGTTGCAGTGGCGGCAGGAACCAACCTTCTGCTGGGACCGGAGCAATACATTGCAGAGAGCAAGCTAAAGATGCTCTCCCCGACGGGCCGCTCACGCATGTGGGATAAAGGTGCAGATGGATACGCACGTGGTGACGGAGTTGCTGCTGTCATACTCAAACCATTGAGTGCAGCACTGGCGAACGGGGATCACATCGAGTGTATCGTTCGGGAGACAGGTGCCAATCAAGACGGTCGCACCAAAGGAATTACGATGCCAAACCCCATGGCTCAAGCAGAGCTTATTCGGACGACGTACGCTCGAGCTGGACTCGATCTTTCCAAACCCACCGACCGACCACAATATTTCGAAGCTCATGGTACCGGTATGTCATAATCGAATGAGGTTGAAATGAGTAGTGTTTTGCTCACCAAACCAGGAACTCCAGCAGGTGACCCGGTTGAGGCGGAAGCCATCAGCACTGCATTCTTTGGACAATCAGCCAAATATCAGCGTGATGGTAACCAGGAGGACCCCTTGTATGTTGGGTCCATCAAAACAGTAATCGGCCACACCGAGGGCACGGCTGGATTAGCTGCCGTACTCAAAGCATCGCTTGCTTTACAACATGCCGTCATTCCGCCAAATCTACTGCTTAACGAGCTAAGTGCCGCGGTACTTCCCTTCTATAACGACTTGGAAATCCTTCAAGCTGCGAAAGAATGGCCTCAACTCCCAGAGAACACCCCTCGCCGTGCTAGTGTCAACAGCTTTGGCTTCGGTGGTGCAAATGCGCATGCAATTCTGGAAGGATTCGATGGGCGCCTGCTTGCTCATGGTCGGAATGCCACAGCTGGTAACTCGACAGCACTATCACCATTCAATTTCTCTGCCTCCTCCGAAAAATCGCTTCTCACCAACATCGCAGCATACTCAGCATATCTGCGAAATCATTCGGATGTTAATATCCGTGACTTGTCATGGACATTGAACTCTCGGCGTTCCACCCTTCCAGTACGACTCTCAGTACCTGCATCAAGCTCAGGAGAGCTTGCTGCAAGGCTAGATGAAGCATTACAGACATCGGCAGTAACACCAAGCACACAGACGGGAAGCATCCGCGAACCAAAACTTCTTGGGGTTTTCACAGGCCAAGGAGCACAGTGGGCAAGGATGGGTGCTGAGTTGCTTGAAAGCTCACCAATGGTCAGTGATTGCATCGCCCGTCTCGATCGGTCTTTACAGGAACTACCCATAGAACATCGTCCTGTTTGGTCGTTGAGAGATGAGCTTGTTAAAGATAAGTCCTCATCTCGGATTGGTGAGGCGGCGTTTTCGCAACCTCTTTGTACTGCGATTCAGATTGCGTTGGTTCAGCTTCTTCGGGCAGCAAATCTGAAACTCACTGCAGTCGTTGGCCATTCGTCTGGAGAGATTGCTGCAGCGTATGCCGCAGGATATATCAGCGAAGAGGATGCTATCCGTATTGCCTATTACCGCGGATGGTCTCTTCAATTCGCAAATGACCAGGAAGGGCAGAAAGGGGCAATGATGGCTGCCGGAACATCATTTGAAGATGCAAGGGAGCTTTGCGAGATGCCGACACTTGAGAACAGAATCTGCGTGGCGGCTAGCAACTCCTCCGCCAGTGTCACACTTTCAGGAGACGCCGATGCGATCGAAGAGGCCAGAGAAATTCTTGAAGATGAGAAGAAATTTGCTCGCCTATTGAAAGTGGACAAAGCTTATCACTCACATCACATGCTTTCATGCGCAGCTCCTTATATCGTAGCCATCCGCAAGTGTGGTGTCACCATTCAGCGTCCACCGAGTGGTAGTGCTACTTGGATCTCTAGTGTGTATGGCGACAATATTGAAAACGTGAATGATAATCTTGTCGACACGTACTGGAGCAACAACATGGTCAAGCCCGTACTATTCTCCCAGGCTGTCACTTATGCAGTTGCTGCCACTGGGCCATTCGATATGGTTTTGGAGATTGGCCCTCATCCAGCGTTGAAAGGACCTGCAATGCAAACAATTCAAGAAGTGTCTGGCCAGACATTGCCTTACACCGGGACGTTGAACCGCGGCAAAAATGACAGCGAGGCTCTCTCATCCGCACTCGGTGCCCTGTGGGTTGCCTTAGGTGAGAGCGTCGTGGACTTCGCAGGGTTTGAAATGAAGGCAATGCAAAAGCAAAACACCCGAACTCCGGAGCTTATCAAGGGACTTCCATCATATTCATGGGATCATGACCGGGTTTATTGGCACGAATCTCGATCATCTACCGCAATCCGCACGGAAAAGGAACCATTTCATTCCCTACTAGGTGTCAAATGCCCCGACGGCACAGACAATGAGCTGCGGTGGCGCAACTATCTACACCCTAGGGAGGTCTCTTGGCTGGCACATCACCAGGTTCAAGGCCAAATGGTATTCCCTGCAGCTGGGTATATATCGGCGGCAGTTGAGGCTGTCATTCAAAAGTATGGCCTGAATTCTGTGCAACTGATCGACTTCCATGATGTGGCCATCGGACAGGCGCTGGTGCTTGAAGAAAACGGGGGAGTGGAAACAATTTTCAGGCTTTCTATCGATCAAGTCCAACCTGATATTGTATTTGCGTCCTTTGCCTGTCATTCCGACGCCAACAAGGGCTCATCCAATATGTCTCTCCACGCATCTGCCACCCTACAAATTATTTTGGGTGACCCCAAACACGATATCCTCCCGCCACACGCCCAGCCGCAAGGTACATTCCTGGAACTGGAATCCGACCGATTCTACAACTCAGTTTCTGAACTTGGGTTTGGGTACACCGGCCCATTCCAGGCCCTTTCCAACCTACGCAGGAAGATGGACGAGGCATCGGGTTTGATCGCTATCCCAGTGGATCCCGAGACCGAAAGATCATTGATTATTCACCCGGGCTCTCTTGATGGAGCTATTCAGTCAATAATGCTTGCTTATTCTTTCCCAGGAGATGGACGTTTGCGCACCCTGTATCTTCCCACCCGAATTGATAAGCTTCGCATCAACCCGAGCGCCTGCGTCGCTCTTGGTGCCCCCGGCACAGACCTGTCATTCTATTCTGCCGTCACGGATGCCCGCTTCGCCGAGCTATCCGGTGACGTCGATATTTTTTCCGCAGATGGGAGACATACTCTGGTCCAACTTGAAGGACTTCATACCACACCGCTGAGTCCATTGACATCCACCAATGATGTTCCCTTTTTCACCGAAGTCGTCTGGGATATTGATAGACCCACCGTCCGGCAGCCACAGGGAGTTGAATCTATGCCTCCCCAGGACCGTTCCCTAGGGACGGATCTCGAACGCGTCGCCCATTTCTATTTCAAAGAACTTGAAAATTCGCTTCAGCGCTCCGATCGTGAAAATGCTACTTGGAACCATACACATCTTCTCTCATATGTGGAGCATTGTACAACTTCCGTTGCTACTGGAAATCATAAATTCGCAAAGCCAGAATGGGCTAATGACACTATGGACAATATTACTCCAATTCTGAATCGGTGAGAACCTGAGCTCTCCTTTTCACCCAATAAACCGAAATTGAAACGTACTAATTCATCTATATAGCCATTCCAACAGCATCGACATCAAAGCGCTATGTGCAGTGGGGGAAAATCTTTCTGCTATCATTCGCGGCGATATGAATTTACTTGAAATCCTGATGCGTGACAATATGTTGGCGGAATTTTATGCCAAAACGCTTGGAATAGACGCATACTTGGATGCTATCGCTGAGACGGCTCGCCAGATTAGCCATAGATACCCCCATATTAACGTTTTGGAGATCGGTTAGTCCGCGCACAATTTCCAAACTATATTCGATACTAATAAATGTATTATAGGAGCCGGCGCCGGCGGTACTTCAGATCGAGTCATTCGTGCGATGGGATCTTCGTTTGCGTCATACACATATACGGATATTTTGGACTCGCAGTTTGATGATGCACGTGAAAGATTTTCGGATTATCAATCCAGAATGGCATTCAAGGTGTTGGACATCGAGAAGGACATCGGAGAACAAGACTACGAAAAGAACTGCTTTGATCTTGTCATTGCTCCTCTAGCCCTGTATGCCACCAGAAATCTCGAAGCAACCCTCACAAATGTTCGTCGGCTACTCAAGCCCGGTGGGTATCTGATTATGCTCGAACTGACGGACGCCGATGTCATGCGTTTTGGGCTCATACTTGGTGGCCTACCAGGTTGGTGGTTAGGTTACGAGGAGGGAAGAACATTATCCCCCTGCGTGTCTGAGGACAAATGGGAAGGATTGATGCAGAAGGCTGGATTTTCTGGTTTCGAGGCCTTAGTGTCGTCTTCTGAAACCTCGCCTCTGCCATTTTCCGTCATGGTTACCCAAGCTGTTGACCACCGTGTTAAATTCCTTCGTGATCCCCTGGCAACTAATCATATGCCGCTGGGTGTGGAATCGTTGACAATCATCGGAGGAAAAACTTCCTTGACTGCTGATATGGTCGCTGATATTACCACTGCAGTCCGCCCCCACTACAGCAATATATACACGGCCAGTTCTTTAGGCGACCTTGTGTCAACGAACTTGCCGGTTATGGGATCAGTCATTAGTCTGATTGAATTGGATGGACCAGTTCTGAAAAACATGTCTCCTGAGAATCTGAAGTCATTCCAAGAGCTCTTCAAACAAAGCAAGATTGTTCTATGGCTGGGGCACGGTGCTCAAGGGGAGAACCCCTACGGAAACATGTTTGCAGGAGTTCAGCGCACATTGGCCATGGAGATGACTCACCTTCATATACATTTTGTCAATCTCCATTCACTTCATGATGCTGATGCCAATATTATCGCAAAAAAACTCCTCCACTTGGAAGCTGCCGAAATTTGGGACCAAAGTGGCCAGCTCGATGGAATGTTGTGGTCCAATGAAAGGGAGCTGCTGCTGGAGAATGGGCAGTACAAAGTTCCCCGGTTCCGCCTCAATTCTGACCGAAACGATCGATACAATTCCTCAAGGCGTCTCATTATTAAAGAGGTTGAGCGTTCCGGGTCTGTGGTCACAATCCAACCAACAGAAATTGGATATCAAATTGAAGAAAAGGACCCCCGAGCCTCACCCGCTTTCGCAGATGATGTGAAGATTGACGTGACTCATTCTTTACTCCGTACCGTCCGTATCACTCAATCGGACAATTACTTCTTGGTGGTCGGAAAGAAGGCCTCAAATGGTGAACGTGTTGTCGCCCTCTCCCATACTCTAGACTCTCGGGTCTGTGTGCTGCATGGCCTCGCGGTGCGATGTGGAGATTCTGAAGAGCTAGGCATTCGATCGATGCTCACCCTCTACTTCCATTTCATTGCCATTTCTATGCTGCAACAACTTCAGTCAGGAAAAACACTTGCTGTGTTAGACCCTGACTTCTCCCTGTCACCGGTCCTTACGAAATACGCAAACGAAAAGGGCGTTCAACTTGTACTTTTAACAACACAGGAAGGGCATTGCTCATGGCCATGGATCCGAATCCACCCAAAGTCGACCCGACGTGAAGTACTAAGCAAGTTACCTGGGAATATTTCATGCCTTGTCGATATGGGCGACAGCTCTGATGTGACTACCCTCCTAAAGACATGCTTGCCGACAGACTGTCATTTCGAGAACGAGACCACCTTGACTACAAACGGCTCCCAATCTCAGCACATCTCAGATAGAGGACAGGTGGCTCTTCAGCTGCAGAACACCTGGTCAAGAGTACAATACGACCTGATGCCTGTCAATATGCACAAGTTTGTTCCGTTAGGACTCCAGGACCTGATTCGTGCACAATCGCCGCGTGCGAAGCAATCTTTAATTGTATGGGGTCAATCACAGCTTGCCGTCCAGGTTCGCCCTGCTACCAAACAGGTCAAATTTTCAAAAGACAAAACCTACTGGCTAGTTGGACTGACAGGTGGGCTTGGCTTGTCCCTTTGTCAGTGGATGGTTAGACAGGGGGCACGATATATCGCGATATCAAGTCGAAACCCAAAGATTGATGATCAATGGCTGCAGAGAATGTCTGTTCAAGGCTGCACTGTCCGAGTATTTTCAAAGTAAGCTCTTGTTGTGTTTTTTCCCTGGGTCCCAGCAACTTATGCCCGGCTAACACGTCCAGTGACATAACGAATCGGGAATCCGTCCAAGCAACCCATCGCAACATCAGCGCAACCATGCCTCCCATCGCCGGTGTTGCTCAGGGCGCTATGGTGCTCCAGGACACAATGTTCATTGATTTAGATCTCCCTCGCCTTGAGAAAGTTCTCCGTCCTAAAGTTGAAGGTAGTATTTTGCTTGATGAATTGTTCCCAGAGGACACCTTGGACTTTATGGTTTTCTTCTCGTCAATGGCTGCAATGACAGGAAACCCTGGCCAGGTTGCCTATAACGCTGCAAATATGTTCATGGCAAGCCTAGCAGCCCAGCGCCGGAACCGTGGCTTGGCAGGACATGCGATTAATATTGGCGCCATCGTCGGTAACGGCTATGTGACGCGAGAGCTTAACATGGGTCAACAGTCATACCTTTACCGAGTTGGCCATACATGGATGTCCGAGCAAGACTTCCACGAGGTGTTTGCTGAAGGCGTCCTGTCCTGCTTTGAGCGTGTAGGAAGCGCTGAGTTATGCTGCGGACTCAGAATTGACGATGATGAATCAAAGAGTTGGATTTCTAACCCAATGTTCCAACATCTAGTCCACAAGTCTAGCAATCTTGTGGTCGCTGACAAGAAAGGGAAATCCGGTCTGTTGATAAAGACGCGCTTGTTCGAGGCAACTTCGAATGAGGAAGTCATCGAGATCTTGCAAGGTATGGTCATCGCAAATTCTATCCCCAGTTGAAACTAAATATTTTCCCCAGATGGGTTTGTGTTGAAACTCCAGTCAGCTCTACAGGCTGACCCAAGCAAGCCTATGTTGGATATGAGTCCAGATGAGCTTGGTGTGGATTCACTGGTCGCTGTTGACCTTCGATCGTGGTTCCTCAAGGAGTTGGGGGTCGACATGCCAGTGCTGAAGATCTTCAACGCGGCGTCGATTCGCGAGCTTTTAGCCACTGCTGCAGAAACTCTGCCAGAAGCTTTGATTCCCAATTTGATCCCCGGCGAACAGGTTGCTAAACCATCGCAACCCAATCCTTCGGTGGCTGCAACACCTCCCCCGGCAGATTTGCACGTGGATATAACAGTCTCAGAAACCAGTCCCAGCTCCGTGGAATTGAAATTTGCACTTCCGGACGCGACAAACGTTTACAGTAGCAGCTCTGCAACGTCTTTAATCACTGGAGATTCGAATTCCGAAAATAACGATGATACTTCTTCATCTCTTTTTACTGATGACAGCGAAATGGGTTCCCCAAAGCGTGAAATCCAAAGAACGGTGCCAATGTCCTACGGGCAGTCGCGCTTCTGGTTTCTAGAACATCTGGTCGAGAACAAGACGGCATTCAATATTACACCGACATTCGAGTTGTCTGGTCGGCTAAAAATCGAGGGATTTGCGAATGCTATACACACCGCGGCACAACATCACGAAGCCTTGCGTACTTTCTTCTTCACAGATAATGAGCAAAACCATATGCAAGGTATTTGGACGAAATCTTCCTTGCAGTTGGAGCACACTGCAATCTCGGATGAGACAGAAGTTGAAGAGGTCTCGAAGCATATGAAGGCACACATGTTTGACCTTTCTGATGGCGAGGTCATGCGCGTTCGGCTGCTTTCGCTCAACCCAGAAAAGCACTGGATAATATTCGGCTTCCATCACATCAACATGGATGGTATTAGCTTCGAAGTGTTTTGGTCAGACGTGGAAAAGGCATATCAAGGCCACTCCCTTTCCGAAGATGGGCTTCAATATCCGGATTTCACTATGCGGCAGCTTCGTGAATATGAAGAGGGCGCCTGGGCTGGGGACCTTGCTTACTGGCGAGCACAATATACAGAAATCTCCCCTCCAATTCCCCTTCTTCCATTCGCCATACAACCTATGCGCCCCAATGTTGCTCAATTTGGGTCTCATGTTACTGAGATTCGCCTCGATGCCAATCTGTCGGATGCAATTGAGCGGTGTTGCCGGATGTTCAAATCCACACCCTTCCACTTCCATTTGGCAGTCTGGAAGACCCTCCTTCTGCGGTTCTTTGATATGAAGGATGTTTGCATCGGCCTCGGAGATGGGAATCGTACGGATGCTGACATTCTGCGGAGCATTGGACTTTTCTTGAACCTCCTTCCTGTGAAGTTCTCTCAACAGCCAGGTCAATCCTTTGGAGAATCTCTCAAAGAGGTGCGGAACATCACGCAGGGCGCATTTTCCCACTCGCGTGTGCCATTCGATGTGATCTTGACAGAACTCAACGTTCCAAGATCCGTATCACACAATCCTCTGTGCCAAATAATCTTCAACTATCGACCCAAGGTCGAGCAATCACGAAGCTTCTGTGGTTGCATAGCCGATGGTGCGCTTTTGGGTGGCGGCGAAACCTCTTTCGATCTTGGTCTGGATGTTGGCAACGTCGGTGCCGGCGAGACGCTAATTCATCTAACGGTTCAGAAGAGCTTGTATGGAATGGAGCATGCTGAAATCATGCTTAGCTCCTATGTCAATCTTCTCCAGTCTTTCGTTCAAAACCCAGCGACTCGGGTGACCTGGCCGGAATTATATTCCAATGATGACCTCCAAGAAGCAGTGGCTGCAGGCCGAGGCAAGTCAATAATCCCTTTGCTACATCTTAGTCATTTGCTAAATATAGTATTATACAGGACCGGAGCTGCGCGAGGAATGGCCTATGACTATAGTCCACCGGCTGGATGAGATTGCGTTGCGCTATCCGGACCGCGTCGCATTGAAGAACCATGATGGGAGCTCCTTGACTTATGCCGAAGTCCAGCGTCGGATCGATGTTATCGCCAACGAGCTATTGCAGAATGGGGTTGGCACAGGCACTCGTGTTGGAGTTTTCCAGTCCCCGAGTGTGGACTGGATATGTTCTCTCATGGCCATCTTGCGTGTCGGTGGTGCTTACATTCCGTTGGACAAAAAGGTGGGGATGGAGAGACTCGCGATGATCATGAACGAAACACAAGCACCGATAGTATTGGTTGACATGAACTCGATGTCTGACTATGCACTTTTGCACACCACGGCGAAACCCGTCGACGTGTGCAGCCTAAAGAGCCCCACTGCGCGCGCCGTCCAAAACATGGCTGTCCCAAGCCAGACAGCGGTAATCATGTATACCAGCGGATCAACTGGTGTTCCGAAGGGGATTATGATTGCCCATTCAGCATATATTCACCATGTTCAGTCATCCAGTGGCGTCTGGAAATTGAAGCAAGGAAACGAGATCATTCTACATCAATCATCCTATGCGTGGGATGCGTCTCTGTCTCAAATCATGACCTCTCTCTGCTCTGGTGCGACCCTTGTGATTGCAGCTGAACTCACACGAGGTGATCCCGTTGCGCTGACACGACTCATCGCATCGGAGAATGTGACATGCACTATTGCGACGCCCACGGAATATCTCACCTGGGTGCGTCATGGTCGCTCCCACCTGAGTAACTCTCGTTGGTCAACCGCAGTATGCGGTGGTGAATTTGTGTCAAGTGGCCTGATGAAAGAGATTAATTCTCTTCGTCGGCCTGGATTTAGACTCATAAATGGTTATGGGCCGGCGGAGATTAGTATTGCATGCTCGAGCAGTGAAGTTCCCTACAACCTGCCAGATTCCACATCAAAATCCCTTACACATGCTCTTTATACTCTACCGAATTATTCGGTTTACATTGTCGATGAAACAATGAACCCTGTTCCCATCGGAGTGCCTGGTGAAGTAGTTGTTGGTGGTGCAGGAGTTGCCCAGGGATATCTTGACAGTACCAAAACAACTGCACACTTTTCAAATGATCGACACGCGAGCAAATTTTTCCAGGACAAGAACTGGACAACAGTCCACCGCACTGGAGACCGCGGAAAACTCAATCGCGATGGGGGTCTTATTCTCCTCGGGCGCATGGATGGGGATAACCAAATCAAATTGAGGGGAATGCGCATCAATATTGAAGAAATTGAGACAGCGATTATCAGTTCTTCAGCTGGGGCTATCACACAAGCTGTTGTATCCGTTCGTTCAGATGCAACTCAATCTGGGGATCAATTTCTTGTTGCCTTTGTCATAATGGCTACCACATACGATGCCGACAATGCGGTTCAATTCCTCAGGCGCCTTTCCCAAGAGCTGCCATTACCGCATCACATGCGACCTTCTGCTATCATTCCAGTTGAAAGCATTCCTCAAAATACCTCTGGCAAGACTGATCGCGTCGCAGTCAGCACACTTCCCATTCCGTTGATTTCATCCCAGTTATCGGACGACAACACTCTCACAGAATTCGAGCAGTCATTGCGTCAGCTCTGGCAACAGTCGCTACCACGGGAACTTACTATCTTTCACTCAATTGATTCCCAGTCCGACTTTTTCCACGTTGGTGGAAGTTCCCTTGCACTTGTCAACCTACAAGCTCTAATCAAGGAGCACCTTGGTGTGTCTATGGAATTGTATCAACTTTTCGAAGCCAGCAGTCTACGTGAAATGGCGGCTAGAATTCAAGACATATCTCGCCCTGCAATTGAAAGAGATGTGAATTGGGATACAGAGGTTGAAGTCACATCCGACCTCGCTTCATCTCTGAATCATGGTGGTACTCATATTATCGCCTCGGGGCTTAAAACTGTGGTGCTTACCGGAGCAACAGGTTTCCTTGGCAAAGAAATACTCCGAGGACTCCTAGAAGATGAAAAGGTCTCGTTCATTCATTGTCTTGCGGTCAGAAAACGATCTGAGGATTTACCTGAATTATTCACCCATCGCAAAGTTCATTTGCATCATGGTGATCTGGGGGCTCCTCAACTAGGACTCTCGGAATCTGAGGCCGAATCAATATTTTCCTGTGCCGATATTGTTATTCACAATGGCGCAGATGTGTCGTTCATGAAAACATATCAGACCCTCAAGCTAATCAATGTGGCATCGACAAAGGAACTCGTGAGACTCGCATTGCCCCGTCGTATTCCATTCCATTTTGTCTCGACGGCTGGTGTTGCACGACTTGCCGCCCAGGAAAGCTTCGAGGAGATATCTGTATCGCCATATCCTCCTCCGTCTCGACCAACAGACGGTTACATCGCTGCCAAGTGGGTGAGCGAAGTCTATCTAGAGCGAATCAACCGCCAGTTTGGTCTTCCCATATGGATACACCGCCCATCGAGCATCACCGGTACCGATGCACCGGAACTTGATCTCATGGGTAATGTCATGCGGTTTACCAAAGAAACCCAGAAAGTGCCAGATTCAAGCTTATGGACGGGGGTCTTCGATCTTATCTCTGTACAGTCGGCTGCTAGCCAACTCCTCGAGGCCGTTTACCAATCCGGCGTCACTGAACTAGCTACAAAGTCTGTGAATTATCTTTATGAGGCTGGGGAGATGACCATTGGGCGTGATGAGATTATGCCATTGATGGAACTGGGCTCAGGCGAACAATTTGAGATTGTTTCCCTCGACGAGTGGGTGAATGCTGCCGAACAAGCAGGAATGAGTGTGTTGCTGGGAGAGTACTTGCGCAGGGCCTCCGATGGACAGGTCCTCCTCCCCAAATTGATCAAAACTACTGGGGTTTCCGAGGATGAGTGAGAGCATATCACGAGGGTTCAGAATGTATGGAAATAACTATAATGTGACAGAACCAATCAGTTAGTATCGATTACTATGTAAAATAATTCAATGCCTATAGCCAACACATGCCATCGTGCCACGAAAATGAGGAGAGATATATATTAACAAGCTCTTTAAGACTACAGATCAATAAAAATAATTGGCTCTTATGTGTACTCCATATGTGGCTTAGGATTTTTGAGTTCCTCTTGTCAATATATCTACCCTTGGTCGAATAAATTTCAGAACCCTGCAGTCTCGATTGTCCTCTGGCTACCATTGTAGTCGAATGGGTACTCCAGAGACTAGACTAAGTAATGTAAAGGCATCTTAGATTTCAGGATAGACAATGTCTTTTGCCATCTGTTACGTAGACCTGTTCCATCCTCTGCCCATCGCCTATTTATTCTTATATACCGAAGTCAATATCCGTAGATCGTAATTAATTATATAGCTACTATGCAATTTGAAGTCAACACTAGGGGCAATACAAACTACAACCCGCTTGAGAGTCGAGTCGCCTTAATCTCTTTTCCTTATTCTTTTTTTTTCCCTTTTCTCTCCATCCCGTCATCAAGCCCCGAGCCCGAATATGCAGTCAGCATCAGATATTTTCAATGCAAAATACTTTTAATCTAGACCACCGACCCATTACTCTCCTGGGTTTTGATAATGCTAGTTCTTTTCAATTGGACGAACTTTTTGGCTTACAATGACTGAACCTCGCCTGGATTGAAATTTATTCCTGCGATACCACACAATGCGCATTGATTGTACGCAGCGAAAGGGGTATGTGAAACCATATCGGCAGCGCTAATCTTGCATTCGTGTGTTGTAGCATTGGAACAACACCGATTCCATGTTGCACTGCGAACTAACTAGGAAGCTCAACAAATAGTAAGCTCTAAGTTTTCCAGCGCATGATAAAGCCCATTTATTATCCTAGGTACACCTCGTCAAATATTTCCGTACAAAGCTAGAGAGGTTGCAACTATGACCAGAATCCCTAATTTTAAATCCATCAAACAGCTTCCCAGAAAAGGTGCTGTCTAGTTCGTTTTCCTTTCTCTTGGCTTTTGATTATTATTTTCCTCCTCTGTGTTGTACCGTGGTTTTATATAAATGAGTCTCCCAACTATACCCACAGTCAATATTCTACCATCATTTTATAAAATCAAAGATGGCCTCTCAGGATAAATTACCCTCAAATCAGACTGGCATCATTCAACATGAAGGCGGGATTCTTCAAATTACCCATGGTCTGCCTGTCCCAGAACTTGGGTCACACGAAATGTTGGTGAAGACTGCTTCCGTGGCTCTTAACCCCTGTGATTTTAAGATGCCATTGAGGTTCCCGACTCCAGGTCTCTGGGATGGGTGTGACTTTTCTGGCACGGTGGTTGCGTTAGGAAGCGAAGTTGCTGCACAGGGGCGATTCCGTCTTGGTGATCAGGCTTTTGGTGCCGTTCAGGGCTCAAATATGTCAGATCCAACATCTGGCGCTTATTGCGAGTACATTCGAACCGACCCGGATTTTGCTTTCCATGTTCCCAAGGGAATGGATCTTGCCGATGCACCCTCCCTCTCAGGGACTGCAATTGCGACTCTTGGGGTTGCTCTGTTTTGGTCGCTTCAATTGCCCGGAACATTGCTCACGCCAGCATCCAAATCGGAGGATATTCTGGTATATGGAGGAAGTAGCACTGTAGGACTACTTGCCATTCAGATGGTGAAGCTGTATGTATTCAATTTACTTCCTATTGCTTTCAGTATAAGTAACTGATCCATCGTTCTTAGTTGCGGCCATCGTGTAATCACAACATGCTCCCCTCACAACCGCGATTTGGTGATATCGTACGGGGCGGATCTTGTCTTTGACTACAACTCTCCAACCTGTGCCGAAGACATTCGAGCAGCCACAAAAAATACCTTGCGCCATGTGCTTGATCCATTTGCAGAAGCCAAGACCCTGCGGATGTGCTATGCAGCCGTTGGTCGCACTGGAGGGAGGTACTGTGCCCTTGAGCAATATCAAGAAAGTCTCTGCTCGCGAAAGACAGTCAAACACGAACTAGTCATGGGAGGGGCTATCTCCGGACGAGGTGTCGAGCTCCCAGACCCATACGGTATTCCACCACAACCCGAGATTGGAGTCTGGGCTCGGTCATGGTACCTAGAGCTCCAAGAATTGATAGCAAATGGGAAGCTTAGGCCCTGTCCAATTCAAATTATTCCAGGCAAATTTGAAGGTATCTTGGAGGGTTTGGACATGCTGCGAAATGGAAAGGTTTCGGGGAAGAAGCTCGTCGTCCCTATGACCACAGAATAAAAAGCTTGCGTTAAGTAGGAGACATGATGGAAGCATAGCTTAATTTCTAACTATTTGAGAAAAAAAATATTTTGACCAACCGTATCCCATATCACCTTGTACACATGTGGCTATTCATTTTTGGGTCGTCTGGTCGCCGGGGTAGTCTACCTTTGGACATTCATATACATGGTGAAGAGGGGAACGCTCTAGGCAGTATGCTCTCTGGCATACGGGTCGATTCAGCAGCTGCAACCAGGCTGTATACCCCCCATGGCATACAAAGCGAACCGGGACGGCAAACCAAGGAGTCAACCAAGAGAGGTGTAGGAGTGTGTATTGTCAATCTGTAAACTATCTACTACTTGTAACCTGTAAAGCACTAGCTGCACCAACTGCTTACATAAATTATCCGCTTGCACAAATTGAGAGGATAGGTGCCGGCGCATAGTAGTGGAGGACCATGTCCCCTACTACAATGGGTATGTCCCTTTGTTGTTTCCTTTGATGATCTTCTGCTAGCCAATACTATAATGTTTAGACAGAGAGAGCTCAGTATTATCAGGTGAGTTGAGTGAAAAGTGTTTATCTTATTAGATCAAGATATAATAATAATTTTAGATGCTAAAGTAACTAACCTTGGAAGAGTATTAGATGTTTCATACGGTGGGTTTGAAAAATTAGATTTGTGTTGAAAATACAGAATTATCAACACAGACAGTAGGGGAGATCTATTTTGGACCATCGTACACCATCTTCGCAATAACCTTCTTCTCCTCCTTAGTCGTGCTGATGTTTCGAGTGAGGTATCTCTTTCCCTCGAGCTCTTCAAATCCCCAAATAACTTCCGCTTCCCATCCCTTTGTCGTATTATGAGCTAATTCCTGAATGACCTTGTCGCTCAAGCTAGCCACCTTCACAATTTCCCGGATTGTGTCTTCCACTATCTCGGATCTGTCGATAAATTGAAGCTGCATCTGTACATCTCCGAAGATAGGCAGCGAAGCGTCTTGCTTGCTTCCATCGATGAAATAACTCCCTTCGCTGTCAAAGCCACCTGGATTGACAGTCTGTGTTACACGAAGAGATGTGACAGACTTCGAATTATCGGCCAAAACAGAACTTTCATCGTGCTTTTCCTCTGTGCATGTATCCTTTTCAGCAGATGGGGATGTGGTCTGCCACATTTGCAACGAAAGCCGGGCGTGTCGTAAGACCTTTCGGATAACCCAAGGTACGCCTTGCTATTATTTCTTAGTAAAGAAAATCCTGCATCTCAATTCACTATTTCTCTTACCAGGACCATAATTTCATCTGGATCAGTTGAGAGTCTTCGGTTCTAATCATCATATTAACACTTGTGTTAGGCAACTAGTAAAATTGGAATAACATACCAATACCCAGGTTCCAGTGAGATCAGGAACAGCATCTTTGCAATGGGGTTCAGCCATTGTCAAGGGTTCGGATTCGAAAAATGATTTGGGAAGACTTCGTTTCTTCTTTTTGTGAGATGCATCTTTCTATGATTGTGGGACGAACCATTCCTTTTAAGAGAAGAGCCGAGTCTTCTCTATTCCATATTACTGGGATTATTATATGGATTCTAAATCAAGGTCGGACTCGGACTCGGTGTCCGAATATGCAGGGGAAGTCGAGCGCAATTATTTATTAATGCAAGGACTAGGCAGCCCGTCAATGCCAGAGTCTTGGGCTGAAAAGACTTGAACACGGCATATTTTCCCTTCCAAATGCTTATGGCCGGTTGCCTACTCTGGCAGTAATCATAGTAACCCTACATCGTTGTTTGTTCATGAGGATACAGTCCTCAACCCCATCTAAACGTCCCTTGATCTGATATCTATATGTGTCTCTATTCTTATTTTTCATTGGTTCATAATGTCAATTACCTATATTGTCAGGTCCTAGAGCGGAACTTTTCAAATAGCACTATTAAATAAGGACTGGGTCTTTAACGAGTTGCCGCAAGCACTCCATTATTTCCATCAAAGACATTTCACAAGGATCTTGTTCTTGTGCTTGGACAATCTCGCGGATCGAGGTCGACCAATCCATCCGTCGAACTGTTTCAGATGGGTCAAACTCTCGATCGGGTCGGTGTTGAGCTGAGCCTGACCGCAACTGAAGGGCTCGATCAAGCTTATCCATCATTGTAGAACTGAACTCCACCAATAATTGAACTTGGGCGATGAGATTTCCATCCAAATGAAACTGCCCGAACCGTACTTTTGGTAACAGCAGAATCGTAGCTGCATCAGCTGGAGGAATGATCAGAAAAAGCTGATACAAGCGCATGAGAACGGCACGATATATGCGAACAAGTGAGCAATGTGCTTCCAATATGCCAAGCCACAGTACTATGTCGAATTTCGGGATTGTCGGTGTTGTTCGATCCGGAGATGTTGTCGCCGTATGATACCCAGAATCATGTGGGGATGCTGTACTAACATCCTCATCCAAACCACTGTCGCAGGCGTCTGGAAGCATCAAAAAAGAGTCCTGATATCCGCTGTTCTCTGATACAAATTGCTGTGTAGCAAGTGTAGCATCCAAGGTTTCTTCAGTTGTACCACACAAGGATTGAACAATTTCCAAAAGCCAAGAGGAGTGATCAAGCAGACGATATATTGGAAGGTCGAGGGTTTCAATCGACAAATTAGAATTTTCGTAGAAGAGCGAGGAAGATTCTAGGAGCATCGACCCGGTCTCGAACAGCTCCAAATCTTCAAGAAGCCCCATTTTCAATCTCAGGAGACTCTTGCGAATATCTTTCATAGAGAACAGGACTCCTTGGCTTGTTGTCATTGGGGAAGGCTTTCTTGGAGTTTCAAGATCTGGACAATTCAGCCATCCAGGATTCGGAAGATCTTTTATTGTAAAGAGCGATTCGTTCTCGCCACCATTGATACGCTTCGTCTGAAAAGGCTGGAAACTTGCCATTTCAGTGGCTTGTCTGGCACCTGATGGGGCATCACTGGTGAAAACAGAGGGAAAACAAGTATTTGCCTCGTAAGGATATATTTGATCTGATGGCATCCAATCAGAAGGCTATGATGATTGATAGTCAGCAGCTGAGTGGCGGGTTTCTGGGTGATTTATTCCCCCTTCGGTCCCAACTTACCATGTTATAAGCATCGGTTGACCAGTTTGCATGATGTTCACCCCATTGCTCAACAGGAGGCATGGCTGTTCCAAAGTCTAGGGGCATATTAAACCCAATGTCTGCTGTGGAATAATGGAAGTTGCCTTCAGGGAAACCTGGCATTGACATTACTCCCCCCCAGTACTGATGTTCTTTGATATTGTATCTCCCTGTGATTGGAGGAGAATGCAACGACTTCTTCACTCTAGAGTCGGATGATTTGTGTAGAATAGACATTGTATCATGCCTTTGATTAAATCTTTGACTCTCACACTCTTCTCGGGCAACCTGGTTTTGACCATGATTTGAGGGCAAGATGACCGGTGCAGGCTGGTTCATACTTGTGATACAAATTTCTTGGGCCTTAAGGCATCGCTCACAAGACATGCCATTCATATGATCGCGCTCGCATCGCAATTTTTGCCCGCGACAACGATCACAAGCAGACCGTCGAGAGTGCCGATAATTGTGAGTTGGATGCATTTGTAAGGATCACAAAAGAAGCAGAAGACAATATTCGCTAGGGATGCTGATATTTTCAAAGACAGGTCATTGATGAGAAGCTACCAGCGGCAAATATGTACTTTGTTCTCCACTGGAATTGGATACAATACAGGAACCCATCAATTGGTTCTAATCATTCCCATGAACACATCTAAACAGACTTCAGGCTCGAGGAAAGATAGTTCTATTCAAAATTGGTGTCAGGGAAAATGGCTAAGAAAGCGCGTGGTTTGGTACCACCGCGCCTGTCTACCTCTCCCTTGGAAGACGATCTACAACATTCCTGATCATGAGTCTACATTGTGATTCGTTGGATACTCTCAATCTTTTCATACCCAATTCTGAGGTATGACAAGTTCTCAGGTCATAGCAACTTAAACCTCTCACAACATTTGTATAGACATGCGAACATGCAGACAGAAGTTTAAGGGTATTTTCATCGCATCCATGAACCGAAGGCTGAGCCCCAGAGTCCTGGTACAAGGTGCATCAGGATTCATGGAAGATGTTACACCATGCTCAATTGAGAGTAATCTATGAGCGAGCATATCTGCTGTGATACAAAGCAGGTGAGAATTGTCTCACATAGCGCTACATCTGAAACTTGAGCTCATTCTCACGGTCAATGGCCAAGAGGTTGGGAGACGCCTTCAACAAACCTTTGATCTGCATCAAAGATGTCGGTAGAAATGACGATCAGCGCAATTTCATATTCAATAAAATATCATACGAAATCAAGTCATGGAGACACAGGTCATTCATCTACGGTACTTAAAGTCAGCCAGTTGGCCAGAGAGATTGCTACAGTACCTATGCTGTGCATTGGAGGCTAGTTTGACGCCACTGAGGCAAATTTATGCCTAAGAATCATTAAACGGACACAGACTACCATTAAATATTCAGTTAATACTCAATAGGAGGTAGATAACTCTGATTTGGAAGATCGCAGATCATATTAAGCCCGGGGCGACATCAAAGTTCGGAGAATTAAGGCTATCCTAGGACCCAGCTGAGAATCTTCCGGCTTGTCGGTTCTGGCCCGTGGTATTTTCTTTTTTCCCTCCTGCTGAATTTCATATTTTACCTCCACATCCTAAAATCCACCGATTACGGAGTATTCTATTGTCAACTGTCGAGGGGCGGAGAATGTGAAGTAAGGGGTTCAAAGCCTGACTACAACTACGCCCCTGTCCCCAGTGCGCGGTTGGTTTGAAACAGTGAAAATGTCGATCATAGGAGGGCAAATATTATATTAAGTATAATTCAAGGACATATCTATCCACTTCCTTGTTTATTCCTATCGTGTAGAAACCCCGTGCCCTTTACCTTTCATGTTAAATCGCCGATGCTATGCATTATTTATATTGAGGCTGGCAGCCACTTATATCCCTGATTTGCACCTAATCTATCCGCTAGCCCAGTCCCAGGTGAATAAAATCCATTAGAAGGTTATTGGTTTTTGGCACAACTTCTGTGATTATAGTGACTCAGTAGACCTCCGCAAAGCCCACAAAGCCCAAAGCTCAACCCGCCCCAACCCACTCATGGGCTGGGTTTTGGGCCCAGTCCTTAGGCCCATCGGTGGGCTATGAGCCCGGAGTCAAAGCCCACTGGGCTTTGAATGGGGGCCCAATAGGGCCCAATAAGCACTAAACAATACAGACACCCCGAAAAACGTGACTTTTTTAATTACCCTATGTTTAGACCCCGTTTCTGGTCCTTATATTAGGGTAATACTTTATTAATTTAATTGATACGTAATGAAGTATTTGCTAAACTTATATATCACGCTCAAATACGCGAGAAAACGCGTTATTAAGATACGTTTTAAATTACAGAGGTTCACTTAGAAAGTGGTAGTAGTCCCCCGGGGGCCCGCGCAAATCCCAAATATATATCCAAAATTACAACATCAATATTAACGTTTTCCGCAATATCTCGACCTCCACTAGTTGGATTTTGTTTAAAAATAAAAATTTTACTCTATATAATAAGTGGAAGGTCGGAATACGGCGATTACAAGATGCTTGTTGAACCCCCTGAATGGGCTATAATGGGGGCCTTATGGGCCGCCACGAATGTGGTGTAGGTTGGGTTGGGCTTTGGGCCCGGGGTCCGGGGACCGGGCCCATTTGTGGGCTTTGCGGAGGTCTAGTAGTGAGCCAGCCTTTAGTAGTATTCCTAGTCAACTAACTTCTTCATGAAACTCGACTAGACTTGCACAAAAATTCGCCAATAGAGAAAGAAGTCGAAGAGCCTTCATAGGGGATTTTCACTCTAGCTAGGATGTCCATTCCAATCCTTGATCATAACGCGAACGCCTTGACTTCCTTTTCGCGGGAGACCATTGAACATATCTCTCACAATTCGAACATCGTCTACCGTAGTCTCATATAGCTCCATCTCAAACTCCCGGAAAATAGTGGCGATTGCTAAAAGAATCTCCGCTCGCGCGAGGCTAATCAACATATATTAGTAAACGATTGAAATGTAATTTTCGGGGGATATCTACATACGGGATGCCAATGGACTGTCTTGATCCTTTGCTAAACGCAACCAGATACTTCTCGAGGTGTTTCCTCTGTTCTGGATCCATCCATCGCTCTGGGATGAAATTTTGCGACTCTGGGAAGATATCTTCATTGTAGTGCATAAATAGGCTGGTCATGCCAACATGTGTCTGGTGTATATCGTTAAAAGAAAACGCCTAGATAACTTCAAAACCGGAAATAGAGATATCGTACCCCGGGAGGAATGATCCAGTCCTTGTAAGTCATCACTTGGTCTGGGGAGCTGCGTTGAAGTCTTGTTGCCACGGCGTTGGAGATTCTTCATGATGGATAAATAAGCAAATGGTAAAGTGGCGTCAGGAGAGTTGAAAGACAAGATTTACACATCTTAGACCTTCCAGCATAACAGATATCTATTTTCTCGTTAGATATTGATACCTCGTGAACCAAACCTTCCGAATGGAGAAGCTTACAAGGTACGGCATTGCTTCGTATTCCACCAAAGTTGCTGTCCCCTCAGGGTCGAGTCGGTTGAGCTCATCTCGTAGCTTTTGAAGCTTATATGGGTTGTTGAGTAGATGGAAGGTGACTGTTGTCAAATTTCTCGCCGTCGTTTCTCCTCCTGCCGATATAACAGTGAAAACCTCTTGACTCAAGCGACCAGCCACCTTCTCCTCTGCGGGAAGCTTGCTGTCTAGCAGCGCATGAAACAATGTACCTTTCGGTACACTAACCTTATCATCTACCGAGGTCCCACCAGCAGTTTGACTATCAATGACCAATTTTGCTAGGCGCAAACCTTCCAGTTTCTGATCAATTACTGGGCCGATATGAGGGTTGATTCTCACAACAAGCCATTGTGGAAGCAGCTCAAAGAAGCTCAAGATCCAGCGAAATTGTTTGAATTGAACTCCGATTTCCACAATTGCTTCGATTGTCTTTGACCACTGTGGTGTGAAATCAGGGTCATCCAAATAATGGAATGATTCACCCATAGTATACTCCACAACCACGTCTGTCGTGTAGGCATTAAATGCATGATAAATGTCCAGCGGTGTATCTCTTTCTTTCCAATCTCGCATTCCTTTGCGCAATTTGTCGATTAATCCCCGGATCATAGGCTCCAAGTGGCGAATTCGCTGCTGAGAGAAGAATGGGTTCATAGGTTGTCGGCGTATCCGATGGCGGCGGTGGTCGACTGAGCCGAAAGAGGAGGCAGGTGCCCCAAACATGCCAGTCAAATGTAACGATTTGTTCCTCGGTGTGTCTCGAGAGTATAGTACTTCATAGTAATCTGGGTCGTCAACGTGTAGTTCGAAAGGACTGATTCGGACAATCGGGCCGTATTTGCGATGCATCCCGGCGATTCGAAAAGTGTACTGTCCTCCGAGGAACGAATCGTAATAGAACTCGTACCACATTGTCAGAGCAGCCAGTTTTGGTCCAGGGAATTGAGCGAGTGGTGAAAACCATAGTCGATATATTGCCAACCACACTCCATAGATCACTCCAACCACGCCAAGGGCCACAATGGGCTGTGCGATAACCAACTTACACCATTCCATGGTCGGTGGGTTTAGAGACAAAGGATGAAGATGCCTAGGACAGGGAAAAATGCAAATTCAACTCTTTTAGCTCACTGTAGATGGTACCTTGTATCTCCTTGGAGTTTTGCCCCGCCCCGGTCAAGAAATACCTTATGCTACCAAGGCGAATGAATACGGAACGGTTGTTGGAATCCATACTGTCGGTAACATCCCGCATCGCACCTTTGAGGAAAAGGAAAGAGGAGAATAAGAACACCTGGGGCCTCGTGCAGTTACAATCTTCCGCAGCCTATCGCGGCACACCCGCGTCAGCAGAAATAGAAGATCTTATAGAAACTAGTTTGGCTGTGGGTCTAGACAATGTGTCCAGAACTCAGGATCATCCATTTCATTTCTTAGAAGAGGTTCGGATTGATAATTTCCAAGCCCCATTCAAGAGCACGGGGCCTCAGTGGAACCTTCACGGATCCATCCCATCCCATTCCGGAGGGACAAAGCGTTGAGACTGCCGAGAGGTGAAGAATCGGAAGCTAAGAGAATAATGATACCGATAGATACAATAATTCAAGGAGTTAGGTTCGGTTCTTTGCCTCGCTTTACTACCGTTCTTTTTCGTCTTCAAGGGTGGTGAGGTAGAGATGTTGGCAGTTGATGAAATTAGGTCGACTGTTCCCATTTGGGAATAGTGGGAAGTGTCAAAAACAAACCCACAACTCCATTGTTCAATCAATGTTCATAACACATGTGACATTGACGAAATAGGGGAATATCAATGACCATGCTTCTTACCGTAATATGTGAATATTCTCTCAACTTGAACCATGGCCGAGCTGAAGATCATGATGCTCAGACGTTGTAGCGAAACCTTGGTGACAACCCCTTTGCTCAGACACGACAGTCGTAGCAAATAATTAGCTCGTCATATGAATAATAAATCCAAAGGGCCTGGCGTAGCACTTCTCCTAATGCACCATGGTAACCTGTAAAATAGCGGGTGATGTAATGTATATTGTCACATCACACTGATATGCATACAACAGAAGGTTTGCTTCCGCCAGCCAATAATTCGTATTTAAACATGTCGCACATCCCGTACTCATTCCCTTAACTTTTGGAATTTGCAAGTTCTCACTCATCCTACATTGTGGATTGTGGAGAGATGGGGGGATGGGGAGGCAAGACCCGAAAATCCCCTCGGCCCCTCAGCACCCGCGCTTCCATATACCCCATTCATCTAATACACATTCATATCGTCCTTTTTCGGCAGTTTTTTCTCATCTCCAAAAAAATTATGCAAATCTTGTGTGTATACGGAGTATATATCCGGATGTTAAACCGAGATGCCTGATCGCCGAGGTCCGCTTGGAATGCGGGGAAGCTGAGCATTACATACCTGCTACTCCGTACATAATACTATGTACCTAGGTAGCCTGCAAGGCCTATCGTTATTAGCAACAAAATCACCATGAATTTCGATTTGCCAGCAGATCTCCAAGCTCATTTAGAGTCTATAGATTCTTTTATTCACTCAACTATTCTCCCGTTGCAGCATTCAGACGACAATAACCGCTTCTTCGATCACCGTCGTGAGTATGCACGGACCGACTGGGAAAACAATGGAAATCCAAAAAAGGAATGGGAAGAGCTATTAGGTAGGCTAACAAGAATCCGGCGATGAGCCTGGCTGATAGATCAATAGATAAGGCGCGTTCACTAGCTGATTCCTCTGGCTTTTACCGATTCGCGCTCCCTCAAGTTTATGGGGGCAGTCACATCCAAACGTGAACGTATGGATGTCCGCTATTCGCTATCACTTGTCCCCAAATGCTGTGTATGGTGGTGGTTTGGGGCTAGCCAATGATCTACAGAACGAGCATAGTATTGTTGGAAATTTCCCGGATATTTTGATGCTTCACCATTTTGGCAACCAACAACAAAAGGATACCTTGATTCCTGCACGTCTGCGGGGTGAATTCCGAACAACATTCGGTCTTACTGAGCCCGGCAATGGAAGCGATGCAACATTCATGTCTACTACCGCTCGTCAAATTCGGGGATGGTTTGAGATCACGGGAGCAAAGAAGTGGCAGACAGGGGCGCATCACTGTGCCCACTTTCTCATCTTTGCGCGAACTTCTGGCCAAGAAGGATCAGCACGAGGCATTACTGCCTTCTTAGTCCCTCGTGATACAAAAGGGTTGCGCATTGTTAGTTACGAGTGGACGTTGAACATGCCCACCGACCACGCAACGGTGGAACTGGATAGTGTATGGGTTCCTGGATCGGCGGTTTTGGGATCGGTCGACCAGGGGCTAGCCATCGCCCAGACATTTGTGCACGAGAATAGAATTCGTCAAGCAGCCAGCTCCTGTGGGGCTGCGCGATACTGCCTGGATCGAAGCATCGAGCGCGCACGGGCGCGGAAGGTATGGGGAGAGGGAAAGACTCTGGCCGATAATCAGGCTATTCAGTTCCCGGTCGTTGAGTTGATGACACAGGTGGAGATGTTGCGACTATTTATCTTGAAGACAAGCTGGGAGATGGACCGAATTGTGGCGGAGTGCCAGTCGTCCAAGACCCAGCGAGCGCCGTGGGTTGAAATTGAGCGCCGTCTTTCGGATCAGGTGGCTATGTGTAACTTCTGGGCAAATCGATTATGTTGTCAAGCTGCTGACCGAGCAATTCAGGTAATTCCACACCGGCTGACTGTTGTGACATGACTGACCGATCAGATCCATGGGGGTGATGGATACTTTCGTCACTACCCCTTTGAACACATATATCGTCATTTCCGTCGGTATCGGATCACGGAAGGCTCAGAGGAGATCCAAATGCGCAAGATTGGAGCATACATATTTGGATTTGCTGGTCCAAAGAAAAAGGACATGGAACATGCTGAGCGTGAAAAGGCCAAGATTTGATCTGACCCCTGACCTAGTTAGGGTCGGGACCAGGCCATTATGACAAGCGTAGGGCCAAATCCGCATCAAATCTTACCTATGTAGCTGGAAGTGAGGCAAGTAGTACCGGGGTATGAAATATGGCTGTTTTAAGAGATTTCTTGCGTTGTTCTACGTAAACATGTATCTCCAAGTCGGATGTTTTGATGTGGAACCTATGGCCTTGGATTTCAGGCTGTAAATAATTTGTGGCCTTGTGGCCTGATTCCCAAGGCTGAAGATCTTCGGGCCTCCCGAAGTTTTCCCGAGAGGCAAGTGCTACAATATTATCTTGTGTGGGTAGTGAAAGTAGGTTGACCTATATTAAAATATAAAAGAAGCTATGTACCAGCAGATCAACTAGACAAGCTCTTTGCAAAATTTGTATAATAACTGTGCGCATTCTCATATTATACATCCATGGATGGTAGCTACCTACCTACTTTGTGCTTTGTACATAATTTTAGGTAGCTCAATCCTGAAGTTTTTCAAAGTGGGCTTCATATTAAGTACCTGTTGGAGGATTATACTTTATTTTTTTAGCTAGCTGCTCATTATATTAAGTACTTAATTCCAGTCGGTACCTTCTCTTTCGGATGTTGTTCCAACCCTGGAAGGTTCGGCGCCACTTACCTAAAACGTTTAAGATTTTTTGCTCCACCCACGGATCTGATTTCGCAGCCGCCACTGAGCCAGTTCGAGCTCTGCAGAAAAATCTCTGAAGACTTGGACAACATTGAAGGCAAATGAAACGGGACGATCTTGGACCGCCAAATATACACGCCATATATACAATAAATGCTGTGACAACCTCATCATATTCAAATCCAGTTCTAATCGGATATACCTCGTGGTGGCCCTATCATGTCCGACATGGCCTCTCCCGATGCCTCCGCGGTACATGATACCAAATCATCTCCAAATGTGATCTCTGCGGAGTCCGATAATGCCTTTGAAGATACCAAGAAGTCTGATGCCGAGCAAAATCATACCAAGAACCCCAACCCTGGGGAACTGAAGCGCAAGCTGAAAAGTAGGCATCTACAGATGATTGCAATTGGTAAGTCTTGGCTTTCTTGGTCGAAATGGGTTAAGGGAGATGCTAATTTACCTTGGTTACAGGTGGAACTATCGGCACAGGTATACTCTCTCGCCCTCAGGTCTTTGGCTGAACGAATTCGAACATCTAACCTCTCCCAGGACTCTTTATTTCTAGTGGCACTGCTATCGCCCAATCCGGCCCCGCTGGCGCGTTGATTGCCTATATGTTTGTCGGTTCGATTGTCTATTCTGTTATGAGCTCGTTGGGCGAAGTTGCAACCTATATCCCAATATCCGGTGCCTTCACATCCTATGCAGCCCGGCTGATCGACCCAAGTCTTGGATTTTCTATGGGTTGGATTTATTGGTTCAACTGGGCCTCCACATTCGCTGTCGAACTTACCGCCACCGGTACAATCATTCAATATTGGGATTCTAGTCTGAACATCGCAATTTTCATCGGAGTGTTCTGGGTGTTCATCACGGCTATGAACTTCCTCCCCGTCAATTTCTACGGCGAGGTGGAATTTTGGTTCTCAACTATCAAAGTGGCCACTGTGATCGGCTTCATCATTTTTGCTATCTGCATCGACGTTGGAGTGGGAGAGCAGGGCTATCTAGGCTTTCGCTATTGGGGCACGCCGGGCGCTTTTGCCTCGTACAGCCCAGAATTACCAGTAGCTATTGGCAAGTTCGTTGGTTTCTGGGCCGTTCTTATCCAAGCTGGATTCTCTTACCAAGGCACGGAGCTTGTTGGCGTGGCCGCGGGAGAAACCGAAAATCCCCAAAAGACAGTTCCGTCAGCTATCCGCAAGACGTTTATTCGAATTCTGTTCTTCTTCGTTTTGACAATTTTCTTCATCGGACTCGTGGTCCCCTACACCAATCCCCGCCTCACCACTGCGACAACCAACGCATCATCATCACCTATGGTCATCGCGGCTGACTTGGCAGGAGTCAAGGTTCTTCCCAGCTTGATCAATGCTGTGCTCTTGTCTGTGGTCTTATCTGCCGCAAACTCCAATGTGTACAGTGGCAGTCGAGTCCTGACTGGACTAGCACATGAGGGATTTGCGCCAGCCTGCTTTGGGTGGGTGACCAAGCACGGTGTTCCATATATCAGTGTGATGTTCACCGCTTTGTTTGGTTTGTTGGGTTTCATGAACGTTTCCAATGACGCGGGGCAAGTCTTCACTTGGCTTGTGAATCTTTCCAGCGTTGCGGGTTTTATTACCTGGGCCTCAATCAATGCGTGTCACATTGCGTTTATGCGCGTATTGGCAAGCCGCGGAATTTCTCGCGATACCCTTCCATATAAGGCCGTGTTGCAACCATATCTCGCTTGGTATGGTCTCTTCTTCAACATCCTCATTGCCCTCACCCAGGGCTTCACTTCTTTCATCCCGCATTTCCGAGTGACGGACTTCTTCATCGCGTACATCTGCCCCATCGTTTTCGCCGTGCTTTATATCGGACACAAGGTGATCTTTCGTCCGTCATTTATCCGTGTAGCCGATGCTGATATCGACACTGGCCGCTTGCACTATGAAAAGGAAGTTAATCCTCCTAAGCCATGGTACGCAAAGGTCTGGGGCTGGGTCAGCAAGTAATACATACAGCACATCTATCAATGTTCGATACCTTGTATTTACTTTCTTTACGTCAAAGCATTTCCGCTTGGATATTTGCAGTACCCTTATGTAGCATTATATCTCAGATATAAATAGGTCATTCTCGGAATCATGTATTTATCACCCATTATGCTCTCACAAATATCATTTAAGATGATACCTCACCCCGGATTTTTTTAAGGGATAGCCTTTCGTGACGACATCAACGGCCCACAGGAGATGGTTGTATGTTGCCATAGTTTTTTATATCCACTTCAACTGCCGGGCCACCACAGAGAGGCCGCCCACCACTGCAGTGGCGCCGGTGCATACAACAAGGGTCCCGTAGCCAGTTCCATATGTACCCAACGCATGTCCTTTCCAGTTGTCTGCCTTGAGCAGAGCCTCACTTAGGGGCCCACTTGCCACATTGCCAATTCCACGCCCTGTTTCCATGAATGGGAAAATGACAGTCGCATCTGCTAATGGATTCGCTTTCTGCACCTCGTTAGAGACCCCCGCCCATGTGGAGGAGAAGCCACCAGCTAGGAGACCATAGGCAATACAAAAGACGTATAGAGGAGGCATTGTATCGGCGAACCCCCAAATAAAAAAGACCGCGATAACGGTGCCTACAGTCGACATGAAGATACAGGTAGTGACGTGATATCGGTCGGAAAGGAATCCCATGATCACAGAGCCAAACACTGTGAACAAATTGACGAGGATTACTGTGAGAGATGCCATGTAGTCGCTCGCACCTAGACTGCGGGCGTATGTCGGAAGATAAATGGTCGGCAGGAAGAATCCGATTGCTTCGAGAGTGTTGCCAAGCTGGTAAATTATGAAGACTTTGTTGTACAAGAAACGAAAATTGAGACGGTGATACGCGATTTCCGTCGTATGCAGCCTCGGTCGATGAAAGTAGAGAAAAGGCACAGCAAGAATGAACAATGTCACTGATGATATTTGAAGCGTAGCTTCAATCCCATACTGGTTCAAAAGCCACTGGATGGCTAGTGGGAAGACTATGCCGGAAACACCAGACCCGGCCTAGGGATATATATCAGTTCGACTTGCCATAAGAAGGAGCCCCGAGTGCAAAGTATTCGTTTTGTAACTCACCCAGACAATACCAAAGGCAAGCCCTTTTCGTTTATCGAACCACTCTGACATGAATAGGATGGTAGGAGTATAGGCAAAACAGCCACCAATTCCAAAGCCAATTCCTTGGGACAAAATAAGATGCATGACGTTGGTGGAAAGGGAACTCAGTGCCAAAGACAAACACATGATAACAACTCCAATAGTTGACACCCAGCGAGCAATCTTTGGCACTAAAATCATCAAAATGATTGCCAACGGAGCAATCAGATATGCGATACCCTGGGTATTATTAGCAAGAAAAGAGCGACCTTAGATATCTTGACAACTAACCATCGCACAAGTACCAATAACTGCGATGTTATCAGATCCTTTGAATGGCGCATGTGTACTATAGTAGTCTTGAAATATACCAAAAGCAAATGCATAACCTAATCGCGTGTTAGTTTCAACAATAAAGTCTATGTTCGACCAAAGAACAACAAGGATCACGTACCCCAAACCAGAGCCTCAAGCATCGCAGAAGCCATAAGGAACAGCCATGCTTGAACACCTCCATCAACTGGTGGTAACTTTTTCTCATCGTCTAGGATGATTCTGCTGTCGGACTGTTGGTCGGAAGGTATGAAGGATGTACTCCGGCTAGTGAAGCTGGGAGTATATTCCTTGGACTCCATGGTGAAAGATATCACGACTCTGTGGTCGCGGACGTGGTGAGGATCTGGAAGTACAGTTGAATTGCGTGCGAAAGCCACGGGGGAAATCCTCCTTTGAGAAGGGTTTATATTCAACGCGGCCCTTTGAAAATAAAGCCAGGATCGGCGTAGGAAAGGCAAATAAGCTAATGGAAGCTAGCTGCATGACGAAATAAATCTCCCTGACAAGAATCCTTCCAATTAGCATGCCAGGAAGGTAGCGCAAAAGCACATACCTGGAATCCAGGTGGACTTGGGCCCCAGCAATGTGATGGTGAGCCCCTAGATGTACCGATATGGTCAGTTTTACACGTCACGCGTATACGCAGATTGTACCATGTTGCTTCCTCGGTTGCCTAGGTCTTTGATTGATGCCAATAGGCACAATGGAAATATGTTCTTCATAAAGTATTTCTCTGTCATTATTCAATGCCCGCTGAGATATCAGGCAGTGTGCTACGATTTGCTACGATTCGAAGCTGTGACGATCGCACGCGGGATCCGCTCTAGAAATAGCCCGAGAGAAATGACAACGGTCCCCTCAAGGCTTGGCCCACAGTGTGGGTGTACGAACCGCCCCGCTGAGCGGATCAAATGGGAAATGGAATGTTGATCGGGATCACTGCATAGCAGGGCTGGTGGGCTCGGAGAATTCCATATTGATAACAGGTATCTAACCCGCTGTCATTGGCAGAGATAAGAACCAAAGGAGAATTATCTTTTCCCCTGCTGGAAAAGGTTCGTGGCTGGGTAGATCCAATCAGTATAGATCTCCCATCTCTGAACGATGTCATGTACAGACGCAATTTGGAACTCTTTGCACGTGGTACGCTCTTTCGACACTACCAAGTGACATAGATGTTAGAATACCATATCCCTAACAAGATATCGTGACCGAATGGACCAACAGACAACATAAAGCCTTATACCTCTTCAAACACTGTGGGGTGAGGTTGAGCAACATTCCAGCCAACGGAGCTAACGTAAGTTTATCCATCGAGCCAGAAAGTGTTATCTCCTAGCATTATGTATTAGAGGTTCCACTCTCATCATACATATTCGAGGACATGTATGTCATTAATTCTTCAAAAACTGGATCTTTATTATAGGCTGCAGTTATAGTCGTGCATTTAGTCTCAATATTTGTCAACTCGGGAAACGGTTCAAACAAGTTTAATACAGTCATAACTATGTGCGGCTTGCCTTGTTAAGTTCATGACTGATTAGATTCATGTCTTATAGAATATTAGAGGAGGTTCTCCCCTGTCCTGTAGCCGGTGAGGTCTACACTAGAGGCCTGGGCTTGATTTCGGTATTATGTATATAAGCGGGTAATTCTGCCCAGGTGCCCGGGCGCCCACGCCAGCCCGGCCTCGGAGAGGAGGCGCCACCTAGGCATCCTGCTCCCGGTTTGATAACTACATGTACTCAAAGACATTTAATTACACTAGTCCTCTGATAATATTTAATTTTAACTTGTAATTCTGGGTGGATTCTTTTGAGTAAACTTTTACATCATCAATGAATATGATTTTTCCTTTTTTTTGGCGTCTCAAGCCCGTTTTAATGCTTATTTTCAGGATCCTTTCTATCCTCTACCTGAAGGATGTCATTAGTTAACAACACAAAGTAGACAAGGTTTAAAGGGTAAAATGTAAAATTTCTGTATTGGATTCTGGGTGCGTGTGGTTCGTATATTTTCATTATCATTAAACTAAATTGAGCTAGGAGTGCCGGACTGCAACTATTGACAAAAGATAGGTAGTTAAGATCTAGAAGTCTGCCGCGTTCGGCAACTTTTCAGGAGTATCACTTCGGAAATTGTTTGTGATCAGATTCCCGAAGGAAGGCGACCAGTCCACGCGCGGAGATAGACTCTCTAATCCCCAAAGCTCAGAGACAAATTTAAGGATAGAAGTATGCGTGAACTCATTCCCGTCGATAGGCTTGTGCTGGACTAGACCTTTGGAAACCCAGGGCGATATTAAGACTGTAGGAACGCGAATCCCGAGACGATCGAAATGGAAAGTGTATTCCTGGCCATCCTGGGCCTTTTCAGTATAGGTCAGACTGTCCCCGGCTGGAACGTCAGTGGGAGGCGAAACATGATCCGCAAAGCCACCATGCTCATCCCACGTCAGAATAAAGAGTGTCTCATCCCACTGTGGGGAATTACGAATAGCCTCATAGATGCTTTTGACAAAGTTCTCACCCATATTGATTGGGGACGGAGGATGCATTGACATGTATGAGCAGCACTCAGGGTTGATCCAGGTAAATTGTGGCAGTGCCCCAGCTTTGGCATCAGTATAGAACTGGGAAATCGGAACAACATTGTCTTTAGCATTCTGCGCGGTCCAGTCATAGAACATAGCGTCGGGTAAAAATGCAGGTTTTGACTGAGTCGAGTTTTCGTAGTTCTTCCAAGTAATTCCCTTCTCTGATAGTTGCTCGAAAATTGACTTTTGTGGCAGAGAAGAGGTCATGAAATCGTTATCATTGCGGCCATGGCCATGTGAAGTGCCAGAGGTCAAGTAGGCACGGTTGGGGTTTGTGGGACCCGGAACTGCAGCAAACCAGCGATCGAACAAGACAAAGTTCTGAGCGATGTTATTGAAGACGGGGATATGGTCCGGGTTGAAGTAATTAATCGCTTCGGCTGCCCGGTTTAGATCGTCCTTCGGGTACGAGGCCCGTTGCTCACTGATGAAACCATTCATGGAGGACTTGGCTCCTACAAGGGGGTGGTAGGTGCCAAATACTTGCATGTTACCACCCGCGATACTGTGGTTTGGGTCATCCGAAGCGATGTTCTTCGCACTAGGGCTGGCGCAGACCTGGTCGGAGGTGGGGATTGAAACATTGGCAGGGTTGCAATATTGTGGATTCTGGGGGCCATCAATGCTTGAATCATAGTCCAGACCGCCAGCGAAATGGTCAAAGGACAAATTTTCCTGAACTAACACCACGATATTCTTGATATTGCTCATACCCGACGAAGCGGGCATCGCAGCGGCACCCAGACTTAGGGCAACAAATAGCAGAGAACGCGCCATGTTTGGAGATGAAAATAAAAAGCTAGAATCGATGAGTTGACGAGATTATAAGTCTTTCAATTTCTTTTTTTTTGATTATTTGACCTCTTAAAAACCCCCTTCATCGCATGTGGCTGCATGACACAGTTCTGCGTGGTTACCACGCTGTTTTCGTTTTGTCGATCGCCAAAAGCCCTGAATCCCTCGCGTCGGGGCATGGGCCATGAGCTCACTGTTATTGGTCAGGAACATTTTTTAGTACAAATACAACAAAAAAGGGTCAGATGTTCCTGTCTTTTGTGCCATCTGATATAATTTACCTTGATAGTTGGGCATATTGTAACCGAGTGTAGTATATTCCGTTCCTCTCAGCATCTCATCCTGTTTTTTTTTCTCTAGATACATGATGACAAAGGGGGTGCATCGGGTCGTTCTAAGATTGTTGGAATAACCCCTTGTTCTCTCACTTGAAGGTTATTTGAAATCCCAAAACTTTCTCGTCACCGTACTTTGTATATTCGCTGGCTCTGGTGTGTATTTTACGAATCTTTTGGCTGAAATAACTATTAGACTCGAAACGAAAAGGTTCATAGGTCAAAGCATATTGCCTATCGAGTTTGGCGTGACAAGTCTGTCTTATGACTGTTATACGTACTTTTTGTTCGAATATCCCTGGCGCGTTGTAGGATTAGTCGGACTACACTGTTATTCCTCTATTGCCCCAAAAAGGTCATATCTCTCGGTCATACCTTGATCATATCGCCCATTTTGACCTGAGCTGATCAGAGGGGTAAAGTCACCAGGGAAGTCGATATGAGGTTTAGACGCAGGGTAGTTAGGCCGAGTCACCTGGTACTTCTCATAGAGGAAATAAATGGTGACAACAGACCTGGACGACAGCGGCAAACAAAGAAAGGATAACGTTATGTATAAGCATTGTGTCACTGTTGGCTTTGTGATACTTGCATATCTCCTTATTGGGTTGTTTGTTTAACGTTAAAAATTGGCACCAAATCTGTACGGGATAACTCTACACATGTTTCTGCAACATAGGTAGGTAGCATAGGTATTTTCTATTTTATAGCAAATCCTGCAAAACTGCTAGTTCCCATTCTAGCCTGAATTAACAAAAAAAAGAATGCAACGACGGCTGCATGATTCGAACATGCGCCCGCGAACGGAATTGATTTCTAGCTGTTGTATTGGTTAGTGAATGTTGGGTGGATCAATGTTGTGAAGAGAAACGTACTCAATCGCCTTAGACCACTCGGCCAAACCGCCAGTTGATGATTTGGGATTCCAAATTGTGCATCATGAAATTAACACAAAGTTTCCTGAGGTCGGAACACCCTGATTCTAATATATATATCATCACGACGTCTACAAAATAAATGTCAATTTGTGCAACTCCGAAGGAAAAATAAAAGTTCACAGACCTGTATTTAGCCTATTCTAGCATGAACAATGATCAAGAATATCAGACCTCATTCTCACAGGTCGACAAACTCTCCGCGAAGTAGCTCATCTTCCTGGATCCGCTCTAGGTACCTGGCTACCTTGGTTGTCAATGTAGCGATATCATATCCGAAGAACTTGTATGCCGCTTTGCCCGGCAGACTATGACCAAAGCGTGTCACGCATATGCCTGCATCTGCGTACCGTTCCCACCCATTTGGCGCATATGGCTCAATTACCACGGCTGGTATGCCGCGGTGACGCTGCAGGGTGTTGCGCTTGTACTCGAGTGACTGTTTCTCAAACAGGCGCTGGCAAGGGAAGCTGACAACGCGTGCAGTAATGCCCTTCTGCACCTTGAGTTGCTCAGCAACTTCCACCGCAAACGAAAGTTCAGCTCCAACCCCAATCAAAGTGATAGCAGCTGATTCGGCTTCAGAGAGGACGTATGCGCCGAGGGCTACGCCATCACGACGCGTGTGCTGGAGTTGGGGCAGAGTTTGACGAGAGGTAGAAATGATACTTGGGGTCTGCTTGGCGCCAATGGCAGCAATCCATGCACCAGCCGTCTCTTCGTTATCAGCAGGACGGATGTACAAAAGGTTTGGCATCGCGCGATACAGATTTGCCAATTCAATAGGTTGGTGGGTCGGTCCATCCTCGCCCATACCGATAGAGTCGTGAGTGGCGACGTGGATAATTTGGAGGTGCTGTAAGGCACCCATTCGGACAGCGGGTGCGGCATACAGGTAAAACATGAAGAAGGTCGACGTGACCGGAATGATAGTGTTTGGGGAGTAAGCTGCCATACCGTTGGAGATAGCAGCCATGGCATGTTCGCGGACACCATAATGAATATAGCGGCCAGAATAAGTACCATTGATGCCACATGTTGTGCGGAGTTCAGGCTAATGATGTGGTTAGCAATTATTCCAGGTCATGCCAATGTAAGTTGTTCTGACTCACGTGTTGGAAATCAACTTTGCCAGGCCAGATCATGTTTACAGATGGCGAGAGATCTGCAGTACCGACCATGAAAGAGTTGATATTTTGGGCAATTGGGTTGAATACTAAACCAGAAGCTGCACGGGTGGCAGTGGGTTTATCAGGGAAGCTGGTTGGAATATACTCCTGCCAGTTGGCCGGAAGCTCGCCACGCACGCGGGCCATGAACTCGGCTGCCAGAATAGGGTGCTGGGCAGCGTAGTTGCTTACTAGCTGATCCCATTCTTGAACCCACTGCTCTCCGCGCTCAGGAATTTCCTGGAAGAACTGGCGCACAGAATCGCCAATGACAAAATGCTTCTCCGGGTCAAAGCCGTAGGCGGTCTTCATATTATAAATGCTCTCAGTGCCGAAAGCAGCGCCATGGGCAGCCGCTGTTCCAGCAACGCTGCTGTCAATACCAATAACTGTCTTGATATTAATGAAGGTGGGCTTTTGCTTCGATGAGCGACCCTTTTCCAATGCACGAACAATGCCCTCAATATCAAAGCAGCCGTCTGTCACCTCAATCACATCCCAGCCACAGGCACGCATCTTCGTGTTCACATCCTCGGTGTTGGTAAGGTCAACTGAACCATCACAGGTAACCTGGTTGTTATCGTAGATGACAGTGAGGTTGTTTAGACGAAAATGTCCAGCTAGCGAGATTGCCTCGAGACCAACACCCTCCTGCAAGCAAGCATCGCCAATCATACACCAAGTGTGATTGCTTACCACATCGAAGCCAGGGCGGTTGTAGGTAGCAGCGAGATTCTTCGTCGCCATGGCCAGGCCTACAGTATTCGCAATACCCTGACCCAATGGTCCAGTTGTCACTTCGATTCCTTCTTGTTCAATCTCCGGATGCCCGGGGCATAGCGCATCGACGCGATCAGAGTGGTACGATTTGAGCTGTTCCAATGTCATGGCCTTGTAGCCTGTAAGATGCAAAAATGTGTATTGGAACAGGCAAGTGTGGCCTATAGGACAGTACTTCAGTATACATCACTCCTGGAACTTTATCAATTTAGAAGAATACATGCAAGACTGACCATTTGACAGGACGAAACGATCACGGTTGAAGAACCCCGGAGTGTGGGGTGCATAACGCATAACATATTTCCATAGCGCAACACCGATCGCAGCCATACCAATAGCACCACTAGCACACAATCAACTTCAGGACAAACTGACATAATGTTGGGATTATCATACCCGGGGTGCCCCCCATTAAACTGCTGGCAGAGATCTGCAATCAATAACCGAAACGTCTTCAATACCAAGTCATGATCCTTTGACAGTTTGTGGACTATAGGCATCGCCGAGCTGTGGACGCCGTTGACGCTGTTGGGCTGAACTTCGACGAGCATATTATATGAGTCGTATATAGCTCAGTAATTGGTAGGATATCCGAATGTACAAAACTGGAGGGGAAGCTCCTTGAAATAGTATTCCGAGTAGTAATGCTTAATATTTCCTAATCGGGCGACCATCCCCAGGGCGGACGCCACACCGGGGCGGGCATCAAGTTGGCAACTCTATCCACACCAAAACGGGTATCTGGAGCCACAATATACCAGATCAAGTACACTTTGGGCTACCGCAGCGCCTTTAAAAGAATGGAGGTTGCCCACTCCTGTGAAGTTTCACAGAAAATATACAATGACTTCGGTACTTCTAGATCAGGTAAACCGCCAACAGGTCCTGGGAAGCTCAATGGGTGATCGCGTTCCCCTCAATGTCTCCCATCCCAATCCCTCATTGCAGGTGACCGCAGACCACAAGCTCAAATCCGTCAACACACCTGTTTATGCCCCCAAACCCGGCGAGGTATTGGTTCATATCAAAGCAACTGGAATTTGCGGATCGGATATTCATTTCTGGAAAACCGGGCGCATTGGATCGTTGGTATTTGAAGGTGACTGCACCATTGGGCATGAAGCTTCGGGCATCGTGCTGCAGTGTGGTAAGGGGGTCAACCATTTGAAGCCAGGTAGACATACATCGTCGAGGTTGAAGATTTTTGAGCTGATAGTTTGATAGGTGATCGAGTTGCTGTTGAACCTGGCGTTCCCTGTGAACACTGCTTCCTCTGTGACGAGGGACGTTATAACCTATGCGAGGATGTCCAGTTCGCTGGCGTTTACCCTTACGAAGGTACCATTCAGCGTTACAAGAACCACCCTGCGAAATGGCTACACAAGCTACCAGATAACGTAACTTTTGCGGAAGGCGCACTTCTCGAGCCACTTTCAGTGGTGATGCATGGCGTCAAGACGGCTGGTCTTTCACTGGGACGTGGTGTAGTTGTATGCGGTGCAGGCCCCATTGGCCTGATCGCCTTAGCTGCAGCACGAGCCTCGGGCGCACACCCTATCGTGGTGACAGATCTAGAGCCCTCTCGACTGGCCTTTGCGAAAGATTTTGTCCCTTCCTGCATTACCTATGAGGTCGACCGTACAAAGGATTCCAAGGGTAATGCAGAGGCTATTCGTGCTCTCTTCGGGTCTGAGGAATATTTTGCGCCGGAAACTATCCTCGAGTGTACTGGCGTGGAAAGCAGTGTATGTACCGCTGCATACACTGCACGGCGGGGTGGCACTGTGATGGTCATTGGCGTAGGAAAAGCGATCATGAACAACCTACCTTTTATGCATATTTCTCTCGCCGAGGTCAGTTATATGGGTGTTGCGGTAGAGTGAATACTAATGCTGACTCTACTAGATCGATCTCCGATTCATCAACCGTTATCGTGACACCTGGCCCCCGGCAATCGCCTGCCTAAGTGGTGGAATCTTGGACCTAAAGAAGCTGGTGTCGCATGTATTCCCACTTGAAAGGGCTGAGGATGCGCTTCACCTGTGCGCTGATACTCGAAATGGTAGTATCAAGGTGTTGGTGGTCGATGAGCAGGAGGCTTCCGTATAGATATAATGATAAGAGAAGTTGCTTTCGAGTATTACAACCCAGCACTGCTTTATCTAGCACTCTATCCAGATAATCTTGATCAGTCTCGACTGAAGCAAGAGAATGAATATTCAGCAATTGAAGGCTTGATTTGATACTAGTTATATACCAATTCAGCCCTGACAAAATGCCTACATCAACTCCTAAGCCCTACTTCGACCATTGTATTCCCTCAAAATGATGATTGGCAAAATATCGACTCGATAACGGGAATTGGATCCTTCGAAGAGTGGTCGCCAGGGCTCAAGAATGTGTTGTGTCCGGTACAGTCAGGACCGCTGTACAAGGGTTAGTCAGAGTCCACTTGATTGTTTGGCACCGGACTTACGTGAAGAGACGGCATGGCTTTCTCAAAGACACAGTAAGAACATCTCTGTGACTGGTTAGTCTCATCCGAAACATGGTAGTTGGAAATCAACCTCACTCTTCCTCGATCGCATGGCAATCATTCAATGGCACATCAATGCCACGGCTCTTGTCTGCTGTTTCAATGCCAACCTGCATGGTCCCGTTAGCAATACGACGTGGGTTTATGTTAGAACATGCGCACGATTGTTCTTTTGGAGTTCTTCGCTGCCGATACAGAGAGAAGCATCAAGCTTAGAAGCGACAACTGTTTGAGGCCGTACATGACGCAGATGACAACCAGATATCCAATGATAGGAGATCTGAGGATAGAGGATACTCGGCAGTGCCTGGAAGTATAAACAGAAGGTCGATGGCCCTTCCTGCAAGGAGATGCCATCTGTCTTGTCTCTTCTATCCCTTGCATCTGTTTCTCCTGCAATACTGCAAGTGCCAGGGGTTACGGACAACTGCGTTGTAAGGTCATACCCCTTTTTTACAATGATCTCCCCTGGACAGGGTATTCCATAGAGAGGATGAGAATGTGACCGCTGATTTAAGATGTACTTAGTACTAGGTTGTGATCGAGGTGTAGTGGCGATCTATGAGTGCTCCTAAATCCTGGGGGATTTTGGATTGAGTAGATATAAACAGCAGATTGAAATGATATTTTTGAGGTTAACAAATTCTTGTCAAAAGTCTTCCGAAGTGTTCTGTATTAGTGTCCAAGGAGAAGTTGAAGTGGCAGAAGTCTCCCGACCTCGGCTCCCACTTTTAACTTCAACTTGAACTCAACATCTTGGGTTGTTTTCTTCGGATTATATCAATTATTCTAGCATTCACAGTCCCTTTCCGACTCGATGACTCGATGATTCAATTCAATTCCCTGTGAACTGGGAGAGTCATCACACACCTCTGATTGCGCCATGAACGACTGGTCCCAACCCGACGCGAGTATATCCAATTCCCATGATGCTGCATTTGCCTCTCCATCAGGCGCTACCAGCTGGGCCGATGGATTCACCCATGATCCAGGCTTCCTAGCATCCCAAGAGGAGCTACGATGTATGCTTTTCAATGTCGCGGATTCTACAGCGCCGACTCGTGCACCGAGCCCAGATACCCAGGGTCAAAACACCACACAATCGCGCGACAGAGAGCAGACACAAACACGTCCGGTGCTGTCAAATCTCCGTCGAATTGAGTACTTGAAGAACTATGTTGGTCAAGTAGCACCATGGGTGAGCGATATTGCTTATAATTTTCTCAATAATCGCTGACCCCGACCGCAGCTCGATATGTTCGATTCGCAATGTACCTTTCGAGTGCAGATTCCCGCACTGGCCCGATCATTCCCCGCCCTAATGAATGCGATCCTCGCGATATCCGCCCGGCAAATGGAAAGGAAGGAGGGGATTCAAGACTCCTTTGACAGCTTGGAGCTTTACCAGGAAGCAATTCGCTTGTTGAGCCCGCTGTTGGAAATGCACGACCCTAAAGTTGTCGCCGCCTGCGTACTGCTATGCTGCCTTGAGATGATGTCTGCACGCGCGCAGGATTGGCAACGTCATTTGGAGGGGTGTGCCGCACTTTTCGACGCCTTCGAAATGAATGGGTTCAGTAGCGGCCTTCTACAAGCAGTGTTTTGGTGCTATGCACGCATGGGTGCGAGTTAATATTGATGGTCAAATGACAAAAGGATGTAGCTGATTTGTAATATCTAGACTTATGTGGTGCGTTGATCTCTGATGGGACACAGGGCACTCTTCTTCGGCCCAGCAAATGGCTCCCGCCTGGATGTCATGAGGATGATGCTGCACAGCTCTTTGAAGCTGCGCAATCTTCAGACATGCATGCCAACTACGCCGTATATCTCTGCGCAAAATCGTGCGAGCTGGTGGCTGATCGTACTCAGTTTGTGGAGCTAGGGGTACAGAATGACTGCGCCGGAGAGGTCTTCAATCGCCGCTGGCTGCGACTCTGGAACGATTTGCAGCACTGGCTTGACAACCGACCACCGGAGCTGTTACCAGTCCACACAACAACGACTAAGCCATTCCCTCATGTTCTTTTCCTCCAATGGGCGGCTATATCCTCGAACCAACTATACCACACGGCATGCATTTTGCTGCTCAACTCGATGCCCAGATCTATCAAGCTGCAACCGACACCTGCAATGTCTGCGCTGTGGCATGGGAGGCGCATTTGTGGAATTTCGCTCGCCAATCCGCACCACGGATGCTTGAACAATGCCATCCAGCCGCTGTGGATTGCGGGACGGCTATTCAGCCACGTGTCTGAGCACGCGATTATAATCGGCCTAATCCGTCATATCGAAGCCGAGACTGGATGGGGCGCTTGCTGGCGTATCCGCGACCTGGAACTCGCCTGGGGGTATCGAATCTCACGGTCAGATCGGACTATTGATAGACAGCGGTTTCCCGTAACAGGATGAGCACCGTGTTGTATTACCTTGAACAATCTTCCTAGATATAATCGTTTACTATGTCTCATCAAGGAGGCACCACTCAGTTCGCAGGCTCTGCAAGCAGTTGTTTGTGTTCCACCCTGTCACCGTACGGATGCGGTCAAATCCACGCACAACTTCATGTTGTTGCGACTCATGTGTCATCCGGCGAGCTGCCAGCAGGAAGGATGCCAGGAGACATGGATCCCAGCACTCCTGACGATCATTGTGGAGAGCAATGCTGCATATTCGCTGCGCGTGCCACAATGGCGACATGGCAACAGAGTGGAAGTCGGCGATGCGTGCGGTACGGGGCCGATTGCGTAGTAAGATCAACATGGCAGTATGGTATAACTGGTTGCCAAACAAGCCTGCTCCATTGGCAAACAGAACAACCGGGAAACTTATTTCTGGGCCAGCTAACTGATCATCCATCTCTAATTCTAGCATGGGTTGGAATTCCCGTGGTCGCTCACGATACCATTGTTGCAGTTCTTCCACCAACTGAATCCATACGTGGAGGGGGGATCGCTCAGGTGAAACCTCTTCGTTATGGACAAATTGGATCGCTCTCGCGCAGAGCCATAGAGGGCGGTTTGCGTAGAAGAAAACCATTTCGAATCGATCAGCCGCGAGATCTACTTCTGTGATGTATGGGAAAGACGGGGGAAGCGGCATGCACGTGTCGCTATCAGTCGCTAACGCTGTCGCAAGATCTGTGGTGGCCGAACAAGTCAGTCAATAGTGATCAAAACTATAGATGTTGTTTTGTAGCTCATACCAAGCCTGAAAAAGAGCCAATAAATCGCAGAATTAATATCTCTGCCCACCGCGTGGGAGCTTAGGGCCTTCATGAGGTCATGATCACACGGTCTTTCGGTGTTCCACATCGCAGAGATATTCGAGATATAGTCTTTCACTTGATCTATAACGATTTTTAGTGCGACATATGTAATCTCGACCTGACTATCTGAGTCAGTCTGCCGAAGGAATGTCTTCCCCCTCTCTCCGGGTGACCTCTGTGGATGAAGCTGGTGGAAAGAAGTCTCGGACAGGTCAAGGATCGAGTTCCATATAGGCGACGAGATCATCGCAAGCTGAAGACCTTGGATTCCGAATGATTGACCAAGATCGCACATGTCCAACTACTGCAGTCAGTACTGTGCAGTTTGTAGTAGTTTCAAAAAGCTCACCCAAGGGGCTATCTTGTAACGATAATGCCGTAGCAAGGCTTGTGTTTCGGTGGGTGAAATTGTCTCGACATATGATACAGGTGACTGTTGTATACTTTGCGAATTGAACGGTGATTGATGCAACAAATTCGATGGTATCATTGGAGGCTTTGAGATGACTCTCCTTGTTGATGGGACTACCAAGTCCGACAGCCCCAGATCCGGTTCATTCATACCAAGAGCTAACAACCCGGCGACTGCGGATTCATCATTGCCATTAAGGATTGTATAATTCTGTTCCTCAGCAGTGTGGGGGACTGGCTCTGGCCAGAATAGCACATCATCGTCTCTGACATTGCTAGGCGTGTTGGGGTCGGCTTGCTGTGGTTGTGGAGTCACCTCAATGCGAGAGGATGATTCAACCAGTGTATGATCATTAGTTTGATTGCAGTCTTTTGAAGTCTCTTCGGTGACGAACTACATATATATGTCAGTTCTCTGGTTTGTGATTGTCACTGGAAATCCTACCTGAATCGCCTCATAGTTGGCAGATGATGTCTCGACTTCTGATGGTCGAACAGTGCGTGCATTCTTCGTCAAAAAGCTCAATTGAGGTCCATATTGGCATTGGAAGTTCCGGTCAATACAGTTTCGGCATCGCGGTTTGCCTTCATCGCCTGAATATTTATTAGGCTTGAATATTTCACAAATCAAGAAACACATACATTTTCGGCGACGAACTCGACAGCGCATGCATCCAGTACGACATCGCGTCAGTCGAGTTTGCCTTCGACGCTCCATCGTAGGCCGATATTGCAGACTCCCGTACTGTCAGAGGGGAGGCAGCGGGTTACCAATCTGGGAATGTGTACCAAGCCGGGCTCCACATCCAGATTAGGAAGGCACAAGCACCGTCACCTGACCTCAGACCCATCACATTTTTTGCTTTGTCACTGTTTACGGGCGCCGGCCCCGGGGCTGCTTCTTCAGCCGTCCACAGGTCCACGGGTATCCCATGACTAGTTTCTGCTTTTGCACTGCATTTGAGACGTTGAAACCGTTATCGTGGATGGCATTTTTAGAAAGGAACCTTGGAAGGAGGGAAGCTGTCAATTCTCATTGCTGACGCTCCTGCTCACCTTTACCTCGGCCAGATGGATCTGTGTTATGAACGTAGTGTTGAAAGCCGAAAAAGGAATCAAAGACAAACCGTCAAGAATCAATTTCAAAGTCCCAGAAGAACGGGTCATTTATGTATTTTACATGCATCAAAATATCATAGATGAGACGATTTAATGGGCCTTGAAAACATTGATTGATGCATATGAATCAACTACAGCGTACACTCACTGAATTATGGGAGTGCATACACTGTATATATATCTGTTGAGGTCAAACTTGACATTTATCTTCGTATTAATTTTCATTCTCCACTTACTCTCATTCTATAGTTCTTCCAAAATATGTCCTTAACTATTAATTCCCTACTATCCTCCAGGCGTTCACAAGCAAATGCTACGGCCTAAGAGGATGATTCTTATTGTTGTCGCGACCCCACAAGAACAATATGAAGATTCTCCGAACTTCGCGCTACTCTTCGTATTGTTGCTTTTTCATTGTGTACTTTTGGATTAAAAACTGTCTCTTTTTATTCTTCTCTCTCTCACCCATTCAATCATTTGAGCTATGGAACGAGTCGTCGTTGTCGGAGCAGGTTGGTAGCAGTTGACAATCAAATTATACTTTAACTAACTTATTAGGTCTTTACGGTCTCATCGCAGCGAAAACGTATCTACAAATCGCTGGGGAATACGACGACGAAAGCACAGCCAGAAGCACCGATAAACTACCCGAAGTTCCGCTGTGTTTTACTGAGAGCATCGATGCTTCCCCAGCAGAGTCCTCCGAAAGTCGCCTTCTTGTGATCGACTCTGCCTCAGATATTGGGGGCACTTGGGCTGAGGAGCGCCTTTACCCAAACTTGTTGAGTCAGAACTCATATGGCCTTTATGAATTCAGTGACCTACCTCTTTCCGAAGTTGTTCCAGAGGAACATGCGGATGACACACAAAATCAGTTCATTGCAGGCTGGAAGATCAACCGCTATCTCCGTGCATGGGCTGAGAAATGGCAGCTCGAGAAACACATACGATTGAATTGGACGGTAAGATACTCTCAGTCCGCTCTAAAATTGTGAGATTTCTGATTGTCCTCTAGGTCGACCACATCAGCCGTCTAGAAACTAAAGAGTGGAAGCTCAACATCAGTGTGTCCACGTCCCCGGGTCGGCGCATAACAATATTATGTGACAAATTGGTCTTAGCTACAGGACTGACCTCGGTACCGCATATGCCCAACACAAAGGAGTCATCAATGGCCTCTGATAACCCTGCTCCAGTCATCCATGCCAAGGATGTTGGAGAGTGGGCTCGAGAACACCTGGGATACGAGCCACTTAAAGCACCTGAGTCCGATGCAGTTAGCATTCCGGCCAAAAAATCCCCTTACCCACAACTACGATCGGTTGTTGTTTATGGTGGTGCGAAATCTTCCTTTGATCTGGTACATTTCTTTGCGACTCTACACCGCAACGACTCAAAACTGCACCTCAAGTCTAGACAAGAAAGTCCCGTCCAAGTAAACTGGATCATCCGTGATAGAGGTGCAGGCCCTGCGTGGATGGTGCCGCCGATGTCTACTCTCCCAAATGGCGACACAGTTGCAAGTGATGAGGCTGCCAGTTCCCGATTGCTCTCCTATCTCACCCCGTGTTGCTACGAGACTCCGAAACGTCTATCTTTCGGATCCGCCGGTAATCTTCACTGGGAGGGCTCATGGCTAATGCGGCTATTCCATGGGAACCCACTAGGCCGATGGTGGATTCGTTGGCTCTGGAGGTCGATTGATAAAGGCTTGGAGGACACGGCGCAATATGATTCAGATCCGAAGATGGCAAAGCTTCGGCCAGAGAACAGGTAAGTTTAATGAGAGGTCATTTGGAATAATCGATGACCGATGGTTTTAGTGTTATCTCGTGCGCATCCGGTATTGGTATCGCAAACCAAGGAGATCTCTGGGAAGCAATTAGATTACCCCATGTCAACGTGTACCGATCAGCAATCACGGAAATTGTCGCTACCAGCCCAGACAAAACCACAGATTCATCCACAAAAGCCTCAGTACACTTGGCAGACAGCAATTGCATTGATGAAGTGGATCTAGTTATCCACGCGACCGGATATAAACCAATAGTCCCGATTCGGTTTGAACCTGCAAGTCTCCGTCTAGAACTGGGGCTATCGGCTCTGATAGACTCGGCGGGCAATGGTTATGGCAAGGATCGCGAAATTCCAGAGGAAACACCGGAGAGAATCAATGGACCACTGGAATCAACCATACAGGATCGAATTCAACGCTGGGAGGATATAGATCGACGTTCTGAGGTAATGGTCAGGAAAAATTTGAATGCGACAAGATGTGCTCTCACAGATAGGAGTCCTCCCTCATGGGCTGAATCTCACAAGCTGGTGCCGTATCGCCTATTCCGCCGGATGGTTGCACCTGAACTCGTCGCACAAGGTGACCGCTCCCTTGCAACACTCGGTGTTATTTTATCATCAACTATTGCTGTTGTTGCAGAGGTTCAAGCTCTTTGGGTAGCAGCGTTCTTGACGAGAGGGCTCGACTCCCCTATAGACATCACGTCAACCCCAGACCAAGCTCTCTCGCTTAGAGATATTTCCCCGGAAGCTATGGAGAATTCTATCTCGGAGGATGTGGTGCTGGGATCATTGACGGGGACTGGCCTTGAAGTTGAGGCCATTCAGGTATGTTTGTTGCATCGATGACACCACGAGGATATCTTAATCTAATCATCCCTATCAGTACAACGACATGCTCCTGCGCGATTTGGGATTGAATCCGCACCGACTCGGGGGTGGGTACTACAAGGAGCTGACAGGGGTGTATAGGCCTTCGGTGTATGCTGGAATTGTGAACGAGTGGAGAAAGAGTCGAGGTTTGGCACAGAAAAAACCGTAGGTGCACTAAGTGCTGATTATCCAGCTTAATGATTTCCTCACAACTTGATTTATTATTATTACATGTAATTTTGACTGCTCCTATATATTTTTAAATGTACACTGTTCTCTACAGCCCACAAACTCCCCTTGATTATATCACAAATGCTCTGCCATATAATCTCCTAAGATCATCCAATCTGGAATATCCGGCATTGCAGCCCCAATCAAATCACCACCATTCCTTGTTTGAAATGGCCACTCAGGAAAAGGGCCTTCGTTGATGGGTGTAGATATTTGGTCAAGGTTTGGCAGTTCTGGGTTCATTCGCCCTCTCTGATCGTCACTGTTTTGCTGAACAACCCCTTGAGTTCTCGATGGCATTCTATTTGCTTGGATTTTGCTTTCTTTAGGGATAGCCAAATCCCCGAAGTTCATTGTCTCGGCTCCTGATGAGCAGCCAAAATCGAGGATCTCCCACATGAGACTCTCGTCTGCAGCGGACATTCTAGGCATATTCGAAGGGGTTGGCATTTTCGATAAAGCGCCCGAGAATCCTTCCTGGTTATAATAGAGTGATCCATAATTTTGGTGGCGAGCGGCAAGTTCATTCACTTTGTTAACCTAGGGAAAATAATCAGCACTTTGATCCGATATTTTGCTGGCAGACTTACCAGAACGCCCATGTTTTTCCAATACACAGACAGCTCCGTCATAAAGTCAACAAGAACTCGAAATTCTTTATTAAGTAGCAGAGCAATTTGTGGGTTTTTGCTGCCAGTGTGCTCTAGCTGAATTGTTGCTGCGATCGCAGCCAAATATCCTAGAAAAGGATCACAGGTCTCAAAGTTGACCTCAGACATCTCCCTTATAAATCGAACTATCCATCGAGAGTGAAGAAGCGATGTCTCAAATGACTTTTGCAGAAACGTTGCCGAAATATTTCCGTTAAAGTTGCGAAGCTTGGTCATAATCACGAATGGGTGGTGTAGCAGGCCCTGGATTGAATGGAAAAGGAACTGGACATACACCCAGGTCGAGAGGTATGTGCGTGATTGTGGATCTGGATCTTCTCGGGCACGGCTTTTGAAATCAACGTTTATATATCGATGTGCGTCTGCAAAATGTGTTTCAAATTGCAACCATTCTGACTCGAGGATCGCGAGAGCTGATCCGGTTTGCCAGGGAGGAAGCGAGTTCTCGGCAAAGGATTCAAAGACATACTCTGTGGTTTTCCCCCATAAAGAGTATAGCCTCAGGAGACATACAAGAATACCAAGATCAACTTTCTGCCCTTGTTTTCCTGGGCCATCATGCAAAGACCCGTGAGAGAGTGATTGATTATCACTGAACAGTGCTTCTGTCTCTGGGAAAGGAAATGGAAGTGTGAACTGCTTGTCTGAGAGGGACAGTGAATAATTTCGGGAAGCACTATAAGTGCGATCGAGCATGAAAAAGGCCCAGGTAATGCGCTTTCTCGTTTCGATCTCTGGGTCATTTGAGAGATATGAGTCCTTTGTTTTATTCAACCCCACGGATTGAATGGCACGCAATCCAAGGGCGACCGACGCATACCCTCGATGAGCTTTTCCATCAGCAAAATCTACCTGGGCCATAAGAAATGTGCCTTGGAGAAATGAAATGCCCATCTTGCCGTCTTTGTACTGATTTGACAAAAGGTTCCAAGCTTTCCCCGAGAGTGTTTCCGCATCAGGTATGTCCCTATGCAGAGGTCCGCGAGATCGTCGAGGCAGACGGGAAGTGAGGGCCACTAATGGAAATGCGACCTCTGATGGCAATGAGCCGGTATGTCCCAACAACCACGTTTTTGAAAAAAGACAATATGGCTGGTCATGAAAGTAGGTAAGGTAGGTCTCCACTTCCTGCTCGATAAATGCATCTGGAAAATCCTTTCTGTTTCACTTGCATTGGTATATTTATGATGAGCAATGGTGGGTGGGCATTCAAACTTACTCAGAAGGCAGCGGGTGATTATCTGGGCAATCCATTATGTCGAAGTCATCATAAGAAGCCTCTTGCAGCTCACGATCATCATTGAGCTGGGTATCATTCGATATTTCCCGTAATGAATTAGACCTTGGTAAACCTTCTCTAAGGTGTTCCAAAAGCATTTTATTAGCGACTTCTGCGGCTTAGATACGAGGTCTTGTCCATACTGGAGTAAAAGTGCCATCATGTCTAGTCTTTCTTCGATACGCTGAAGCCTCCCAGAGCTTGAGACATCCCCCCTTTCAATCTGATAAATTTAGCATAGTCCCTGATGGCACACCAAATCCAATAGCTGGTCTGAAATAGAAAGCGTAAATACCTCATTGCTGCGTTGTGTTCCCTGGCCCGGCACAGGAGCCGAAACCGAGTGTTTCTTCACACCGGATGTCTGTGGTCCGTATGAGCAACGTTGCCCTAGCCTGTGACACAGCGAGCATGCCGGTTTCTCGCCTGGGCAGCGCGCCTTCTTCCGACTATTAAGATCACATATTAGAAGTCGAAAGTCGGCAACCGGGTATTGTGGCGATCTTAGGATTTTTCATCGGGGCTTGGCACATACCGACAAGGACCACAAGCTTGCCGGGTTCGCTTTAAAGAAACTTTGTGTATTGTGTAGTTATCACCCATTGAGCTCATAGGGAAATTGGCTAAAAAAATAAGTTTTATCTGATCAACGCAACTTGAAGATGTTGAGTTCAAGCGGCCCCCCCCGTGCGGGGTACGAACTGGGACAATTCGGTTGCCGATATGGAACCCTACAACTCTACAACTTTACAATTGGCGTATTCAGCGCATCTCAATTATGCAGTTTCTATTACTCTCTGACACTATCCTCCAGGATATCAGCAATTTGAGTCAGATAAAACCAAGGTCTCACCTGCAGGGGAGAACAGGAGGAAACTAGCCTTTTACCCCAATATTCCTACACCCACCGCTCATGTGATCGGCTAAGAGCAGCTTATGCGGGGGAAGTTTTGTATTGGGGATTGCCTTCAGCCGATTCGTTCAAAAATAATATATTTTTGATCAAATTAGGTACAGATAAATATACTATTTTGGTTGCGACAACGATGCACTCCGGTCTGGCCTTTATCTTTATAATCCCCGAACATTGAGATTATGCAGTATGGATACTTCCTGTTCCGCACTCATTTTACAAGTCCGGTGGGCAACCCGACCACCCGAGTGGCGTTCACCCAGCACGGTAATTGCAGCCGCCAACCGATTTCCCTCTGGTCCTGAGGTTTTTATACATTCTATGAGATTTCAAAAAGGTCGGGCAATGGACGGTTGAGGCTCCGTTCCGATCCTGTGATCGGTCGACCCCTGTAGATTTGATATCCTCATAGGGAAGTATGAACTCATGATCATGGTACCAGTTATTGGGATCTAGATATTCTACGCCTATATTAAGGAACTCACGTTCTCCTCTAGATCACAGAATTGGCAGAGTTTCAAGACAGTATATCTCAATTGGCCTTTATATATAAACTTACATTTGGCCTTCAGAATGTCAATGCTCAAGAGTTACTTCGGACTTGGGGAGACAGAGGCATCCCCCACCCCCACCCACGACACTGTTCACCCTCTCCCTGCCTCATGGTATTCTTCGCAGGATATACATGAACTTGAGCGACGCGCCATATTCTGTCGGAAATGGCTTCTGACCACACATAAGCTTCGCTTCCGCAACACAGGTGACTGGCTCCGATACGAAATCGCTGGGTACGCCTTTATTTTGGTGAAAGATCGCGAGGGAAATATCAATGCTTTTCACAACGTCTGTCGACACCGTGCATTCCCGGTGGTTACCAAAGAAGGTGGTACATCCGGAATCTTCTCTTGTCAATATCACGGATGGTCTTACGGTCTTAATGGCAAACTTGCTAAGGCACCCGGGTATCAAGATCTGCCTGATTTTGACAAGAGCAAGAACGGCCTTCTTCCAATCCATGTTCATATTGATGTCAATGGTTTTGTCTGGATAAATTTAGACGCCGGCGAGAAGCCCGAGATCTCGTGGGATGATGACTTCAAAGCAATCGATCTACAGCCACGTTTCGAGGGGTTTAATTTCGAGGATTATAACTTCGACCACACCTGGGAGATGAGTGGGGAGTACAATTGGAAGATTCTAGCAGACAAGTACAATGAATGCTACATTCCCTCGACTTCCAACCTCAGCTCATATGCCCTCGATACCAAAGAAGGCGAATCCACATCCGAGGAGATTGCAAAGGGGTTGAAGATTGCCAGCACTTACTATTTCCCCAATGCTGCTATGACTGTCTCGTAAGTGCAATTTTAATTGTCCCCCAATGTATCCGATTTGTACTAATTGTGCACGCAGGCCGCACTTCTTTTTCATGCAGCGACTTGTGCCTACAGGCCCAACCACATGCTCGGTGCGTTATGAAGCTTACCGCAACAAGAGCTCTAGTGATGGAGAGTTTGAAACCATCACCCAGGTTTACAAGGGTATCATGTCCGACGATAAAGATCTTTGTGTCGAAACACAGAAGAATCTCAGCACAGGGGACTTTGTGAATGGGCAACAACACCCCACAGAAGAGAGACTGGTCTACCTCCAGACTATCGTCCGTGAACTGATCACAGCGCACAATAAGCGGGAAGAGGATGCAGGGGAGAAGATTTGGCCTGCGCGACAAAGACTCCCCAAAGAAGAGACGGTCAGCAAGGAGGACATGGACTTTTGCTCTAAGCTGACAAGCAATGACACGTCGGCGTTGACTTCGGGGGGTTGTTGTGGGGGAGGATGTGGAGGTGGACCTCCGACTATCGCAGCCACGGCATCTGAGACTATGATAGTTTGATGAGGTGCATAAAAGCCTTTACCTTTTAGCTTTAATATTTTTCTTATTGTGAAGATGACATGTTACATGCAACCATCCATATCACGAGACCGTCTAACTCGAAATCATAAGCATCAAGGAAGGTCATATGGACATTCTTATTCTAGACAAGATTATTAAAAGAAAAACCTGACCAATGATATAGCACGGTATACTGTTGTACTTTGAAAGTCTAGCCATGCAGGCCGTTTAGTAGTTGCAATATCAATTCTAGTCAAATTGACAATCTCTCGAGAATCACGCGGATAGTTTAACCTTTTTTAGTATAAATTTCAGGTTATATGCACGTCAAGAGACCCGACCTATCAGAGGCGAGATGAATGAGGAGAAAACCATCAAAGACACGTCCTCTTCTCTCTTTCGATTATTCCAAGACGGTCTGGGCGATTAACTTGCATTATCTCATTATCTCTTAAGTAACCCCCCCTCTTTTAATCTTGTGGCGATCTCACCTCCCTTATTTATCTTAACTGCTGTCGATACCCCACCAAATCCCATCCCGATTTTCTATTTCCCCCTTTAATGATGCCACGAGAGAGCGCCCGCGGAAGATTGCGGTCCCATGAGGCCTGTCTCAACTGCAGGTAATGACATCACCCGCCGATCTATAGGGTTGGAATCTGATGTCCATACAGAAGAAAGAAGACCCGGTGTCCGGCTGAGAAACCGTCCTGCTCAAGCTGTGTCCGCCTGAATCAGTCATGCCTTTATACAACAATCGCTAGAGGATCACGGGGAGGGCAGTCTGTATGTGCTTGTTTGTGGCTGTTGATGGCTAATCATTAACTTTTTCTTCTTCTTCTTCTTTCTTATAGGACGACAGGCTAGCATTTCTCGAGGAGAAGGTAAACCTTATCTTGAGCGGAAGACCTGCTCAAACGCTTCCGTCAGAAAAGCCACAAGAGACAGTAAATAGAATCTCACAAACACGTTATCCTACCACACCACGTCCATCATCAATCGAATCGAGCACAGTCAATGACCCATTCTTCCACGGGCTTGGCTACGAGGACTCGAACTCTCAGCCGTCATCATCTGCAATTGCCAAAGCTATTGATCTTTACTTTTACTATTGTCATCGACAACCGATTTGGTGCTTTGATCGTGAGGAGGTTTCAGATCCAAGTTATCTGTCAGAAGAGCTCGTTTGTTGCCTGCTCGCCTTGACCTCACGATTCTCACGAGATCGTGACCATTTGAAACATTATGGCGATAGTGCAAGAAGCCTGATCATGCTTCGTATGGCCAATGGCACAGTGGAGCTTGAGACCATTGAGAGTCTATGTCTGCTCTCATATTCCTCATTTCTAGGTTCGAGCCTCAAGTACCAAGTAAAGAATTTCCAAATACTCATTTTATTCTAGATGGAGATATACACGTCGGTCGCTTCCATCTCGGCCTTGCTCTACATCTGTGCCGGTCAGCAACGCTGGATCTTGAATCTGGTCATGCCGGCGAAGGTCCCATGGCCGAGCGAAAGAAGCGTCTATTCTGGAGCCTCCAATGTCTGGAGCAGTCATATGGGCAGCAAAATGGGTTTCTCTGCGTCCCATCAGAGGTCATGCGCACCTTCTACGTGGCTTCTAGTAGCGACCGCGCAAAACAAGATGGGACGGAGCAGAAACCTCCACCACTGCCGAGAGATGATCTGGGTTGCTCGAAATCATCTGATACGGGGATATGGAGCTTAGCAGCCCACTTTGGTTGGGTTTGGAGCAAAGTGCGAACATATGTTTCCGAATGTGCTCGAAACAGGCTCAAAGAACCCTGGCGACACGATTCGATGTACGCCATGGTTCTTTCCGACCTTACAGAAATTGAGAACAAGCTTTCCCACTGCCATCGATATGACTCGGTCAGATTTTATGAGCGAACAGCAGAAGAGCTGAGATTGAGCCGAAATTACTGGACCCCATGGCTGAAGTTACAGTTCACTTACCATTGCATTTTGACTGTCCTGAACCATCCTTTCCTCTATATTGTGGCATCACAATACAACGACAATTTGGCAATCCCGAACGCTTTCTGGAGACGGTCATCTGAGTTGGTCTTGTTACACGCTACTTGGCTTGTCCGAATGATAGACATGGTGTCTGAAAAGAAGATGCGACTGATCGATCCGTTCTTTGGACATGCTGCCGCTATTGCAGCTACAGTGCATCTGTACTACTGCTGTGCCGCGGATCCCCGACTAAAGTATAAATCCAAGGTTGATTTCACAAAATGCAGAAGGTTCCTGAAGAGCTTTGTCTCTTTCTCTCCTGCTTGTGGGATCTTGGTGAGTCTCATGAAACTAAAAAACAGCTACCGATGCTGACATATGTGTAGGATCAAACGCTAGATAAGATGACTAGGATTGCTTCTGGTTCGGAAAACATCGATTATAATTGGGAGCCTGAGAAGATTCACCTCAGTATACCTTTAATGTGGGATGTTCTCCAAGTCAACTGTAAACCCAAGCAACACGAAGTGTCAACGGGCGGCTTGCTACATCCATCGTTGACGCCAACCGTCTCTACAGAAGATGAAGAGGACAATCCGGCTTCAACTCTAGAGGTTATTGTTGCTATGTCCCCGAATGTCACAGTGAACACTACGGATGGTGGTCAAGCTGCCCACATTCCACCAACCATGCCGCACATATCTTCTACGCCGGCTTCTTCCGACCTGGACTTTGGCGAGAAGCTCGTTGCGCCAGCCGACAGTTTAATGACCAATACCCCCTGGCTATGGACAGATCCCTCGCAATTTGTTGATATGGAGAACAATATGGGATATCCAGATTCCGAATCCACTCTCGGAAACGTTGACGGATTTTCGACTTGGTGGGATTTTGGAAACTTATAGGAATATGTTCATTGACTTCTACTGCGACGTTGCTGTCTTCTCGGGCCGTAACTTTCGACCCAGCCCTCCCCTGGGTTATCTTTTCCAGAGCCCCTATGCGAAAAATACCCCTGTGCGGAAAAAAACACTCCTAACAAACCCCAGATGAAAACTTGATTCCCACGCGTCCCCGATCAAGTTATGCCGCTGCGACCGTCTTCAACTTCTCCTGCAAGGCAGCAAAATTTCGTTTCATAGCAGCATCGGTAAACTGAGCCCCAGTCACCATCGGATACTTCTTTGCAGGCCCCTGAATCAAAGCATCCTTACAGGGCTGATTGAAGTAAGCAATGCTGTACCGGTCGCCGAAATAGTCACCAGGCTCGCAGGGGGCCTTGACGCGATGGAAAGTTGACTTGAACCGGTCATCTGACCAGGACATGAGTAAATCGCCAATATTGCACACGATCTCACCAGTCTTGGCCTCCACCTTGGTCCATTTGTCCCCAATACCGAACTCCGTCACCACCTCGCGACCGGGACAAATTTCCAAACCACCCTGGCCGTCCTTCTGGAAAAGTAAAGTCAAAAAGTCCCAATCGGCATGTGCCCCTGCGCGATGATACACCTTTCCGTTGGAAACTTCCGGTAACGCAAAGTAATGCAGTAGACGCATAGTGGTTTGCGAGTTTGGTCGTGAGATTCCATGGCAGTCGATGAAGAATTTCTCCGGGAACCCTAAGCCCCGTGCAAAGCATCGCATCAAACATTCCGATACTTGTTGGGTGCGATTCATGAAATCAAGAGAAGCGGTCCGGAAACCAGGTAGGTCGTCGTTCTTGACCCAGAGGTCGTTCATATTCTCGCCAAATTGCAACTGGTAGGACTCTTTAGTGTCGGGTTGTCCGGTAGATGGTCGAACTTGTGAGTTCTTTTCCCATCCGACGTTGTTTGGACTCCAGGGGACGGTTGCTTTGACCTCGTCCGGTAGATCGAAGAAACTTTTTGACGTCGCAAACATGGATTCGATGTCTTCTTTGGAAATTCCATGACCGATCAAGATGAAGAATCCGACATTCTCGGCGGCTTCGATGAGTTGATGAGTGATTTCATCGATCCGATCTTCGAAATCGTGTAGCGAGATTCGTGGAACCTCTCGTGAGACGTATTGGGTTTCAGATGCCATGTTTATTAACGGTCCAGGAAGTTTGCGTATGAGGAACTTTCCATATGTACAAACGGCGAGTATGAAACCATTTATAGGCCATGGATGTCACACAAACTTGTCACGCTGTAGAATATACGTGCATCCTACGTGCGGGGGAGGGGTTCTTCGGCCAAGCTGATAAGAATAGCGACAAGGATTGCACTCGGAGTAGAGCATTATCAAAATGGAAGTTGATGTAGAAGATAATGTCATTGCCAATCGTTTTAGATCATCGCCATTTGGTCTTGGGTTGAAAGATAGAGATGCCTATCCTAGTGGACACTAATCCCAAACAAAGCCTACGGATACACCTACAGGGCGTTCGTTTTCTAGGGCACAATTATGATCAAATCAATTCAACTAGATAAGATATTACTAAATACCTTACTTTACTAACACGAAAACTCGGACACCGGAGGTCCCCGAAAACGCCCTTAGAAAGTCGAGTGTGGACGAAATTATTCCGCGTCGAAATGAGTACTCTGGTCGGCAGGATTCTCACAAAGCTTTTGGAGCTCAATGGTGTAATCTCGGGCTCTCGGATTTTCGGAGTGTCGGCCCGTCGGAATTTCGGACTCAACACTACTCAGTTAGATGCCGATTGCTTTGGGTATCAAATATGTCCAGATCTCTATTAAATGTCATATATACACGCAAAAATATGGTCCAGCGCTTGGTGCCAAAATAAATAATGCGTTTGAACACAACTCTTTGAGTCAATTGGCTGCAAAATTGATCCAATAATAACCAAAGCGTGGCTTTATTCAAACTTGCGCACATGAATCACAGGTGAACGATATACTCGGCGGCCATGCACAATGTATAAAACAATCGCGAAGATGACTACCGCTCCGAAAACGAGGATAGACCAATTCATATCCACGGGGGTCGGGTTGTTGGCGGTTGGGAAGAATGTGAAAATAATGGCAAAGCAAAGCCAAGCCAGCGAGAACACATTGATCGCCAAGCCGAAGATACCGAGCGAAAATCGCGAAGGGGGAATACCACCTGGCTGAAATCGGACCCGAATGACTGCGGCAATGGGCAAGATGTAAGTGGTGAAAAGGGCAGCGATCATCACAGATGCGACCGCGTTGAAAGCAGCGGTAGATCCGATGTTGATCAAGCTCAGCAGCACGGTAATAATAGTCGATACCAACACGGAGCAGACGGGGATCTGGGTGCGTCGGTTGACGTGAGCGAGGTGCTTAGAGAACGGCAGGGCATCATCGCGGGCAAAAGCGAATGTCTGGCGAGAGACTGTCGCAAGAATACCGATAGCGCTGCAGACTTCAAGGACAAGAATGATAGCAGCGACACTATTGGTAGCGGCCATGGAGCCGGTCGCATGGTTAACGGCTGGGAGGAAGGAGAATCCACTCGGTGGATCGAGCACGTCTTTTATATCTCCCATTTTATATAGCAAGGTGATGAGCATAATAAATCCGAGACCGCCGTTGATCAGCGCAGTCGAAACCATACACCATGGAACCACCAAAGCAGCGTTCTGGACCTCCTCGGCTAGTAGACGTTAGCCATTATCACGAATTAGGAACGCTATGATGTTTGACTTACACATATGTGTAGCAGCATCCGGGCCTGTCCAGGAGAAGATCGGAGTCAGCTGGCCCACCAGACACGCAAGCCCCATGCTCGGCCATTCGCCGGAGTTTGTGAATTCCTGCCACACAGATTCGCCAGAGGCCTGTCCTGGAGACATGACCCACATCAGGACAACGACCGCAATGAATCCGAAGAGGTGAATGGCGAGGATGAGGCCCTCCATAGGAGGAAGGATCTTGTAGCCCCAAGTATTCACCACCGTTCCGACGGCGGCGATAGCGATGGTCAGCAGTGTTCCATGCCAACGCTCAAAGCCATACACCCAACCGGAGGGATCGGAATAGTTGAAGACCAGTAGTCCTTGAATCAGAGTACCGCAAAGGTAGCAGATACTAGCAAAAGCAGCCTGCCAGCCTAGCACCGAAAGCCATCCTAGAACGGGATTAGCGCTGGAGATCGTCCGGTCGGATTCGAGGCGTGCGACTAACCGGTGAGATAGCTCAAGAATCGTTGACATCTCGGCCAAGCAAATTCACTGACCCAGTGGTACTGTCCACCCGATGTTGGCGAGCTAGCGAAATCAATCTCTATGCACAACATGTAGAGGCCGAATCGAACTTACATAGACGCGATCTCGGCCATGGAGATCACAGCGGAGAAGAATCCCACAAATGAGCCAATATATACATAGATCATACCGGCTCGCCCGCCATCAATCAAGCCGTATGTACTCGTGCTGCGCATTCTCCATTATTCCGGGTGCTCTCTCGTAATATCGCACGTCCGAACTCACAGCAGAATCGACTCCCATGTGGCCATTAACGTCGTGGTGAAACCTAAGATCGAGTAGAAACGGAAGTTTCTCTATTTCTGATCAGTACTGAGTCCTGTTCTGGTCAATGCGCAACTCACCTTGAGCTGTTGGGTCTTTCCTAGACGCTGCATGTCCCAATCATCCTGGTCGGTCGCATCGATGCGAAAGTCCTGGGACACCATATTCTTGTCCAATACCCTCTCCATGGTAATTTGCATGGAGGTACAGTAAAGACAAAAGGAAAAAAGGCAATCAGACCATGGCCACCTGGGCAAGGGGCCCTAGATGTCATGGTCAAAGGGGGGGAGAAGGGAAGGGAAAGAAAAGCGCGAAAGTGGAGCCAAAGAAGAAGTTTATTTGCTGCAGGATATAAGTGACGCATGTGCATGTACCTTTATTCCTACCTACAATATGTATATGGTGTATATTTTGTACATTATTATACCTTATAACATATACAAAAGCATAGAACTATGACATCTAGACATGTTCATATAACATTTGTGATATACAACTTGGCATTGTACCTGGAAGCTTATGAATATTCTTCAAGGTTCAGGTACTCAAAATTGGAGTCAAATGGAGATACAATGGAGATACTACAATGGAGTACAAAATACATCGAATATGATTCGATCATCGCCCCTATTAACTTCACACTTGGGATCGAGCCCTCCACAAAAACCATCTGTTTTCTTAAACTGCAGGTCAGAGCCCCGACAAGGTTAAAATGTCTCATACTGAGGATATTTATGAATCCAGGATAGAGCAGGGTTGTCTTTATACATCCTTGTCTGACAACGTGTTAACTCTAAGGATAGTTTTACACAATATTGTCCAAACGGTGACACTTCACCCTACATGATTGTATGTTGATCTCCACAAATAATCGCTAATAGTTCAAGAACAATAAGGTTTGAATGATTGACATAGAGGATTCAATAGTGCATAGTATTGTGTTCAGATCAAACCGGGACGTAGAATAATATGTAACACTATGCTAGACCATCTGCATCAGATCTTTTACCTCATGCTAAATAATGCAAGTTCGAAGATTGTTTGCCGATTTTCTAGACAAAAATATGTTTTAGTGAAATATTATTGGACTATAGAGTAAATCTTCCAATGTTTCATAGCTTTTATATAATATGCATACTAATAGCCTTTCACCTTTCTTTAGAGTTGTATATGGCTACATATGTATAATTTGTAAATATAGAGCAGATAAAATTGAGCCGATGGTTATTTATTTCGGGCCCCAATTTCAAGAATGGGGGCTTTTGATCTAACTACCAGGTTGTACGTAATTTTTTTCCCCCTCTTTGGCGTTCTCTAGATCATGTGTGGCTTGCTGGAGTATGTACTCCGTACGGAGTAATCACATCGGGAGATCTCCCTGATAACATAATTTATGTCTTCCCTTAAGCCACGTGGTTAGAAATTCGGCAACAGCGCTAACGGAGTAGCTCCTATGAACATGCAGCTAGGCCAATACAGTTAAAGCCCAAGGAGTTTACCAGGTTGCTCGGATTATACTCCCGGCATTCTTCCGGCGTCCGAGATACATGCGAGCAATAATAAAATAAAATTGAGGAATACGATTTCGATCTTTCTTGCGCTCAGAAATAAAAATACAAAGAATACCAATTTGAGGTATTTGCTCTCCTCACAACCTTTCGAGCCGTTTGATACATTCGATCAATGCATTGCGGGTGTTGGAAGTACCCACTGTGTGATCTTTGGCACGAATGATCTCCCGAATATCTGCCCTAAGAATCATACCGGCCGGGACATTCCGAGACTCATTGTCTGAAGTCTCAGAGGTCTTGTTCGTAACAAATTCATCAAGAAGACCACAGCCCGAGACACAACGGGCCAGGGTTTCCAAGTACCACAAACGTAATGAAAGAAAGCGCTATAGAAAGTAGATCTCTCGTCATCCGTTTCTCTATCTAAGGGAGCCAGGGTATTCTTACCATTGCGGGGATCAGACAACACACCGTCTTCCACTCCGAAAATATGAGACACCTCTTCTGGGCTGGGGATCTTTGGCACCAGATGAGCTGCCCTCACTGAGGCTGGCAGGTTAAAACCCGAGAATGTGGCACCACGATGCTTCTCCGTCAGACCGTAGTACTTGTTGACCTCTTTCTTGAACGTCTTCTGGTAAAATGGGGGTTTCCGAAGTTTTGACATCGCACCCATAATTATGGGAGAATGGTATCGACATAGGCCCTCTAAACAAGTCCATCATCTAGTGGCTCCTTCATCCTCATGCGCTTGATTTCTATGTTTGACTCTAGGTCTTCCTATAGTAATGTGCGTTGGCGTTTGATCACATCAAGAGTCTGCGACGTGGTTCGAAATCTTCTCAAGACAGGCTCAATCCCTTTCTGGAGGGCAGCGGAACTCAGTAGCCTTGAAGCACTAATCTCGTCAAGCCCTTATTTGACACAGCTAATTTAAGCCTTCTCCTCCTGAAGACTGGCTATCTTAGCGTTAAGGAATTCAGATGCGGTTGGCTGTAACGAGACTTGGGAACCCTGAAACACCTTTGAGGATATGCCCATACCCATAGATCTTTCTTGATAACTGCGTAAAGCCTGACGGCGAGTTTCTGGCATCAGAGAGTAAATTCTATCCGAAATCAGGAAAGGTGTTTTGTCGGACATCTTGAGACCAAGAGACTTGAGATGGAAAGGCCTGTTGTAAGCGGAAGGAGGAAAGATTTAAAGTGAGAAAGTGAAAAGGTGAGAAGGTGTGAGGTATACTTTGTAGAGTCAAGATGTACTAATCAGACATATTAAGGCACATTCAGGCAGCAACTCTTATTCGCCAGGGCTTGTTTCAGCTTATATAAACACTACTTGGTTTTGAAAATTCACAATCCGACCCCCTGGCCGCTATGCCTTCGCAGTATTATTAATTTTTTGGTCGGAATAACTATGGTAATAAGGCCATAGATATCTGGCGATATGATACTTTTTACTGGCCACTGTGACTTTATTGATGAGAAGTGAAGCCTCGTCCTACATAAACCAGGACATTCTTCAAGTCGTCCTTATTCGAAGATAAAAACCCCTTTATCTATTCCTTGAGTACAAGACAATCCTACTATCTTCTGTAGGCACCGAAATAAATATGTACGCATCCACCATCTAATATGTCCAGACGAACACTCCACAACTTCTTGGCGTCACAACATGGAGAATCAGCTGCGTTGCGCGTCTTTTTGTTCGTGACTTATCCATGTTGTATGTTGTACGGAGTACTACTCCGTATGTTAACTTCCGTTTTAGACAGATTCAACTGTTTAATATCCTCTTGTTACTAAACCGAATGCAGACATTAAGACCGATCCCCGAGGTTTCGTGAAAAGGAGAGGGGCAAAGAGATCGGCAAAAAACCGGTGGCCTGTCATTGAACTGTATTTTCGATGAACATTTTGTTTTCCTTTATATTGAGTAGACAACATACTATAACAGTGTCATAACTCTGGATGGAACATTGAATTCTCTTATCGGATACCAAGAGCGGAACCGCCACAAATTAGCGCCACATCTTGAGTATGATGTTTGATCACGACGCGTGGACTGGTGGCGTTGCAGTTCCCCTCGAAGATATATTGAAGCCCCTTCTTCTAACTGGATGATTGATGGACAATTACCGTCAGGTACCCTCCCGGCAGACATCCTCGTCACTGGTTGGCACAGACGCGCAATTCTTGAAGGGATTTTGACCCACGCGGAGCTTGGCAGACCATGATGTTTCTACGGAAATCCGTCAGCCACCAAATCACCATACGTCTGCTTACCTTGTAGTTCCACTGTTCGTGTGCCAAGACCAAGTGGTTCTTCCCAAGGAGTCGGATAGACGGCGGCGGGGAACCGACGTTAAACGAGGATGTGAAATTAAACCGTGGTGTCCCGGCCCCTACCTCCGACGCAAAAGACTTCTACTATTTCTCTGTTCGAATCCCCTGTTTCATCCACCATGCTCTAATGTTCTTGCGGTTTTCTTCTGGCATGCTTCGCCTGAGATCCTGGCTTCACAATGATCGTGTGCGCACGCGGTTTCCCTTCCGATGCATTGCTCTGGTTCTCGCCGCCATTGGGGGCCTCATTGTATTCTATCTGTTTGCTATCCCACAACTTCGCAGATTCCGGTTCCACGCCGGCCTGAGCTGGTATGATCTAGGAGGTCAAGGGTTTAGTCCAGACCAGAATTACATTTCCTTCGATCAAGAGTCGCCTATTGTCGAAATCACCCCATCTGGCGCAAAATGCGATCCCAGGTACACATTCCTCGCACTTCGGGGCGATTCAATTGCCCATCCCGGTCCCATGATCCTGGATCCTGCTGGAGAGCTTGTATGGAAGAAATGGAACATGTATACAACACAAGACTTCAAATTGCAGCGGTACAAGGGAGAGAACTACCTCACTTATTGGGAAGGAGAGACAGCCGAGGGTATTGGACAGGGCTCATGGTACATGGTAGGTCATATGTTGAGCTAGCTCACAAATGATTTCGGCTCTCTAATCATCTTGCCAAACCATAGCTCGATTCGACCTACACCCAGAAGTATGTGGTGTCTCCAGTCGGCATATATGACGGCGACCTGCATGACTTCCAAATCACTTCCAACGACACCGCAATTTTGATCATGTACGACCGTATTCCAATGGATTTGCGCAGTATCGGCGGCCCAGAACTAGGATGGATATATGATGGAGTGTTCCAGGAAGTCGACCTCGAAAGTGGAGAACTGCGATTCCAGTGGCGCACATCCGACTTTTACCACCCGAGTGATAGTTATTATCCGATTGGAGATGCAGGTCAGGAACGGGCATCGGCATATGACTACTCGCACATCAACAGTGTGGACAAGGATGACCAGGGCCGGTACCTGATTTCGATGCGCCACCTTCATACTGTTGCATACATAGATGGCACCACCGGTGATGTCCTCTGGTCACTAGGAGGGATGCGGAACAACTTTACCGATGCATCGGATGGAGCTGCCACCGATTTCTCATGGCAGCATGACGCTCGTTGGGTAGGACCAAACCACCTCAGTTTGTTTGACAACGCGGCCTACAGTAACGACGACCCCTCTGCAGAGAGCCGCGGCATGATCATTGATCTGGATACGGAAGCGTGGGAGGCAACTTTACTACAATCTTTCGAACACCCGCACGATATGATGGCCGTTTCTCAAGGGAACGTGCAAGTACTAGACACAGGGAATGTGCTCGTGGGGTGGGGCCATTCTGCAGCTTTCACCGAGTTCTCCCCAGATGGCGATGTTGTATGTAATGTGCACTTTGGTGCCTCTGCTTTCTTTACCTTTGGTCGTGTCGTCTCCTACCGAGTTTTCAAGTTTGACTGGGTTGGTAATCCTCTGACAGCCCCCGACACTGCACTCACACCGGAGAGTGTATTTGTCAGTTGGAACGGTGCCACCGAGGTAGCAGAATGGCGAGTTGAGGCATGGGACGGTGAAAACCTCAGGAATATGAGCTTCGCAACTGTTGACCAGGTTCCTCGCACTGGTTTTGAAACTGAGATCCCACTGACCTCCGAAGTTGATTCATTCTTCCGCGTGCGTGCAATCAACTCGAAGGGAGAGAGTCTCGGGGTGACGGAGCTACTCCAACGACTACCAGCCTCATCATCGGAGATATCTTCCCTTGTAAGCACATGGGCACTAGCTTTCATTGCGTTTGTGGTACTTGGCTGCCTCATTTACGGTGTTTATTTCGTTGTTCACCGTCGATTTCGACGAGGATTTGGGCCCAACGGTACTTATCAATTGGTGTCCCACAAGGATGCAAACGAGGGCGATGATGAACATGATCGTCTACCATTATAGAAAGCCAGCGCCTGAGATTGCTTCCGCATGTATATATACCTTCATCTACACATATTCAGAAATGAATTCCTATACATTTCCTTCGTGAATCATGGTGCTTAAGAGAATAGGGCTGCGAATATTCATATTTGCTTCCATGGCCTGCCTTTTTCTCTACGAACCCATAGGAACACTCATTTGCCAAGGCGGAGAAGACTTTGAAAATATGGGAACGCGAAGGGGAGCTCGATGCAAGAGTTGGTCTCGTAACTGACCTCGGATAGATTGCCTGTTCGAGATGGGGCAGTGCTGGAGATATCGGTGTACCAAGACCGCACCACGATATCCACAGAACAATCGCATAATGTTTGCCAACCTGAGACTTGTCCAAAAATGGCGCTTCGGGGGAGAGAGGGCTTTGAGGGGCCTCCTTGGCGTCGAATATCTGTGATAGTTCAACTGGAAGCGCCCGCCATGTGGCGCGGCGATCTTGGCACCGCTCGTAGAGTCCCGCTCCCAAGCCAAGCCAAGCCGAAGCCACAAGCCCCCATTACTTTAGTCCCCTCCCCTTAACCTTCCATGATAAAATTAGTTACTGGATGTATGATTGGCGAAAAAAAAATAAGGGCGTTTTCTTCATTTTCATCGCCAGAATCAGAATCGTGACACTAGTTTATTCTCGGCGAGGGAACAATTCTGGGTCCCAGACTTCCCCAAGATCGGGAATATCAAGCATCTGATATCATAAGTATATCATTGTTGATGTCCAGAACAGGATGACGATACCAAGAATTTGAACTCTCTTTTTACTTACATGGCGTACCTTCCCCTTTTAGCATCACGTTCCACGAAATCTGTTTCGTTGGTTAGAGGTATTACATTGACGATCCCATGGCAATTTGATGATCAGGGGATGGTAGGAAAGAGTAAAGCAATATTGATGGGTTTAGATAGTAGGGCAAACCAATGGTAGAATACTGTCGTAGTAGGGAATCCGTTTTGAGTAGATGGCAGAGCTGATCTCCAAAAATTCTGGGTAGAGGAAGTTCAAAGGACCACATCGAAATCAGACTGTTAAAATAACATCTTTACCACAGAAAAACCAGTCGATAAGATTATACCTGTATACCTATTAAAAATACACTTTATTATGTACTATTATGTACTATGTAAAGGGACCGTTGACTTGACTCGAGTTAGTTTTGTTTTTCTTGTAGCGGTGTCACGTTCGTTTCCTAACATAATCACACATATATATATGTGTATTTTCCAGCGTTGTGACTAGGCTCTTATGTTCAAGATTAGTATGGTGGATGTTTTAGACTCACATGAGCATCAGCACTTTGGCGGTAAAGGCGGTAAAGGCGGTTGAGGAGATGCTCACAGATAGAGGAATTGAGCAGCGTAGGTTGTGAATGAATAGAAGAATGTAGTCTCAGATCCATCCACAGATGTCTAGCAAGCTCTTGGAATGATACCAAACTCGAATCACTAGTGACTTGTGATCCAAAATGAAAAACTCTCCAATTTCTTGGGCGATGCCAGAGGACTTGACAAAGATAGACCTGAGACTGGGGATGGAATGTTGCGCTTGGAACCTTTTGCCTCACAGCCCCAACGCTCACAGCTCAACTGAAGTGTACAGTGCCTAACTGTTTCTCCTTCGCAATCGAACAATAGTACGTAGGTAGAAAAGCGAAAAGAAAACATGAAAAATGCAAAGACATGAAACTATGTGCAAACATGCATCTGAAATGTCCAATTGGGTATCCGTATATTTTCCTGGTTCAAGTCACAAAAAACGCCAGAGAAAATCCGACAGGCCCATTTCGTATACCGGGGCCTGTATATGCAGATACCTAAACACATGTCACTTGGACCGCAAAAAAACAACATGAAATAAATCACAATTATCCACCAAATGTGTGTGTTGGATGAGAAGGGAGGGAAAATGGAGGGTAGAGTGCAAGAGCACGGCAGAAAAGGGGAGGAGATGGAGACAGAACGCCCGGACAGGTAAAGATGGCTGTCGGGTTGTCATCGAAAGATTGGTTACTTGGAGTTGAACCATCCACCATTTTCCCATTCTCCTTCAGGCGTGTATGTGGCTGCTCGTCGGGCGGACGGATCGCAGAGACCGCTCAATAAAACGTTCAAACGAGCAAAATTGATAGGTTTCATGACCCAACCATCAAATCCAGTATCCATATAGCTTTGGCGGTCCTTTTCAACCAAAGATGCGGAGACAGCAAAGATAGGTACTCGGTCATTGCGTATAGCTTTGTCGGATAGTGCTTCTTTGGGTGTTCTGGATTCGAACTCGCGAATCGCCCGGGTGGCTGCCATTCCATCGACAATCGGCATCTAGGGAAGATTAGTGAGAATGAAAAGAAACGGAGAAGCGTTTCCAGCGTACCTGAATATCCATCAGCACCACATCAAAGTATTTGATGGATGAGGCAAAAGCAATTGTGCAAGTTTCACCATTGCCGGTCAACTCAACGGCGTGGCCAAGTTTGGTCAACCGCTTATGTATGATCTTGCTATTGATTGGATCATCCTCGGCGACAAGAACTTTGAGTGGGATGTGGTCTGTTGTTGAAGGTACAGAGGTGAGTACGGCGGAAGATGATGTCTCAGAGGACGGAGCTTGTGATGTTTCTGTAATTGATGAAAATCTCGGGAAGTAAGAGTTATCCTCCTTGGTAGGCTGGATTGGTGGGGACCTGAGACTGGCGAGATGTTGTGGAATTCGCAGAGCACCCATCGGCACTCCTGAGTCCGTAATATTCTCCAGACCTGGAGGAGGAGGGGTTACAAGTGGCTGTAATGTGAGTGGCGGGGTATGCGTGACAGAAGACAGCGTGGGCAATGCACGCTTTCCAGAGGATGGTGATGCAAGAGGAGAATGCGCATAACTGTTGCTGGCACTCTTAGGGCTCGATGAAAAGTTCAGCCGTCTCAGATCTAAATCCTGGCTAGTGCTTCGCTTAAGTGGGGGTTCTTGCATGGCACTGATGAGCCGATCAGCGTGGCTTCTCCCACTGTGTCCACTACGGGAACTACCACCACTGCGGAGGCTTTCAGAACTTCGTCGCCTGGTATCACAAAACTCATGTGCTCCAGGAATTAGTGTAAACTCCTTCTCTGAAAGAAGAGGCGTGGTAGGAACGACAACGCTCTTGCGAGTAAGTTCATCAGAATCTCCATCCACGATTGACCCCTCTGGCAATGGGAATTGCAATATAATCTTGAAATGACTGCCCTTCCCTTCTTCCGATCTGACAGCAAGCTGGCCCTGCATGTTATGAATGATCCTTGCTGCAAGAGCAAGACCAAGACCCAATACACGTTTTTGCGGTGGGTTCTTCATTTTCTGTTCTTCTTCATGGTAATAAGTATCATCGGTTGACACTTGTTCGAGTTCATGAAAGAGGGTCTCCAATTTGTCTTGCGACATGCCCACTCCCGTATCAACAACTATCACCTCCACTCCCACATGGCCTGGAATGGTTTGAGTGGCAGAGCGCCACATTTCTGTCGTGACCGCACCAGACTTCGTATGTTGAATGGCGTTCGAGATCACGTTCGAGAGAACTTGCCGCACACGACGCTGGTCCCCGAGAACCGACTTAGGAATGCCCGGATGTACTGAAACAGTATATGAGATGTTCTTCCGCTTGGCATCGCCAGATAGCATATCAGCCGCTTCTCTAAAGGTTGATTCAAGGTCGAATCTCTCATCTTTAATGAGATTTTGGCCTGTTTCGGTATTCGTCAAGTCAAGGAGATCGTTGATCACATAAATTAGTGATTTGGAAGCAGAATGAGATTTGGTCAAGCTCTCTCTGGTTTCATCGTCTAGAGCACCCTCAAGTGCAATCTCCAAATAGTTAACGATGGCATTCAAGGGGGTCCGAACTTCATGTGCAGAGTTGGCCAGAAGTAGTCGAGTGAGTTGTGAGTTCTGCATGGCAGCCTCCTTCTGCCTCCACACTTTGATGAATTTACCATAGACCACTGTTGCAAGTTTTGTCAGCTTCCAAACAATCGAGGCAAAGTATTGAAATCTCCCATGAAGAGAACTTACAGCACAAGACCGCCGCTGTCTCCACGTCCGTCTCTGTCCACTCTCTACTTTGCGATAGAACTGTCTCCCGCCATGCCGTGAAACTTTCGCGGGGTTCAAGATATCCTGCGGTCTGCTTTCGCTTCTCAATCTCGTAAGGATTACCAGCCCACTTGATCTCTGTGAGATGTCCACGGCGGAAAAATGCGATGAAGTCACTACCACCAGTAGAGAGCGGAACATATAGTAGACCAGAGATTACCTTCAGTCCCGGGGCGTAATGCAAATCAGGGAAATCCTTGACGATATCGTGTGAGGCAAGCACTGCATCCAACTGACGTACGCGAAGGAATTCTATCAACGCAAGCACCTCCTGGGAATTATTGTTGTCACCAAGAATTTTTGTTTCATCGCGAATCGATAAGACTCCGTAATCTGCATCAAATAGTTGCAGCAGATCATCCGACGAAGCAATGATGTAGCCTGAGGGGTTGGCCTCGGTCGGGACAGTGTTGATTAGTTTTCGGGCCTGAAGGCGAGAAGCATATGAAAGTCGTTCGATGTTTCGAGATACAGTGTCTCCGAGAAGCCGGCACATTTTGCGTATTGGAAATGACACGCGCATACCGGCATTTCCGTAACTATGGCAGGATATCAATCCCCAGAGATCGTTGAAAGCGTTGATGCTTATTGACATTGAAGACCTGACTTTCATGTGTGCCAAATATTTCACGTGTATTGGGGACATCGCGCGAAGATAGGCGTGAGTCATGTCCAACGGGGATTCGAGATCCTCCAAGGTCCGACACACAAGTCGAGAAGTGACTTGGTCGCGATCATATAAAAGTCTGACCTTGTTGATTTTGTAAAGTTCACGGGCTTGTGCGGGAATGTCGGAGGCAGGGAAATGAAGACCCTTGTAGAGGTCAATAGTAGTGTTGGGGTCAACTAACTCGGCAACAACCATGCCGTTCCAGCTGCTATCAAACTGATATATCAAAACTCGGTGAAAGCCAGTCAGCTCCTTAACCAATCCCGCAGTTGTATTAAGTAGCTGATCTAGATCATTCGTCCGCCCCAACTGCTCCTGTATTTGAGTCAAGATACTAAAAGCTTCCATTGGAGATGCCTGGCCTTTCCTACGGCGGGCATTCCTAAGAACGCGGAGAGGCTGGCTGATGTTGATTGTGCTCGCGGCAAGTTGATCTGGAGTTGGAATAATGCCCAGGGTGTCCGTGGGAACCGCCGGAGTGTCGAGGCCCTCAACATTCAACGGGTTCACTTCGTCATCCTCACGCTCGAACTCGCAGATAATCAAATCCTTTTGCGCCTGAGAGACATGGGTGGCGCACCAGAATTTGCACCGCTTGCCATCAGGTGTGCGGATGGATATATTGAAAACCTCCGGCCCATCGATCGATGGATCATGTGCATCATCACGAACAAAGTCGATGTGATCCAGTAGTGTCTCCGCCTGGTCCTCACTCAAAATATCACAGAAGCTTTTCAACTCAAACAGTTGCTTGGGCGAATATCCCAAGAAGTCAGCCGAGTTCTCGCTCACAATGCGAACTACAAGCTGATTTGGCGACTCCTCACGGAGGGCAATCATTAACCCGAAACTCTGAATCGCTCCAGGGATGCGAATAGGCTCGTCCTCGCAGTATTGAAATGCTTCTCCATCTCGCCCTGTGATGACAGCATGGCCATTATCCGTCATGACATGTTTGAAGCGGGCAGTAGCATAAGCATGGTCTTCATAGTTCCCACGCTGGGTGTGGGAGGATGGAGGCGCGGTGGACCCGCTCCCACACTGGCTGTCGCTTGGGGCAGGTTTAGCGTAGATTTCTGGGTGTTGAATGACCTCCAATGCCAAGGAATGAGTCGCAAGTTCTGTGTTGTCATTTATAGCATGTGTCTCATGACGTGGAATGTCGGTGGGGATGGTAGGTTCGGCGTGCTCGGGATCGGGGTGATGAGGGTGATCGGAAGAAACCGAGGAAAGTGAGTTCCATGTCCGTTGGTCGATAAACGGATACTGTCGCGCCCCTTCTTGGATTGGCGATATCGCATCCCGGGGGTGCGCTGAACCCGAAAACTGGGGGGTAGCTGTGTGGTCGACCGAAACAACCGACCGAATAGGAAATACGCGGTCGGCGGGGCCAAAACCAGTGCTTGGTGGCTGCTTGGCCGATGCGATGGACTGGGATCGATCTCTGGCCTCTGACTGTTCTTGTTTTGTCTCTGAGGGCTCTATCCGTTTCGAAGACCTAACACTCTCGGCCCTTCTGCGCGGGGACGACAGCCCGATGGCTTTGGGATGTGGGGACGTCATCTCCACTGTTTAGACTATCGGAATGAATAGAGCACAGCTGAATGGCCGCATGACAGCAGGCTAATGATCTCGAGGGAAAATGGAAGATCGGAGCGATCCTGCGGCAAGATGGTTGTAACGTTGTACGGGCCATACTCCGGGTAGTCTATTATTACTGCCAACCCACTTCAGATTTTGACATAATAAAAATTGACCGCCCGGCTCACCGCTGGATTTCCAATCTACAAAAGATCCCACTTTTTACACTACCTATGTACATAGGTACTACTATTATTAGATACATCTGTACAAAGTAATCGCTCTATTTTGGACTCACTACAATTATACGACAGTAGAACATGGGTGTTATATATGGGATTTAGCATTAGACTTGATAGACCCTATGTTAATATATGTTCGGCCTTCATAATACGTAATATTCCCGGAAAAACAAGAGCCCCAAATAGCGCTACTGACCGACCCTTGAATTTTTTTTACAAAAATTACAGGCTCAAGCGGGGGTCCGTATGTTGTAATTTTTGTACCAAATGTCCAAGGGCTGGTTACATACAGTCACTACGCATAAGTGTTAACACCCCTTTGAGACCCATCTATCACACCGCCCAAACGTCACTCTACCGCCTACCAAACGCTCATACAACTTATGCCATAAGGCACCCAATTTATCTGAAGCACCCGTTAAGAATTGCCTCTAGAATTTTAACGTTAATTTCTATTTAGGAAGGCAAATTTTTGCATAACAAGGCGGCTTTAATAGCTACCTAGTGAATCTTGAGGGGAAAATTATGCCGGCAGAATATTACGTAACTACTCTATGTGGGGCCAGGGGTGCTAAGACTTATGCGTAGTCACTGTACTCCGTATGTAGGTTGACATTGAAAACAAATGCATATTAGGAGCCAAATATATCTTGAACAAAGAAACAGTACACATAGTACTGTAGAACATTAAGAATCTTTGAATAACTACATTTGTATGTACGTATAAATCTGCCTGCCTACTGTCGTGCCACCCATTTTAAACCACCTACGCATTGCTGGGTTATATAACCTAAATGTGCAGATCCTTCCATCAACCATTCCAATGGCCGAGCAGTAACTTGGTCACCTTCTTCCTTGGTCTAGTGGTGATGATTTCCGCTTGTCATTAATACCGATAAGCGCGGGAGACCGGGGTTCGATTCCCCGAGGGAGAGATTTCTTTTTTTTTTGGCTCTTGTTCTGTTATTTTTCTGTTTTACCTATCATTGTACGACATGAATTTTAGGCAATTGTTTAACTATTATTGTTCCAGTTCTAGGCCATGACGTGGGAGACGGCACAGCACCTAGGAGCCTGCAGCAATAGTGAGTCAGGTCCAGGCAGACGCGCTTGGGAGCCCAACAGCCGTATCCAATCTCATCCAATCAGTTCTACGAACTACTTCAAGCTGCAAGGCAATGCTAGCTGAAGAGGCGTGTCAGGCGCACACTTCAGGCTCAGCCCGTCATCTCCAGAGGCGGCTTCAGTGTCCGAGCGGGGACAGGCCAACACATGAGGCTCTTCGGATCCCTATAAATAAAAGACTTGACTACGCTTGACTTTGACTATGCCATTCAGGGTTTTCCATTTCCCTCCTACCCTATTAATTGGAAACCCGATCGAAATCATTCCTAGAACTTGAGCTCTGTTGACTCTGTGGACATGAGTTCAAATCAAACTATCCCCACCACAACGGGGCCTTTGTCCACGACGGACACGGCCATGTTGGAGGTCCTAGTTCCCGGCTATGGCTTCATGTCACGCATGTTGATGTCCTACCTCAATTTTGACGTCAGCGCCTACCTTCAATTCCTAGTCGGAGTCGCTGTCTTCGGTGCAAGTGCTCGATATACTTTATTCGTGATTTGGGCATATTTCAATGAGTTTTTCGTTTCAAGAGCCGAGATTCGCCTAGACGATGAGGCATTTCATTATCTGATGTTCTGGATCTCACGTCAGCCGCATATGAAGAATACAAATCGATTTATTGCAGGCATCAAAACCAACAGTTACTGGAGCGACAATGAAACCGACGAGGAGGATCTCGAAAGAGACGAGGAGGATGAGGATAAAACTTCCACCGGCGAGAAAAGCGATACTTTCGATTCTTATTGGGCCAAGGTCACCACCCGGGACAAGTACAAGAGAATGCAATTTACTCCCTCCGAAGGCTGCCACTACTTCTGGTACAAGAACCGTCCGCTCATGCTCGAGCGCATAAACAGGGACGGGGGTGCATGGTATGTAATGAACAACGAGCGGATTTTCCTATCTTGTCTCGGTCGGAACCCAGCGATTTTGAAATCACTGCTAGCAGAGGCCCAGCAGGCGTATGTTGAGCGTGACAAGAACCGCACGGTGATCTACCGTGGCTCGCGAGTCAACGCCGGGCAAACTTTCAACTGGTACCGGTGTATGGCGCGGCTACCTCGTCCCCTCTCTACCGTTATTCTTGATCAAGAACAAAAGCATGACTTCCTTGACGATATCAAGGAATACCTGCACCCTCGCACGCGGCGCTGGTACACTAACCGTGGAATCCCGTATCGGCGTGGATACCTTCTACACGGTCCTCCAGGAACTGGCAAGACGAGTCTGTGCTTTGCAGCGGCTGGACTCCTTGGATTGAAGCTCTACGTGCTTGATCTAAATTCCACGGCGTTGAATGAGGAGAGTTTATCAGCCCTGTTCTCGGAACTACCACGCCGATGCATTGTCTTACTTGAAGATGTCGATTCAGCAGGTGTTACAAAGACGCGCGCCGCCGCACCTGCTTCTACATCTACCCCAGATACCCCCGCGAGCGATGCCACTCCCAAGGTCGCCGGCGTCGAAGCAGATGGTACAGCCACCAAAGAAGACGATAAGAAAGGCGGAATTACACTTTCAGGACTTCTGAACGTGATTGATGGTGTTGCCGCCAGTGAGGGCCGCATCCTGATTATGACTACCAACCACGTAGACAAGCTCGACCCAGCTCTTCTCCGCCCTGGGCGTGTCGACATGAAGGTCATCTTCGGGTACACCAGCGAAGCAGATATCAAGGAACTTTTCACCTCGATCTACGCCACGATGGACAACGATATTTCGCACAGCGCAGCCCCAACGATGCACAGCAATGGTAGCAATAGGTCAGTCAAGTATCCGACAGCCACCATTGTTAGTAGTACTGCCAAGGCAAAGGACGAGATTGCCCAAAGGTCCGAGAAGAGTAACGGGAAAGTGGAAAAGGCCAAGGAGGAAGACCTGAAGGCTGTTGTATCCCTCCGGTCCAACATTTCCAACTTGGCGTCTCAATTTGCTGCTATCATTCCGAGTGGCGAGTTTACAGCTGCGGAGATCCAAGGATATCTTCTCAATCACAAGGAGAGACCCGAGGTAGCAATTCAGGGTGCAGCGGAGTGGGTGCAAACGGCGCGAGATAAGAAGCGTGCTGGAGAGGGAAAAGGAGAGGGGGAGGTAGAGGCGAAGGATAAAGCTTAGGTCCATGCAGGCGTGGATTTCTAGAACGATACGACGATACGATATACACATAATACAATTCCACTATATTTATGTCCAGATCAAGATATTGATCCCCAATGATGGGTTCAGATTTGCTGTAGGAGCCTTTCTCACTTAGTTTCTCCAGAATCATCTTTGACTGTATTATTTTTTGGAAAAGAGACTAGTATGGAATTACGCTCTGCGCAAATTCAAATTGTATTTATATTTTTCAAAAAGCAAAAGAAGTATACCATTGGTACCATATCACATGTAAGGCCTCAGAACCCGGGGTATATATACATCAAAACGACCTGGGTTCAAGGAAGTCCTACGCAAAGCCAAAACTACAATACAAAAAACCATAATGATTCCCAAAGAAACCAATTGAAACCTTTCAAGCAATTGATGCCGTCGTCCCATCCAGAATCACATCAGCCACATACATACACCTACTAGTCCTCTCCTCAGTACAGAATCCATGGAACAACATCCGATCCCCACAACCACAAACATTCCCTCCACCAGGTGAAATAAGCCCCGTATTCTGGGAATTAATCAAAGGAACATTCTTTTTAGTATAAGGCCCAGTAATACTTTTAGACGTAGCCCAGCGCACATCATAAGCGGGGTCCGTAAAGCAGTGGGTGGAATAAAACAAAAAGTACGTATCACCATGGAGAATGAGATTCGGCGCCTCGACAAGGGGGCCGTCATTATCGGCTGTATTGCGATCAAGGATCTGCACCGCATCCCCGATAGGTGTGACACCGTCGGCGGCAACTTTTTGCAACAAAACTGGTGTGGAAACAAGCGGCTCGATCCCATTGTTACAGTCTCCGCCGTGGCCAACGCTATTACCGTCGACTTTGAAGACGACGTAGCGACTTCCATCTTTGTCTTTAAAACCAGCTGGGTCAATTGAGCCTCCCCGATCGAGGCGGCATGATAGGGGTGTGTTGCTTGGGACATAGGGCCCTGTTGGATGGTCTGCTATGGCTGTGCCGACACAGTGGTGTCTGAGTTTTGATTTTGCTTCGCCGGAGTAATACATAACATATTTCCCATCGTCCTGGAAGATACATATTTAGTTATTTGTTTTGGGGTAGTGTTGATTTTAGTTTTTCGTTTCCGGAAGCCGAGGAAACTTACTCTCATCACCACGTCTGGAGCCCAGTGGTCATTTTCGGTCTCCCATGTTGATAATGTGGGGAGGGCTTCGATATCGAGAAGCGTCCATGTATTAAAGTCATTGGATACTGCGACTTGGACTCGCTTTCCATTTCCGTTGGTACCGAATGCGTACCATTTGTTGTCCGCCGCTTTCATAAAACTGGGGTCTGGGAAGTTGGTGTTCAGTCCCAGCCAGGGGCCCTTTCTTCGCGCTTGAACTAGAGGCGAGCCCAGGACGGGGGAAAATAGGGACAGGGTTAATAGAGCCCAAGTGGACCGGGATTTTATGGAAGAAGGCCGCATGTTGGACGAAAAATCGAGTGAAGGAAGTTATAAATAATAAAGACGGTGATTATTTAGATCGAAAGTGATCAGACTGGGGGAGGTAAGTCCTTATTATATGTAAATTTGACCGTACTGTCTTAAGGAGGGAGGGGGCCAGAGTCCGCATTGGATTTAGGGTACCAAGAGGACCAAAGTGAGACCACATGCTCGGCGTCTACTTGGTTCCGAGAGGGATAATTGCTGTGAGCCGAGGAGAGGAAAGCAATCGAAAGAAGCCAACAACCGCACGCCTGATATGGAGATCCATCAGGTGGCATCGGGACTCGGCGAGTAAATTCGGTGATCCACTCATGCGCGCGAGATCATGCTAGCGTTTTGCTTGATGTTGGTTGGTTAGGAGTTTTTTCTTTTTTCTTTTTTTCTTTTTTTCTTTGTTTTCAGAGCCCAATTACCGGACCGCCGTGTAGAACATGTTGTTGAATGCTAAAAGGTACGGAGGGAGACAGGAGGCGTTTCATGGCTTGCAAAGGAATGGCTAGACCACCAGTGGACTCCAAAAATGAAGGGAACTAGAAGAATGAGCCAAGATGGAGCGAAGCAACGTGAGACTCTAACAAGAACCCTCAAAAGAGATTTTCTTTTCTTTAAAATGCCTCACAATCGAGAATACTAGTATACCGAGGACACAACAGATAGGGTTTGGCCTCAAAATATTGTTTTGTTCGAGTCTATTCCGTAGATTAATTCTGATTCCGAAAAGGACTGGGTATTCATCCGTCCACTACAATATTACAGGGGCCATGCGGATCCACGTTGGGCTTTCGAATTAAATTCATGTAGATTAAATCCGAGGAAGTCAGACTGAGATTCGTAAAGCCATACCACTGCGTACGGAGTAGATATTAGGCCGAAAGATCTCCCGAGCTAATCTTGTGGAGTTTGACTAGAATTGACTAGGGACAAGAATATGTGGATAAAATTGCCAAGCTTGGCCAGATGCCGCAAGGGACTCCAGGGGTCTTATGGCTGTCGATCAAGGTCAAAGCTTCGAAAACCGGGTAATATGACCTGTGCCTTGAATCTGGGAATTTTACTATCAAAGGAAAGAATTGACCATATAAGGAATGCAAGGGCGAAAAACGCAGACAGAAAAAGAAAGACCTAGAAAAATAATTTGTATGCAGCCCAGACATGATACCTTAGACAAATTACCCCTAGCTTGGCGATGATGATAGGCCGGGAGAATAGGGACTGAGCCACCCCCAGGCCCCTGGCCCAGCTGGGTCACACGAGGCGCATGGCTTTCATGTGCTGGCACTCTTGGTCACATTGACACATGGCTCTATAGCCATACAACATCATTTCAAAGTGAGATCCCGACATGTTCTGATCGGAAATGGAACAACATTGAGTTCATTTATTGTTTACCCCGCATTATTTGATATGGCAATGTAGGTCAGGCTCAACAAGTCGGTGAAGACTTTCCACTTGAAGCTCATGATGTCACCGGGGGCTATGCGTCAAATTAGTTCCTATGATCGGCATCGGTGATAATATTGACACACTAGTTTTGATCATTTTTTGCATCTGTATCAATGCGGAGGCTAGGGAGACTAGTGTCTTCTGATTCTTGAAAGGGTATGAGTAGCTTTTTGTTCATGGTAACTACATATATGTAGCTAGTAGAAGCCATCTATGGATAAGTCTGAACTACTTATACGGAGTACAGACATTTCTATGTATGACCAAGGTCATTCCTTCCCTTCGTTTTTGCATGTAACAGTGGCCCAATAAAGTGATTAAAATCTTTCTGGAAGGCGCGAAGTCCCTGCCTGTGAGTATAAGCCCCCCTCCTCTTGAGGACCCTAACCCAACCAATACTGGAAATCTGGAGAGAAAAGCGTAGAGCATGAGATTTTGAACGAGGAGATCAAGGCATCTGGTTCCGATTCCGACTCAACCTTGTCGCTCCTCTTGTACTGTCATTTCGACTGTTCAGCTGGAAGCAACCTTCGAGAGCTAATCACAAACTTCAACCTCTGCTAAGTGTTTTGCACCCAAGAAGTTGCTATTAATGGTAACAATTTAATCAAGTGATAGTGGGTTATTCGAAACTGAGATTCCTCGAGGAGAAGAGCGAAGAAGAAAAGAAGCTGTTTATTTTCCTACAAACAAGCGAAGGTCTCTCAATACACGCAAGCTGAACGTAGCTCTGAAAATTGATTTCTGCAAAAGCAACATCCCCGAAAGATAGAAGACCTGCTTCATCTTTCGTTCTCGCTTTATATTTATTGAAATAATTTCCATTAACCTGCCGGCCGATAAGACCACAGCCTGTCTGTGTCCCATAACGCCTGGCTTTCGACAATCACTTGCAATAAAGATACATATATCTCAGCCCAAAGACTTTGTGAATCGTCAAGGACAAAGGCAGATTTTTAGGATATATCGGCACCATGGTCATCATCCACCGGGACCTAGTGGGCAAATCGGAAGTCCAATCTTTTGTTGCCCTCATCTTTCGTGGTGCTGAGGTAAAGGTGTTTCTGCTCGAGATCCATAGCATTCCAAACCTGTTCACGTTTTTTGTTTTTCTGAATATAGTAGAACTTAACGAAGATGGTGATCAAAACGTTCCATCCCACAAGTGCCAAAAGAATCTTGTTTCCCCTTCGGTAAAAGGGCTGATCATCCGTTCGATAAATCTGACAAAGAGGAAATATTAGTCATAAATCAACCATATGAAAAGAAAGATTAGGGGCATTAGAACACATACGTTGGATGCAATGATAGAACTTGCTTGGGTAATCATGTTATATACTGCACTGCCCACAGTGCGCGTGCGCACAGAACCGGAGTTCCGGGAGACCAGGCTGACTATAAGAAGAACAGGGTCAGAGACTCCAAGGTTTTGTGAAAAGACATGAGTACTGACCATTGATAGAATGAACATAAGGGAAGCCAATAACCAACACTGTAACTGCGTACCAAGTCCATGGACTTGCAGTTGCCGGCATCAGTTCTAGTGCCATCAAAAGAGGGAAAATCCAAAAAGAATAAAATAGCACAATGGCCATGCGGTTGTTGATCTTCTCGGACACCCAAGACCAAAATACCAGTTGAATCAAGAACAACACCGTTGCAGGAATAGTTAGAAGATTAACCTTGAATGTATCAAAGCCAAGTGACCTCAGGAAGAGGGTTAGATATGCTCCTTCGGGCGTGACAGGAATGAGCAGCGTCAGGCTCATCAGGTACATTGGCCAAAGGTCGTAGTCCATGAGTGAGTCCCACATAAGTTTCAGGGTTAGACCTTGACGGTTATGCATGCCACCCTACATTGGTTCGCGGTTAGTTTGTGTCTGGGGTAAATCTTGAAAGCAAAGAGACCTTCGTACGTACCTTTGCTGGATCATCTCGCAGGACTCGATTGACCATGATGACTTCTTCTCTCTCTGAGAACCAACCATCTTTCCCTCGAAGCCAGCTTGCAGTCTGGGTAGGACTCGGAGGTAGATAGAACCAAGAAATGACACCAATAATGAAAGTTAAAGAACCCTCAAGAACAAACAGCCACCTCCAGCCTTCCCACCCACCGACGGCTCGCATGTGCAGAATTCCAAAGGCCATGAACGCTGCTAGTATAGAAGTACTGTTGGATATACAGTAGAAAAAGGCGACCCGCATGGGCAGCTCTTTGTTGGTGTAGAAGTAGGATAGGTAAAGGAGTGCGTCGGGAATAAAGCCACCTTCTATCAGACCAAGCAGTGCTCGAGTAGCATAGAAGCTCTTTTCGCCAGTGACCAGGCCCTGGCAGATCCCGACTACACTCCAAAGAACCATCTGAATGGGAATCCATACGTCAGGGCCTAGCTTTTTTGAGATCATCTGCGATGGGACCTCTGCACACAGGAAGCAAAGATAGAATATCGTCATCCCGTAGTTGTACTGATTGGTTGATAACCTGAGGTCAGTAAGCATCCCGTCGGATAATGCTTGTCCGATATTACCCCGATCCAGCTGAAGGGCAAAGAACATTATACAGACCCAAGAACAAATTCTGTAGTCGAGCTATATTATTGTCAAATGTTAGTCGGCTAATTCGTAATATGGGAATCCTGGGATATTCATTACCCTTCGAACCAGTGTTTTCTCTTCCTTCTCCGTCCATTCAGCAAGTGGATCATATCGATGTTTTCCTTCGTACTCCGGAATAGGTTCATAAAAATCCGGTGAGCTACCTGCAGCCAATACACCAGTTGCTACATCGCTCTTGGTGGTCGAGGCTGGCGTCTGTTGGACTACTGTGACAGATGCCTGCTTCGGCTCAAGGGACAAAGAGCTTTTGCCCGACATTTTCAATCTTGAGTTTGGGTGATAACTTGTATTTTCTTGGATTTGGGTCTTTATATAGAGTACATATTGTCGCTCGTGCCCTACGCCTGATAATTGCGCAATTCTAGCAACGTAGTATGTCAAGCCAACGAGATGTCACGTTGTGTAGTCGTGCTGCGGAGAAATTCTAACAAAAAATTATACTTAGAAGGTGAGATTTGCGCCTCCAATGATGAATCAAATACCTGGTATGTCCTCAATTAGCATGATAAGGGTGAATCTGGTTAAGCAAAGGGGTCCATGCATCACACTACTGCGGACAAAACCATATCAAAATCCTGGTGGGAGCACCAGGGACGGACATGTAAAAAGTATATTGATGCATAATTGAAATCTAAATGAATCTCGATGCCAAAAGAGCGCTTACAAAGACCATCATAAGTGCGAAGCACGAGTCATGCCCAATAGACTCGATTAGAGGTGAGCCTTTATCGAACAAAATCTTGTCATTCAACGCGAGATCGCGTCACCAAGTACAGAGTAGATAATGAAATTACCCCTCTATTAGGTATAGTTAGTTATTGTTTGCATTGCATAATAGGGTCGGGTAAATTTATCTAATATGGCGAGGTATCGGCTAAATTTGCTTTACTTTCCATATTTTAAATTTAAACTATAATTATATAACCCAAGAGGTTGTTGAGGATGGTCGATATTGACTAAATTCAAGTTTCAAACTAACATGCCATGCAAGATTTTAGAGTAAGACTCGGAAAGACTTGTCTAGGCTGGCGTCTAACTGCAGAAAGTCCACGAGACGTCCCAAATGATCAATCCCCCAGAAACCTTCCTTCGCCCCCTGAGAATCTATACAATCAAACCAAGGCAAGCCAAAGGCGCCGGAAGTGAAAGCATCTCGGGTACCCTCACCCAAAACGGCTTTTGCCTCAGTACCTTTGAACTGTAGAACAAGATTAGAGAGGAAAGAACGTGCCCACTACACGAAACATACCTCATCCAAAATTCGCTTGGCGTTCTCGGCGCCAAGCTCACTCTCAAAGAGAGTGGAGAAACCAGGCTGAGTGAGCACATCTGAGTTTCCCTCTTCCCAGAACCCACGATAGATCTTTTCCATGATGGGAATCAGCTTATCGGGGAATTTGGTAGACAGAAGGGAGAGAGCGAGTTGAACGTCCGAAGTGGATGCGGGAAACCCTTCTGGGATGGCTTCGGACATGGGAACCTGGAAGCGACGAGCCCAATAGATACGCTCTCGGTTAATCCATTGGAACTTATCTACGACGGTCAATCAGCGTACTTGAAATATAGATACACATTACATAGTGTTAGAAGAAGAAAGAAGGAAGAGCAACCTACTCTTGACTGCAATGGGAGGTGTGTTTTGACATAACTGAAAAAGGTCTCGCAGAGAGACGGGGACATAGTCAATGTCACATGTCGCGAATACGGGGGATGTCTGTGGACAATTATTAGCTAACTTTTCATTCATTAAATTCTTTGGAACATTCGACTAACCCTCAATGCATGGAATGCAATACAGCTGAAGGGGCTGCCAATGTCGAAATAAAAGATTATTTTAGGAGCAGTCATGATGAGAATAGTATTGTTTGAAGATAGGGTGAAGATTTGCTCATATTGAAACGCTGGATTTGAGCTCTTTGTAAACAAGGGCATGGTTTTATGATTATTCATCTTGGCCGGAAGGTTGAGTTGTGAGGGCTATGTTTCCAGGTTCCCAACAAAATTTGGACCTCAACCTTAGAAGCTGGCCCAGGAACAGGCAACGGCAGATCTTAAATATGTCAGGCTTATTATTCTACAACATAAGGCGGATGAATTGTGTGGATGACATTTCTATATTTGGTTTAGTATTCACTAACATTTGGGATCAGAAAGCATGTCATGTACTGAGAGTATACCATCACTTGGTGCTGTTCTCTCCGGTTTCATATTTACTCATAGCTCTCAATCTCTTCCCGCTCTTGAAAAACACCCACGGAACAGGCAAAAGTGCTACTGCAATAAACCCAAGCAAGCTAGAAGCCCACCCTGTACCGAGTCTGGTGTACACTATAAGACGAGTAAGGATATAAATTTCGATGTCATCATAAAAGGCAGGTACTCACTTTGGACAGTAAACAGGGGGAACACAGCTCCGAGTCCATAACGTGCCAAACCATTTGCGCTCATGGCACTTGCGACAGTGAGACCATGATAAGTATCAACGAGGTACTGCGTTGTGCTGACGAAGACACATAGATTTCCCCATGCAAAAACAACGATTGCAACGACGGGACTTGCCCAGGAGATATCAGCTCTGGCAGTCCATGCAAACCAAAAAAGACCGATAGGCAATCCAACACTACCTATCAGTGCTGGATAGAGACGATACTCGGGTGGTATTTGTCCGTCCAGATGCTTTGAAGCTTTGGGGAGGTAAAGGAAAAAATTGCATAATATGACAGTCACAGTTCCTAGTAAACATCCGACCACAATGGTCAAGAAGACAAGACCGGACTCTTCGATGTTGAAATGATAGATACCTTGAAAGATCAATGGGAAGGCTGCGAAGAATGAGAAGAGTGTCGCAAATTCACAAGCAATGTAAAGGCAGATGAATCCAACAATAGGCTCGGCTAGGAGCATGCGGATAGGGCGGAGTAGGGAAATGGTTAAAAATAGGCGAAGCTGCGAAGAAAGAGGAGATGATAGGGGAAGGTCTAACCCGAGCTCCTTGGCACGACGACGTTGGATCCTAGGGTGAAAAGTCTCTTTCGCCAATGCTATTGTGACCCCAGTGAGGATTGCGAAGAAGATCGTTGTCCACTGTGTCCAACGCCAGCCCTTCCGATTGACGACGAAACTTCCAATGACAGGCCTAGTAAATAGTCAGCAAGACGGAGGTCTGGGAGATAGCCTCGATTAGAGAAATATTGACCCTAGACCAGGACCCAAAAAAGGCGTAAGAATAAAGATAGCCGAGGGTAGAGCGCGTTGAACGGGCTTGAATGTCTCATTGAGAGTTCCGGCTGCAATCGACAGAGTCGGTCCGTAGCAGAAACCAGCCAAGAAACGTAAAACACAGATCCCAGAAAATGTGGGGCAAAACCCAACACCTAGAGTGAATAAAGTGCCCAGAGCAATTGACCATATGTAGACTGGATGTCTGCCGACGGTTTCAGAAAGAGGTCCTCCAACGACAGGACCAAGGGCTAGGGCGAAAACGTAGAGTGACAAGGGTAAGATAGCGACAGTGCTGCCAACCTCGAATTCTTCCATCAACTGCGAGTGAGCAGGTGATAGTATAGACACTCCAACGGTTCTGGATGATATGTCAGATTTCAAGTCACGTTCAAATTATGTGGAAGGATTAACCAACGTGGTAAAAGCCGCCCAACCAATCATCGCCACTTGCAGAACTTTGTGACTTGTTGGCCAGTTGTAAGGATTGCTTGGATCATCGTCCCAATTCCATGTTTCACTGAGTTCTGGTTTCTCCAGAGGTGTGTTGAGCGCGTTTGGGAGCGCATCGTCGGAGGGCGATTGTAAAATCTCCACGGTGCCATGCGTATCGGCCTTCGGGCCATTTTCCAGTAGTATCATATTGATGATATCCTTGGAATGCGAGTAAACAAACTAGAAGAGCTACGGACCGTGTTTTATGGAAGGATAGAATACAACGATAGGGTAATCCGCAATTGCGACCTCGGGAAATTGCGAGATCACAGATTATTTCTCACTAAATCTTCTGCAAACCCAAGGTCGAGGTTATATAATCTCAAATATCTGCCAAGTCGCGTTCATCACGCAAAAGCAACGTTCAACACTCTTTGAGGGGGCTAAAGCGGGGGCTGCTCGCGGATGATCAAAGGTGGTCTAACCTCCAGAGCCCAGTCGACGAGCATCTCATTGGTTGGAGGCGATAGCGCTAACCCGCTTGTCCGAGAGATTTTTTGATTATTGAACATTTGATTATTCAACATCCCTGTGCATTTTGGAGGCCGAGATTGGTTAGAACAGTGATTGGTATGTTGAGATTGATATTTGGCTTGTTGGGGGGCTTTTTCATGGTTGATGTCTTTCTTGCTCTCACCTCCAGTTTACCACGTACTGACAAATAATTCCCCCCATCCACCCCAATTCCTAATAAGAGAGCCTCTGGGTCCAAGGTTTGGGCATAGATTTTGTATCATATGGGGACAAAAAGGAATCTATATTTTGCACATCATCAACTGGTATCACTAGCCAGCCATGAGTTTTTAGCACACCTAGAAGTTCGATTATTACCTCATATCTGCCATCCATCCGGTCACAGCTCATTATACCGATCAAGCGATAGATTTGTAAACATCATGGAACTGAATGCGGAAGGAAGGGAGACAGCGAAGAGAGGTGCCACCGCTATTTGATGGTGTTGGACAAATGCGTGGGTAAGTATGCTGGCGCTAGTAAAATGATCGACAGTGGGCCAGATTGGCGTCGATAGCTCGGTAATGGACAATTGGACATACTTTTTGCCATTTTCCCGGAGTATTCACTGGAAATAAATTCGAAACATGCTCAGATCGCGCAGATTGCAACACAGGTCGGGTTACAAATCACATAGGGCAAGCTCTTTGCCGAAAAGCCAAGCCACTGTCGTGTGTGGCTTTTGCTAGTAACCGCTTGTCTAGCCCAATCAATTCATCAATGCGGCTGCTAACGTCAGATTTCGAGTTAACAAGCCGACCGTTTTTGAGAAACGCCGCAACCACAGAGCTTCCTTGGCACGACCAGTTGTTTCTATCATCTCCTGTTTGGAAAATTTGTGTTGGTTGTATTGGAGAGGGATTTTGCAACTCAGGGAGGGATATTCTACGCTTGTATCCACCTTTTAGACAGGTAAGCGAACTGTCACCCCTTATCTCAAAACTCCACCCTGGGGATGCCGGTAATCCGTGGGGCCGATAGCCGTGAACAAGCGTATGTTGTATGTCCTATGCTCCACGGACCAAAGAAAGCCCCTTGCTCTTCCACATGGAGGCTATACAACTGTAGTAGAAACATTTAAGAGATATTTAGAAATATGCTAATATAGACCAGAGCTTGGTTTGATATAGAGAGATCCATGGTTAGCATAGACAAAAGAGAGAAAAACATGTGAGCCTGAATACTCAGGTTTTGATTTCCAGAATTTCCAGAAAACCCTGGAACACTTGAAATGAGACAAGTCTTACTTTTTATCTCGTATTTCTTCGGAGACTTTTCGGTCTTCGGGCCTACTTATAATTTTCTTCCGACTTCCTCGAGGGACTTAATGCTTATGTTTTTTTGACTTTTCTTACTTGCTTCGAGGTCAAAAGCTTCATCACAGCCCAGACTTCTTCTATTGTGTGACAAACCATACCACCCTCGAGCTGCTACAGAGCTACCGCTCCAGCTTACATGAAGTTCTACCCTAAATCTCGAGTGGAGCGGCCTAGCATCCACCACCCATCTGTTCGGCCGCGTCGATTGGGTCTCCTAAAGGCAGCTGCTGTCAATCTCGTGCTTCTCCAAGTTCTATTCCTTAGTCTGTTCTGTTACATATTCGGGTCCCTCTTCCAGCAGTCAGGACACATTCACAACATCAATGTTTTGTTCGTTGACTACGACGGCGGCCCCATAGGTGATGCGGCCCGTGCCGCGTTCCAAAAGCTCAAAGGACCCAGCTTTCCAACTTTCATTGAACAGCCTGCCTCCGTTTACCCTCAACCTGGCTCGATTGAAGGTGCGATCTGCGACATCGAATACTGGGGAGCGCTATATACTACAGCAAATGCATCGAACGCATTGAGTGCCGCATTTGCAGGTGGACCAGCTGCGTCATCATACGATAAGAACAACGTTCTCACCTTAGTGTGGAATGAAGCGCGCTATCCAACGGTAATTGACTCTGTCCTTGCAGATAGCGCCAAATCATTCTCGGAAGCTGCACGTGTGGCGTACTCACAGGCCAACGGCAAACTGTCTCTGCAGACTATCAACAGCTCTGATTCTGCCGCGCTTGCAGCATTCTATGACCCTTGGAAATTGGCCAGCAACAATCTTCAACCCACATCACAAGGGTCAAGAGTTATCTACAACACGCTAGTTATCATTTTGATCCTGATCCAGGAATTCTTCTACCTGGGTACTATCAATGGATTGTACGCCCAATTCAAACTCTACACATCGGTTTCACCCCATCGCATCGTCGTTGTACGTCTAATCATCTCTGTGGTCTACACACTCATTGGGGCTATGTGTACAGCCGGTGCGATCTGGGCATTCCGAAGTGGTTGGGACGTCAATGGAAATCAGTTCGCGCTCACTTGGCTGGTATTATGGCTCTTTGCGCATCTGAACTTCCTTTTCCTAGACGTTTTCACCATCTGGCTTCCTCCTCCCTATGTACCGATGGCGCTGATATCGTGGATCATCGGGAATATCACTTCCATTCTTCTCCCATTCGAGCTGTCACCTGCTTTCTACAAAGTAGGCTTCGCCTTTCCGGCACATGCTGTCTTCCAGGTGCTCATAGACGTCTGGTCTTCTGGCTGCAATCCCAAACTCTATTACTCGCTACCTGTTCTCTTTGTCTACGAAGTTCTCGGTATCATTTTGAGCTCAATTGGCGTCTATAGAAGGGCTCATTATGCTTGCATCAAACAAGAAATGGACGAAAAGGCCTTCCAAGAGCAGTTCGAAGCCACACTCCGTGAGAAAGAAGAGGCTCAGCTGGCCAGACGGGAAATGATGAATGATTACGAAGGAAGCGGAACCTCGGACAGCGGGGATCAGGAAGAGAATGCCATGCAAAGACGAGCCACAGAGACAACAATCAAATCTCAAGAACAGGCGGACTTGGCCGATATTATCCACCGTGAGATGTCCCGGCCGAGGACTGAAAGACAAGATACCAGACGAGAGAGCACCGGTCCGTCTTTTTCCTTGCCTTACAGAGATTGAAGAACTTCTCGACTTGCTTCTAATTGTGAAAAGCGATCTGTATACTTTAATGCTTTCAAGAAAATAGTTAATTTAGGAAGAGTGTATATAATATTGAAAGAAGTCTGTACACCATCATCGAAGGAAGAATCCAGTAAATTGGGTGGACATAGAGTCGGTCAGTGCTCCCATACAAAGCCACATTCCACACGGAGTGTTGCCCTATGTACCACTAGATGCTTTATGAATGATCATACCTGTTTGTTAGATCAAATGATCCCTGAACATGCATTTCTTGAAATAAACATCGCTATCTAGATCATGTGGTGGGAGATCTAGACAGACAAAGTTAAGGTCCTCCCTAGCATAGGCTGTGTAGCGTAATAGATAAGAACGACATCAAAATCCCTCTTAATGAGATATAGGCCCTGGGTTCACGGTCTGCTAGCCTTGGGGCTATGCATTTCTGACTATCCCCATCTTCCCTCTTCGACATTTGATACATCTCCTTTTTGGTTTTCTAGAAACTGCTATCTGGCCATGAAGCCGGCTTAGTTATCAGACTTCAACAAGATAGCGCAACAAATATCGATTGAACTAATCACTACTATAGAGAGGATGATTCGTGCCAGAGCTGTCCTAAATCTATAATCACGTATCTAACGCTTCCTTCCCCGCACATAGCCCATCAGCAAAATCAGCTAACGGAGTAGCCCAGCTCGGACCAAGGAGCAGGCGTGCGATGTAGTTGTCATCGCTGTGATCCATCTCACTCTCTTCTTCACTGGCCTCCTCACTGGCGTCTATAACGGACACCTCAGTCTCCCCACATGGCTCCTCGTCAAAATCAACTATGATTTTAGCCCATTTTGAACCAAGGAGCAACCGTGCGATATAGTTATCATCGCTGGAATCCATATCGCTTTCGTTGTCACTAGAATCTGCATCGGCATCCCGGTCAGCCTCTTTGTCAACCGTCTCATCCTCGCCATCGACAACAGCAGCAGAGCAAGGAACCATGGAAGATTCAAGGATCATTCGGTCAAGAGAATCTGCAACCATAACGCTACAGTTTATGTTACTCTTGAGAAGAGCGATTTGTCCAGGCAAACCGCTTTGAAGGGTGTGACAAAACTGCGTAAAACGAGGATCTTTCCCGAACTGTGCACAGAGGCGGGCCAGACGAGAAATTGCGTTCAGTCTTGCAATTACCAGAAAGCGGCTCTCGGGGTTGGATCGGAGATCGTCAATTTGGTGGTTGAGGGTGGTGAGCATACGCTCGTGCTGCTTACTATCATTGAGTGGCGGCATTGCAGTAGAGTGTCCTAAGGATGTCAGTATATGTAGTGGGTGGTGCTTACCTAGGTATGGTAGATTGACTCCAGGGTGTTTGTGTTGATCATAGATAAGGTCATTGATGCTGATGAAGCCCCGATAATGCGGCATAGGGACTATTTATATTCTTTTGGTTCTTCTGTTGGTTTGAAAATGTTTCATCCATAGACAAAGACCGCTGTTGTTTATAACAAAAGAGTGAATGAGACAACGTCATCGTTGTGGCCTATGCCATGCGACAAATGTCTAACTGTTCCTACAATGAGCAACAGCACACCCTGAATGAAATGAAAAAAATATATCTGTCAAAAAAATGTAAACATGGGGATCGGATCGATTGGCCAGAGGACGCTTGTTTTCAGTAGTGACCCTTGCAAATTACTTTCGGTTTCTGGAAACAGTGTTCGAATGTCATCACGCTGGCTGTCGCGATATAACGTTGTGACATAAGAGGTGTTGTGTTGATTTTAAATTTTTTCATTTTTTATTTGCAGGTGGATTTTCGTAGTAAAGTACAGTTAGTCGATTGATTAAGCGGTAGGAAGTCTTTCCTGATATGCTTTGGACAAGACGTCGTCACATAGTTTCTGGCACATGTGTAAATGCCTTCTCATTGGCCTATACTGGACAAGTGGGGTCAACAGCATGCTCATGATCAAACGCACGGCTGCGGAATGGGAAACACGACCTAGCATATAAAATGGTCTGGTGTTTTTCCCTGAAACTGGCGCAGTTAGGCCGCAAGACACACCTGTCAATTCTTTCCAGCTCTGTGTTGAAGTCCTTCCGAGGATGTACATTGAAGGAACACGGACTTGGCAGGGATTCTTCGTCAATGGGTGGATTCGGTCTCCTCTCAGTCAGAGAGCTTGATTTGCCCACAAAGAACAACATCTTCCCCAAATGGATACCATTTGACATTCTTCAATCTCGCTGCGGAAATCGCATTTCCACTTTCATCAAAGCGCCTAGCAGGGGAGACGACTACACCACCTTCACCTAGCCACGTGGGAGCAATGGTTATAATGACACTGTTCAGCAAGGGCATATAAATTGGGCTCAAAAGGGATTTGATAACCTGGCCACCACCCTCTATCATGACGCTACTGAGACCGTTGGATTTCAGGGTGACAAGCAAATCTGGCCAGTCAATTTGATGTCGGCCGGTATGCAATCTGAGCATTTTGACCGAGATAAATCTTCCGCCGTACCTCTCCAGCAATGCTTGCTTCCCGGCGTTTGGAATTTCAAGTCCGGTGATGATCCATGGGGCAAGGCCGCGGCCCTCTCTGCAAAGTTGGAAGAGCTTGCTGTTGTCTGAAAACTCCCATCGGGCTGTCGGATCAATCACAACTGGTCTAGGCTGGCCCTCAAGGCCCTCTTGGCCATAACCACCGACTCCTGCGATTCGACAGTTGAGACCGGGATCGTCTGCCACTGCCGTGCCAACGCCAATGATAATTCCGTCATGGCGCGATCGCAGATAGTGGGTCATTGCCTTAGACTGGGGGCCTGAAAGTACTGTACGCGCTCCAGGGGACAGAGCGAGAGACGAATCAAGCGAGGTCGCGAATGTGAGTGTTGTGAAGGGAAAATTAGATTGAGGTACTGAGCCATCCTTGGGCGGTAGGTGGGGCTCTAAAAAGTCCCTATCTGACTCTGGGAACTCCAGCGCATCTCTAGGTGCTGGGTTCATCTGGATTGCTGTAGGTTTTAAATAATGGTTCCCTCAATAATTGCTGTTGGAGATAACGAAGATCTGAAGCTCGGTCTTGGCGGTGAGATCGGGTTTATATGTCGGTGCATGAAGACCGGCATACCGGAGGATTTATTAATCCTTCATGTTTTGTAATTAATATTATATAATCGAGGCTTTATATAAATTGTATCCGGAAGCCGATACAGAAATACAGAGAGTTGAACCCCATTGATTGGACCCCCTATTTTACAATACCACTTGCTCCAACATTATATTGCTGCCTCAGGCTGAGGCAAGACCGACCCACTACCAAACAATATCGCCGAATGGCGATTGGACAAACGCCAAGATGGGACATCCGCCAACAGAGGATCCCTGTCATGCAGTCATGCTCCTGGAATAGCGGGGGCTTTTACGCGATTCCCCTGAAGTCCACAAATCCTCCTGTCCCACCTTGTTTAACCATCTATATTGAATCTCACATACATCATGTCAGATCCACATACCCTTTCGCCTGGAGACCAATCAACCTTGGTGATACGCGAAAGGGAGAAGAAAAAAGAGGACTAGTGCATCGAAGGTCCGCACGGGATGTTTGACATGCAAGTAAGTTTCCAGAATCTGGGGCTAGAATCTCGTACCAGGTGAATGCTCAATGGATGAGAAGATCCGCAGCGCGTAAACACAATGCAGAGATCTACCCAGCCCTACGGCATAGGATCTCAGCTGGGTAATTAGGCCGGTGCTAACACCCGTTTCAAGATCTCGTCACAAGAAATGTGACGAAACTCGACCCGCTTGTACTATGTGCACTCGGGCTGGACGCGTATGCCAAGGGTATACGGCGCCACCCGATAAACGAACCCGTGAAGTCCGAGATGCGCGCACCGCGAAGACAAATGGTGGGGCTCTAAACATTGTGCATGTAGGCCAGCAACAAGCCCAATGCGTTGGCCTGGTCCATGTGGTTGATGGGAGTCAAGTTGGCTTGTCGCGGATGGAACGCGACTATTTGTATTCATTCCGTTCATATACTGCTGGCCAGTGTGCTGGGTATCACTTTGACCCATTCTGGCAGGTTCTTGTTCATCAAGTCAGTGAATCTTGCCCTGAGGTGCGCCATGCAGCTATTGGTATCGGTGCCTTGCATCGTAGATTTGCGAATCCCGATTCCAACCGGAATGACATTTTCCCACTCCGGCAGTCCACAAAGGCCATTGCTTGTCTCCGCACAGCTATGATGAAGGATAACCAATCGGATCCCTCGGTTACGGAGAAGATCTTGGTAGCCTGTGTTGTTTTAGTTACATTCGCCCTATTCCAAGGCGATGTTGATGCCGTTCGCTGTCATCTGCAAGCTGGCACTAAACTTCTCTGGGAGTGGAGAAAGAAAAATTTCAGGAACCCAGTTGCTTCGGTTTTATTACATACATTTATACAACTCCACATCCATTGGGCAAGCGCTACAAGGCTCCAGGATTATATAGGAGGTTTCCCCTATCTTCAAGAACTTATCCATGACAACCTCGTCGATATCTCTGCATATACCGATGAACTGTCAAAAGCGACTCTCCTAGTGTCTGTTCAATCTTGGGCGCTAATGTTAAGTGACCCCGTGTCACTTGACCCGATGACCACCAATCTCTCAAAAGGATTTACATGGGACACCCCTGCAAACAAGGTCCATCGATTTAACATGCAAGTGGAAGAGTGTACTGTTCTTCACCGGAAGGCGGCCTCTCCCACAAAGCTCCGTGCCTTCATGGTCCTCCAGATACAGATTGAGATGATGCAAATTGTCCTCGCCTCAACAAAATTTTCAGGCTGTGAAACAGAATGGGATAGTCTCTTACCCCATTTCCAGGCTATTGTTGATACAGCAGAAGTGTTGTTGAGTAGCTTCGATCAGTTGTCCGATCCACTATTTTCTGCCAAGGAAGGATTCTTAGGGGCCCTTATGTTCTGCGGGCTCAAATGTCGTGATTGGACGGTTCGGCAGAAAGTGTTGGCTATCTGCCGGAAGTACCATCGGCGAGAAGGAATGTTTTCTACCACCGAAGCTGCTCTCCTGTTACAGCGTATGTACGATGTTGAGTCTGCAGGGATTCCACCGGGAGAGAAAATCCCAGAGTCCGCTCGTATCCCCAATATGTACATCGCGGAATTTCCCAACCATTCGAAATTCCAGACCAAAAGTCACATCAAGTATTGTGACAGGAATGGGAATTGGTACAGTGAATGGCTGTCACCATGATGCTTTGGGCACCTTGTTTAAAGGGAATTAATGATTGAGACGAGGTTCATGACTTATGTAAGGAGTATAGATTTCGGGATCGATTTACACAAAACAATGTTTCCGGACTGTCTTGAACCAAGGTATGCGAGGGAAATGTATGTAGAAAACCCCTCCAAGGTTTGTACACACTATTATCATTAGATAGAGTGATCCAAGAGGATTCTCAAAGCTCATGCTAATGTCGCAAATCACAGTGGGACAAAGTGGGCCGTAAGTCGCTCCATCTAGATACCACTGATGGGCTATTCACATAGGTAGGGTAGTAGAATAGATTCGCTGGATCGCACCTCTTCTTGATGAGCACTAAAGGTAGGTAGTTGTACCGCAAAAGTTCGTTGCGATCGGGCTTTATTTCAGTTAGTAGAGTTGTTAATTCCCAGCGTGTGCGAGGTAATTTAGAGCTGATGTCGATTGGAGGGCAAGCTTCCTCTGTGGGACTAAATTATCCGACTGGGGCAGCTCCTGAAATGTGGAATTTGACCACGGCGAATACACACGTGCATTCATTGGTGTCTTGGTAAGTACCGGGGTAACATGAGATAGCCACTGGAAGATCGCGGATCAACTTTCCCGAGACCGTTGTATTGAGGGGCATCCTATATGCTCAGCGAGAACCAACAAGGATCTCCTGGTGTCTCAATAGTGAGTCGGTCGCAAGACGGACGAAAATGCAGCGTGGGCGTTTTTTCGGTTGAATTTTGTAAAATCGACTTCCACATTTGCATGAAGCCTGAAGACTCGCATAGCCTAAACTAGCGAATTTAAATAGCGAGATAAGCTTCGATCACATCGCTGGGCTTGCCTGGAAGATAGACTTGGATGTTGAAGTCAAAAAACCATCTCTGGCGAACATCTTGTTCAAACCATACACCTGCATTTCCCCGCAGGTGTCATGTGAAAGGGAAAGGCAACACGATAATGCTTCATAACAAATGAGAGTTATCCTGCTTCTATCTTAGACATGTCTTGTATGATTATCAAAAAGGCTGGGCAATCACGATAACTTCCAGATTGAGGAGGTCTAGGTTTCACTTGTCGCTGCCTAACTCGAAGGGTAACCCAAAGGTCACACGACACACCTATTCCAAAATTTCGGAAGAGCGTTAGCAACGAAAACGTCCCGCAGAGCTCTGCTGACTATACTATGTTGCGTTTGAAAAATTTCTCGTCTAATGGATGCAATAAATATTTTAAATACCATAACAGGGGTTGAGGGTTCGCCCAATTTCAATCCAGGCGGCAGATCAAAGTTAGCGCTGTGGATGACTTCTTTAGTCGCCTTGAGGCCGTGCCTAAGTACACACCCAATAAACAAGCAATTCCCTCATCACAGGCACCACTCACAGGAAAATTGACTCGTCCAAGAGTGTTATTGAAAAATAGTTTCACGGAGTACTCGAGGTGTCCCACCAGCATAAGGGGTGAGTTTCTATCATACTCTTAGATAATCGCCTATATCTAATTAGGGCTGTGTTGCGTATTGACCTCCTTCCAGCCCCGCCAAGGTCGTTTTCCAGCCTGACAGGGTCCCCTAGCCTTCTCTCTTGCGCGGAGGTATGCAGTAGATCAAATAACCGTAGCCTATCACATTCATTCCGAGTTAGGATGTACACAAATAAATGAGCGGAATGACTCCTTATGAGTTCAATTCCCAAAGATTTATTCACTATGAATTTAATGTGAGCTACATCGGAGGGTCCCATCTATCATCACTTACTGGGATTTTACTTTCACTGTCGCGGCCTTGTTAGTCCCGTGACTATGGAAAGACTTCCTACCCCAAAAGGCGTAGTAACCGAACTCTCAGTGAGCGACCTCGTTGCTATAACCTGGGCAGGAGCAGGGCTGGGGATACTCTTTACGTCTGCTCGCATCGCTGTCCGAATCGTGTATATGAAGCGTCTACTAGCAGATGACTACTTCATGCTACTCGCCTTGACATTTTTGATAACGAACGCAATTTTACAAACCCTTCAGGCACCACATCTCTATTATATGGTCCTCAACACAACAGGGCCAGATATTGTCCACCATGGACTTCGCTACACCTTTTACGAGTTTGCGATCATTGGGATCTTTTGGTCCGTCTTATGGAGCGTAAAAGCCTCCTTCCTGGCGCTATTCTGGATGATCTCTAATGGGCTACCCCGGTACCGACGGGTCTGGTGGGCGACTGTTGTGTTCGCAGCCCTAGCATACATCGGATGCTGGGTTGCGTCGGTGTACACCTGTCATCCGCCATCCAATTACTTTAAGTTTGGTAGAAAATCTTTCATCTTTTTGAATTTCTGTTTGTCTAACGATTCGTAGGAAAATGCACAAAGCCAATTGATCAGACAGGATCTGTCATCTCCATATCGTATAGCACTACAGTGGATATTGTTACAGACTTACTGAGTACAAATACCCCTTCATCCCTCTATCATATGTTGAATTAACACTATTAAACAGTCATGTCTCTCCCGCTTCGCATTCTGTGGGAAGCAAAGATAAACCTGCAGCAAAAGATCGGGTTAGCGGTAGTGTTCTGTCTTGGATTTGTAATTGTCGCAGCAGCAATTATACGGGCAATTGCAATTACCGGAAAGGCATACTCAGATCAAGCAGCACTTGCAGTATGGGGTGTGGTCGAATCTTCAATCTGTACGTTTATTGTTAGCACATTTACGATGGAATCCTAATGATATTCGAAATAGCTATCATAGTCGGATGCCTACCTCCATTCCGAGTTATCATGTCCACCAATCCAAGCACTAACCAGTCTCCTTACGGAACCTCTGGTGTCAGGCCCAATTCCTATGATCGAAATCATTCCGCACGTAGGAACCACCGTTCCGACATAGCCAGCTGGAGTGAACCTCCGTTGGCATTACAGGATCTTGGATCTTACCAAAATGATCTAGATTACAGAATGTGTGCACGGGATGTGTATATAAGTGGCGGCCAGAGAGCTGAGCGATCAAATAATGTCCTACCTAGTGTGTCAGAAGAGGCGCTTAGAGGGGATATAAAGATGGTACAAGAATTTGTGAGCTCAATGTTATTATCTACGATGTATAGATTTTCAAATTGAAAGACACGAAGAGCTGACTTAAACGTGTTTACAGAGCGTGATATCTTCGAGGTGATGCTTTTTGTATGTATGCGATGGGTATAATACAATACAATTTACCTTTGGGGGCCGTACGGGAGGGGGAAAGTTCCATATTCTTCTTGGAAAAAGGGGACCCAGGTGGTCATGGGTGGATTAAGGAGCTTCCGTGTGAAGGGAGACAATTTGGAGGTAGAAAAACACAAAATCTTCTAGATGCTGAAGACTTTTTGGCCCAGGGGGGGGGGGCGCAATTTTCAGATCCAACAAGCTTCAAGGCCCCTATCAGTGGTGGAGCTAGCACTGCGACCTCGCGGCGTCAAGATACGTGCTAGTGGCAGGCTCCTAGACTTTACGGAGTCATTTGCTGTCGAATCCGGGAATTCCAATTCTTTTGAACAGTGACTTAACCTTTTCGTTTTCTCTAATTGCACTTTTCGACTTCGTAGCAACCACAAATATAAAAGAGCGTACGGAGTATTCTTTTACTATCAATGCATCTGGTCCTAATATTTTTCTGCCCGTTGATGCCCTGTCTTGACACGTGCTAAATCAGGCAAGCGCCAAGGTTGAGCTCCGGAATCGCCCCGGCCCCGGCCCCCGGGGCCCCCAACAATATTACATAATATAACATCTGCGTCCCGAGGTCGCCCGCTGTAGTCCTCCCCAAATATGTGTGTGACTAGAAGTGCTCATTCAATTGACTATGCTATAATAAATTATAAAATCATGTAGACGAAGAGAATTACTACCCCGGGATTATACAACTAGGCCGTGTCCTTGCGATATTTACTCCTTCCTAAACAGTCGCGTAAATTTATTCGCGCTCGTCTTCCCCGCCTTCCTAACCTTACCCTTTCCCCTGTGAAGCTCCCGCAGTCGCCAGAGCATCCCCAGAGTACTGGCCACCACAATACTTTCCCCAGCGGAGCTCTGACTAGGAGGAAGAAGCAGCATACCCTCGCTGTGCGGCAGCGAAAACGAGTCGTCGAGCCCGATGTGATAGTAGACGGCCTGGATATCAGCACTGCTGGATCCTTCCTGCTGCGATACAGGGTTGCGGACAAGTGTATACCGCAGGCGCCCGTGCTTGCTGGGATGGATCTGCCATTGGAAAGTTGTTGGATCATTGTCGCCATCGGGGACCTTGAAGGTGAAGTACGGGTGTTTGACAATGCCGGTGCGAGTCGACGAGGCGGAGATGGGGTATGTGGTCGAGATGGATATACTGGTTGCGCCTGGGCTGCCCGAGGTTAAGACTGCAGCTTCATCTTCGGTGGTAGATATCGCCCTATAGGTATGAGTATCACGTGTTTGGTGACATTGAGAGAAAGTGTAACGTACAATTCTATCTCGGCCGAGGATGAGGGTGCTCGGAATTTCACCGATCCTACTACCTCTTCTCCATCTCCTAGACCATTGAAGTCCACATTGTACGAGACGTGGATATCGTCTGTTCCATCGCCCCGCGGTTTTGGCATAACTCCCACGGCTACTGCGTATTGAGTGCACCCGATGGGGAGTGTGCCCGTAGCCGCGGTGTACTGGGTGGTCATATCATGGACGTCCAGGTGAGCTGTTTTTCCGTCATGACGAGGGATATATAGCGCCCGTGACAGGTGCGTGAGAGCCGCAGCATCTGGGTGTCCGATTTTCGAGGCGGCGGAGCGGGTAATTTGGTTGCGCGAAGTGTATTGTTCCCAGCCGGGGACGCTTGATTCAGCCATCCTTGCTTATTGAAAATATTCTGGGGAAATGGTAGCTTGGGATATCAGTGAAGGAAGGGTTTATGCGATTTGCACGATCACTGTGGTATGGAGGTAAGGTGGGGAATCAGAGGTATATACGGGGTATATATTTGAGTTCATGTAGATGTCTGAGCAGCTGATCAACGCCCGAGGCTGCTTACCTACATGTATATTGTAGGTATTGGTGTAATGGTGGCGATGGCATTGACAAAAGCAATTCAAGGCTCTAGGAAAGGGGGCTAGGACTAGCGCTAAAAAAAATGGGGAAGAACTAGTGTTATACAAAGTCCATGTTCGGATGGGGTAGGCTCCCCGGATATTATTTAGATGGAATCTTTCAGCCGTTTAAATATGAAGGCGACATCGTAGGCCTGGAGAGGAAAAAGATAATCAACCATCAATGATGCTCCTTGCTCCATTTAATCTCTGCCTCTTGTAGCTGCAAGAAAATTGACTGTTTCATCTGCCAAAAAAATAGCAGTTTCCTACCACTAACATCCGCTGCCCGGTATGGATTCGCCCCGTGATCCAGCAAGGAGCGAACTATGCCCTCATTGTTGCAGTAAATGGCATATGTAAGCGGAGGCTGGTCCAAAAGATCATCAATATCCGGGTCTGCGCCATGTCCTAGTAACAGGTTCACCATCGCTTCGTCAGATTTCTCCACAGCCCAGAACAGGGCGCGATCATACAATTTGTCAGCTCCACCAACAGGGCGTTCAGTACACTCCACATTTACATCCGCCCCGTACTGCATGAGCAATTCCGTGAGCTCTAGATTACCACGCTGCACAGCAAAAAGAAGAGGTTGTACCCATTCCTGGTGATGACCCCACGTCTTCGGTATCTCGGATGAATAGAACTGAGGGAGTGCGCCATTTTGGAGTAATATCTTTGCAACTCTTATATTCCCCTGTGCAACTGCCAAAGTCAACGCTCTGGTACGGTGAAAACGCATAGTTCCCTCAACCAAGATCCGGACGACTTCCTCATGGCCCTCGCTCACTGCGATCGTTAAGGGTGAATGCCACTCTTGCTGACCGAAAATCAAGTTCGGATCCGCACCGTATGCAAGAAGCAGTGAGACCAAATCCCCCATTCCGTTGGCCGCAGCCATAAAAAGCGGAGTTTTCTTAAATTCACCGAAGACGTTTACTTGCACTTCATGCGTGAACAATAACTGGACCACCGGGGCCCGCCCACCAAGAACTGCCGCGAACAAGGCCTCTGTCATCAGTTCTTCTTTGTCGGGCTCATCTTTATCAAGATCATCCTCATTTCGCATAGGAGTCGACACAAGCATATCGACAACATCTACATGCCCTTGAAATGCTGCCAGCCATACAGGCCGGTGGCCTACCAAGCTCCGGATCCCTTGCTGGGCTCCGATATCTAGCAAGTATTCGGCTAGAGAAGTATGGCCGTGGATAGCAGCAAGTGCCAATAGCGTGAATCCATCCGGGTCACTTATATTGGACTTCACTCCGCGGTCAATCATATATCGGACAATATCAGTATGACCATATTTCGACGCTAGTGAGATCGGATGCGACTGAAAGTCTCCGAAGCGATGTGGGGCCTGGCGTCCGAATTGTTCCCTGCTTGGACCCTGTTCTCTCACTTCGCCCGTCGGCTGTTTTTTCGGTAGTGGGGCGCCGGCATCTAGCGCATTTTGTAGCGTATTCATCCGGCCATTTTGGGCCGCCCAGTCCAAAGCAGAGCTGTTGAAATGGAGCACATTGTATTTGTAAAGGTAGGGGTTGCAAATCCCATGGAGGCGGCGGTTTGACCGAGCCAAGGCAGCGATAGATGATTCAGATAGTAACTGCGAGGTGATCAAGAGAATCAATTCAGCCGGTAAATGTTCGATGGACATTCTCTGGACATTCTCTGGGGATTCTCTGGGGGAAGTATGGATTGTGGAGAGAGGGGGAAATGATGGTCGTACCACATGATGGAAGCTTCTAAGCCACGAACGAATTAGATTGGCACTAAATTACGGAGTAGAATCAGCCTCAATTCAATCGATTCATAATTTATCCGGCTTATACGGATTATTCCACTCTTTATGTTCTACTCCGTATACGACGTTGCACTATTAGTTCACGCCCCACGCTAGTCCAGAAAGTATCACGCCCAGCCCAACAGGATCTGTTCGCCCAAGAGTGTCTACCAATTATCCCTTCACGCTTCGGGATTATCTCCACGAGACCCGACCCCTGTCCGCGTTATAAGGGAGCCTCAATCCCCGGTTTATTTTGATTATATTTTGATTCTCAATTCCCTTAACGAGTGTAGTTTTTGACTTTGATCACTCTCGCAACTATGCCCAGCATCACCATCACTGATGGGTACACCTTCAATAATTGGGGTCCGTTGACCACCACCTTCACCGCGCCCGCCAGCTGCGCAACTTTCAATGATTACATCATCAGATCGAAGGAGCCGATTGTTCTCTCTCAATTTGCGGCGCAATGCTCTACAATTGGTTATTATCATGATTGTATTCCGACAGGCACCACTTCCCTACCTACTTCCCAGAGTATCGATCCGTATACTATGTACGATCAAGCATACTACTCCCCGGGCCTACATTGTCCGTCTGGATGGAAAACAGTGGGAGTTGCCGCCCGTGATGGTGACAAGTCCGTAAGCTCGTCTGGGGTTTTAAGTGTCGCGAGCCCTACCGAAACTATCACGGGAACCGTCGACATCCCGAAACAACTAAACCCAGTTACGCTGTTAGGGAAAGTTTTGGACCCAAGCGAGACTCTGGTGATTTGTTGCCCGAGGTATGTGTCACGTGGAATCCGCTTAACGAAAGCTTCATAACTAATTCTGTTCGTTTTCTAGTTCTATGACCGCAGACCTTGATGTCGGCGGCTGTTACTCAACTGCCTCTGCTTACAAGCCCAGCATCGGGTGTGCTGCTAACCTTCCTATTTCGGATTTTGGCACATCCACAAAAACCCACGTCGTGAATGGGACTACCTCGACCGAACTCCTTCTTTCCCTTACTTCTTCCCATCCCATGACTGCTGTTACGACAACCTTCGCGGCTTCAGATGTGAATGACTATATCGCACTCTCTGTTCTACCTATGATTCCACTAGTGCACCATCAGTCTGACCTTAAGGACCTTAATGAAACAGGAACATCTGGAGCTGGGTCCACAAAGACCGGCTCCATAACCGCTGCATCCACCACGGCTCCCTCTACGTCTACGTCTACTCCGAACTCTGCGGCAAGAATCGCCCCAAGGGTCAACTTGTTGAATGGACTTGGTAGCGTCCTAACTGTATCGCTCGCTGCGTCTGTTCTAGGTGCGGCTGTCATCTTCTCGTGATACATCATTTGTAGTTTGAGAGTCGCCTATAGGCACCATGAAACTCCATCTAGCCCCTTCAAGACACGCAGTTCTCAAGGATGACTTTTGTTTAAATATTCATATGTAACACAATGTCGCTTGAAATGTATTCGAGGGCGAGTTTGGAAGCAGATACACCAGCATCTGAATTGATAGAAATGGGCCGGAGTGAGGCGGACTGGGCGTATTTTAAAAGAGCTATATGCGCTGCATGGGATGCACTTGATCAAGGTGTAATTGACGATTTGATCCGATCTGTACCTAGAAGATTACTTGCTACGCGCAGAGCAAGAGGTTATTACACCAAATATTAAATGCATTGAATTCTTTGGCCATTTACCTACATTTTAATACTAATTTATATATATTTACTGCGTTGGTGGTGTAGATATATATAGTTCGAAGTGGTTATATATATTTGATGGGGTGCGGGTAAAATCCGGTTGTCGCAGGACTTATCCATGCTCATAGAGTGTATGTCATCCAATAAGTAGAAGAGTTTCCAGTCTACTTGCGCTATTCCGCTTTTCTCGGAGCATGTGTGGAGATCCAATCAATCAGGGTTTAATAGCACCCCAATAATTATCTCAAACTCGATCTCAAAATAGCAATCTAGTAGGAATAATTCTGTTTTGCTGTGCATTTGCCAGAACTGACCATATTATTATACGTGTCTCCATCACAAAACTCTTTGTTGAAGTGGTATGTCGCGATGAAATCTCATACTCTATTAGTTCTTTCAGAATTATCGATCATTAATGAAGATTCTAAAGAGGATAGCATTGCTGATTTGATCCACGTCGCTTATTCTAGTTCCAGACACCAGCCTTTGTTATAAGCATAGGGTTTAATAATGTGTTGAATAAATGATTGGAATTCTTACAAAGTACGACAATATCTATAGCCATTGGATCAACCTCGTTCTGGACGGATTGGCGAGTACACCTAACTGTGTGTCCGTGCTTATCGATATCGGTCGTAGTGCAAGGGTGCCAGGCACTGTAGGACGAAAGTATAACGATACGCGCGGAGGACAATTGGTGGATCTAGGTATCTAGCAGTGCTGACGGAGCAATGATGAGGCTAAATCGATAAAAGGGTCCGAAGTGGTACACTACATCATGACAAACGAGCGTGAGAGTAGTCAGAGGTTTCCCAAGACCGCACGAGTCAGCTGAAATCCCTCCGCCAAGGGGGTCAACCTCCTGTTGGGACATACAGTCAATTCGCGCTATCTCACATGGCTTTAGGATACTAGTAAGTAGGATAGGGTAAGTGGATGCAGAGGTAAACACACCTTGCCCATTTGTACTTACTAACAGGCCCTTGCATTTTTGTACAAAAATTACAGACCCTCCTTACGGCAAAATCCATGGTAGGAGTAATCTCAACATACAGATTGCACAGGTCTCATAAGATGAGTTTGTAGGCAAAAACAAAGTCTTTCTTGCTGTCGATCCCGGTGCCATGATATCGCATGTCAATCCACTGGCCCCACCGCTTACAGAGGTTCTCTGGTGTCCTACTGCCGGAATATAGGCGGTTGATCTTGAGCTAGCCATCTCAGGTGTTGTCAATACCAGTTATCTAACGAGATATCTCAGAATTGAGCGTGTGATGCAGATAGTTTCGAATCGACATGTTTTTTTGTTCCCAAAGGCGAAGGTTGTTGCCAAACTGTTCGTCAGCGGAGTTTGGCTTTGATTCTTCGGCGGTAAGCTCAGCGGCGGCAGCTCCTGCTGTAGGAATTGGGCGGCCTAATGTGCCCTCGAATAGAGCACAGTGAATTGGTGTAGCATGGCCCAGAACCATCTCAAATCGGATCCTCCAGCGGGTCCAGTTGGTCGTTCTGACCAAAGTGGGAATGTGAGAGGCGAGGTCTGGAAGGTCGAGTCCTACTCAAACCGCGAGTTAGCCAAGTCATGTTACCAACTCATGGAGAAGATTTCCATCTTCACTTCCAGTCGTCGCTAGACCAGGTCCGGTAGAAGAGGACATGGTTGGGGTTTGAAAATGCGGTGGGATGTAGAAGAGATGACGCTAAGAGATGTGAAAGGCATGATAGAAGAGCAAAAAGGAAGGAGAAGTGAGTGGGGGGAGAAAGTTGGAAATATAAAAAGTTGAAACAGAGTAGTGGACAGTAGTTGACAGTAGTGGACGCAGCAAGTCAATTCCTCTCAATTAGGAAACAAGATTCGTAACTGTCAGATTACATAGCTCGTAGAACCTAGCTTCTACAACTCTCTACTCGATCAAGCTACTAACATTACACCATGCACTTCGACGTAGCCGTCTCCTGACAGTAACTAATGTTACGGTGGATGTTCGAACTTCCATCTCAGCCCTACGTACATAGGGAGAAAGCCTCTTCATCTAATGAATTGTTTCGAAGCAACCATGCACCTAAATATCCTCCTTTTTGGGCCTCGCATTTCTCTTCTACTATTTACAGTCCAACCAACAATGTCCCCACGGGGTAATTATTCAGACCCGAGTTAGGTTCTTGGCGAAAAGCTTGCATCGGCGATGCATACAAACAAGGTTAGGCGTGAACTGAAGATATTCAGGCTAATTGTGGTTTACTTGAGGGGAATAAGCAAGCCACAGGCTAATCATACAACATTTAAACGGTCCTTTAGCCCAGAATCGTGACAGTTATTCAGATAATTGGCAGGATTCAGGAAGAAAAATGTAAGGAAGCTTTTTTTTCGGGCTGGAGGAACGAAGTGACTGCTAACCATTGATAACCAGTTATTTCACTGAATAGCTACTAGTTCTGCCTATCTGGTACTATAACTTAAATATTAACCTTGAAAGTCTCATATCTAACACAGTCAACAACAAAGAATGTCTCCATTCATTCAAAGTTTGTTCTGCCTAGCAACAGCGGTGTCCTACACCCGGGCTGCTGTACTTTCTTCCAGCAAAATTGCAACAGTGTCAGTCAACGCAAATGTCAAGTTTCAAGAGCTTGATGGGTTCGGCGTATCGCAAGCCTTCCAACGTGCCGGAGACATCTACGGCAAGGAAGGTCTCTCTAGCAAGAATACCGAACATGTGCTGGATCTTCTTTTTAGTGTCGACAAGGGCGCTGGGTTTGCAATTCTGCGCAATGGCATCGGTTCCAGTAACAGTTCAACAAGCAACTTCATGAACTCCATCGAACCCTTCACACCCGGATTACCGAACGCACGTCCGCACTATGTTTGGGACCGCAATGACAGTAGCCAGTTTCCGCTAGCCCAAGAAGCATATGACCGGGGTCTTGTCAGTCTTTACGGCAACGCGTGGTCTGCACCTGGATATATGAAAACGAACGGAGACGAAAACAATGGCGGATACTTGTGTGGAGTGACCAATACTTCTTGTGCATCAGGAAACTGGATGCAGGCATACGCAGACTACCTAGTCCAGTGGGCACGCTTTTACAAGCAGTCTGGCATCAAGGTGACCAACATCGGTTTCTTGAATGAGCCTGGATTTGCCGCGTCGTATGCTGGCATGCTATCCGATGGGACGCAGGCTGCAGAATTTATTCGTGTTCTTGCCAAGACAATTAAAACTTCTGGTATGGATCTCGCCATCAATTGCTGTGATGATATGGGATGGGAAGGCCAAGAAAATATGATGGCAGCGCTTCAGGCGGGTCCTGATCCCGCAGAGGCATATTTGAGTGTTATCACAGGCCATGGATACGAGTCGGTCCCAGATTTTCCCCTCTCAACAAAGAAGAAGACTTGGGTGACGGAATGGGCTGATTTGTCGGGCGGTTTTACCCCTTATACGTTCTTTAAGAACGGTACATCCGGAGAGGGCATGACATGGGCGCGCAATATTCAAGTTGCGCTTGTGGATGCAAATGTTAGCGGTTTTCTTTACTGGATTGGGGCTGAGAGTTCAACTACAGACAGTGGTCTCATCAATCTGATCGGAGACGAGGTCATTCCCAGCAAGCGTTTCTGGGCTTTCGCGCAGTTCAGTCGCTTTGCTCGACCAGGAGCACACCGTGTAGAGGCTACAAGCTCTGCTCCTTTACTCTATGTTAGCTCATTCCTTAATCGTGATGGCAGTCTTGCCACTCAGGTTATCAATAACGGAACTGAAGCGTATTATGTTAGCCTGAAGGTCGACACGTCGGGGCGGATTCACAAAGTTCAGCCATGGGTGACGGACAATGAGCATGACTTAACGGCATTAAAGCCTATTGATATCGCTAAGGATGGTACTTTCAAGTCTATTGTTCCTGAGCATTCTATGATGACGTTCGTGTCTTCTTGATGCTAGGGTCTTGAAGTGGTTGGGGACATTGGATTACGGCGTCTAACTTGGACAAGGAGAAATTCCCCACAACTGGGTTGACTACTCTCTGATCCCAAGCCTAGTTCTGAGCCTGAGATCTTCCCTAAATTTTGTCTCACTGTATTAAGCCCGCCCCTTCCATTGGGGCGAGTAAGAGGGCGATGGTATGCACGTGGAAGCTCTCCTGGTCCTGGTCCTCAGCCTCACCCAATTGGAAATACGGTATCATGTCGCGTCAAATGTATAAATGGGCATTTTTTCTTCTTTTCCCACTATTCGGCCCTTCCATTTTCTTTTACAAAAATTACAGACCCTTGGAAGCAAGAGTCCGCCACCCATATGACACTTTTTTTGACAATTCACAACTTTCTCTTCAACTATCAACCATTCCACCCACTAAACCTAAAACCAATTTGAAATATATACAAGCTTGTATTAAGAAGGCATAGACTCGACATACAAGTCACGAAAGTACGATATCGTAAGAATTACGTGTAAATCCGCGGTTCTTAATCGTCGGCTTCGACGACGTTAGAAATATAGAAAATAGAAATTTCGTGTTCTAGGGAGCCCTCTTCTTACGATTTGAAATTTTAACCTGCTCTACAGCTAACATAAGATATATAACTTTGAAGACGTCGCTAAAACTTGCCCTTAAATTTTATAAAAGCACTAGGATAGCATTAGAATATTAGTGCTATACTTACAATGAAAGATCCTAATGTAATATTGTTGAGAAAAAGAAGCATTTACACATGTACCTTTTGTATGGTCTGCCGTGTAAAAGGTACAGTATCATATGGGCTGTCCCAGTTCCAACCCGTGACCTGGGAAGGTTCCACGGTTGCTGCATCTCTAGGATCCTTCCGAATTGGGACTCGGAATAACTCCTGGTGGTAGACCTGAGGTTTGCCGAAGCTTTTAGAAAGTTCTTTGTGTTTTCTAGTGTGAGGCGTTCGCTTCCAAGGTTCAAATGTTGTTTCTTGACTCTCTTATCATGATGATGATAACGCGTGATAACGTACTTATCAATCTTCCCAAAGTCGAATCGCTTCAAATTTCCCAATTCGGACGGGTTATATAAGCTGGGTCAACGCGGGGCTCACTAACTAACTAGTGTTAGTTAGTACCCGGTTCTAGCCAAGTAATCCTATACCCGAATATGCAGGAACATCGGAAGATAAATTTGGTAGCTGCAACTTCCAATTGGCTTGGATCACCGAAACCTGCCACGACTTTTGCTTAGCACTTTCGTTATACAACATAAAGGAACTGGTGAACACCAAAGATAATCGGGCTAGAAACCTTCACACAATGTCTGCCACTGGTGCTCAACTAGGCTCATCATGCGGTTTCTCAACCCGCATTTCGCTCCGATGGGTTCCAGAAATCCCTGAAGAAACAACCGACACAATTGTGCTTTCCGTGGGAGAGTGGTTCGTTGATTTGCGAATGGATAAGAAATCCGGCGACATCGATTGGGCAATGGCCGGTACTAGAATCGAGGAAAATCCTAATGAAATCCCACGTTCGTTACCCCACGTTCGTTACCCCACGTTCACCCATTACTATCGTCTACGTTCTTGGCTGAATAGCTACTAATTTTTTTGACAGTGAAAGTTATTTTCACGCGCGAGTTGGATTCCCTGAATGAGATCGGCATTAAGGATGTTGGTAACTTCAGCCCCCGTCCTGATGGAACCGATCTTGAGAGCGGGGAGATGCCTCGCGCTGACCTTCCTGGTGCGCCTATGACGGCTTTTGAGGAGGTCTGGCAGGAGCTACCCTTCAGAGAGGGCCCTGAAGGGGCGAAGAAAGGAATTTCGTGGATTCTAGAGTCCGATGATGCTCCTCTGGCTCTGAGTGAGCAGGAAGGACAAGTGACCGTGAACAAGATCTTTATGGGCCGCATCTGGGGAACCTATTTGGCATTCCAGCAGACTCAGATTCATTCTAACCAGAAAGATGAGAGCGGAGTGTGGTCTGTGAAGAGGTCGGGAGGTGAAGTCAGTGCAAGAAGAGAAGAGTGGAGTTCTAAGTGGGAGGATAAGTATGTCGTGGGCCCTGATGGAGCTGCCGTGCCCTCGATGAAAAACGGCTTTGATGGAGAAGGTGAGGGCACATGGAGAATCCCAGGGGAGAAGGTGCTTATTCAGGGAGAGTCGTTCATTGTTCGGGCCTTCGAAGAGATTCAGTGAATATGGACCGTATAACCAAGGAAGAGGCGCACGGCCTTTTGCAAGCCATGTTGTATAAAATTTCCATTGCCAGATCGAAACTCAAAAGGCGACACGCTAGACGGTCTCTCAGATTATAATCAGTCAAAGAGCAAACAAAATGAGTTCTAACATTGTATCAAACACCCGGGCATTACCACCAAAATATGACCTTGAACCTGAGCTTCTCCATGGCATAGCGGACACAATTGCTCTAGATACGAAGGTATCCTCCAAGTCAATCAGCATCATACATCTGGAAGCTTTTTGCGATTCAATTATTCGTCCGCACATCTCTTTTCCCAGACGAGGTGTGGCACTGGAAAGGTAATTCTAGAAACGAAACAAATGAAGCAACAATTACGAGAGTTATATTTGTATCAATTTTTGCGGACGAGGGGGAGAAATGAAAGGAGAGAGAGAACAAAAAAACGAACTATCCAACTCTACAAGCCCATCATCTGATCTCCCTTTTGGGCAACAATTAACTAGCAAAATCCTGTATAGCTTCCTTCCGTGCAACACCAATTACATACGACCATAGGGTGTGGGAAACAGAGCCTCCCGTCCGCTCAGCCGTACTTAATCCCATTACGCTACGCGGCCAATCCTTGAGGCGCCCTGAAAACCCAAATGACAAAAGGATTTGTCTTAGGGCGGGTGTGGGTGATATGGGTGAGGATTCTAGAGACCGGGGTGATAGGTGAGATTCCTACCTGAGCATGCTTGCTGTAGCGGCAATGTAGTGTTGTGATTATGAGCTGGATGCCTAAGAACACCGTAGCGAGGACTGAATGGAAAGGAGGTAGTCTCTAATAGATTCAAGTGGAAAAAGTGGGGGGACTTCCGCTAGTGCTGACCAGAAAATATATACCCCAGCCATGCCCCCCATCCCCCCATTTACCCCGATATCATTAACCCCACCACCACCAACATCAACAATATCAGCATCCAGCGGCCCGAGGCGACAAGTGATGGGTGAGTATGTTTGGCATACATAGCGCAATTTCAAGGGCGGAATTTGCAATTTGAAGAAGCTTTATCTCAATTCGTCGTGTTGGTTACCTATATCTCATCTCTTATTTCAGCTCGAGCTGCCTTTCCACCCCGTGAATACATCCGGTCCATTGGTTGAATGGGCCGCGTTTAAGGAGATTTCATACACGTTGGGATTGATGAATTTCTTCCTTATTTATTGGACAATCTCTTTCGCCTTTCTCTATGCTGGTAGGCTTGCCCAGGAGGACCTCCCCACTGCGTCTCGGGCGGGTTCTCTCTGCCTCCTGATGATCATTAACGGTCGTGGCGTTGTCGGTTGTGTCTTTCGAGTCTCCTTGCCGACATCAAGTTTGGGTCATTGAATGTCATGACGTACTTCACGCTTTTGAACAGCATTGCTCTTTATGTATGGCGATGCATTTGAATCCCTTGAAACCATGTACGTACTTTCTGTATTTTATGGTCTCTTTGCAGGCGCGCTGCTGTCTCTCCTTTCGGCGTTGGCGCCATGCCTCACGGCTGATCATGCCTCACGACTGATATGAGCAAACTCGGGACTCGAATTGGTATGGTGATAACCATTGGTGCGTTCTCGGAGCTAACTAGCACGCTTATTTCTGGGGCTTTGATCGAGGAAGATGGGTGGAGCTCCAGGTAACCTCAAAACTTTACTGCATCAGCCATGATGGCTGCAGCGCTGTGTATTGCTGGGGCGCGAATTTCCAAAATGGGATGGAAGCTTGCAACAAAAGCCTAGATTTTATTCCTATCATTATGTACATTATGACTGTCAGCTATCCCCGAATACAGCAGAAAACACCCTTCATTCTATACACTTCTAAACATTTTAGATGCCATGTACTCCGTACAGTCTAGAAACAACTGGAGGTGATCAATCCTTGACTCATTTTGTGTCTGCTCAAAACTCACAAGATAATTAGCTGTAATCTCATGTGAGCGGTTCGTTGCAAAATGAGTAAATTTTGGCGAGTGGCGCAGCGCCAGACTGCGCCAGAAAACATCCCACTTTCTTCAGCCTCGCTGGTATTGTCATATATGAGGCATACTGGGTCTATTTTCTGTCGACACTGGCTAACAAGTAAACGAGACATTAGAAAGATGAGAAGATCTGTACTCCTTTCAGTCCTTTTTTTTGTCGCAACATGCGCGAATGAAGAGACAACAAAACATGAGATAAATACTCATGGTTCAGCTCCGCCAACTCTTACTTCCGCTTACTCTAACGTACCTCCGACGCAACCAACTCTCACCGCCACAGAGGAAGACTATATAGGAGTACCAATCTATCTCTCTATTACACCAGATGGCCAGGATCCACTTGGGATCTCGAAAATAAGCGACTTCTACGGCCCAGGATCGTGGGCAGGATGGTTCATTACCATAATCTCCGCATGGCTCCGAGTCTTCAAGTCATCAGAGAAAAAGTTCGACTTGAATACGTGGTTGTTTCTGCTCGGAACTAATCGGGCGGCTTTCGATTTATTGTTTGGAGTCCTGACGAGCAGAAAGCTTGCGCCCGAGTCACCGACCTATGATACCGATTTGAAAGATTTGAAAGGGTCAATTGGCGCTGCATTTCTGGTCACTTATTGGGGAGTCATCCATGCGCTGTTGCAGTACCTTGTGACTCATTTTACGTTCGACAGTCCCCAAGTCCGAAGTCGTCGATTGTGGAGTCTCGAGCTTGGACAAATACTGCCTTGGATAGCCCTGAGCAGCTGCCTTTCAATTGAGAGAACAAACATTCCTGCATTTTACTGGCCTGGAATAGACAGTGTGTATCATGAACTCTTCCTTGTAACTGCGGCTGGAACTGCAATCGAACTTCTGCCCTTTATGGTACTCATAGCCTACGCGGAAGAGGGATCGGGGTTGTCATCCATGGTAATTTTTATTACGAATGGAGCAACAGTCTATGTTAGAAGATCGAGGGTCTTGTCACAATGTGCCTTGGTAATCGCAGCGGCCTCAATTGTTGTACTCTTTATTTCCATGATTATTATTTCAACTACCGCCAATGATCCCTGGCTGGTTGGGTGGATACCGACATTGATATTCCTGTGGCCTTTCTTCGGCCCTTGCCTATGGGTGATTGGGTTGGTTACATCGATCATTACATATGTTATGAATGCCTATCTCAGTCGACGTGTCGATTCAGAGGAATCTTGCGTCTTTATACCCTGTGCTCCACAATCGATCAAGGAAGAGGATCAACTTTATACGTTGTTGGGAGGCTTAATACTCTTTCTGGTGTTTGAAGTCTATCCGATCGTGAGAAGACCCTTGAAAAGGCTTGGGTTACTTTTGTTTCAAGCTTTACAGTGGGTCGTCAGAAGAGGATGGAGTTGGCGAAGGTGAAGAGGAAAGGGAAAAGGGAAACGAGGAGGGGGGGGGGGGGGGGGGGGGGGGGGGGGGGTATACCCAACAGCATCGTACCATCCCAAAAGACCTGCCCTCATTATACATATGCATAGGCTCTATACTGTACCTAACTAGTCAGAAACTAGTAAGCCAAACCCTACTAAAAGGAAGCACCGGAAGATTTATGGGATCCTAAGCAAGTTATAGGCACACATTTTTACATCCTTAATATTGGATATGTCCATAACAATAACAGTCCTTCAGATCAAGCTTTACTAGAACTAAGTAGACATCTCGCATGAAGCCACTGCAGGGCTTTCGCATGCTTATGAAACGGTGATGGTCGAGGATCCACTGCTCTCGTATCCCTCGGTGCTGACAATTTGGTAGTTGTGTGTGGAGCCGAGATTCATTCCGAGAGAAGCCCAGGCGTTAAAGTGATTAGCAGTAGTGACTGTTCCGCTGCTACGCTTGGTCCGGCGGATGGACCAATACTGGTTGAAGGTCGCAGTTCCTGAGATGGAAGGCTGGTTCACCTGCTGATGGGTGTATATATCGTAGACGGACCCATCGCTGGTCACGGTTCCCTTGAAGGTCATGCTGCTGCCTGGGTTGTATTCGCCATAGCTTTCCATAATGTAATATTCGACAAGGGGGCTAGTGGTCCACCCGTAGACAGCTAGGTAAGCATTTCCGGAGGGATTGAAAGAGCCGGAAAAGTTGATGTTTCTAACATAGTGTACTTGTAAGTATATGATCAAAATTAAGTAGGTGGTATCGGCTTACCGGGCGCTGCCAGTAGCCCAGCCCTTGCCAGAGGTGAAAGATCCGCAGTTGGTCCAGCTGACGCTATATTGACCCGCAGCACCGTTGGTGTAGGAAACACTACCACCACCATTGGTCCAGAAAGAATAGAAGTAGCCATTGTTGGTTCCTTGCGTACTTGTAGTGATGGTCTGTCGCTTTTCCAAATCATTGGGAAGCGCAAAGGCGCTTACAGCAGCACAGGCAGCTACAAAGAGGCTTGAGAAAGAGACCATGATGAAGGATCAGATGTCTTTGGTAACTGAGTAAGGCGAATGAACTGAAGTCTGTTGTCCTGTGGCAGATAATTTCTTCGGGAGAAGAGCTTCCTTTTATATTGACAGGAGGATGTGGGGCGTGTTTCCAAACAGTTTCATGTCCTGAGTGTCTTGAATCAATTTAGCCAGCGACCCATTTATCCCATACTCATGTCTGTCGTAATTGCACTAATCATACACGGACCATAGCCCCTTTCCTACCAAGTATTAGCTCTAGTCCATCATATCCTCAATTAGATCCCTGTTCATTCAACCAGCCTAAAATGAGATTTATCAGTGATCTAGCCAGTATGAAAATATCCAAACTCTTCAGACGGCTAAACTTCGCCAAATGAAAACAAGGATGTTGAATAATTCAGCCACCAGCGCAGGTCCAAATGCGGGGAAAGTCATCACGGCTGTAAGGCTGTAATGGGTGTAGCTGCTTCAGCCTAGGCTAAACCCAAGATCAGGCAGTTTGAAAGCCGGGGAAACGAAGGTTACGTGATCCTTTTTTTTTGCCGACTATTTGATTATCCTGGAGAACAGTCTATATAAAGTCAGCGAAAACGTGACAAGGCGGCCGATCCATGGATCAGCGGATGATGAATCTCGGCGAGTGGATATCTTCGTAGATATAAGCAACACGAAAAGGTAAGGCCTATATCTACCACGATCTGAGTTTTGAACCGCAGCTATGCAGCCAGCTCGAGGCAAGTCGTTTATTGATAGTAACCTTGGTAAAATTGCCTCTCGAATCACCGAAGAACACGTGCCAAGAATATCCGAAGAATGTGGTCCAGTTTCGAGGCTTGGCAAAGCAGAATGCAAAACGTCATAATGAGATGCTATCAAGCGCAATGGACAAACGTGATCAGCATCCCTAGGAGAGTGTCGTGAGCCTACATACACTAACATGAATGGCACAACCCTGTTTTCAGATGTCGCTTATTCAGTTGTGTTGCAGTTTGTAGGTGCTGTTAAGTACCCATGAGCTTGGCAAGTACTACCTCAAATGTTTCCATCACAGCTGATTTGCTCCCTATGTAGCTTGCATGATTGCCAGACCTATGTTGTATATATATACTCGGTCGATTTCGGCTGAATCTTAATCGGACAATTTTAAGAGTGTCTCAGAAGTGCAGCGCCCCACAGATAAGCCACCCATTCGGCTCGCTTGAGGCTTATCTCATCTTAAATATTTGGGATTAGAGAACTCGCAAACTACAAGGGAGAGTGCAGTTTTTGAAGAAGTGTGTGCATGACTATGTTGGCCGTCAGGTGGTTTCACCGCGAGCTTCGGGGAGGATAATAAATACATAATTTCTCGAATATTCGGGATCCGAATATGAGAGCGATAACATCATTCTACTAGCTGTGCATTTCTGTCTTGTTGTCGCCACTTTCCTTGGTCGATGGTTATAGAATTATTGAGAGGTCATATGACATCTCCCTATTTGCTTCCGAGGCCCCAGCATATATGCACGGAGTACGGAGTAGTAAATGCGCAGATAGTGTCTTTGCGCCTCATACACTAAGGTAGGATTGATTCCCCTTGTTGTCATAGTAGTTCTAGACCTATCTTCTCTCAAGAATGTTCCAGGCCTCGGGTGTCAACATCAACAAACAGAGCTGAAGTCTGTATTTGACCAAGAACGAAGCATTCATGAAACTCAAAGGGTATCTCTGTATGGAGTACTATTTACCATATGGTCTATTTAGGTATCATTATGAAAAGCCAACAGCTCATATTATTACAAAATTTCTCCTTTCCACATAACTTCGAGTACAATAATATACATCGAAGTGCCATCCACATTCTCTCAAGAAAAAGTTATATGTATAACCTAACAAGGATAGCTGGCCCCATGCAGCCTTGTGTAGGAACTTTTCGGACATACTCTTCTCGGATATTATTTTTAGGTATCTTTTTTTAGATACTTTGTCCCCCTTATTGAGGTTGTGCATACATAGTTGGATTGAATGATAAGGATATTTGGCGGCAGAATATAGGCGGTGAAAAGGTGTAAAATATGTGATAACCTGTTTTTCCAGATACTATGACAAAGTTCCAGATCCAACTATGAAACTGCAGACTATGACATTTGCCATGGGTGCTACTCTCCCCATACTTGAGGCTGGTGCAAGGAGTTATGTTGCAATGCGCCCCTGTCGGCACCTTTATCCCAAGGATAATATGACTCCACTGTGGCCCTTCTTTCCATGGAATAGTCAGTGCTTGGCATCATTTGTGGACTTCAATTTACTAATACATACCAATGGTCACGCGACCAATCCTCGGTACCCAAAAATATGCTCTAGCCACATTCCACTTTATCTGCAACATGACTGATATCAAGCTGCAAGATACTACAATATTGTAACTCATTTGTGAGGCTAAATTGATTGTAATGGATACACAATTGATAGATCAAGTATATTTTCCCTATGGTTAGGGGCAAGATAAGGTTAACTAAGCCTGTCTCGTGGCTGGTAACCGCCGATCGACCGATCTCTGTCTGGTAATCTTTGAAATTGGCACGGCAAAATTAGTATTGGCACAGTGGAAATTAGCCTATTTTGGGATAGTATCCCTTGGCACTGGCTTTTCAATACAAGTGCCATTTATGGATAGTACAGACCACTATAGTAAATGACACAATGCTCGGTTAACCCATGAATTATACATGTAACCCTATACAGGTTAGGTGACTATGTACTATGCAGGGGCATTGATCTAGGGGCTTATCACGAAATTATCATATGGCTACGGCTTAAGGCTACATCATTTAATATCGTGATATGTACTATTCAAATATATGGCACTTGTATTGAAAAGTGGATGCTAAGGGCTACTGACCCTAAAGAAGTTAGACCAGTGTGTCAATCGTTTTCTGCTGTACTAAGTGGTTTTGCCTTTTTTGCCATTCGGTTTCATATTTTCTATCAACATGAGGTCCAGGTCAGCCTTCGTCAAGAAGGTGCTTGGCTTGCGAGATCCTCCCAATCCACGCACTAAGTTTGAACAACCTCATGAGGCAGATCCAACGGTTCTAGAATGGTTAAACGATGGCGTTCCCTCCAGACAACAGGTTGGACATTATTTTGTGAGGCTGCTGCCTTTCTTACAATGGATCCGACACTATAACTTGCAATGGTTTTTGGGAGATTTGGTTGCAGGTAAGTGCCCTTATTGAATTGATCTCAGCCTCTGCTAACTGTCCTAGGAATAACGGTTGGAGCTGTGGTAGTCCCCCAGAGTATGGGATATGCCAAGCTGGCTAATCTTCCCGTGCAATATGGACTCTATACTTCTTTCATCGGCGTTGTTATCTATTGGTTCTTTGCAACGTCCAAAGATATCACGATAGGGGTAAGCTACCCAGGTATCCTATCCAGTACTTGCATGGGGCTAACAGATCAATTGTGCAGCCCGTAGCTACCATGTCAACAGTTCTCGGAGGCATTATCCGCGATGTGCAAAAGGACCACCCCGAGATTCCTGGTCCGCAGATCGCCCTAACAGTCGCCATACTATGCGGAGGCATAATCGCATTTATGGGCCTAGCACGGTTAGGCTTCATCATTGACTTTATCCCCGTTCCTGCAATTACAGCTTTCATGGTCGGCTCTGCTATAAGTATCTGCTCGGGACAAGTCAAGGGGCTGCTGGGCCAGACAGCAAACTTCGAAACGAGCACTCCTTCATATCGAATAATCATCGACACACTGAAATATCTTCCCTCCGCGCAAGGATACGACGCCGCCATGGGCCTTACCGCACTCGCACTTTTATACGCACTCCGATCTGGCTTTAACTATGGAGCTGAAAAGGTTCCACGATTTGCCAAGGTCTTCTTCTTCCTCGGTGCTTTGCGTACAGTTTTCATCATCGCTCTTTACGCTCTTATCAGTCTTGGCGTCAACCAACATCGCCGCAACAATCCCGCCTTTGCTTTGGTTGGACTAGTGCCTCAAGGTTTTGACCAGGCGGGTGTCCCTGTTCTGAAGCCTGATGTAATCAAGCTCGTCGTGTCCCAGCTACCCGCCTGTGTGATCTGTCTCCTCATCGAGCACATTGCAGTCTCGAAGACATTCGGACGTGTCAATAACTACACAATTGACCCCTCGCAAGAGCTTATCGCCATTGGTATCACCAACCTCCTTGGTCCCTTCCTTGGTGCTTTCCCAGCGACAGGTGCTTTCTCACGCTCGGCTATCCAATCGAAGTCCGGAGCACGCTCCCCCTTTACTGGCATCATAACCGCCTGCGTCGTCCTAATCGCCATGTACACTTTGACCTCCGGCCTCTACTATATCCCCAAAGCAACACTATCAGCCGTCATCATCCACGCAGTTGGAGACCTGATCGTTCCACCCAACACCATCTACCAATTCTGGCTCATCTCACCCCTAGATGCCGTCATCTTCGCAGTGGGTCTGATTGTCGCTTTGTTCAGCACGGTCCCAAACAGCATCTATACAACCGTCTGCATCTCTGTGGCAGTTCTGTTATTCCGACACGCAAAAGCATCAGGCCAATTCCTCGGCCAAGCCTGGATAAGCGACGAAAGCAAACAGATTCCTCTCTTCCTACCTATGGATGACCCAAAAGCGAACCCCTCTATTCAAATTGAGAAACCCCGCCCAGGCGTCTTCGTCTACCGCTTCTCCGAGGGCTTCAACTACCCCAACGCCAGCCACTACTTCGACACTCTCGTCCAAACAATTTACAAGCACACGCGCGGGACGAATGCAGAGCTATATACGAAAAAGGGCGATCGTCCCTGGAATGAGCCGGTCTCTTCTAGTACAGATGATTCGCATCTGCCGATGCTACGTGCTGTCATTCTTGACTTCTCCGCTGTGAATAATGTCGATGTGACCTGTGTGCAGAATTTGATGGATATACGCACCCAGCTGGATCGTCGGTCTGCACCTATTGTTGTGCAATGGCATTTTTCCAGCATCAAGAATCGATGGACAAAGCGTGCGCTAAATGCGGCGGGCTTTGGATCTTCGCCGAGTGTCAGTGATAAGGGAGATGAAGCGCCAAGATCACAATGTTCGGACGGATCGACAGATGAAGAGAAGGGTGGCATGGAAATGTCGGTCTCATCTGGAGCGGCGGCTGATGCATTGCTGAATGCGGGTCGGCCATTTTTCCATGTTGATTTAACAAGCGCGCTGCGAAGTGTGGATGTATATTTAGCTTCGAATCCTTTTGCTTAGGGGATATTACATAGTGGAGTTTTACTTGGGTCACAGAATAAAATGTGCATTGTGATGTCAGTCATAAACAGTCACTCCATATTTCATGTACAAATCGGAAAAAACATCCGGGTCATCAATATCAACGCTAACCGGGAATATCGCCAAAAAAAAAAAAAAAACGCCTATATGCAATAAAAACACAATCATGAAATTCCAACTGATTCAGAGCTCATCAATGCATCAGCACCCAAGTATCATAGGGAACACCCCGAAGCCGGGTCTTTCCATCCCGGCCCGTTGAAAACAAGGCCGGCTCGAAATCACAAGCCGCCGAGTACTGCCGAACCAACTGACGCCAGTAGCACGACTCAGCAGCAGGAGTAAGATACCGATCACGGAAAGTGCGCACCGCATTATTAGCGATCCGCTCCGCAATCTCGGGGTTATCAATAAGATAATCTATCTTGGGCGATAGGTCGGACCAATCCCGATTAACCTCAATATAATTTGCATCCGGACCAGTTGAGATTAACGCCGCATGATGGGCCTCGCGCCATTCGAGAGCATGGGAGATGACAACGGAACGGCAGTTCAGAAGATACTTCCCACGACCAGAGAAGCTGCGGCCCTCTGTGTGCGCGAGGAACATATACCGGCAGTGATCTTCAATGGGAAGAAGATTAAAGCGGATATCATCCTGGTTATCCCAGTCAATGACACGCACGCTCGCCCAGCTACGACCCAATGCAGACTTGAGGAGCTTGCCCCGGACGGGCGGGTTCGTCGCCAGACTACCTCGCCACACGAGCTGTTTTTTCTTCTCCTGGAATTTTAGGCCTGGCACGTATGTACCGTCTGCGGTAGTTTCACCGTCGTCGATTGCGGCGATGCGGCGCCGCACTTCGTGATACGGGCCGATCTGCACTTCTGGCCAGGCCCAGTAGCCGAAGTCGGGCATTAGCCAGACTGAGGTGTCTGAGTCGCGTTTTGAGTAGGCCCAGATGGGGCTCGAGCCGGTCGTGTGCTCTGCAAAATCTTCTGTAGTGAAGATGAACTCGATACTAGGTAGGAGGTGGCGGTCTGGGAATGCTGTCAGGGCGCGGTGGAGGGAGTTTAGGGTGGCGCGTGCTCGGGATGCTGTGACGGGCATGGGCGCGTAGTCGACAATATACAACTAAATAAAATATGTTAGGATCGGGTCCTTTCAAGTTCACAAGGGCAATCAATGTTTCACTCGCCTCTCCTCGATCAATAATTGCCCGCACCATACCATCGTCTACTGTCCTGGAGTCCAGCTCCTTATAGGAAACAAGCTTATTTTCTCTTAGTGTAGAGGACTTGTCAATCTCAACAAATAGCTTTGGAAAAGCAATGCGGCACTGGTCCTCGGAGAGACCGTGGTTATTTCCGTCGCGTGCAACAACAAATTCCCAACCCGCTGAAGAGTTCACAGGCGGGGCACAATACTGCTGTCGCAATTGTGGCTTAAGATTAAATTGTGATGCGCGGCCAGGTGCACCGGTACTGATGATGAGGAATGTAAGGGTAAACAGAGACACCACGGCGCCGATGGCCAGGTAGCGGAATGAGGGGCGTTGAGTGAACATCCTTTCTAGAATAATTCCAGCTTTGCCCTCTTGGGTGTTTAATGATGCTCAATTTGAATTTCCATCTGGGTTCTTAGCCTCGAAGAAATGAAAACCTGATATTTCGTGGCCCCAGGATTGATGTCACTTGTGTCAGCTATGATTGTCTCCATGGCAACGCTCCAGGTGGGGGGGCAGTATTCTATGTGGGCAAAATGCTGATGCAGGCATATGAATTCTAATTATATCCAATACATATCGGTACCCAGTGAAGACAAACAAATGGATAGGTTGGTAGGCTCTACGACTAGTTTTGTTCATCTCCCTCGTTGGATGAACTAAGGATTTAGATCTATCAAGTAGAAATGCAGGTCAAACTGAATCAAGGTTCTTTAACGAAGCGAAAGAAACTATGCGCAGCCGAATCTCTAGTCCCAACTATATCGGATTATTATGTACATAAGAGGGAGAGTGCCATAGCGAGTCGATATATTCAAGGGGTATCTCAACATGTCATGAAAGGAAATGGCAAAACGAAAGAATAAAGTAGAAAGTAAAGGTAAAAGGTAAACTTAGATCTGTAGTACCATAAGACAGGCAGGCGGAGTACAAACGCTCAAGCTTGTCCACAAGCATGTCCGCGCGTGGCTAGACTGCGAAATTCTAATCAGCATCATTAGACGCCATTTGCGGGAGCTCGGGGGCTGTTGCTGTTGAAGTAGCTCTCGTCTATCTTCAAGATCCATTCCACCTTTTGTGCCTCAGTTCGAGTGGCGAAGAGGAAGGTGTTCTGGGTTCCATAGACCGCGAACACATTAGGCCGTCCCTTAGCAGACAGCGAACGGTCGGATCCAGCTCCTGAGCCGTCTAGCAGTCTTGCGAAGTCGGGCGCATGGTCGACACGCGCATTACGGAGGTTGATAGCGTTGATCTCGTCTCCCTCTGGGACCGAGTAGATGTGGAGGTACGGCCGGCGGAGCTCCACGAAACGACGCACCCAAACGTTGTTGGTATCATCGGGCGTAAGAACGTAGCCCGTTTTTAAGGCGTCGGGGGCTTTGGGAAGTGTTTGGATGGTGGCTATGAAGCGAGGCTTGAGGGAAAGTTTGTCAGAGAGGCCGTTGGTATCCGAGTTTTGTATGTGCGCCGCTCCGTCTGAAGGGGGTTCGGTATTACTTCGGACAAGGATTGCCTCTGTTGGGTCCTGCTTGAGCGACCACAGCTCAAGATACTTCCGTAGAAGCTTGGATTTGCGTTCATTCAGATCGGCGCCACGCATTGGAGTTGACCTTCCAGTACGAGGTAGCGATGGAATGAGACAACCCGCGCTGAGAGCACCTCGGGCAGCATGAAGTTCTGCGGCACGCTGCCGGCGCTTGCGGTTGGCAATGTAGTCTCGTACCAGAGAAACTTTTCGAGGAGCCCAAGTGTTTAAAAGTTCCTCGCCTTTCACATAGTCATTTTGGGTGTTCATACGCCATAGATCAGCAGCGCGCTTAGCTGAAATGGGCCGAATAACTAATGAGTACATGCGAGTCGTCGAGTGTACAACACGAATCGAGTTCCAGAATTGCTTGAACATCGACTGCTGGCGGACGTAGGTACGGCCTTGTATCTGAATTGTCTGATCTGCCTCGAAAACAACTGGGTTCTGTAAACGACTGGATACAAGATCCCAACGGACAGTCACTTGGACCCGATATTTTTCTGCCGTCACTCGGTCAAGCAACAGAGAGCCATGTAAACTTGAGTCCCACTGGCCGACAATTGTGACATGAGAGGTTCCATCGGCATTATCCCTGACCGTGGGTTCTTGAACAAACTTCAAGGGGACATCAGGAGTCTGGAAGTCCTGATCTGGGATCTTGCCCCAGGGATCGAGGAGGCGGACAGAACCAACGCGGATGTTGTTGATATCATCCCATGGAAGACTTTCTGTTGAACTGTACGTAATGTTGACCGATATGCGGCGCTGCAATCCTTGATGAAGCTGGGATGTCCCGGCATCGAGACTGCTGCTCTGAACAACCTCCACGGGGAGGTATTCACCAGATTCTGCCATTTCGAGTATTTGAATCCTCGCAAAGACATCATGACGTTCTTCTGAGTAAAATTCTGATTCTGGGATTCGAGGAGCAGTTCGTTTCTGCGGTAAAGGCTCCGCTGAGTCACGCATATCGTCCCAACTAAGAAGCTTGTCAAGATGAACCGATGTCACACCAGCATAAACACAGACTTTCAATGCAGCTGTCCGTGGACTTGACAGCGGTAAGCTCATGCTGTGCACACTCTCAAATCGAACCGGTCCTTCCTCAAATCCTTTGATCATCTGAGTTGTAGTTGCGCCTCCTTCCTCTGAGATACCTGGCACAAATAACTGCGCATGTACATCAGTTCCTTCCCACTCTGCGAACCCAATCATGTCCCGCATGACAACATTAAATTTCAGGGTTGAAGAGGGCGCCTGCGCAGAGGATGGTTCGAGGGAGAGGCGAACGATTCCGATGACACTCTGGGTGTATGGCGAGGTTATCTCAACGGAAAAGTCTTGGACACGGGTTTCAAAAACAGCCGTTAGTGGAATGTCGGCATCACCGATAAGAGAATACTGGGGTGAGCAAGGTTCAGAGAATGGATTATCAAGTTTGAAATGTTGGATGTAGTCGGGACGGTCAATATATTGGTGTAATTGCCGCATGGCTTGAACGCGGCGCTGGAGCTTTTCAATCGACCACAAGTGAATCACGGACTGTTTGAAGTCGATAACTCGAACACCGACACAGGGCTTCTTGGCCTCATCAAGCAGGATGTCTTCATCGCCGGAAATTCCGTTCAGCACAAGATCATAAGATGACTCCATATTGTGACCATGGTCGACAATGGCAAATTGGAAAACCACATGCTTGTCCATGATATGGCTCATAATTTGTGCTTCTTTCAGAAGAGAGGCATGTTGCAAAATCTTCTCCGCCATTCGGACGTAATTTCGCTGGGACCAGTGCCTGTACACTGAGCGTGCGACCTCAAGTTCACGTTCATCCAACTTGGCGAACCCATTCTCGAAGATTTGAGGAACTGGCTTACCCATATCTCGGATGTGGCTTTCAAATGTCTCCTTTTGTTTGCGCAGTTGCTCTTCGAATTCTTCCTTAGCTGTCCGCAGTGCGTACTCCATTCGCTCTTTCTCAGTGCGTAGCTCGGGTGAGTCTGGATCAGACGAAGCCCCCACGGTCTTGAGTTTTTCTTGGAACTCTTCCTTGCGACGATCCAGCTGCCGCTGCATATCTTGACGAGCCTGATTGAGTGATGCGACGCCATTGATTTCATCATCGTCATTCTGTCGGGGCGTGCTTGGCATGGTTATAGCAGTGTCTAGAGAAAAGTTGTCGAGGGTACCGTTGGACATATACTTGTCTCTAATCGGGAAGGAGCTTATAGAGTCGGAATCTTCCTCTTCCGGAAGTCCACGCCGTTCAGCTCGAACCTTCTGTACATCCTCTAGAAGTGTATCCAGTTCATCGTCAGGCAAATTAGAAATCTGATCAGGTCCAACCATAGCATTGACAGCTTCTCTGCGTGCTAAGAACCAGTCTGTCTCACGGCTACGCTGTGAAGGCATGGGTGAATCTGCCCTGGTTGAATCGCCATCCATGTCAGATCCTGTCTTGCTCAGATTTCGATCATGGGTTTTATTTGGCGCCGGCGATCCAAGCTGGCTTGTAGTGACTGAATGGCGGAGTAAACTCTGCTCGACCCGTTCAGCTCTGGCTTCTTGGGGATGATTGAAACGGAAAATATGAAAATCACCAAGGATAATTCGGAAACCACTCTTGAGTCGAGTAGGCTTATCAACTCGCATACCGTTCACCATAATAGCAGCACCTTCGGCGGGGACAATAGTCACAACATTATCCGCATTCTCAAAAGTGCAGTGCTTCTCAAGGATCTTGGACCCGTTCAATCGGATCTCAACAGTTTGATTTTGATCCACATGGCCAACCGTGGTGGTGCCGGGTTTGATATTGTAAACCAAACATTCCGCAAGAAGGGGATCGTCGCTGAGGTTGACCAAATGAGGCATCTTCTTTGGCGTGCTCATTCCAATGAAGCCCTTTTCAATGTTAATTCCCAATTCTTCTAAAGCTGCTTCACGTTCCTTGTGGATAAGCTCTGTATTCTGCAGCTTCTCCTCCCAAGTCTGGTTAAGGTCTTTGTAGAGCTTCTCGCTCTGGTTCAGCTGTTCTACAATCTCCGCTTTGCTGACCTGGGTGACGGTTCCATCCGGCTGTTGGATGGAGACCATCTGTTTCTCCAGTGGTGTATCTGGAGGATAGTACTCCTGGGGGACTCCACCTATGGCGCCAGCTGCTCCTCCCGGTGCGACTCCGCCTCCAAGTTTTGCTCGGAGCTGTGCCAGCTCCTCTTTGAGTTCGCGAATCATGCGTGCATTTGGATCTTCGTTCACAACAGCATGGTTCTTGATTCGTTTCGCTGAATCGGCGTACCGCAGAGTACCAAGAGTTTCGTCAAAGTTAATATCTGCAGGAGAGATTGCTGCGATCATGGAAGTCATGGAATTTCCACCCAGAGAATCCTTCAGCAACCATGTCAGAATTGAATCACGATATGGTACCATGGATGCATTCTTCTTCTTGCCGGCAGCAGTCTTACCAGCAGAGACATCAGCAAGCGCAGCAATCACACGACCAAGTGTTGACAACGAGCGATTGATCTCCGCACCTTCCTTCAATCGTGCGCCGGTGGCTCCAGTCGAGTTAGCTCTTTCTGAACCAGCCAAATCAACCAAACTGATTTTCGACACCTTCTCGGTATCCATCGAAGTCTCTTTATCGTGTCTCTTTTGCGTCAGAGTCAAGGTAAAAACGGCATGTGATCGACTTGAGGTTTCGTTCATGTTGGTCGCGGCTACCGTTCGGGCTTTGTTACCCTCGTCCATCAGGTTCTCAATTTCTTCGAAAGATCCGACGACAAGTTTGGCCAGATCCTCGACATATGGACCCGTTGACGGATGTTCACGTACTTTCAGATTGCCTTTGTTTGACGGGTTGAGCAAATCTCGTACCCGCTCGTTATAGATTTCGAGGTATGACACCTCAACGGTGCAATTCAAACACTTGTCCTCCTGAATTGCATTTATACGCTCAAACATTGACCGGCAAATCCGTGGAGTGACACCGTATTCTTTGCCATAACCCATCATGGAGTAAGATTTTCCTGAACCGGTCTGGCCATAAGCGAAGATACAATTGTTGTAACCCCCAAAGGCATTGTCCAGAAGCGGAGAACCTAGGTCGTCGAAGAGGTCATTTTGGTCGGCGTAGTTTGATGAACTCTTATCAAACGACCAATATGATCGGTCAAAGGCGAAAACCTTGTTCCCTTCAACAGCGCCCTTCCCACCCTTCCGTGATTTATCTTCTGCGCCGGGTGGAGGAGTGAGTACGGTCTGGTTTCCTTTCATCGACACAATACATTTTGCGCCTCGCTCGATCTCTGTAGAAAGACAGACCAGTTAGCCTAAATCCCAAGGGAGAACCCCTCTCGTGATATCTACTCACCTCGACTATTGAAAGGCCGCACCCGCACCACCACCTTAATATTTCCACCGCCGCCTGGAGCCATCTTTGCTCTCTAACCCATGCAATGGGGATTTTTATTAACAAGGGATGTATATGAAAACCGGAGTCCGGACCTGGGATGCAAGTGGTGACAGGGGTACACCGATGCGCGAACTCCGCGAGGAGCGCGGCTTGAAGTTGAAGGTATGTCGCAGGGGAATGAGTGTAGAGTTGGATGCAGCTAAATAGCTGATTTTTTGGGAGTGGTTCGTAGCGAGATTCGAGACCGTGGGTGTCAACAAAGACGTCATGTATCGGTCCAATATTGATGTTGCGCGTCTGCGATGTTTTTTTTTTTTGCGGGGGAGGTTTGATGATGTGCGGGGACGCTGGACCTTGCAGCGTTGAAAGTTGACCACCAAAGAAAACCAGCCACAGAGTCGGTTTTCTCGAGGCACAAAGCAAAACAAAATGCGATTCTGGTCGAGTCAACAACAATGCGGAAAAGCCACTTTGGTCCGGGGGGTGATGCTGAGTAAGCGCTCCACCTGTCCATGGGTCCACGGACTGTAAGGGGCTGGAGTCTTGGGATTGTCGTTTATTGTACTCCGTATGGAGTATGTCTCTCGGTCTATGAAGGGGCTTGTCCTGAATAACTATGTTATAATCATGGTTGCTGTTGTGTTAATTATATTTTGGCCCAACCACAGAATATAGTTATACTACTTCATACATACTTATTCCGCCCATATTTACATCAATGTGGGCGAGAATAGAGTTATGAAGAGGTCCAGGCCGTATCTAGATGGCTTCTAAGTTTTTTTTTTCTATGGCATATAAACGTCCGTAGGTGACCTCACCAAGACGCTTGCCTGTCTTTCTAGATGCATCTTATCAGGTATTATTCTCTTCTCTGACAGTCTGCGCCGACCTTTGACTTCCTTCATCGATCATTTCACTGAAATATGGGTCATAGACACCCATGTTGAGGTACTTGTGAAGCTATGGTCATGGTGTAATGTATTATTAGACAATGAAATCAAAGCTATCAATACCTTTCAAGTCTCATGATATCCTCGGTGAAGAGGTCAATACTATGAACTCAAAGTACCAGGCCCTTCTACAAAGACTAACAATGGTTTCAACAACAGTCCATCAGCTATTAAACGGGGACTTTCTCTTGGACTATCTCTTGGCCTCGGTATCCCTTTAACCGTAGCTGCGATTTTCTTGTGTACTCTAGATTCGTCACAGGTATGATTTCTCAAGACTCTCACTTGATAAAGATGTTCAACGCGCTATATTCTACTAGATATTCATATATACCACAACACATGAGTAACGAGGAAGCTGAAATATATATCAAAATACACAAGGCGACCCGGCGGAGTGAGATCTCCTCTAGTGCAACTACCTATGATTGTGTTCTGATTATTAAACTTTTGATCAGAAACTCTCACTGGGAAGCTCTGCGGAAGTCTTTGGTTTCGAAAAGAAACAGGACATTCCGGAGGTCTATGTCATGGACAACACACCCACGAACTAACACATCACCCACACATGGTAAAATTTGGGTTCAGAATGAAAGGTATTAATAAGTGTATGGCTCATAGCATCATGAACAGCTTGGAGTGAAGGACCTATTACTTGATTACCTAGCTATATAGCTTGATTTATCCATGGATACAAATCTAGCCAGTTACCAATCGATTGCTTCTCCCTTCAAAGTACCATAGTCCCACCTTCAATGTCTCCTTGTTCCTTTGCGTCTCTTAATTTTGCATGGAAATTATAGCATGATCCGTATACTAGTTATGTAACCTTGGCCAGGTTATACTGTAATCAGGACACAACCTTGTATCCAGATTCGGACGCGGCCTTGTCTTTCTATACTTTTTATATCCGATATCATCGATTCTCCTTTTTTTTTCTAGCCTTGATCTCGCATACGATGGCTGTTCCTCTCAAGTCATATTAAAATTACTCACCCATATCGCCCTAAACAGAGTCGAATCGAAGTATTCGGAACATTCCTTTCATCCAAAAAATTGGCACACGTTTTCCCAAATCTCCACAATTGCACTCGACGTGGGCCCAATTATTGTCATTTCTATCGGGATAGGAATCCCCGTCACCATCGCGTTGATAATACTAGTCGTGACATATGCCAACCGCAGGTAAGTGTCTGAACTTCTCTTCTTCATGAAGCTTACTAACAATGTCTATCCATTTAGACATCCAAAGATGCCTACAGTTGATCAGGTAGAATCTACACAAGACTAGCTCAATATATATCATGCAATCCGCCCACGTATTAGTCGCCCTTCCAGGCTATTTTTTATCTATTATTGTTGACAGATGCCTTGCAGTTTCCCTTACGGAGAAGATCCGCAGTATCTTGGAGGCGCTGAGGCTAGTTAAGAAGCCAATAATCCAGGAGGTCTATGTGATGGAGAATGGGACCAAGGTCTCAAAGTGATACTATGGCCACTAGAGTTGACCATTTAGCTGTATAAAGGGGCAAACAGATATGGACTCCGCATAGGCGACCTTTGGCGCTTTAGCAACTCTTAGGGCGGATGACTTTTCGCTTATTGATGTAGCCACTAGCTCACTATCGATATTCTTGTCTTGTTGTGATCGACATCTCTGATATACTTCGTATCCGCATTGGTATTCTATACCTATCGCGCGCCAGTCGGCGAGCAGCTCTCTTGTTTTGATTTTTGTCATCATGCTTTATCTAATATTTACCCAAAACGAGCGCATATTGTACCAAATAACTCGATCACTTAAGATGAGGTCAAAGCCCTGAAGTCTCAGAATGATAGGACGACCACACTCCGATGTACTCTCTCTATGCAGGGAACTCTCTAGGATTTACTTTGATTAGCATTGAATTTAGTGGAAGATAGCCGACTTGTTACTGGACAAATTTTGCTAATTTGCGAGGTAGTTATATATTTCAATGCGTGTTATGATACATGACTCTCATATATATTCCCAATAAGGAATGCGGTTGTTATAATACAAAAGCCGCGAATATCGGTCGGAATCAGTCAAAAAAATATAATAGGGAATTTCTCAGTAATATTATCTTATCCACGTAAAATTTCCGTATAAAGTACAAATGGAAACTCGAAGGTGAAGGTCCGTATGTTGTAGTCAAGCGGTCAAGCTTCTTACACGTGGTGGGTTTCATCGTCCGGAGATCGGTCCCATCCGTCCCTGCGAATCGGGGTTATCATCTGCGCTGAATGGCCCATGAGAAGCTACTAAAGTTGAGTAGAATGCACGTGGGGATTAACCTGATAGTATAGAAAGTAAGTATACTTTGTATGTATATCTTGTACCTTTTTCTTTGAATTGCCTGATAACTGAGCTCGAGATGCGATTTGTGGGAAAAGATATCCGAGACAAAGCGAGGTGTGGATATTTGAGCCGAAGATAAAATCTACGGTGAGCAGAATTGTTTCGACCGCCAGTTTGGATGTTCAATAATAGCAACACGCTACTATAACAACGGTCTCCATACGGAGTACGGAGTATATTGTACATGTATGTCCTGGTTAATTGGATTGCGTCATGAGCTCGGCTAGAGCAAACCCTTGAATGCGCCATACGAGTACCTAGGGAGACCTCGTATTTCTTAGTGAACATCTACATAATGATACTCAAGACCTTCCTGCCTGTGCCAAATAATAAAGCCATCACTCTGGCCTGGATTACAATGTTGCCGCCCGGGGAGATGATTCCATTGCCGCCAACTAAGAGATCTCATCACACTCCTGTAAGGGCCGTAAAGTGCTGTGAATAACAGACCGTACTAAAATAAACCCTGACTTCTTTGGAGGTATTCCCCCCCCCCCCCCCCCCCCCCGAGTACATTGTACATGAGCTTTGAAGCAAGGGTCATGGATGAGATGGGACATTAGGTGGAGGAGAATTCCCTAAATAGGGCATATGGCCGAGATACGCAGTGTTCACTGAGAGTAGGAAAAAGCAAAGAAAAAGTAGAGCTCATCCTTTTGGGTATCAGAAGTGATAATCGTGATCTCGGGAGCCGAAGTCAAGCTGACGAAAAAAAGGACCTAAAAAGAAACGAGGCGAGTATTAAAATGAGGCGAGTGATAGCGTGGGCAGACATGCATCCGAAAGTGCGGTCTGATTCAATTGTTCAGATTTGGGTTTCAAGGGTAAAGCAAGATCTGGAGGAGGTTTAGTGTTTGGAATATGTTACATATATAGTAGATAGATATATGTTTTATACAAAATGAAGTTAAGAAAAAGAAGAAAAGAAACCAAAAAGAACAGAAAAGAGCATGATCGTTGAAGGTATACTTCCCGTACAAAAAAAAAAAAAAGCTAAGGCCATGCGTCATAACTCTCGGGTTGCACATGACGAGAGCTCGGGAAGACCGGATTTGTTTTATTACTGTATTGTTATATAAATACCATTGGGGGCCAGTTGGGTGACTATGAACATATATTAACCAGTAATGATAGATAATTGCATGTAATTTAATGTAATCCGATGTAATATCGCAGAAAAGGCGGCCTCAACAGCGGGGAGTAAGGCGGTCTCTCAGTCGGCAGCCAGTCAATCTCCTACAAAACTGCCCCATCCGCCCTTTTTCCTCGCCTTTCTTCCCTCTGCCTCTTCTCGTTGGTTGCCCGCCCTCTCCAGTTCATCCTCCAATCGCACAGTATCATCTCCCCCCTTTTTTACATCATTATTGGTGAAACCCTGCCTTGCATATTCTTTCTCTATTGGTCTTATTGGCCTTGATACCATAACTGGGGTAAGTTATACTTGCTTTTGCACTACAGCAAACTACAGTACTACACGCAAATTGTATGCTTTTTGCTTTCTATTGCTTTCTATTGATTTTCTTTGTTTGAATCTACCCTCTCATCTTGACATTCTCATTACTGGGTAAACACACGTCACTTTTATTTCCCATTTTTATTCTCTGATTGTATCCCCTATATCCCTACAAAGATATACCTGTACTCCTGTACTCCTGTACTGCCGGTTCTATACTTTGCGGAACTGCCCGGCTTGACATCAGTGGCTCCGGTGCCGCACAGAACCACCGCCTTCTCTCTCGTTGGCACGATTCCCTCGATCTCCCCCTCTCCCCTCCGTTGGTCAAATCATCTTCTACCCTGGGATCCCTTGATTGCTTGGGATTGGAAAGTCACCTTAACCCCGGAGATTATCCTTTCTTTTCTGCCCTACCTATTAAGGTAATTGCTAAACTCCAATCCCACGTTGCGCGCGCTTTTGCATAGCTCGTGGCAAAACAACGCGTGCTAAACCAAAACACACTTCCTCATTTCACATTTCCCTATCCTTGCTATTCCTTCTATCATTGGCTCTCCCTATTTTACCTATGCGCGCGATTGTGTTTCATATTTCTTTTCATCCAATCTGCACGCGTCCCTAGCACTTACATCTTCCCTCGTGGGTATCCGGTTGGATCTAACATATGACATATAGTCGCGCAAAGTGATTCCTCAGTTTTGGCTGGGTTTAGCTCTCAAATATTCACTTGGTCTGTTCTGCAGAATTCGATCGACAAGGTAGGTTCCCTGCATCTCAACTCCCGCTTTGCCAACGCATACATTCTCTCCTCCCAGTCCTGACCGGTCTAACCCACCCCGGATTTCCAAAAAACACACCCCCCTCTCCACTTTACCACTCTGTATTGACAGCGCATTGGTCGTTGATTCATCGATACGATTGGCTAGGATGTTAAAATGCTAATGTCGATCCATAGTGTTGGTGCGTGGAGACTTGGAGGCGCATTCTGACATCAACGCCCAGGCGTTATCTGTCGCAAGTCGAGGCTGTCAGCACCGCCCGGATTCTACGCTGGACGTGGCAGAGCAAAATCCCCTCAGGATTGTGTGAATGAGGTAGCCTGCCGACCGTGCTTGAATTATACTGCTTTGTCTTCACAACCTTCCATCAGGTTTGTTCTGACTTGACAACGCATCAAGCCGACATCTAGTTGAGGTACCCCCCGGCACCGCGCTGCACCACAGCCCAACCACGTTACACCCGACTGTGGGCGTAAACAATTTTGCACAAAAGAGTCGAAACCCTCCGCAAGCCATTCGATATTATTCTCGACACACAAGAGGTTGAACCGAAAGTTTCTGTTGAGGAAACACAGATATTGGCTGTTCACTACGCGCCTGCAATTTAAGGTACGTGCCTGGTCCCTGTTGTGTTATTTTGGTTCCCCATACCCCCACCCGCCAATCCAGTGACCGCTCGGCGATGCGCTCTGCTGACGCGAATCCCCGAGCCTGCAGACTATTTGTCGAATCATCAGTCGCCTACCCCAGCACTTGTGGTGACTCTGTCCCTCATTGCTCGCGTTCTGCGATCTCGCTTTATTACATCTACCAAACAGACGTCGCCGTCAACTTCGACATATTTGGACCTACCATCCAAAAGCAATCCTTTGGGTCTGATTGGTGATCTTAATATATTAAGTCGTCACTTTATCGATCCACTGAATAGGCGCCGCGACCTGTAGTGTGACAGGATCCACTATTACAACTCACCAGTATGGAGTACCCTCCTCAATACCAACAAGCCCATGGGCAACATCCACATGCTCCTTCTCACATCCCTGGACCTTACCAAACCGGACCACCCAACGCCGGTCCCCCGGTTGGATCGATGGCTTCACCCACCAATGCACAGGCACCCATCCAACCTCACTCGACCCACCAAAGCTCCCCTATCGTTCCGTCGCAACCTCATTACCAACAAGCACAGAATGGACCCGGAGGTGTTCACCAACAAATGAACTTTCCCCAAAGCTATGGTGTCCCTGCGCCCATGGCCCAAGGTTACGGTATTTCGCCGACGCAGGCTGCCGCAATGGCAACTGCGGCTGCGTCTGGGCAGTTCTACCCCCTTCATCAGGACTCCATGGCCGGCCAGATGCCCCAGGGTTCCCGAGCCTCGCCGCGCATGGCGAGCATGCAGATGAAGCAGGACCGTGACCCCCGATCGCCACCCCAGATGCAAAATCAGATGCCTCCGATGGGATCGCAGGTTCAGATGCCGCCAAACCAGCAACTTTCTCAACGTCGCATGAGCCATGTCGGTAGTCCCAACGTACAAAGTGCACAGCCCGTCATGAGTCATGTCGGCCGGGCCCCCATCGCTGCTCCACTTCCCCAGGCTCCCGTACAACAGAACCAGCCCTCACCTGACATGGTACCTGGCGGCAACCAGGAAGAATCGCCACTGTACGTGAATGCCAAGCAATTCCACAGAATTCTGAAGCGCCGCGTAGCGCGACAAAAGCTGGAGGAGCAACTGCGTTTGACATCCAAGGGTCGCAAGCCTTATCTGCACGAGTCACGACACAACCACGCCATGCGAAGACCGCGTGGACCCGGTGGACGTTTCCTGACTGCAGATGAAGTGGCCGCTATGGAGAAACGAGAGGAGGTAACGGGTCAGCCTGTTACTTTCGAGGACCTCAGCAAGCCGCTGCCAACCGAGAATGGTGGCGGCCAGAAGCGCAAGTCAAGTGAAGTCCACGGCGATGGCTCAAACTCTTCTAAGAAAACGAAGGTAAACACCAGCGCTGACGGAAGTGAGGGGGACTCCGGCGAGGCCTCGGATGAGGACGGCTAATCGCCCTCATTTTCATTTGTTTTTCACCTACATGACTGTGAACACAACACCACGTCTTGCTGAGGTGACTTGCGGTATTGGATTTTCTTTGTTTTTCTTTTGTCGTCACGGCTTTATGGATGGACGTCTTGGACCTTTTCTCTAGCGAGCGATGTGTATGGATCCCCCGCTTTCTATGCTCTATGCCCCATTTGATGTGCTTTTGTCTGATATGTTCTTGTCTCATGTGCTTTTGTTTTGATTTATCTTACTCCCATTTGCCCTGATGTCTGTTTATATTTTCTATGCTGGGACGATTTATTTCTTCTTCATTCCCCCTCTTGCCTATTTTATCTCATCGATCCTCTTCCTCGGTGGCTTCCTCGGTTCGTGGGAGATACCTTGTACAAGAATGACAGTTTCAAGCATCTGCACTTTCACTCCGTTGAAAGTGATATGTGGGACTGGAGAGATAGCATGCTCTCTGCTTTACTCTGTTCGAAATTGACTTGCCTGTTGGCCCTCATATTGCATGTAGGGGCTTTAAGGGCACATGGTTGTGCTTTGATATGCCACCTTATAATCTTCGACAGTTAGCAATCGGCTAAATATTCGAGCTTCACCCGGATGTGCTATCTCCATTCTGTTCCCATGGTTTTATCCACCTTTATGTTTCTATTATGAATATGCTTCTGGCAATCTCTTTCATATTCTTCTTCTATTACATCTCCGTTTCCTACCCCTCTTCCTCCTTTCATTCTGTTTCGGTGTCTCGTGTTGCGGGTTTATGGGTCTCCCTCCGGCTGGGAATTTTAGAGTGGGTCTCCATCACTGGTAAAACAGATCGGGATATCGGTTTTTCGAAAGACTGGTTTGTGCTATGAATATCATTTGAATTTGAGTACTGATAGTTTTTCTTTCCTTTTTATATTTTTTGATTAGGATCTGGCAAGATGATGCAGGGCAAGCAAGGAAATTGGATTGTAGATTTTGAAACTAGTATGGACATATTCGATTCTTATACATTCAATGTCTTGTTGTCTCGTCCTAGTCTTTATCTGTTAGTAGTACTTGCGATATCTGTATTGTAGAATTTGGGAGACTTGTATTTCTCTATTGTACACAAGGAGAAATTTCGGTTGATAACAATGTATGAGCGTACATACATGTAGTCTGTCTTGGAAAAAGCAATTTCCACGTACAATCATACATGCATACTTCACCCACCATGAATTGGTTTCTGTGATATATCAGCTGACACCGGAAATAACATGCATTGATCTTCACTGGCCCATATGTATAACATATATCTCTAGAGATGCCCATGTGGGTCGGGGCGTTTTGGCAGAGGAACAAAGGACTATCAAACAGAGCATCCCAGAACACTAAGAGTGTTTGAGCCCCTGTGTCTGATTCATTCGACATTGCCTGGGTCTGTAGGCCCAGCGATGGTCAGATGACGTGATCAGGTTTGTTTTCTTGTGTTTGCTATGTCCTTTGTTGGTGCTCATTCAATCCTCTTCTGGTTGTTAACAGGACAACTTGTGCAATCTAGATATTGTTTCGTCTGAGCTCTTGCTTGGCTTAGAGATCTGAACTTGTGCACCATCCAAACTGCTTTCTTTGAATCCAAGCCCGAGCCTTAGTTTTTCATGCATAATCTATTTCTCTCTCTCTATTTCTTATCAACATCAAGGCAATTTCCTTAGCGCAAAGGCGATAGGCTAATGAAATCCACTTACAAATATGGAGGGAAATTATAGGAACATGATGCTTCTAAGGTAGAGACTCAAAATGTCAAAGAATTACTTGGTAGAGTCTGGCACAAGAAAGAATATCCCAGTACTAGTCTCTGAATGTTCTTGGAAGTCCATTGCAAGATAAAGGACCGGGGAGTGTGGGCATAGAGAGGGTCGGTTCGGGTCGTTGGGAGTCATTTTTAGCCGAAAGGGCATGCTGGCGCGCTCTTCTGGTCTGCCAAACTCTAGACTTGTTCACGAGAGGTGGGTGGAGAGAAGGAAGGTGTGGCAAAAATGGGTGTATGGGACTGAGAGGGGAATAGATTGAAAAAGACAATAATCAGAGAAAAATATATGTATATGAGGGTGATAGGAATCAGAGATCCTGAGATATTTGCTTCCACCTGGCAAAACTGGGTGTGATGTTTGACTGTAGTGGAATGAAGAAAATAGAGAAGGAGGTAATTCATTTCCTTCTAGTAGTGCTCCTGGTTTAATTGTTGAGGCTTTTCATATTGCTTGAACATCTTGCTCTTCGATCTCAAAGCATCCAATCGACCAGTATAATAACAGTAGACGTCAAGTGCAAGACATGTCGACAACCGCATCTGGGAGACACAAAGTCATGATTGAACCCAGCGTGCAGTATCAATAGAGAGCTGCATATCAGCGTAGAGTTTCATGCCGTGAAAGCTTGCAGCTGGTTATCGAACTATGTTCATATCAAACTTTGGCACCGGCTGCCAGCAACAGGTAGATCCAAAACACGTCTGAATGAAGATTGAATGAACACTGGCCATGAACTCTGCAGTTCGCCGGCTCTCACACAGCTTCCCAATCCATGGCATCGACCATGAATCCCCAATCCGCCTCGGAGCCTGCCTCATCCCCAGTGATCTCATCCGGGCGGATGCACTTGTCAACATGCTCCCTTGCCCGAGCATATGATTCTTCTAGACCACCAAAGATATCAGAGATGATGCCCTCGAAGTCAAAGCTCGCAAGCGTCACAATGTCCTTTCTTTCGCCTTGCTTTTCTCTCTCTTCTGTGGTCAGATCTGCAGTTTTCCACCTATTCCGCAGTTCCTTAGCCTTCTGTAACTGCAGATAGACAGTGCCACCGCCAAGAACTGGGGATAGTGGAGTTGATTGCTCCCGCAATGCCTCTAGTACATTGGCGTGGTATCGATGAATACCAACAGGCCGACCGATGCCATTTCCATTACGTGGCGGTCCTCGAGGTGATGATGTCACTGAGATATTAAATACTGCCAACAAATGAACAATGGCACGTTCAAGCAGAGCATAATATTCATGGAAATCAATCTTGAACATTATTTCAGCGTGGGCGATATCCTGTGCCGATATGACATCGCTGATTTCCAGTGTTGCAAGACGGTATCCTTCAGCTAAAAATGGAAGTTTCCATCGCAGCCTGGCAACAATTTTCATAAATCGTGCCAGTTCCTCGGTTGGCGGCAGCAAACGGCCATCTTGGGGTGTGATAGTCGCCGGGCGGATGCTGCTGTTACCATCGGGATTGTGGTTATTGGAGAGCCCGTGCCGGGGAGAATTTTGACTCGCCGGGTATTGTTGTTTCCCCCCATTCCCGGGTGCCCAGCGAGAGTTGAACAGACCTGACATGGTCGTTCGATCGGAGGTAAAATGTGGCGTGTTATGCTGATGTGATTTGGCGGGCGTGGTGGTCCTGGTCAACCAATCAGCGATCAGCATGGTCCTATCAAATGTGTGTTCGTAAAGGCCTGTTGAAATAGTGAATTGAGTCCTCTTACCTTTCCACGTGTCATCTGTCGAGACCAGACCGGAATACATACATGTACATAGTATATATTACTGCATTGTGTCTCAGCTTATCACCTTCCCTCGTTCTTGTTGAGTTTTGATCAGCCTGGTGCAGTTCAGTCTATGATTGAGTACCAGACCCAAACTCCCTATGCAGCGTTTTCTGTCGAAAGGGTTAAGTGACACATATTTATGTACATATGTAAGTGTATGAGGGGAGGCTGAGCTCTAGTGAAACTGACTTTCTTTGTTTGATAATGACTAGGCAAATAGAGTCCGACTTTCTAATCCGAAATACATCTATGTTTTTCAAGGACTGAACATCATCTAGGATTGTTTTTTCCCCCTCTCTGTACACTTAGCCCCATAATAAAGAGCAGGAGCTTCTTGGCCATCTACCAGGGATTAAGCATCATACAAACCTGCTGTACAAATAGTAGTCCGTGTGATAAATCGGCAGTGCAATTGAAATCTACTCAAGTACGGAAGAAAAATATGTATGTACATATCTATAAAGAACAAGTCAAAACAAAACTGCCATATTTGGATGACTCCGTACCCCGGCGATTCATGCATGGACGTATCACTTCGTTTGCCAGCGCTAGTCAAGCGAAAAGTGACCCGGCAACCAACATAAATGCTCAGGGGCCAAGAAAAATGAAAAAAAAGTTGATAAACGGTTGAGTGGAAAGTAGTAGCACAACGCCGAAGCACACCTCCATGAAGGAAATCATCGACAATATTGAAGTTATTTGAACCTCTTAGCTATTACAGGAAGTTATACTTCGTTCACTATTGGAGTGACTAACCCTAGCTCACGTTTTTCAACTTCAACCAACTTTTCATCCCTCTTCCCCTAAAAATTACAGATTCAACTGTTGTTCAAGTTAGGGCAGGCGATTGTCATCTGGACTTGTTCCTGACAACCCGCCAATCAACAGATACCATTCATCCCCGTGACGCCATACCCTTTTAGGACAAGCGCCCCAGCTCTCTCCAGCTTCGTCCGCCTCCTCGGCTTCTTTCCTTCATCACCAACTGTCGTGTTTCGCTTCGAGGCTTCTTGTAGGTGGCCCTCTTCTTTCTCCAATTAGCTTTCTGTTCATTCTTTGGCTTTCTCCCTTGCCCCTTCTCTTTCTACCATCCTATCCTCTGACCCTGCTTTTCCAATCCCCTTCTTATTTTCTTCCTTTCTAAGCCGTGGCGCCAGCTGCGCATTGCTGGATCTTGTGGGTTATGACTCCATGAATGCATAACAGCATTGGCTCTGGCCAGCCTTCTTCATAATCTCTCTTTGCTACCCGAAATCACCTGCTGCAAAGATGTTCCAACCCCCCTGCCAAGTTTCAGGGCCGACATGTCGCCAGCAGCAGTGTGTTCTTGTCTCTCTCTTTTCCCTGCACCCCTGCCTCTGTTATCCCTCGTGAACTTCCTAGCCGCCGCCATCGCTATTTCGCTCTATGAAGTTACTTGGTCTGATATTGACGAATACCGAATCTTAGCTCATCCTGCGGTTCCCGACGACTCCTTGATTCATCAACGCAGACTGTCGTGCTTGCGCTTTATCCACCTGGGCTTGAGTCCTTGGGTACATCGATACCTTGATCGCAGCTAAGGCGATAGAGTATATCTATCTCGGAAGGTTTAGAACAATGGATTCCTACGATGGGTATGGATCTCCTGGAAGGAACCGTGAATCGGATTCCTTTGCGGGACGCCCTACAGGAGAATCGTACAGACGTCGGTCGCCTGGTAAGTCTATCATTCAATCTTGTTAAAGAGAGGTGGGCGAAATTGACTTTTAACCAGTCTCCCAAGATCGACGACGCGCACGACCGCGCTCCCGCTCGCCCGTGATTGACCGGTACGAACCCTCGGAGCGTCGTTCTCACCGAGAAGACTTTTACAATAATTCTCGGGAGCATGCTGCCCGAGAACGCGAGGACCGCCGACGTGCTCCCTCGCCAACTGTGGCAAACATCGACCGCTACGTGCCTGGACAAGATGGCGCCGGTGGCGGCAATCGTCCTATCCATACCAACCCGATGCCCAACCCTCTTACACTGGATTTCCAAGTCGGATTCAATTGGTTTGCTGAGTGGTGGAGATTGGAGGAATCCGTGAACGAGGAAAAAGAGCGCGCCAAGAATGGCGGTCGTCGAGTCAAGGGAGAGCGTGAGGCGCGCGAGGATCGCGAGAAAGAACGCGCGCAAATCCAGGAAGCTTATGATACCTACAAGGTTGATCTGCAAATTCGACTGGCCAGACTGTTTGTTCAGCAGCACCGGAACGAGGAGTGGTTCAAAGAACGCTACGTTCCTGAAGTCAGAGATCCTCTTCGCGCCCGTCTGATGTCGGTTCGACAGGGTGCATATGAACAGTGGGAGCATGATATTGAAAATAACCTTTTCAAAGACTTCACTCTTGAAGGCATCTACAAGAGCGATAGCGATGGTGCCGGTGGTGTGGTCGAAAAGGAGGAAGGTGAGACTACGGCTACCGCTGAGACCATGGGAGTACTCGACCTACTTCCAGTACGTGGTGGAGACCTTCGTGACGAAGCCCTTGCGCAGCCTGCGCTCCTTATTAAAACCCTCGCACCAAACGTTAGTCGCAGCAAGATCGAGGAGTTCTGCAAAGAGCATCTCGGAGAGGAAGATGGAGGCTTCAAGGGGCTCAGCCTCAGCGACCCAAACCCCTCCAAGAAGTTCCATCGCATGGGTTGGATCATGTTGCACCCTTCTACAAACACCAGCACAGTGGAGCGGGGAGATGGACGAGACGAAGAATTCGAAAATATGGACCATGATGGAGGTGTTAACGGTGGTGTCACAACCAACCCAGCTGAGAAGGCTCTCGAGGCCGTTAATGACAAGACCATCCATGATTCTGTCCATGGTGACTTTGTTTGCCATGTTGGAGTCCATGTTCCCCCGGCTCAACCGCGCAAGAAGGCTCTTTGGGATCTGTTCTCCGCGCCTGAGCGAATTGATCGTGACCTCGAGCTGGCCAAACGTTTAACTGCCAAGTTGGACTCCGAGATGAATATCACTGTGGATGGTTTCACTAAAATCGAAGAGTATGTTGACGACCTTCGCGGCAAAGGTGAGCTCCAGCCCCCTGCTACGGGACCGGTCAGTGCCAAGAAGCAGAGAAACGGATATAGCGATGAAGGAGATGAAGGAGATGAAGGAGAGGAAGGAGATGAAGGAGAGATTGAGGAAGGCGAAGAGAAGGAAATTCTAGACGAGGAAGAAGTTGATGATGAGGAACTTGCAGTCAAGAAGAAGAAGCTGGACTTGGTTGTTGAATACCTGCGCCGGGTCTACAACTTCTGCTTCTTCTGTGTGTTTGAAAGTGACTCAGTCCATGAACTTGGCCGTAAGTGCCCTGGCGGACACCTTCGTCGTCCGCGCACCGGACTTTCCACCCAAGCCAAGGAGGTGGCCCGAGCCAGTGCTCTTGGCCAGCCATTCCCGGCGAAGAAGAAGGAACCTAGCGAGGAAGGAGAAGACCTTTCTTCGCCTGTCCAAGAGAAGCGCGGACAGCGTCATGGCTCTAAGTCTGAGCAGCAACTTCAGCGTGCTTTCAACTGGGTGAAGACCTTTGAAGACAAGTTGCTGCAGATTCTGGAGCCAGAGAATGTCGATCTCAGCAAGCTTGGCGGCAAGCCCGTTGACCAGGCGCTTGAGGATGAACTTCTGAAGTACATGAAGCAGGAAGATGACTCCAAGTACCGGTGCAAGGCGCCTGAATGTACCAAGCTCTTCAAGGCCGAAGCCTTTTGGCGCAAGCACGTCGAGAAGCGTCATACAGAGTGGTTTGAGGGCATCAAGAAAGATGTAAGTGGGCAACCATTCGACAATGATTGAGTGTACTAACAGTCCTCGTAGCTTGCATTAGTGAATGCCTATGTCTTGGACCCAGCACGCATTGCCCCATCCCGATCGGATGCCAACAGCAACGGCCACTTCCCACTCGGTGGACAAGGCCACACCGGCACTCCTCGTGGATTTAGCCTTGCCAGCATGCCCTACGCCCCCAATGGAAACATGCCTACCTTCTCTCCAGGTGGAATGCCTGGCATGATGGGTTCACACGCAGGCGGGTGGAGTGGAAACGCAATGGGACACGACGGCGGTCTGCACCAGCCCGGACCCATGCGTCGCGGACAGAACCGCAACAACCGGCCTGGCCCGTATGACCGTCGCCGATTCAACGGCAACGGCCGACTGAGTCCTCCCCGCGGTATGCCCGGCATGTATGGTGGTGGTCGTCTCCCGCCTCCTGGTGTCAGCATTCCAGCTGGTCATCCCGCAGCCAATATGGCCGCCGGCAACCCGTTCCCAGACTCCATGGGTTCCAATGGAGGTCCCATGGCGCCGCGCGAAGCCGTCCAGGGCCGCAGCCTGAAGAGCTATGAAGATCTAGATGCGGTCGACGCATCAGGCAGCGGCGAACTGCAGTACTAGTTGCCTCCCTTGATTTGATCTCACTTTTCTTATCTTTTTTATTTCCTTCCTCCAATTGGCGACCTGGCGCATCGGAGGGGACCATCGGAGAATCTGCTTCAACTTGCTCATTTATTGAACTCAATCATTTCCATTGATCTCTCCTTGTTTCTCATTATCGTCCCCAACGGAATCTTCTTCTCTTTGTCATTTCCAGCATGTACAATAACACTTCTTCTATCAAAATAAGGAATCGAAGATTCAAAATTATGAAATGACATTATTGCCATGCAATGCGTATTGGGTATAGATGTTAGTTTTATGCATAATTTACAATTTCCAACCAAATATTCAAGACTCGCTCACTCAATCCCGAAATTAAACACACCATGTCCTATGGCATCTGAATAACAACATCCTCCCCCGCATCCCGCCACTGAACACCCATCCCACGAATCCGCCGCTCACTCGCCAAGAAGAGTAGAAGGTAGACGTGCATAGCGACCTCACCCCACGCATAGACTTTAAGAGAGACGTGCATGTCAGACGAGATCGTTGACGGGGCTGGCGTCGCAGCCTCGAGAATACACCAGACGCCCCAGCCCGCGCGGCCGTCCCTGCCTACGAAGTCCGAGAGAAAGGACCAGAAGGCATGGAAGAACGGGGAGGGCCAGGATCGTAGGTTCTCTTTTGGCTTTGCGTTGGGAGTAAGACTTGTAGTTCCAGGCTTGAGGCCTGGGGTTGAGGTTGGGGTTGGGTCTGTAAGAAGATCGGGTGGATCTCGATTCTGGTGTTGGGGTGGTTCGATAGCGAAATGCATAAACCAGTAGCCCCGTTCTAGGGGGTCGAGGGGACGGGATTGGGTGGATGGTTTGTAGGTGCGTGCTGGGTTAAGGCGCTCTGTGAGCATGGATAGGGTTGGGGTTATGTGGGTAGTGAAAGGGGAAGTGGAGATTGGGGGTCTTGGGGGATGGATCTCGAAGGGTAAAGTGGAAAGAGTGATAGGATTAGGGGGGTTGGCGTTTGCAGGAATGGGAAGCGAGGGCGTAGCAGGGTGTGTGATGGATTCACCTGGGCGTTCTTCGTCTTGAGCTGAGCTGGATATTTCGATGGGGGTTTGTGGGAAACTAGTGGGGTTGTTCTGGAAGAGGGTCACGCTATGAGATACAGCGGGCTGGTTCGCTGGAGGAGTTGGAATTGGTGTTTCATGTGCAATTAAAACCGGGTTCGCCGGATCAGGCGAGGCCGGGGCTGTGCGACGTCGTTTACGAGGTGGAGGTGGAGCAAGCTGTGATGGAGGCGATAGTGCTGCATAAGATGTCTCGGCATGGACTAGTCCCTGGGCGATCTCTGGCTGGGAATCTGGAATGACACTGATTAGACTCCCGAGGGAGTCTCGGGAGTCTGAATGATTTGAGATGATATGCTCGCGTGGAGTGACGCCATCCCTTTCAAGGACCGAAAGAGGATCCGAAGATAGGGTGATGTATGCGGGCCGTAACGCCTCCCGCAATATTGGCAAAGCCTCGTGTTGAGTCGTCCAAGGCACCGAGGAATGCACGGCGGCATCGGCGGAGAAGGGATGCGGGTGATCTCGATCGGGACCTGGAGAATTGCTCTCCATCAGTGGCTGGCGTGACGCACACTGGAATTCCAGAATAGCGGCAACCTGGGCCCAATAGCGTGCATCATCTTGAGCGGTACTCGCGGCGCCAATGTGCACTAGAATCTCGTGAGAGTCGGGGATCTGGATCTCGTAGATGTCCATTTTTTCCCTAGAAGCGCCCATTGTGATACTCCGTATTAGGTGGGCATTAATGGGATCAGGGCAGACGCCCAATGATCGTATTATTTGTCAAAGTCAAGGATATCCCCGATCTCTCGAATATAGGAGGAGACTATTGGATGCATCATGGAAGGTCTCCAGTGGCTGTTGGACGAATATGATTGGTCAGCATGTTCGACTGATCACACCTATAAACCTTGCATGTACCTGATACTTGCATGGTACTTGCCTTGTGGCGCTAAAGTGGCTGTTAGAGACTGTACCACCCATGTACTGTCCATGTGGTAGGAGTTCCCACTCTTCACCAAACGCTGCAAAGTCCAAGTGTTGATTAATTTTTTCCCCCTCTGTTTTCTGCCTATTCTTGTATGTTTTTCAAATGTTTTTCAAATGTTTTTCATGTATATTCCAGGCTATACCGGGTTATACCAATTCTGTGTGTTTTATATCTAGTCTCTAGGTATCTATATATTACTCTCTACGGGGTTGACCGTTTGATTTGCAGTGGAGCCCCTAAGACAGATCGAACGCCTTTTCTATTTCATAAATCAATTAAGAATATAAGAAAATAAAAAGTAATTTAAAAAAATGAAACGAAATAAAACAGCTGACAAGTTAAAAAAAAAGGAGTTGTACAAAAATCGGCTCCATCACCAATCCACCTTTCCTTTATATTATACTCCAATCTACAACATACAAGATCTTCCTTCACGACCTTCTCAAACTTAAACATTCCTAAACTCTCATGGCTCTCAGCGGTGGGGTATACCCAATGGATCACGCGATGGGGTATTCTGGTGAGTTCCTTCTTTTCTTTGATCTACTTGGGTTTCGCGACGGTTTCGCGATCGGGGGGTATCCAGCACCCCACAGCTCTACAACCCACAACATATACCAAGATGCATGGGTTGAATTCAACTTGTGTGCAAGCTGGTGAATCTGGACTTGGTGAAGCTTGAGGGGAATTGCAGCCATGACGGGTTTCCCCGGTTATCGCCACCCGGGAAGCTATCCAGAGTTGATCAATCTCTCCCCGCCGGCCCCGATACCCCCCCCCCCCCAACCAGAAGCAAATATCCACTGTTTTATCACATCTCGATGGCTGACATTATGGCGCCAATGCTCCTCCGGCTTGGCCCACGGCCCCGGAGTGCACGGTGCAGGATACGGTAGAAGAACCACAGACCCCATCGAACAAAGGCTTCGGAGCTGAAATATTCAAGATCTTCGGAGGAGGCGGCAGTGGCAGCATTGCTAGTGGTGGTATGAGGAAGACCACGCGAGGTGAGTGATTCCGATCGCTTGATCGGACGACAACTGAATTTTTGCAGATGGTCAGCAGCCCAAACGCCGTGGCCCCAAGCCGGATAGCAAGCCTGCACTCACCAGGCGGCAGGAATTGAACCGTCAGGCCCAAAGGTATTTTTTCCCCCCCGAATTCAATCATCATCGGGCTGGACTGATCCACACAGGACACATCGCGAGCGAAAGGAACGATATATCAGACAAATGGAGGTCGAGGTATCGCGGTTACGGGAGGCCTACACCACCGATATTACAGAAGCCGACGCATCAATTCGACAACACAAAGAGATGCTTCATTCAATGCGATTGGAGAACGAAATCCTGAAAGAAATCCTTGTCGCGAACGGAATCCAATACGAAGCGGATTTAGAGCGCCGCCGGGCGGAACGTCCACCCATGGTGGCTTATCAACCGAGCCCCGTTGCTGTCGCTCCCAGCAGCACTGCGTCGCAGTCTGCCCCTATTGCCCACTCGGCGAGCAACCACAATACCACCCCCGCAACCACGATCTCATCTGGAATGAGTCCCCGCGCCAATGGCATGGACCATCCCGAGGTCTCGGCGCCGATTGGATATGTATCCCAACAGCAAGTGTATCACACGAGTGCAGTCGAGCATTCCATGGGCATGGATCATTCATTGTGCGGGCCCGTTGATACTATGCAGCCCATGCCAGCTACGCAGGGAGGTGTCTTTGAAACGGACCCCCAGTTGCAGGTTGACTTTATCCTAACGTGAGGCCCATTCCAATCTAATAGCAAACTAGACGAGCTAACGAATATATCCATACAGACTCGAAGGCCCTTGCCGCGAACACACAGACTATCTCTGCCGGCGGTCGATCACAGAAGCCGAAGACGAAGACATGCCGTTCTCCGGACACGCCCTGATGGCAACGTGCCCACCGCCTAGCTACATTGCGAAAACGACACACGAACAACCATACCCGCACAAGGCACCGGACCTCCCACACGCAAATCTTAGCACACTACTCAACCTCAGCCGGCAGCTTGTGACAGAAGGACAAATCACGCCTATCATGGCCCTGCAGTGTCTCAAGAACCACGAGCTGTACTCGACGCTTCGGCGTGAGGACGTGAAGATCATCATGGATACTCTCAACACCAAGGTCCGTTGTTACGGTTTCGGCGCTGTAGTCGAGGACTTCGAGTTGATAGATTGTCTGAGCAGTGTGCTCGGCACTAAGGTCGATCTCGGCATGTCCGGCACAGCCGATGACTCGATGTATGGTTGAGCATGGGTCAAATGCAATGAAAATGATTATGATCTGATGTCCGGAAAATCCCTTTGTCTGTGCTGGCTCACTGTCATGGAGTGACTCGGCGCCCTTGCTTGCTGCCTGCCTTTCGGTTTTGATTGTGCCTGTGAAGTACTTCATTTTCAATTCTCTATTTCCTTTATTTTTTTCCCTCTTTCCTTATCAATCTTTTCTTTCGTTTCCGTCTTTGTGACCCCAACTAAGAGGGTTGTATATAAGTGAAAACCACCGAAGGTGGAGATGATATCTTTCCTTTCTTTCTCGCTGCCCACCTGTCAGCCACAGCTCTAGGAGCAACCAATTATATTGCTTTTAATCTTGCTTCCAACAATCTGAGTACACAGCTTCAATGACACTGAGGTTTATATGATACCTAGAACGTAGACGGCCCTCTAGATGCGCATATCCATATCCAAAAAGGAGGATTATACAGACAATCCCTAAACTCGGCAATATTAGACATCCTCAACATGTAGGACCGCGAAAGCCTATAGAGCCACCGAGAAGGCACCCAAGATTTTCCTTGTGGCCTCCGAGAAAGTCGTACAAAAGTTAGTCCATCGTGATCCTCGACACCTTTTGACATCTTTACGTCCCCAAGCAACCCATACCTAATGGAACCCCATTATCAAAATCAATCATTATTGGAGCCTGTAGAATAATTTGCGTAACAGGCTTATTAATCTGGGGATATGTCAAAAAAGCAAGACGATTTGCCCGCGGACGCAGAATTCTGTAGTTATTCTAGTTGATATATGAAATTTGTCTGGAAAATGAAGTGTATAGAATGGATTATTGGTCAGACTCTATAGTCAAGAGTATAAAAGCATCAAATTTTAGGTCGAGTACGTATGCACATTCGAGGAACATAAGTCATCAGAAAAAAATCTACTCATCAGCTTCATCGGACTTGTCATCCGACTTCTCCTCCTCAATCTCCTCATCCTCCTCCTCGAAAGTAGTAGCAGGGACGCTGTACAGACGCAGGACAGACTTGTTAGGGTCCTTGATGAGGACGTACTTCTTGAGCTTCTCGGCGGGCTCGTCGGAGTCAAGAGCACGGATACGGTCAACAATAGTACGGACGATACCCCAACCGTTACCGAGGTTAAGGTTCATCTGGGAAGCGAACTCGCGGGGCTTGTAGCCAGCAACGCCGAGAACGACGTGGGCGGCAGGAGAGCGGGGGTTGACACGGGAGACGAAGCCGAGCTTCATGCCGTCGGCCTTGGCCAGGATAGCCTGGGTAGTCCAGCGGGCGAGCTTGGCGCTGTTGTTCTTCATCTCGGTAGCGAGGACGGCACCACGCTGGGAGTTGAGCTTGCTGCGCCAGTCGAGGGCACCGCCGGAGCCCTGGGCCTTGGGGTCGAACTCGTTGAGGGCCTTGATGATGAGCTGCTGGTCCTCGGTTCCGGTGGGGCCGCCCTTCACAACAGCGTCGACCTCTGTACGGACGATCATAGAGACGGGCTCCTCGTCGCGCTCGAGGGAGATATCGAAGCGGCGGTACTTGTAACCCTTGGAGGCGAGGGGCTCGGTCTCCTCGGTCTCGTCGTAGAAGGGGTTGGGCTTGGAGAAGGAAACCTTGGACTTGTCGGACTCGATCAGAGTCTGCAGGGCGAAGTTGTGGTTGATGATGGTGGCCTCCATGGCGAGGGCGTTGGGGGTGTTAATCTGCTCCTGCTTGCCGGCAGCCTCGGCAGCCTCGAGGGGCGCATCAATGGCGTTCTCGTTGACGCTGACCATGTCGAAGGAGGCACCGTCGCGCTTATCGAAGAAGATCTTGTCGCCCTGGTGGACGATGACAATATCCCAAGAGTAGACACTGCGGGTGGCGCACATCAGCATGGACAGGATATCGGAGGTAGCGAAGACGGTAGCGGCGTTCTTCTCGGAGAGCTCGTTGATGACGGGATCCTGGGAGGTGGTGACGTTGTAGGCAGCACGATCGAGGGCCTGCATTCTGCGCTCGGCGTTCTTGACGGGGGGCTTGTCGTAGGACTTGTCGTAGTAGTGGAGGAAACCGTAGGTCTCGAGGTCCTCACCCTCGGGAGCATCGAGGTTCAGTTTAGACAGACGGGTGAAGTCAACTTCCTCGAGCATAGTCCAGTCAGGACGAATGTTGACAGAGGCCTCACGGATGCGCTGTGGCTTGTCGTAATCTCTCCAGCCGAAACGACGGCCACCACGGCCACCACGAGCACCGCCACGGTCACTGAATTGGTAACCACTCTGCTGACCACGGCTAACATTAGGACCAGCACGCTGGAAGCCACCACGTCCACCACGCTGGTTGGCAGCACCGCGCTGACCACCACGGCCACGGAAGACGGTACCACCGCCACGGCCGAAGCCGCGCTTCTGGACACGAGTGTTATCAACGACGGAGAACGAGGATTCGTCCTCGGCGGCTGCGACAGTGAACAGGTTGGAGGTACCGGCGCCGTACACCTGCTGGTCTGTTTGAACTGTTAGCTATTGCAATTCGACTGAAAAGGCCGTTGGTGGGGACAGAGAAAAGGTGAAAAGGAACATACCTCTGAAACCACGGTTGTACTGGGGGCGCTGGTTTTGACGCTCCTTGGTCTCGGCAGTCCAGTCGGCCATGCGGCCCAGCTTGTCGCCCTTAGAGAAAGGAGCGTATGGCACACCGGAAAGCATGTTATTATCGGCAGAGGTGGAGGGGCCCCAGGTGTCCTCCGAGGGGAGGGCGGCCACCAGGTCGGCAAGAGAAGTGGTAGGCATTTTGATTATGATCTATGTGCAATTTGCGCTGGGCAACTGCTCAAAAATCAAGAAAGGTAGAGGGGTGGGTGATCGATAAACCCCGGGGAATGTGGTGTGGATTAATTGAGGCGGGAAGTTTTTTGTGTCGCGAGGATGTGGCGGTGTGGACAAAGCGCACCGCCACACGTGCACCGCCACATGTTTCCATATCAGCCCTGGTCACTTTGTGTTCATCTTCGTTATGACTGGAATAGATTTTGATCTGAATTTCAGGAGATATTTGAGAGATATTGAAATCCCATAAGGTTTATGACCATGGCTGATGACGATCCATTATATCCTGACTCTAAAGCTCGGCGCCTTATCCTTTCTAGTTTCTCGGCACAGCATCGAATTGATAATTATTGACAATTATCGAACCCTCTCAAAGGTATGACGAGATAGTTCGAAGAAGATGACCTCGAGTTTCAGGTGACAGACCAAACTAAGGCACAACGCCGATATCTGCTTCCAGTGTTGGTCAAATGCGTTCACGTAACTCATTCAGACACACTTATCAAGATCATCATGAACCACGACGACAATCAGAGAAAGCCAGCACCTACACAACCTCAAGTGATCCAATGAAGTGCAATGGTCAAACCGATCGACTGCGCCGAGATCGAAGTTTACCAATACCTTGGGATTATCACAATATCCCTATCCTCTTGGTGCCCGCGAGCTAGTTCAACATTGTGCAATCAACGATGCGAAACTTATCTGAAATGTCTCGCTTTGCTCTACCGCAGTATGCGCTCGAACGGGAGGGAAATAACAAATCATAATTTAGGGACACCCATGGATACAATTTCAGACTGCGGAGACTATGGATGACACTATGAAGCACATATTTGCTTTTTTTTAAATGTATCAATTGAATTCTGAGGCTGGTTGATAGTGTTGACTGGAGGAAATGGGCTCCAGTTCCTTACGGTGGATCGACATCTCGGCAATTCTGATTCGATACTACAAGGCAGATCATCCCGGAAACTGGGTCCACTGATAAGGAACTCCCCCATCTGGAGAAATAGAAAGGCAATAACGGGGGTTTGCTCCGCTGGCTATTGGTCTCGTACATTGACTTGGCATTGACTTGCAACCAGTGACTTTAAGTCATTCGATAATATTGAGCATGGACCATCAGTGATCGACAGCCAAGACAGCTCGCTTGGAACTCATCTGGCTCATGTATGTGCACATCATGAACTATGTCAGATTCAATTCAAGGAACCGGTCACTTTTTCAGGAACGGGAACTGCTGTTCCAGCACCTCTGTACCTCGGTTCGGGGCCCAATCCTCTCAATTGACCTCTTATATTGCGGCTAAATGCTATCTAGAGTTTTTTTTAGATCGTCTTGCCCGCCGAGATTGGAACGACTCGGAGAATTCATGTCTACGACTTACAAACGGAGCTTTTCACAAACCCACCCAAATGATAAGGATACTCAATTTTTGGAAATAGGGTGGTGTCAGGAGCAATTGATGCCTTGGGTGTCTTGTCGCGAAAGCTATATAAGGATCAGGATATTCCACGGATTCAAGACATCATCCACGATCACAATCCTTTCTTCATCACAAAGACAACTACTTCTCCCTTCTTCGAACGATAAGCTCAAAAAAAAAATCCATCAAAATGAGACTCTCTATCCTCTCCGTCCTCTCTCTCGTTGGTGCCGGCATGGTATCTGCTCTTCCCCAGGAGTCTAACCTCTCCTTGAAGCGCTCCGAGTCTACCGAAAGCCATAAGCCTGATACCTCGGAATGCGTCGGCACCCTCCTCTGCTGTGGAACTCTCACCACTCCTCTCGACCCCGTTGTCGACCCCCTTTTGTTAGCTCTTGGCATTGATGCTGCCAGCATCGTTGGATCAATTGGTCTTCTCTGTATGTTTTGACTCGCTCAGGTTATTTAAAATAGGAATTGTTCTAACATTTCTCACAGGCCATGGGTACGAGAAACACAGCTGTGACACCGAGCCCCAGTGCTGCACCGAGGCTAACATCCTGGTAAGTGATAATCTTCAACCCAGACTCTTCCGTAGAGATTCCATGACTAACTGATCTTTAGGGCGGCACTCTTGCCCTCGGATGTGCGGATTTGAAGAAATAGATCCAGTTTGATGAGACTGTCGACACGTACATATATGTTGTCTCTAAGCGAATTTCATATGTCTGGTTACCAACTGAGGATGTACAGCTGGGCATTCTTTCCCAGGGGATGAAGTCCTCTTCTAATTTCTCTAATAGCAATGAATTTCTACTCAAATTGATACCTGTCAGAGTTGTAGGCGTTTCAATGTCGACCAAAACTTGGGATCTATCCACTCATGATTTACAAGAATAGCTGGCTGCTTATGCAGCCCTGTGAAGTCATTTTGATAGTCATTCCATATGCCTATCCATATGAAAGTCGAATCACCGCTAATGATAATAAGCACGCATTTTTACGACAAGGAAGCTGTGATGATCGTGAGCCATCGTGGCTCTTGATAACCCTGTACTCATTTACGATCTAGCCCTATGTGGTCTCGTGGCTTTCACACAGGGAGAACCAAGACACCCTGTTGATATGTAGTTTCGGGCCATTTCGCTCGATTTTTGATGATTCGATAGAACCATGATAGCAGGAAACTCAGTAAGCCATTTACTAGTCTTAGTTTCCACATTACCTCCAAGGGCCAGGGGCTGAATATGGTCGTCATGTTCTCTTTTGTTGGACAGAACAAGAGATCGACCTTGTCCACTACCATGGAGCATATCCAGAGCCTTTCTGGGCTATAAGCCTGTCTATCTGAACTGATATGCGCTATAGCCTCTCCTGTATCGCGTTGATTTCTATATAAAGATCATATTCCCGCGGTGATGTTAAAGTTCCGACCTCATTAAATCTCATAATACCATCATCACAATATCAGCACACGCGAGCTTTCAACGTGAGTAATCAGCTTCCAAAATATTTCTGTGGATCTTGCCTCATACTTTGATAGTACAGAATGTGTTACCATCCTGAAGGCCCTGTCATATTTAAATGTGGACACACTCTGCCACAAGGCACTACGGTCCCACATCCTGACTGTAACAACTGTGGTGTGATCAACAGAACTGTGGCAGCCGCCAGCACCACCAATCGCAAGTTCAATTGCCCGCCGTGCGGTAACAAGCTCAATGCTTACGCACTTCCCGGCCAAGATTTCCAAGGCCACTTGCTTACTGTATACAGTGATGACTATCGTCTGTTCCTGCCGCGGAACTTTGATGCAGGTCAATTTCCACCGAATTCCAAATAGGGTACCTTGCCCTTAGCATCGCTAAGGTTCTATTAGCGTTCCAAGGTTGCTACGGTGGATCTCTTAAGTTATGGGGTAGCGGCACGGGAACGGATCTGATTGTGGACTGCGCACCAACTATATTCTTTCATTTGCAGTAGTACATGCCCGAGTAGTTGGCAGTATAAGTAAAAGTCGCCTGTGCCTTACACTCAACTTCTGCATCTATACTTGAATTCAGCGCAGTCAAACACTCGTTTTTTGGTTTGTTGTGGCAAGGGTGAGGTCCGAGGGAGTACTGTGGATTCCGGTTTGAGTGAGCCCACGTGATAACTCTCATATAACTTATTGTCAGAAATACGGCATGTATTACTGGGTAAAAACAGCTAGATATATTATGTGACAGCCAGTACTTGGTATACCCTAGGTACAAAAAGTGTATTAGAGCTAGTCAGCAAGCCGCATAACAGATTGTCAAAATGCGGATTTTTATCATATTTTATTAGTTAGAATTACATATATTTGATTACCTTACCATACCTTGTTTTTATCACATTTTCTGTCAGTTAGAATGGGAAGCGGGGCGCTTAAATATGAATGCATAGTACGAAGACTTATAGGACTCAGGTTTCAAAACCCCTTCTGGGGGTGGGAATTAATGCCTGAGTGCCTTATTTAGCACCGCCTTTTAGGAGTATTACAAGTAATTTATAGAACAGCATGGCACGTGATGACACATTTCAATACGATTCAGTACTTGAAACTGAGCCATAAATAAATAGATTAGCATGTTTCGGATTAGGGTTCGAGAAAGATCTTACGAGAGCAAAGTGGTGAAACTGATTTCGATCCATCCTGTATGAGGCTTAGATTGCTGGGATAAAGAATTGCTTTAACAATCTGAATCTCAATTTTGGCGTTATCTTTAGGCATGGTGATAGAGAAATTGATGGTTGAATGTGTGAGGTTGAATTCTGGAAAAAATTGCAAGGCCCGGTTAGATTGTTGCAACAGATTCGGGCGCACTGTATCCGTAGGAGTTTATTCAAGTTTGAGAAGAAAGCACGTCACGATCATCAGCATCACCAGCAGCAAATTCGGTGGCATAGCGCTTCGTATCCTTCATAACCCAATCAATATATCCGCGAATCCAATACTCGTACCCTTGAACAAGGCCGCAAAGCTGTGGACTAGCAGATAGCAAGATCTTGTGAGACAGTCGCTTAAAGCTTATAATCTCTGCTTTTACCCGCTCAGCTGTATAGTCGACGCTTTCCTGTAATGTATATCCGGAGCCCGCATACGTGCCCACCATGTTCCAAAACTGACCCGGTTGACGCATCTCAATACCCAGGCTCTGGATATCATTACTCCAACAGACAATATTATTCGCGTGACGACAAAGCCTTTGAACATCAGGGTGATAATATTCATCAGGACCAACGGCTCCAATGTTTGCTGCATCTGATAGTGCGAGACAAGGGTTCATCCCGCTCGTATGGCGGCGAATTGTTTCGTATTGACGAATTCCCACTGGTTTATCTTGCAGATGACTGAGTATCTGCAGAGCTGCCGTAGTTGACCACAAACGCATCCCTTGAGCAAAACGTTCAAAATTCTCTGCTGCTAATAGCCGGCGGAGTTGTTTACAAACATCAAGCCAAGCCAGTTCACCGTAAACAGGCTTTTGGCTTGCACAGTTGAAGTCCAGCACGTCGATCATTGCGGTGAGGTTGCGCAGCGTATCAGGGCTCACCTTCTCAACTCGATCAACGAACAAGTCATCGGCGAGAAAGAACCATACAAAATAGTTGGCGATTGTTTGTAACAACTCAGGGCTGGCGTTTGGATAGCAACGCGCGGCAAGCCAAGCGTAACGTGTACGTTTGACCCGCTCTTTATATGCTGTTTGGTTGGGAAACAATTCATATCTTTCTGCCCATTCCAACATACGAGTTTCAATAAGTTCCACGTTTGGTGAGATTCTCTCAGGCCATGGCAGTTCGAATGTTGGAATTCGAAGCGAGGTGAACTCGATTTCAGCAATTATATTACCCATAATTGAGATTCTTTCAATATACAAAAGTAATCAGATTGGTTTGACAAAAATGGCGAATTCTTGTGGTCGGTAATTGATAATGCCCAGCAAGATGCACTGTGGCTTCAAACCAGTCAGCTTTGCATAAGAAATTGATTTGAAACTGATATTGTCTGAAGACAGTATCCCTTTATTACCACAGGCAATCTGAACATACAAGGCTGAGGTCACTATGCCTCGGTAGAAATGGGGGTGTACAAAATCTGGGATAGCTAGGTAAATAGATATATCTTTCGGGTACTTTAAGTGGGGAGGCTTGGAATTTTATTATTTATCTTAAATACTTCTCCCTTTCGGTCCCCCATCAGATCAAAAGCGAGAGAATACGATGTTGCTGTGGCGCTCAGATATGGTCGTGTAACAATTGCGCAGTTCCATGTCATCGCGCATGAGATGAGATTATAGCTAATGTGAGCCGACACGATCAATAGATTAGCGCATCAATCCCCAGCACATGTTTCTTGGGATTTATAGTAAGGAAGCAGCACGTTTTTTTCCGTTGGTAAATCAGCCTACAAGGAGATTACTTGTGCCGATAGCAAGGATAAGCTTAGTCTATGCAAGCAAAGGGCATAGAAAGACCTGGCACATTCCGCAGAGCATTCCAAGATAAAATGAAGCACTTTTTCTTTGCCTGGAAAAATATGTGTTATCTGCTCATTAGAACACACTTGGAGATCATAGCGAAGTACGTCGTCAGCTGATTCGAAGCGGTGTTGATAGCCCAAGTCTTCCAGCAACAGATATAGAACTTTGGTACAGAAAGATAATCGAGGCGATACACTTTAAGACTTAATTTGTTCCCATAAAAGTGGAGATCAATCTAGTGTTCTCGATCTCGCAAATTCCTAGAGTCCATTTAGTACTTGAGTAGGAAGGAGGCGCAAGCAGGCAAGGGACGATGGTACGACAACCATGGTAGCACTGCCAGCCAGGTTCCGATAGCTAACAAACATGGATCAGAATAATGCAATAATCTAGTAATTTACGGTGCAACACCTAGACCGGTGATATAATTAGACTATTCCTAGAATGGTTACGCGTATCCTGGAATTAAGCCCGGGAGTACTGTACCACACAGGGAGGTGGCAGTTGTGGGGAGGTAGGAAGAAGGGTATCCTACGTCCTCTGCGTCAAGACGCTTCTTATCCTTCGTTCTCTGTGCCACAGGACCTAACATAAGATATGGTGGAAGCCGTTTCTCGAAGCGATATGACCATATCTTACTGACTTCATGATTTGAACCCGCGCGTACGAGGGCCCGATTTGCCCATTCTGTGAGCATCTCGGGGGTGACAGGGAGGTGCAAATCACGCATACGGACGATCCATTAGACCAAAGCTTCCTCTTGATACTCATCAAGAGCTTTATTTCTTAGATGTACGGGCGCTACGAGCCTGTTGTCCCTAGGCCTCTGCAAAGCCCATTTCGCTGCATAAATATCATCTTGGCATACATAAAGTAGCTGATTAATGACTGCATTTTACGCATGTTCCAACCTGCATACTCAGTAACATTTAATTATCATGGTAAGAAGTAGGAATTATATAAATATAACACTAATTCTACTATCTTATTAATCAAATCAAATGATTCAAATGTTTGATTTATTTCTTTCTATAACTTGACTTGTAAAGGAAGAAGAAGGTGAAGAAGAGGAAGAATATGACGATTCACGTATAGCTTCAAAATGTTTATATACAGCCTGGATAGTAATCTCAACACCCAAAAAACCAGCAAAAAATGTATTAATTATGCAGTTGCGATAGATTGGTATATTTGTATTGTTTGATAAATAATGGGGGCCTATCATAGGCCTAAACCCTATGGGCTCAAGGTATAAGCCCATAACCCATCGATAGGCCCAAAGGATAGGCCCAAAGCCCAGCCCACTAATGGGTTGGGCTTTGGGCTTTGGGCTTTGAGCTTTGGGCTTTGTGGGCTTTGCAGAGGCCCGCTAGGGCTTGTAGGGACTTCGATAAAAAGGAAACGAAAAAGTCAGAGATTGTGACGGAAGTTTCTTTCCCAGAACAACCGCTACAGTATATACTCTGTCAATTCTTCTTGTCTCCCCCGAACTTCCTGATGAGCCCTTGAATGACACGCTCACCCATCGCAGCCAGACTGGCGGATGCCATGATCTCCAAAACGCTAATATCGAGCCCCAGGGAGGCTTTTAACCAGGACCGCATTTCCACAGCAGCCAAACTGTCAAGTCCGACATCAACGAGGGAGCGAGAAAGGTCGATCTCTGAATCATCATCGACCGGTTTCATGAGAAGGTCGAACACCCATTTTGCAATCTCTTTACCAACGAATTCCGTCGCTGTTGTTTCTGAAAGAATGGCAGAGTCTATAGCAGCCGAAGACATGAAATGCTTGAGTTTGTCTGCCAAAGTCTTCTTCTCGGTAGGCGCAGTGTCAGCGGAATTGCTACAGCAAGCAGTTAGGCGACTATCGAGTATTATTGTCTTTCCACTGGTACCCTCTAGCATGCCGGCGGTGCCTCTAATTCTAGTGATGAATTGCGCTAGGTTCGCGTAATGGCCGTCCTGGGTTTGTGGAGGAAGGCTATGAGATATGGCAACTGTGATGGCGTTGAACAAATCCTTTTGGCTCATGCGAGTACATTCGAGCAATTTGAGTTTATCCAAGATCGCCGGGTTATTGGCGACATGCCCAATACCTTGGACTACACCAATGTCAATGACAGAGGCGGGCAAATGGGAGCGATGGCGAAATTGCACGAACGCATCCATGAAGGTATTCGCAGAGGCATAGTTGGCCTGCCCCGGTATTCCAATAATACCACCCATCGAGCTGAAAAGGAGGAAGAAATCAAGATTTTGGTCCAAGCTTGCCTCGTGCAGATTCCATGTTCCTTGTATCTTTGGTCCAGTGGCAGCGTTCCATTCATCCAATGTCATATTGATCAGCGATGCGTCTTGTAGAACCATAGAGATGTTGGAAATGCCTTTCAATTTGGTGGTGCAAGAAATGGCTCTCTTAACGTCCGATGGGTTGCAGACGCTTCCCTTGACTGCTGTCACGGAACAGCCTTGGCTTTTCAGTTCACGGAAGAGGTTATTATTAGACTCTGCATCGGCGCTTCGGGACAAGAAGATGAGATGTCTGGCACCATGCTCAACCATCCACCTTGCTGTCCCACCACCCAATCCTCCAAGCCCCCCGACGAGGAGGTAAGACGCATCACTTTGGAAGCTCATGGTCTTGGGAGGGCAAACCGCCTCAATAGACGTATTCTGTGAATTGATTGAGACCCTAAGCTTGCCAATATGCTGACCAGTCTGCATGTAGGCAAAGCATTGTTGTAAATCGTTCGCAGAGAACGTCTTCACAGGGGTAATAGGTCGGATATGACCCTGTTTATAAAGGTCTATAATTTTCTTCAACAAACTAGAACACGCAAATGTTAGTGACATACAGGTTAAAGCTGGTAAGAATGTCTCATGATGATTACGTACCGTTTGCTTTCTTCGGGCCTGCACTCAACGTAGTCGATGATGTCGATAACAACGTAGGCCATGTTAGGATGGAAGACATTCATGGGAAGTTGCCCTTGATTGACTGCTGTCCACTTAGCAAGATTGACCAGCTTACCAAACTTGGCGACACATGCACAAGAAGCCTGAAACAAGTCTCCAGAAAGTGAATTTAGAACCAGATCAACTCCGCGCCCATCAGTTGATTTCATGATCCTGTCTGAAAAGGACGAGTCACGCGAATTGAAGACGTGGTCTCGTGGGATACCGTACGATGTCCCAAGGTACTCCACTTTGTCCTCATTACTGACGGTGGCGTATATGATTGCCCCAATCATCTGACTGATTTGGATGGCGGCAAGGCCTACACCACCAGAGGCAGAATGAATGAGAACCGTCTGCACATTGAGTCAGTGGTTTATCTCCCAAATATGACGGCACAAATACCTGGTTCTTTTTCAACTGTCCGACATCGCACAGTCCGTGAATGGCGGTTGCAAACACAAGCGGCATGGCTGCAGCATCCTCGAGCGAAAGGTATTCTGGGATTTTGACACACCGTGATGCTGGAAGTATCACTGACGTCGCAAAGGTTCCAGGACCAAAAGCACATACTCGGTCACCGGGGCAAAGATCCTGAATTTGTGCACCAACTCGGAGCACAATCCCAGCGCCCTCAAGACCCATGACCGTACTCGGTAAATCCAAAATACCCAGAGAGATAAGGATGTCCTTGACGCGTCAGCTTTCTCTAAAGGTACCTAAAGACACAGATACTATGCATACCTTGAAGTTTACTCCAGCAGTGTCCACTTGAATCTCAACCTCATCATCGTTCAATAAATGGCCCTGCTGCTCTGAGTTGACAGTCCATGCCAAGGAGTCAACAATACCAGGTGTGCCGATATCAAGAGATAATCTAGTGTCTTTGATGTTCATATCCGATTCTTGAATCCGCTTTAACTCGTCCTGGACAGAGAATGGAAATAAACGTCCCACATGAACAGTGTCTTCGTGAATCGCATATTCGTATTCGGGGTAGACATTCTCTCCATAGGCCCGATTATGAAACGTTTCAAAAACATCAATGACAAGCCCGATGCTTGTGTACTTGAGAACATCGACCTCGCATGTCGCAAAGTCAATGCCAAATTCAGAGCGAACTGTTCGTGCAATACCGACAGTAGGCGAAAACCGAGGATTTTCACAGTTCATCTGGATCGGTCGGGTCACCCAAAGGACTCCGGAATGCGATCGCTGGATTTCACGTAAGAAAGACTGAAAAGCGGAAAGCCTGCTGCTGATGAGATTGTTGAAGAATGGAGATGCTGTATCAAGAAGAACCATGACATCTTCCCCATCTAGCAAAGGCTGATCAAGTCCCTGAATACTGACTGTATATCCCCTAGAGCGTAATTGTTTCTGCATCTGTGCAGCGATTTCTGATGACGTTATATCAGAAAGTAACGTGATACCTCTTCTCGGAGGGGCCTCGGACAAGCAGGACGGGCTTGCAATCATGAATGCAAGGCTATGAAGCGGTGGTGCTGCATCAAACGCAACGTCGTCGAGGCCATTAAAACCAGTATCCTTCAGGGCTTTATCCCACCGATCAGGCGAGATATAGGGCTCGTCCGTTCTACCATCTAACTCGCCCGTCCACCACCCGGGCAGAACCCCGACAATGAAATTGGCGAATTTGGCCTCCCCGCAAAGCTCCTCCAAGAGTAGTTTGCCCTGCGGATGGAGTAACTTACGAACATTGGTGAGTGTCTCGTGCAGAATTGGTGTGGCGTGTAAGACATTGGCTGCAATGATCAAATCAAAGGACTCTGGTTCGAACCCCTGATCTAAAGGGTCTTTGGTAATGTCAAGCGTTTTGAAAATCATGTTTGAGTGGGAATTGAAACGGTCCTTCGCTGCTGGGAAGAACGCCGCAGAGATATCTGTAAATGTATATGTCGAGTACATTGTCTGAGAAAGAATTTTTGCGGTTGTTCCTCCTGTGCCTGCTCCAATCTCAAGAATTCGCTGATGTGGCTGGTAGTGGCCGAGACAATCAAAGAATGGAGCACGGTCAACCTCGTTTAAGTAGTTGTATAGTTTATATAGAGTATCGTCGCCCATGAGAATTTCTAAAGCTTCGATTTCACCTTTGCACATCGGCACAATGTTGTCTAATACCTTCACCATTGCCTGGGCGCAAGATGCCGCTGGTGTAGCTAGAATCTGGTCAACCAAAGATTCTATGCTTTCCTCGGATGTCGGTTTAGGCTGTCCTTGAAGCCAGTCTTGGTACTTTCGAAGGTGTGGGATACTTGAAGATACCCCCCGAGCATCAAGACGACAGAGAGCCTTTTCAACGCACAGCAAAGTCAAACAGTTTAACAATACCGTATGCTCCGCCCAGTTTGAGGGTGAGTTGATCAGGTCGGCGAGGTTGAGGAATTGTATACTTGGTCTCCAATGTAGTCTTGCCCCAGCTTTAGAATCGCCTTCTGCAAACAGAGGCTGGTTCGCTCCGAGAGGTCGAAGAACGGTGTCTTTGAATCTCAATAAAATATTGCCGTCAGATCCAAACGCCTCACCACAAGCGGTTATCATGTCTTTCTTGGGGGCATCGGCCCAGATCGTGACGTCTAAATCAGAGGCACAATCGTTGATGCTGATTTCCGCAATACTCGTTGGAACAGGCAGTGTCTCGACCTGCCAATCAAATCCTTTGTATATTGCACCGTACAAAGTGTGGAAGAAGGAATCCAGTTGTGTAGGATGTACCGGATAATATGTAGACTCACTCAGCCTAGACACAATCTTTCCAGACACAATATTACTGGTGGTTGAGCAAGAAAGTCTTTCAATGCCTTGAAAAGCTGGCCCAAAACCAACACCACCCCGTTTTAGTGTTTTGTACCAGCTAGAAACGTCGATGTCGCGAGGCAAGTTTTGTTCGTGCTTGTTTTTAGCCAAGGGTAGGTCATGACCCTTGGCTACCTCCCCAGAACAGTGCTCGATCCATTTCACTCCGTTGTGTGAACTGATGGTAAAATTATACCATCTATCGTGACGACGCTTCCACAGCGATGTCACGATCTCTGTCGGATTTGACTCGCTGAGAATCATTGCTGTATCTAGAACCATTCTGCGCACAATGAATCCCGCTGCTGTGGAGCCGACCTGTCTCACGGCCTCTCCAGCCATCATGATATAACCAGCGGCCGGAAAGACAATGTTTCCCGAGACCCTATGATCCCGAAGCCATGTTACATGCTCTAGATAAAGCACATTTCTCCAACTTGGCTCATTGTCTGTACTATCAACCACTCGACTTCCCAAGAGTTCGTGTTTTGGTCCTTTGCGGAATCGCCATTCTTTATTCTGACGGGGCTCGTATAGACTGGAGTAATTGTGCTGCCAGGGATAGGTTGGCACATCCGTGAGGACCTTGGCACTTCGATCTGGGTTGGTGAGCAGGTTGAAATCGAAGGGATACTTCTGCGAGTACATTTGACTAATGGCAGAAAGGAATGACTCGGCACAGTTCTTGTAACGAGCCAGACAAGAAACATAAGCCTGGCTCACTTGGCCCTGGTCTAGTGTTTGGCGGATTGGGCCGGCGAGAGTGGAATGTGGCGAAAGCTCAAGAAATAGAAGCTGACGGCTATCTTGCCCGGCGAGGATATTTTTGAGAGCAGCTTGGAACATAACAGGAGACTCTAGATTTGTCTGCCAGTATTTCGATCCCACAATATCTCCGTCACTCAGTACATCGCCAGTGACCGTTGAGAAAAAGTGGACACCCTGGCACTTTGATTCGACCGCACCACCAAAAAAGGGATCAATCAATGAGTGGTATGTTTCTCCTATAGCCTTCATGTGATGTGAGTGGTACGCAGTATCGCACTTGAGTCGCCGAGCCAGGACTTCTGGTCGTGCCACACTAATTGCCTGCATGGCATGCTCTACTTCGTCGACATCACCAGAGATGGTGACACTAGACGGGGAGTTCTCACAGGCGAGAACCACACCTGGTCTCAAGAATTGATAAACGTCGTCTCTTCCCATCCCAACCGCAGCCATACCTCCGGCTTGTGTCACCTTTCCGGCCACGGCGCCCCGGTAGAAGGCTGAAATCACGGCTTGGCTTGCAGTCAGCCTCCCAGCAGCGTAGGCTGCGGCAAGCTCCCCGGAGGAGTGACCAATGACGGCGTAAGGCATGATGTTGAGCTCGAAAAGGACATCAACAAGTGCGATCTGAAGTGCAGTGCATATCGGCTGCGAATGGGATGATAGATAAAGTTCGCTTGTTCCATTTTCCTTCCCGATTTCATCAATGATAGACCATGCAGGGGCATCTGGTAAATCCTGCAACACCCTATCCATTTCCAAGAGTGATCTTCGAAAGGTGGCATTGCAATGGTAGAGTTTCAGACCCATACCTGGCCATTGAGCGCCCTGGCCCGCAAACACCATGACGATCTTGGGGGCAGTGGAGGGGGTCTTTCCAAATGAAGTTGTAGTAACTGACATGTCGCTGCGTACAATTGATGCTGCCCGGAAAGGCAGGTGTTCCCGCCTCGCACCCATGGTGTACGCAAGATCACGCAGGGAGCCAGGGTTGTCCGTCAGATACGCGAGATTCTGTTGAATCATTGCCTCGAGTGAATCCTGGGTGTTGGCTGAGAAGAGCAGCACTCGTGGTACTGCGACGTTCTCTTCAATCAATGGTGAGCTTGGTGGAGTGAAGTTCTCTGCGGACTCGATAACAACATGCGCATTGACACCCCCCATTCCAAAGCTATTCACACTGGCTCTTATACAGCGGTCTTGAGGCCAAGGGGTTGCCTCCACAGGGACCGTGATTCTCTTGGCCTCGAACGGGATCTTGGGATTTGGGGTATTGAACTTAATATTTGGTGGGATAATGCGATGCTCAACAGCCAATACTGCCTTGATGACTGAGGTGAGCCCCGATGCACCTTCAGAATGTCCGACATTAGGCTTGACCGACCCAATATACACTCCCTTATCCCCGAATGTATTTGCAATTGCTCCTACCTCTATAGGGTCACCGACGGTGGTACCTGTGCCATGACATTCCACAAATGAGGTCTGGGCCAGGTTAGTAATGCCGGCAGCGTGATACGCTTTCTGAATGACATCCTCCTGGGCATCTGCACTAGGGACAGTGAACCCCGCAGACTTTCCATCTGAGTTCACAGCACTGCCCCGAATAACTGCACGTATAGGGTTTCCGTCACGGAGGGCGGCTTCTAATGGCTTAATGTAGATGGCATTAACGGCCTCGCCGCGACCATACCCATCTGCGTTCGCGTCAAATGATTTACAAGACCCATCAGACGAAAGTACGCCCTTTGACGTCATTATCATAGTCATTGTGGGAGTGAGAATAAGATTGTAACCAGCAACAATGGCGGCTGAGCACTCCCCTTTTTCGATTGAAAGGCACGCCTGATGGAGCGCGACAACCGATGAAGAGCAGGCCGTTCGAATACTCAGACTTGGCCCGTGGAGATCATATTCGTACGAGATCCGGTTCGGGATAGCAAAGTCACCTCCAACCATTAGTGGGTACTTGCCTGAGGTTTGTTGATCGTAGGTGAGACTTTCGGTCCAGTCATCGCCAAACGAGCCCACAAAACATCCAATATCTCGTCCTCGGTAATCAACCTCTCCGGCACTTTCAAAGCACTCCCGGACCACTTCTAGCAGCTGACGTTGCTGAGGATCGATATATTCCAGTTCGAGTTTTGTAAAGCTGAAGAAGCTAGTGTCGAGGGTTCCAAGGTCGACAGATTCATCCAGGAAATACCCGTACTCCGATTTCGTTGTTCCGTGCCTTCCCGATTTGGAATGGTAGCTCGAAACGTTGTACCGAGTATTTGGAACTCGTGACCTGGCATCTCCTTTGGCAAGAAGAAATTCCCAGAGCTGGGTATCGTTGGAAATTCCACCCGGTAATCTCATGGCCATACCGCAAATGGCGATTGGGTTGGAGGTACCAGACAGAGGATCATGCATCTACATATTCCAATTGAGTTATTGTCAGGAACAAAGAGTCTTGAGCAGGAAATACGTACGCTGGTAGATATATTGGAAGATTCTGTAGAGAAATCCACTGACTTAGTCTTTGGTTTTGTACTTTTTCGGAGTGCGTTAAGAAGTAGATTTAATTTCAAGATTGTCAGATAAGTATAGTAAGCCCGAGATATGCAGATATTGAAGATACTAAGGCCTAAACTTTGGAATAGATCTAGCTTAGTCACACACTGTTATAGAGAACGCGCACGCTTTGGACATTGCCTACCTGCCATCAGTGTTCCCCACTCTGCACTACTGTCATGAAAACAAGTACGCTATTTCATATGTAATAAAACTATTCACACCGTGCGTGTTTGGGTATCCATAATACGAGAATTGGACTTCATACAGCTGCAGAAGGAACATCGAAGATAATGAAAACCTACGCATCCTGTAATTTTGAGGACCTAGGCCAGGAATATATGTCAGAAATATGGTGGATCAGCATGTGGATGGGTATTTACCCAGAATATCTTACGAACATCAACCCTGGAATATCACACACCTTACATAAACGTGCATATTGCTCTTTTTCAGCATGTCCTACACGACTGTCAAGTTAATAGTTTTTAGAGAGTTTGATATTGCCATTCTGGAACCCATAAAACATTGGTCACTAGTTTTTATCAATGTACTCAAGGGACGTATTGGACAGACTGAGAATATGGGATAGAAGAATTTTGAGGTAACTAGACTGGATCTAGTAGATCGTAACTGGCAGCAAGAAGATATAAAATACTAACTCCGTTGTAGTACAGCAATGTCGCAAGGATAGGCTAACTTCATCCGCCATAGCGTTCCCCACCGCAACTCCTTTGATTGGCTGGGTAAGGTGAACACTGCCTTTTGTAACCCCACTGTTTTTCCTGTTTCTTCAGCGCCTTCATGGAAATGAAGCTGTGTAACTGATCTGCACGCTATCAGGCGCACAGTAAAGTATATACCAGTTTACAATGGCAAGAAATGCTCCAGGGCTGCGGTGTTGGAAAGTATGATTGGCATCTCATAACCCTCAATTAGGTCATCTCCACCAGCATATATTGTATCACACAGAAGAGGGGCTGATATGCTTGGATTATGGCACCCTCATGAGCAGTCTTACAGAAAGTCATTTGCTCTACAGAAGGGGACAGATGATACTTCAACCTTTATCCACTGTGAGATAAATACCAATCAGCAACATCCTAGCCTCCTAAGTCGCGATGCCAAAAAGGTTTCGAGTCGTTGTGATAGGCAGTTCTATCGCTGGTTTAACCTTCGCCCACTGCCTCGATCACGCTGGGATTGACTACATAATCCTAGAAAAACACGAAGATCCTGAAACGAATCTGGGAGGCTTCATTGCAGTCTTGCCCAACGGGGCTTGTATTCTTGACCAACTAGGACTTCATGATGAGGTGAAATCTGCTAGTGAGCCAATTAGAGCGGCTCATATTACTTACCCGGGCGGGTTTAGCCTCACGCAATGGTGGCCTAGTTCTATCAGCCAAAGGCAAGTACATAGAAAAGATATATTGGAACGAGCAATTTCTAACCGTCATCTGCAGGCTAGGGTATCCCTTTTCTATTATCACTCGCCCACAATTCCTCCGCATACTGTACGAAAATTTGAGAGACAAGTCGAAAGTTCATGTGAATAAAAAAGTGGTCAGCATTCACACGGCACATTCTGGAGTATCTGTGTTTACAGCAGACGGCGGCACATATTACGGTGATTTGGTTGTGGGTGCAGATGGTGTTCACAGCATAACACGTTCAGAAATGTTGAGAATTTCCAGAACTGAACAACTGAGTCAAGCCAATAAGGAAATGAGCAGTAAGTTGTCTTCCTACCCATCAGGTCAAAGTAATTGATTATGAAGTGGGTAGGTTTTTTTGCGGATTATAGATGCGTGTTCGGCGTTTCAAACCCAGTCTCCGGTATTCTACCTGGAGAGCAAGCAATCAGATGCTGTGATGGGTTAACAATTTTTGCCTTTGGGGGAAGGAATGGCTTAGTTGGTTGGTTTGTGGTGCAAAAGCTGGATCAAAGACATTACTATCCAAACGTTCCTCGGTATTCACAGGCCGATGCTATTACCTTGTGCGGGCATCTCATCAGTGTAAATGTCTGGAAAGAGACAAAATTTGGTGATATCTGGGAGAGGAGGAGGTCATTGATGATGACTGCTTTGGAGGAGGGTATTCTACGAACTTGGCACCACGGTCGTATTGTGTGCATCGGTGATAGCATCAATAAGGTAGAGTTTTTCACCTTGGTAAATTACAGTGACATCTGATTACTGATATTTCGGCTCTAGATGACCCCATATATGGCTCAAGGTGCTAACATGGCAATTGAGAGTGCTGCAGCGTTAGCGAATAAGTTGCATCACCTGTTACAGTCCAAGCGCCAAGAGAGCCCCTCGGAAGCGCAGATTATCAGTATGCTTGAGACCTTCTCTCGCACCCACTATACGCGAACAAGGATAATAAACTTCCTTTCCCAAGCTGTGACTCGTATGCTTGCGCGAGACGGAGTTATTAGCACTTTTTTGGGACGGTACATTGCTCTTAGATTTGATTATCTCACGAGGTTTTGGATGTCTAGAATGCTAGAAAGAGGCGTGAAACTTGACTACATACCACTTTGAAGAGTGCCAAAAAGGCTCCATCGAAGGCCAAATGACCGTATAATCAAGGGCTTCATCCTGATTACTTTGATTTGTGTTCTGTTCCTATCAATACCTACTAGGGCAGATTTCTTATGAGAGCACAAAACAGAACCAATGGACTCCTCTATCACAATCAAATTAAATACATTTGCGTCTCGCTATAAAGATAACATCCAAGTCTACCAGCATCTAAATTAGGATATATATAAGTTATAGTAGCCATCAAAGCCTCGTCTATCGTCGCTACCCTGAAACACCTCAAACGTTAAAAAGATATATATCTTTGCGCGAATCTAATTTTTGAAATTGCACCACAACGCCGTACGCTACAGCTCCTATTTTCACTGCAAAAGGTTAATTGAACTTGGATTGGATTGGATTGGATGGGATTGGGTAGAATACCTCAAGCGTTGATATTTCCACACAGCCAAAAACAACATACATGACCCTCGACTACATGTAAACAACTAGGTATCTTTTTGGATAGTGATTTTTTTTGAATATACAATACTTAATAAAGTAAAACAACTAGGCAACATCAGCGCTCTGAACGTGGGACTATGAATGAATATATAATAATAAAGTAGCCTCTCCCACTCCAATGGCCATTTACAACTCTATCAAAGTGATATTTACTTAATAAAGTGAAGGGGCCATCAGATACAACATTGTTTGGTCAGCGCCCCAGTAAGCCAATGATACAACGAATCATGCTCTCAAAAAGATTCCCCTTGGACTACGAAAATAGCTCCCTTACCCATCGACCTCGAATTCCCAGTCACGTAATCTAATCAATCGTTTTTCTCCGTCAATGTTTCAATCTCTGAGATTTTGTCTCTCTTAGCGAGTACCATCACTGATGCAGCATAGGGCCCGATAAGAATTGACTGCCACAGCACGGTGAGGTAAAGCTTTGGGTAGCCAACCTGTATTTTTAGCTGGTGACATTCGTGAATATATAGAGCCGTACTCCAAATCACCATCGCAAGAGAGCATATAACATTGTCCCACTTGAAAAGATCAAACATTAAATCGGCCGTCGGTGAAGTGATTGGGTATCCCCATGGCCGAGGTGGGATAAACATCGTCCCTAGGGCTGAGAAGAAGGTGTCGATCATTGACTCACGCCCTTGGCTGATTGTCATAAGCCCCAGCATGGGCAGAATATGGAGCGCAGCGCCGCAGACGAGGGTGGATTTATACAGAGAATCAAGCTTCGGCTTAACAGAGGGTGGCGTATAAGACTTTCCATGATGAAGCCATGCTAGTACTGTTCCTGCCGCAATGAAGACCGAGGAGATAGTCATCAGAATAGATGCGTGCTGCTGAAGGCTTGGGGGAAGTCCCACGGAGGCAGGGAGCAGTACCAATGAAGATAACGGCAAGTAGAAAAACACTATTGTGAAGCCTTGTAGCTCATAGAAGATCATTGGATTATTCGGAATAGTATCTCTGGTCTGTCGATGTGGTCCACGTGGAAGATGTCTCAATGCAAGGTACACGGGAGTGAGAACCATGGCCCCAAGTCCTAGGCACGATAAGCCTTGAATGAATATCCTATATCTGTCAGCGTGGCCGTAATTGGGTATGAGGTACATGAAAAAGAATGATTCGTACTCCTTTGCAACTTGATTCCATGGTTTTGATCGTGAGTGCTCAAGTGCGCACAACATCCAGATTACTCCCACACTCCCGTACAAACTAACTAACTGCAAGCTCCCAGCAGAAACCGCTGCATCACTAACTGGCAGATATGTATAAAAGTAAATTACCAGGATCTTGTCAATAAAAGAGATGCCAGTGTAAGTAGATCCTATGAATTCCTCACTTCAGCCTTGCCGAAGGAATAATGGGAAAAAACCATTAAGAAGGGGGATGATATAAAAGATCATGAGCCCACAAAAGGCGAGGAAGAATAGTGTGGATTTGACTCTCTGCATCATCATGATATGTGTCTTTAATGAGATTGGTATGGGCATGAAAGTTGATATTGTGAGATATATATCAGCTGGGAGATGGTAATGGAATAAATAATAAAGTATTTCAGATACACGTCTAACAACATCCCCAATTTATAACCATGCTGTCTACGCGGGGTTTACTTACTTATCATACTAGGTAGTTACATATGGAGTACGGAGTATGTACGAAGTACTTGTCACACTTCCTACCCTCGTCACCCCACTTCTAACCATTATTCTCTGATGTATGATCACGGCAAATTTCTGTAATGAGTATATGTATCTTCCCTCAATGATCTGCAATAAAATAAAGCCAATTCCATAAAAACAGCAGAAATAGTGGTGTCGTTCTTCGTATATGCGGGGGACAATTAGTTACTACTTAGAGTTCCATATAGCTCAGTATCCTATGCTTTGAAATATTCATAGTTTGTGATCGGTTGCCAACAAGAAACACAGGCCTAATTTTATTTCTAATATACTTGTCTTCCTAAATACGAGTGCAAGGCTAAGGCTTGTTATTCAGTTTTTATATTTGAGAATAGTAGGACTTGAAGACATCTGGAATAATGAAGAAACCTATTTTCTGTTAATGATGTTTGGATTCAAACAGAGGTCGGTGTTATATGTATAAATACATAATAGCAGCTTCTTAATGAGTTGCACAGAAACATATGGAGCTTAAGATTCATGAAATGTAAAGATCAACAGATGTATGAATACTCCATACCAGGTTCTAAAACATGCTGATGATGATCTTGCAAACAATGGCTCTTAGGCCGCTTAGATACATGACGGCGTAGACTGTCAGAAACCAAGGTCGAATACATGGTGAAGACAGGGTAATTTACCTGGAAATCATATGACAACTATTAGTACCTTGGTTACTATACAAGAGTCCACGGGTGCATATTACAGTTAGTCATCGATGTCCGCACAGATTGTGAAATTGCGGGTTTTTGTCATTTTAGAGAGTTAGAGATTTCAATATCAGTCATTTTTTACATACATTGGTTATACCATAGGTTTCTGTTATAGACAGCTGCGGTTTGCGGTGGAAACTGCAGGTAAATCACACTGGCTATTTTTCTGCGCGGTTTGATTGGTTGCCTTCATAATCCACAACAACACCAGGTCTCCATGCAAAGCAATAAACCTATCATCTACTTCGCATCTCATGCAGATTTGATGACCACATTGCAGGTTTTGACTCGCCTCTGCTGTATTTTGTATCACGCCCTCATATCGACCACCATATATGCTCCACCCCACTCTGAAATTCTCACGCCCAGTATGAATACTAAAGCGCCGGGGGAGACCCGTAGGAGGTAACAGACTTGCGCCATTTCCTGTGAGTCGGGATTGCTCATAAATCTTCACAAAACGAAAGAGATTGATGCATGCTAAAGGTATGGGTGCTTGGGGGGGAGATTATGGGGTAGCTGCGCGGAACATTTTTGATGGCAACCTTTGAATATGGTGTTCTGTGATGAGGCGGCAACCTTCCCTATGCTGTATTATTTTTATCAGCGCTGATTTCGTATCATCTCTGTTATTTAAAGTCTTTTTTTTTGGCATCGGAACGACCAGGTGATACGACTGAGCTCGGATAGATTATGTAGGTAATAGTCTCTCAAGTCCGCATTCTGCTCTTTAGCGTGCTGCCGCGCTTTCTTTTTGGACCAAGCTGTCGCTAAAAGGACTCTTCCTGGAGGTTGTAATCATGGTTTTAAAGTCATCCCATAGGAAGACAGCCATTTTATCCAGGTAGAGACCAGGCTTCTCCGAAGGTAGTCACAAAGAGCTTTTATCATCAGTGGTGTCACAGTTCGTTTCGGCCGATTCGGTTTTGGGGGGCATAGATACCTTCAAGTAGGCGTAAGTTAATGCTTATATTAATGATCGTAAGCTTGGGAGTGACATGGTAAAGGATTGGCTTTCTATCATATCATATCACGGATTAGATGAAGCTTCGAAGTAGGGAGCCTAGGAGCCACGTCATTTCGCCTGATCTTGTATATTGAACTCTTGCAGACAGGCGGGTGGTGGCAGTGGAAATCTGCCTCCTGCCATGGATTGAGGGGAACACGAGGTAGCATGCGTATAGCACTTTCGTATAAAATATGTCCAGTGGTGTCTTCCTACTGTATTGTGAGATGCGCCTACCGGTCTAGAGAGAGGGGCTTCACGGCCTATCCCATCAGGGCTCACGGCTATCGGATTTAGTTTCCGGGAATCTAGTCGTAATACTGTGAAAGTGTATAACTGAATTCGAATATTACTGTAATGAAAGAGTAGTAATAACAAATAAACATCGGTGCACGGACATTCAGGTAGACCAATTAGAAATGCAAAAAGTATGAGTAATACCCGCGGAAGATGACGCAAGGGTCATATGTTATGTTTTGATGTTTTTCGTGGTCTTTGGGATCGCCTCTCCGGCGTGGGTGTGTAGGGCTGTGGTGACACCTGGGCATTGTTGGCTGTGTCTGGTCGAACCATTTGCGTTTCCTCATTGTCGACATTTGGGCCAGTGATTTCAGTAGGATTGCAGGATGGTTGAATGGTTGAGGTAGGATACTATCATCTTCAAACAAGGTAGTTGATTTGGAGGGAGTATGAGGGGTGGCTCTTTGGGACCAGCTGTCATGGTGTTTGTGTTTACCAATTGTTGAGGAAGGAGTGGGTGGCACAGATTGTGTTGTGGTTGGAAGGAGGTGTATAACATCCGTAGCAACTGCTAGTTGGCGGTTTTCTTTAGTGGCGCCGAAGATTCGTCCAGTCAAGAAAACGTGGGTGTTTATGTTCAGTGGTGGAAAGTTCGCCCAACGTTGCCCGTTCTTGAAGCATGTGGTGATGGGGAAAGTGTGATGGCTTCGTGACGAATTATTATAAACTGTGCATTGGAGGCAGTAATTTAATAGAGTTGAACAACTGTTTAGTTGTTCCCCACGCCCAAGAACGACGCCGAGTACTGTCACGATAGGTTGAGCCGCTTCGGGCAGTGCATGAAATATGAATATGTATCCTCTTGATCGCCCGGGTGGCTAGACTGTGTTAGGACTTTTCTTGCGGGGGTTGCGAAAGTGACTGACCGATCAACGCTGTTAGCGGGGAGGATAATATGAAAATCCTCACTGTTGGAGGAGTTTGAGAGAAAAGAGCCCCATGCATAGACGAAAGCGTTTGGTTGGTACAGGTCAGCTCGATTCCCCTCATTAAAAAACCTGATCAGAGTAGGAATGTCGTTATGTTCAACGTCATCTGATTTTATATCTTTATCTGTTATATTGAGTGAAACACGTAGTTGCATGGATAATCCTTTACCGGGGCGTGTTGGATCTGGTTCAACATGCTCGATGAAATCTCTAATGTGGAGAATGGCTGGGAAGGATGGATTTGAAGGCATTGTAGAAGTTTGTTGCTAGGTTATACAGTTATAGTAGGGCCCTTGACCCAATGGTGGTAGAAGTGAGAATATTGTGGACATATGAAGTTTTGAAGGGGGGAAACACCAAGGTACGAAGTATAGGATATTGTAGGTTTGAAAATCATATGCGGGGTTGGATAGTTACAGTAGGACTCGATTGAGCTATATTAGGTTGTATGATGATGCGTACAAATACGAACACGAATAATATACGTTTAAACGCCCTCGCCACTAGTCTAATAAAAGAGCAAAATGGAGAATCTAAGTTTCTTTTGAGTGTGAGATATTACGTTGCTGGTGTGTATAACATGCGAGAGAAATGATTTGTGGAGATGCAGTTAGCTACGCGGAGTTGATGCCTTGCCAGGCATTGAGAGTTTCAACCCTGAGTAATTGCAAACGCTGCCTTTCATGTAACAATTACGGGTCTGGGTTATGTTGGAGGTCACTCATATGAATCGGTTGTAGGAGATGGAGGCCAGCGAGTGATCGTAGTCGCGATAATTGTACATATGTTGAACAATATCTTCGATGGGAATCTTGAGGTCGATTACGGCGATCATATTTGAGATCAACAATGGCAGAGTCGAATGTGGCACCTTGGACTTTGTAGTCGGTAAGACAAAAGGCCGGGCAGATGGGCACTTGGCGTCCTCTCACTGAATATCCTTTCACTGCTATTGAAGCCTCGAGTGGGAAAATAGGCAGGACGTTCTCTTGAAGTGACTGAAGGGGAATTGATTTGGTCCGATTTGGCTCGAAAAGGAGACAGGCCGGAGGCCTGGTGCAGAGAATATAAAGATCGTCAAGCACGTGGAATTCGGCTGGACAACCTTAGGAATGAGTTTTGAAACCTTAGGTGATGACTCATATGCCACATCCAAGACAATTCCTATCGCTTTTCCAGTTGCTCTATTGACTAATCCTACAGGGGTGCATATGTTCGTTAAAATAATTGCCGGCATGGAAGCGGTATATAGAAGGAGTCCGGGAAAAGGAATCTTCGTCCCTTGCTCCGGAAGACTCAGCAGGTCATCTGTTCGAAGTCGCAGATTCGTTGCGTTGGAGGATTTTGTGCGTGTGTGGAGGGCGGGAAAAACGAAAATCTTCTGAACTTTAGCCCGAGCAAAGCGCTCAACCTGAAAGCAGTTTATGACGTGTCGGAGAGCATTCAGCTTCGTGATTGATGTCGCCTCTTGCAGATCTAGAGAGTCGAGTGATGTGATTACTTTAGAATTTAGGGTCAGCACATCATTATATGTAAGTGTGCCAGATCTCGCTCGAGTGAGGAGGCTGCGGTATTGTAAGTCCTCGGTTTGTCGCATCTGTTCGTCTAGAAGTATGACTTGCTTGAATTGGCTCCAGATAAGCTTTCCGTATTGGTCGGCCTCGCTTCTTGGAAGTTTCCACAACGGCTGGCCTTGTACTGGAGGAAATTGCTGAAAGTCACCCATGAGTATCACCACGGGTGAACCACCGAAAAGATGCGAAGAATCTCTGTCAACTGATCTGGCGGCTTTAAAACGCATATTGATGATTCCGAGCGCTGATTGATCTATCATGCTCACTTCATCTATGATCATAATGGTTTTCTGCGACCAGAGTCTGCGGATCCTGGTACTGATCCCTGCTTGCCGGAAACGATTTAAGGAAATTCCTAGGGAGGTATGGTACGTGTTTCCTCCAATGACATCGGCAGCAGCCCCGGTCGGAGCCATGAGAATGACTTCGTCTTTGCGGTTGATCAAATCCATACCGGCAACAATTGCTTTGACGACCTGGCTTTTACCAACAGCCCCCTCGCCTCCTGTATATATAGAAGGGTTTGAGTTTGGTGGGAAATCCCAGGAGGATGATTAGAATAGCTGAGAGCTTCCGACAAAATCTTTTCCACAACTAAACGCTGTTTTCCATTCAGAGGAACAGTCTCACATACGAGGAATGTTAGCGATGCGCCCGTGGAATTTGCGCCCACTCGAGAGTCTTGATAGAGCGCGCCAAAAGATATGTTCAAATCAGTGAGGAGACGCACAAGGAATCCATCGGCAATCTCGATGGATTCCTTGTGCAGTATGTACATATAGCAGAAGACAGGTCTCTAATAAACTACCTCCCCTTACCCATTTATTGCGGCTTACTGAATATTCTATCCAAGCTAAAGTCTCGGCGGTGGGTCCAGGGAAGAGTAGACTCCCGCACCGGCCCATAAAGCCCAAAGCCCGACCCAACCCAACCCGTAAATGGGCCGGGTTTTGGGCCCGATCCTTAGGCCCATCGATAGGCTATAGGCCCGGGGTGAAAGCCCACTGGGCTTGAATATGGGCCCAATAGGTCCCAAACAATGCAAACATACACCATAGCCCACTGCGGGTTGGGCTTTGGACCTAAGGTGGGGGCCTATTTGTGGGCTTTGCAGAAGTTTAAGCATCACAGTATAAACAGCCCTGTGGGGCTGTTCCATTAAAGGCATAGTCTGAGGAATCATAGTTGCTCCCTGATTGGACGTGGAGTGTCATTGAATAATCAGTGAGTGTCCAATGAGGGGCATCTATATATAATTAGTCATCATACACGTGACTAGTCTGGGCCCATCACTGACTCTGAGCTCGTGCTGATATCTACTCTGAGAGCCCGAATCTGAGCGCCCTCATTAAAGCGGCGGCAGCCCAAATAGGAAAACCCCACCCGCCAGGGAAAATCCGGTACACATAGATGTATATAAATAGTTCTATAAGGACAATAAAGAGAGGGTAGTCCTAGACTGGGAGTTCAAAGCGTTTCGAAAATTGGGAGTGGAGTTTTGTGTTGTTTATTCTAACTTTCCATCTATCATGTCTGAGAATAATTGGCCATGCGAATGCTGGGTCTATCATCGTGGGAATAAGTGGTAAATATAAACAGCTCAATACTGAATACAATGTATGTTTCGGATTAATACATATATGTGCATAATACTACTACTGTAGTAGTAACCTCTCAATGTTTCAAGTATCGGAAACCCGTAGGCAACAGCTTTTCTTACCGAGGGTGGCTCGGATCCTCAGCCTCACGCAAAACCCCGGACTTCCCCAAGAATTTCTCAACATAGCCACACTTTACTCTAAGTAACATATCTATATCCCAGAAGAAAATCACCCATATTTTATTCGAGGTCTGATATTTGAATTTTGAGCACTACCATGAACAACGACAACACCCCTTTCAATGGGGACGGCAACACCGTAACTCGGAGCTGTCTCAGCAACTGCATCATCAATAACTCTTGCGTGAAGCGATCCACACTAAGCGAGTGCGTGATATCGAAAACGAAAAACATGAGCCGGATCACGGCTGAAAAATCCCAGTTCCACGACGCGGCCCTGATCGAGCGCAGCGATATTACAGACAGCATTATACAAACTCAAAGCTCGGTGTGCCGATCCACAATTGGAAAATCAATCATTCAAGACAAATGTACAGTGAATCGGAGTACTCTGACCGGAACGACAACCTCAAAAAGCCAACTCGAGAGAGCTACCTTGACAAATTGTGTCATCACTGAGTGCACTATCGAACGATGTGACTTTCAAGGACTGGTCCTTAAATATGGAATTTGGGAGAGAAATGAGTTAGTTGGGAAGACCGGGCGTCAGGATCCTGTTTTTATTAGGAACTATGGCTCGAGGGCTGGGGTGAGTTTATTGCATATGAATCATGAACATGAACTTGTATCAACTGACGATCTTCGATAGCTATCCACATCTGTGGTTGTTGGATCTACTATTTCTAGCTTAGATCCCAAGGATAACGCTCAACATGCTGTTCCTCCTCCTAGCTATAATGTCGACTCATGTGCTAGTGGGGATAGTGGGATTGATTATGGCCTTGATTTACCTCCGCCCTACAGGCCTTAGCATAATGTGGAAGAGAAATGGTGTGTCTTGATAAGTAAGAGGCGCTTTTTTCTGTTAGTTCAATGCCCATGACCTGTTGTGGTGCGTTTTCCGGTAGAATTTTATAAAATAACTAGTGAAGAATATCACGATCTGTGGATGACATGGGAATGGTTTGCGAAACAATCCAACTGTTACCCTACCAGCAACTAATCAAAATTCTACTAATAATCAAAATCAAAAGCAAAAACATACAACAGTGAGGATTCGCTAGTAGTTACCTACCCAACTACTCTCACCGGCGTGTGGCTTAAATACAGCCGAGCGGACAGGAGGCCCTGTTTTCTATACCCCATAGTCATATTTACCAGAATATGTTCGGGATAGTACTATATAGAATAAATTGAGGAGGGATAGGGCCGCTTTACGGTGGTGGGACCCTGGGGGACCTAAGGGTGAGGGGACAGGGTGAGAATCACTCAAGTCGCGCGACAACCACACTGACCCCCTCAGCTGAACAACAACAAAATCTTATTGAGTTTTACGGATTTCAGCAGTTTGGAACCGAGAAATTGGAATACTACCATTATGCTGATCAAAAAAGCGCAAAGAACAGTCCACATTTTATTAGGATGATTCATCAATCTTATCCATCTATATTAGGGAAGGCGCGCTGGTATTATGTACCGGAGGTTCAGGTTAGGTTCAGCTTCGCGCTGAGATCTATTAATTTCTCTCCGTTCCTTTTTACTTTAGATTATCTAGTTTATCTGCAGTTGTAGAGAACTTGCAGATTCGGCTCGTTGCATCTTACACTGTTACCGGCCTTTCTCTTCTGGGAGCGACGTGGAGTTTACAACTTGGCAGTCCTTAGTATCCGCATCTGCTTGCTTTTCTGTGACACAGACACCTTTATCTGCCTCTTTTTGTTTCTTCACCCCCCGACCTCACATACAGCTCCCTTCGTTCCTGCAACTCAATCTTTCTTCATTATCTTTTCCAGGTTTCTCACTACATCATCTTTGCCGAGATGAGATTCATGGCGTTCTTGTGCAAGGGCTCGACGTACTTTGTATGGGGATGTGCCGAGCGATGGTGTAGCTAAAGAGGCCCCAGACGTTGTAGGGTTAATCCCTTCCACCGGGGATGGCTGTTTTGCTGAGCCGCCACAGTCTACACATCCGACACATATAGAGGGAGTGCTACCTTTATCGGGTAACATATGCCTCGGGACATGTTCCTCGATATGACGCAGTCTTACAGTTGACAGATCGGCTTCTATATTGCGGTCCAGACTCTTGAGCAGGTCATACCGTACTTTAAGTCTCAACCAAGCTAGGGATGGGAGGTCGAAGAAAACAATATTTAGACTCTGTCGCGCTTCAGAATCGTACTCAAAGCGTGAGGGGAAGGTATTGTCAAACTTAGAGAGGCGGTGGAGTGTTAGGCGCTTCTTGCTCACATCGGTGAAGTTGTGGTTGTAGGGTGGAGCGTATTCATCGACTAAACTTTGAAGATAACCGGCAATATCTTGCATTTTTTTATGACAAAATTGAGACAGATCTTGCAGTATAGTGAGGCGTCTTTGGGGGCTGGAGGGGGCTTGAACGAGATATTGGAGTATGGATTGTTGTAGATGGTAGTCTCCAATCTCTTTAGCGCTCTGGGAAAGAATCTTCAGCCTGCTCTCGATGGTCCAATTGGAATATATGGTTGCTTGCTCCGGCTGAGAGAGGTCTGACTCGGTCTCCAAGTCACTTGGTTGAAGATATTGGCGTCTAGGGGCAGAGTCCTGAGACCATACCCGAGCGGCAAGCCTTGACTGAATGACCGACGGTTGGAATGGGATACCCATCCATAGCCCTCGTGTAGCCTCAAGGAGCACCCAACTTAAGTATGGTCGAGTGTTGATTAAATGGGGAAATGTCGAAAGTATGGACGTTGCTAGGCAATGTGCCTTCTTGGAAAATTGACGTTGAATTGCTAGGACAAATTTGGGGCTGGTCTGAAGGTTGAAAAATGCCGTAAATAGAGAGGCATTGGCAAGCTCGGTGAAAAGAAGCTGTTCATCGTTCCTTGATATTCCCTCCTGTCCAACAAATATATCCGGTGCTCTGGATAACTCGTCTAGATCGGCAAAGTCTTCTAACGTCCCATCGGCGGTATACTGGCCACAAAGCTCATCCCCAAGTAATGGCAATATGGCTCGTAATATCCGGTGTGATTCCCATAAGAAGCCTTCCCTGACTAAAAAGCGATACCATTCGCCTAGTCGAGGATATTTTCGTTTTGGGGTGTTCTTCACAGGATCTTGTGATATCTCGGCATTAAATGTCAAGTTGTCATCAGAACGGGAAGATGGCTTCTTTAAATGTCTCCTTGACAATTTACGGGAGTGGAGGGCCCCCGATAAGGTCGATGTGACTGGGGGCGTCGGATTCCACTCCAAGAGAATTCGAAAAGTTTCGTTTTGTAAGAAAGTCGAGTGAGCGGTTGCATATGCGATAATGCGCAAACAGGCTTCCACAAGCTGGATCTAGGAAGGAATTAACCCAATGTTCACTAATGTTCCACCTAAACCACGCACCTGAATTCCTATGGACCATTTGGACCAAGGTGGATCATCTTTCGATCTGCTCTGCTGGAGTCCAAGTACTTCCACTGTCATTTCTAATGCAGGTATCAACGCACCCCTAGTATATATCTCCGCTAGAGATCTGACGAGTCTCATCAATCGTACCTCTTCATCGGAATATTCTACCCGAGGGTCTTTCAGCCGGTTAGAGAGGAAATCGTGAAGATGGCCGAAGCTTCCTTGCTCTAGGAGAAGGTCTGCATATTCGGCTACAACAGGGAAGAAATCCACATAAATTGCCAGTCGTTCCTCGAAAAAGTGGGACGCCTCCTTGAAATACCCTAGTCTGTTAAGTCGAGACAGACACTCTAGATCCGGATTGATGTCTACGGCGGCATCCAAGTCAAGGTGAACGGTGACATCTTTGGCTTGGTCGCCGGAACGTAGTATAAAGTCGGGTGATACAGTGTTTATCCTTGGCCTCTCTCTGATTTGACGTTGAATAGGTGGAGGAGGCGGGTAAGGAGTGAAAGATGGAATAGAGGACCGGCCGGGGGCATATCCAGGTGCGGGTGGCGCAGATCCTTGCCAACCTCTTCGATGCTCTCGACGAAAACTGGTAGGGTACTCGTAGGCCGAATCGGCACTATCTGAGGAATCTAGTGATTGTTGTCTTTGGCCTCGAGGGAGAGCTGACTGATTTTCTGAAACCATACGTTGCGATGTTGGGCGACGGCCCGAAGCAGAGCGTGAACTGTTGCATGGACGATCGAGGCGCGAAGTTCTGGGTCGAGAGGCTGAACCAAGTGGTTTCAATTCCTCAGGATATGGCAAATGCGCCCACTCATCATAATCCTGGTCCTCGTGATCTTCTAAATCGGAATGTATAGGTACATGGATACCAGACGAGCCCTCGTGGTCGGAAAAGGAGTGGTCCGAACCGCGGGGATCTGGATCAATCGAGATACTGAGCCTACTTGCGGTGAATAAAGATGATTGGGGGAAGACAGTGGAATTAAAACATACGTCATATAGAAACTAGATATGGAGCGATGGTAGAGAAATTTCAGAGGGAAGACTACAAATGAGGGGCGAACGCAGTCGAGAGATTAGTAGGTCTGTTGCCGCTATCGGACCAAAACCTCATTTTACCACATTTCATTGGGGGAAATAGTTTTGGCCCGATGAAGGTAGGTAGTAGACTGTTCTACCTTAGTAAGCTGCATAAGTAGGCTGACTTGGATGAAATGAAAAGCAAAATGAAAATAAAGGCAGATTTCCTCTTTACAACAATAACAATGCCTTTCACTCATTCTCGCTCACAGCCCATGAGATATGTCGATGTGTGCCAAGCACAGTCGAGTGCCAGTCTCTGTGACATTAAGGTCGAGAGGACTCGGATCGACTGTTGTTTTCTCATGTCTAAGACGCGCTGGGGGCAATTGCACAACAAACCCTCCGGCGTGATGTATCTAGATCTAACCTTTCACCAGCCTACCAACTGCAAACTCGCGGAAGCAACCATTACTATGAATTTTCAAAATACGCAAGAAACTCGACTTTTGCCCCTCGAAAATATCGAAGTCACGGAGTTCTTTGGCCCCTCAATTCTGAGCGGGGAAAAAAGGGAACGACAAATATCAACGACCCTAGAGGTCAACCCTAAAGTGGGAACTGGCAGCAGTAACATTGAAGGAGCTGGCTGGTCCCAAAGATCGGATACAAGCTATGCATCGCGGTGGAGATTTACCGGGTCGCGTTTTGTCGCAGAACCTTCCTCGTCTCTCGATGCGTTGAATTCTCGAAGCAGCCGATACCAGCAACTCGTATGGCATTTGGAAGAAAATGAGCTGGAAAATCAGGCCATTCACCACTCGACTGTGCACTCTGCCGTTGCATTTCATCATGACTCCAAACCTTTTTACCTCGACCTTCAAATAGAAGTGAAGTTGCATCGGTGGCACCACCGACTTAAGCAGCGGTTGATCTGTCCGCCGCGCAGTCGAAGGGTATACACCAGAGCCAAAATCGACGCTACATCCAATGTAGCTCCAGATCCAAACTTTGTACAACTCGCTAGAAACCTCGATCATGCCATGATAGACACGAATTTGCACCCCGTAGTTGGTGGGTTCACGTCATCAACCACATCCCTGAAAGCATTCAATCACTAACCCCCGTCTTGTAGAGGTACCGGACCCGAGACCTATACTAGTTGATAATTCTTGCGGAGACAAGGAGAATGACACAGAAACTAGTGCCAGATGTCTCCCAAACGAGCATCTTCTGGCGTTAGTAGGGCAGCTCACTGGCCAGGATACACCCAATTTTGTGGCAATGAAACCCAGATCATTGATAGATAGTTCGACCTCTACGCTCGTCGAGTCGAATACTACGCAAGAGCTAAAAGAACGAGCCGATCCAGATACTACTATCTCTGAGTCTGAAGATACGCTTGCTCCTGCTCTCCCAAACCAACACAATGGTTTCAATGCAATTCGGAAAAGTGTACTGCGCGCAGTCGTCTCTGTTTTATGTCAGGCATTGCGGCTCTTAGCCACACTAATTGCGTCGTTGATTGTGGGACTGAATAGATTGCATTCAGCTCTTGTTCAATTGGGGGAGTGAAAACGGGCTGTGGTGAGTGTATAAATGTACAGAGCATATAGGAGACTGTCAAACCAACGAAAGAACGAGCAATTTGATGCTTAGAAAGCACATAAATACTTGGAAATTCCCAGCGTGCTTAAAGCTGTGGTTCCCAGTGACCCAGCGGGATCAACGAAATACAAATCATTACATGGTGAAGGAAGTAAAGTCGGACGATTAGATCAATTAGTGAAAAGGGCTTTGCACCCAGCGGGTGGTTTGTTCCTAGCGCGAATTCTATCAGGCTATAACAAATTTTAGATGTATCGATTTAAATTTCTAGTACACGATTTTGATCAACCTCCAGAAGTGAGACTTCTGGTAAATATCGTCCTTCGCTTAGACGATTTGCCTTTTTGATGTCGGCTAGCCTTCTACCTCAAGTATTGCGCTCTCGGGGATTTATCCTGCTAGAACTCGGATTAGGGGCTCACTTCCATGAGTGCAGGTGTTTGAATATTACGGGGGTTTCTCTAGGCCTCCTTTTTCTCTCTTGGCTTTCTATACATCGTGAAAGAAAGAATATTTCCTGAAGCCCGGCTTCTACTTTTATATTCGGGGAAGAACACTCATTTTATCTAACTTCAGATGCCGCCTGGTAGATACATTAACCCGTGCACGTGAGTAGAGGTTGCGGATTGCAAATACAATTTTATAGGTCGAAAATACGCTGCTTGCCAAAATCGATGCTACGGGATAGGAACGAGGCTGCCACGGTATCCAGGGCCCCTTCAAGGCTTTGTGGACGAATTTAGGCTCTCCGCAAATGCTTCATTGCGGGGCGAGGCTGTCCGAGCAGCACATAATCCAACTACACCAACTATAGCGATTGTAGCGGCAGTTTTCCTAGGAAATGGGCGCAATGTGGACGAGATTGTGCTAGATGTGAATAGAAAGAAGATTAAAGAACGAAACTAAATTGTGAGACATGAAATGGGGCCATCTGACCCCCATTTGCCACAGCACTAACATCCCTGCAGCTTTATTGCTTGCAGCCTGTCGGGGCTCCTCTAGTTTCTATTGTTTATTACAATTAGACGCGCTCACCAGGTAGTAGCGTTGCAATTTTGTGCATTTACATTGGTAATATAATTTTCTCTCATGCAAAGTCCAGTACATACGACCATAGGGTGTGGAAAACAGGGCTTCCCGTCCGCTCAGCCGTACTTAAGCCACACGCCGGTGAGTTAGTAGTTGGGTGGGTGACCACCAGCGAATCCTCACTGTTGTATGTTTTTTTCTTTTTTTTTTGTTTTTCTCTATTTATTAAATCTAGGGTATGCATGTTTGGATAGGGAGGGACCACTGGCCATGATACTGGTGGTGGAGGAGAAAGAGAAGCAAACTTGTCATTCGGTATGAATGCTTTGAATCATATAAGCTTCAAGTGCTCATCTTCAAGCTTCTTAAAGCAATGTAGTCTATTACTTTTATCTTTATTGTTGGCGCTAGACCCCATCACGCTTTCTTGCTATCGATCCGTCAGCGGCACGACCTTGCCTGTATGCGGACATTTCTTTGCTTTGGCGTTGATATCCGCGCCTCCCTGGAGGAGCATCAAGATGCCAGCCTCGAACGCTCTATCTACGGACATATGCAATGGAGTCCAGCCAGTATTGTCATACACATCAAGATCCAGACTGCGTTCGTACTTGTCGCGGTGGTCAAGTAATTGCTGGAGTATTCCGAGTCGCCGATGCAAAACAGCCCAGTGCAGTGCAGAGCGACCATCGCAGTCATACACGCCTATCCGAGCACCGTGGGAGAGTAGTAGGCGGACTACAGAATCGTGGTTCTCGATGATCGCGTGTATCAAAGGCGTCCGGCCGTCGCTATCTTGCTTATTTACATCCATATTACCACGGAGTAAAAGAACACGAACAATCCTCTCGTGGCCTTTCTGAGCGGCGATGTGAAGCGTGCTAATCCATCCTTTGTTGTCTCTGGCCGAAGTAATAAGTCCTAGCACTGTATCATCGTTGTGTGATTGCGGTAGCTGAGGGCCTGGACTCTCCGGGCGAATATCGGAATCGGACGTTCTGCGATGTAATGACAGAGTATGATTGTTCCCGGGTGGAGAAAGCGACCTTAGATGATCGCTTGTTGTGCTGTGAGAAGGTGTGCTGATTGAAGCAGAGCCGGGGGATTTGTTTTGTATAAAATAGGGTTGTGTTATGCTTGACTGGACATGCGACGGATCGGGAAAGGGGAAGGAGAAATCATGGTTGAATTGGTACCAGGACTCATCAATTGCATCCAGATCGAAGTTGTCTCCCGCCCATAGCTCCGTGCTAGTTATCGGAATTTCGGTCGGAGATGAAGCTCCTGCCACTGTGGGTAGCTCATTTGCGAACAGAGGCAAAAAGTTCATCGGAAAATCCCCATTGTTATTGGCTGTTGACGTCGATTGTGATGGTGCTCCGAATGCTCCTTTCGGGTCCTGAGCCGTCTCTAGAATGGCATCGTCTGCCTTCCGCTTCTTTTCTACATATCATCACAACTTCGATCAGTAGGGGGGTTGACACAGGATATTGGATAATGGCGACTGACCCCGGAATTTACGTTGAGCCAAGCGATTTTGAGTACGTCGCCGTTCTGCAGTATCGCTCATGAACTGGACATTGACCTCCATCGTCCCTCAAACTGGTGTGTCAACCAGCAATAATGGGAATCATCGAACCCCGGAAACTCAGCCTCGCGTTGAATGAATAAGCAGAGCCCCGCCGGTCATAACGGGGGCGCAGCCGAATACCGAGCTCGGGACCTCTTGGTAGTTTCTGGCGCAATCACCCTTGTCAAAGACGGGTTCCTCATTCGTCTTAGTCAGTATCGTGTTGGCAACGCGCACTCCATAGAGTTTCCCTTAAAATATCACTCATAATGGTTTGACTCATGAGCTTCCGATGGAGAGCTGACGTGAGGCTTATTGAAATCTCCAAAAAGAAAGTCGAATAGGGGCATTGATAAGTGGGTGCGTGTGCCTGATGGGCTCGGCCCGTGGCCGTAATTGAGACACTAATTTTAGGACCTAACCCGAAGTAGAAGTAGACGCCCCCGAGGTACGACCATCTCCATGGGTATTTTTATCATACCCTCCACCGGTTAATAACTTAAAACCAGGATCACCGACTGTATAACTGCCTCGGGAGATCAGGTGATGTATTCGACAGAAACAGTAGGATTGAACTACGAGATTAAAGAGAACAATGAGCTCCTTATCCGGGGACACTACCCGGGAGAATTGGCTACTTGCTGTGGCACATTTTCTAGTAAAAATTTCTTAAATTACTACTTCAACGAAACCTATAGATTATAAACAGGAGGATGGTTTGTCTGTGAAGCAATCTAACTGCTATGACCAGCGACAACAAATTGCTTCTCGGTCTTGAGGTTGTTAATCATGTCATCACTGAGGTTCAGTGTATCCGCAATGATTTGTCTTGGCGTAGACGCGATCCATTGACCAAGTGCCATATCTACTAGCTGTCAATACAGGAAAACCAAAACATATGGGGAGGAAGAAAAAATACCTGTAAATTCGGAAGCCTGGAGCACCTCCAAAAAGACCAAGTTTTCATCCCCGGTATTCTCAACATAGTGGCTACTGGACTTTGGGAAATAGCCAACATCGCCAGCAGTATAGTCAAATGTAGTCGCAGCATTCGGGGCAGTGAAAAGCGTGGCTCGGCCCTGACCCGAAATAAAGAATGTCCATTCGTCACTGGTTGGATGCCAGTGGATTTCGCGCATGCCGCCCGGATGAACGGTAACAACAGCGGCAGAGAAGTTTTTTGCGATGGGGAAAGTGAGAGGGTCAACGATCTTGACTGAACCGCCGGCGACTTCGTGGGCCGGCTGCTCCGAGAAATGATATGAATAGCTCTGATCGCGAGGTACAAGGCCAGAAGTTGTCGTCACATTCTGTTTCTGGATGTCTGCTGGGGCGGGTGTGCCCTTGAAAATGTAAAGTTCGTCGTCGGGGATCTTGTCAAATGCTGATACATCAACACCAAAGTTCTTTGAGAGGACCTCTCTCTATGTTGCGAGTTAGCAAATTGAATTTCATTTTTAATCCGAGAATTGCTTCTCCTTACCGGAGTGTGGAGGAAGACCTCTGTTGCGAGAAATGTATTATCCTCGCTGAAGTCTCCATCGTCGAACACGAGAAGGAACTCGACTCCAGCATCGAGGGCTTGAATAGAATGAGGTACGCCACTAACGGTCAAATAATTAGCAGAATACATTATTTATTCATATGAGAATACTTACGGTGGGAAGTACCAAACATCGCCGGCAGCAACGTCATCGATAAATGTCTCTCCGTTCTCGTTCACAGCCTGGCGTTCTGGTTAGTATTGATTCTAAGTATTCCAAAAGAACCAAATACCTGGATTCGAGCTGATCCATTTAGCACTAAGGACCATTCGGCGGCCACATGCCAGTGAAGTTCACGGTAACCAGCGGGTGACAAGCGCATATTCACGCCAGCCATAAGTGTCGCATCGGGCATCACATTTGTGTTCTCTTGGCGAGCCCAACCAGCTCCATCGATTCCAAATCTTGTGAAAAAGAAAACATGAGTATCTCCACTTTCTTTGCCTGGAAATAAAACTCTACCTGTTGTGACTCAATCCTAGAATATAGTAAGCAAATTGTACATTTTCTCCATGAAAATTAGTGGACTTACCCATTGGCCACTGTGCATTGATGGTTTGTCCGTGGTCAGTTCCGGGAGGTGCAAGTTTATCGCTATTGATTCTGTCATAGTAATAGTTCCCTGCAATAAATGTCAGTCAGCTTAGTATCCAGTCAACTTGGCGAGATAGCATCGATGGCGCTCATACTCGGACCGGGATCATCAGAACCCGTAGAACCACGAATCGGCTGCGGATTGTCGGCTTTCTCAAAATCAAGGTATGACCCAATTTTAGGATCCTCCTTCTGCCCGGGAAGAAGAGTATACTTAATGTCCGGTGGTGAGTCGCTGCCACCCTCGTTAGATGTTGAATATCCAACTAGTGAGTCGCTTCCTCGTAGACCGGGATTGGGAGCATCCCTGCGAGCAGGGGCACCATGCACTAATGGTAACACGGCAGGAAGTAGAGTAACTAGGGGTGAGAACTTCATATTGGTATTCTCGGGAGGCTCGGATGGAACTGGGAAGGAAATAGATTGAGCGAGAATGAAAAATGATCTACTACCACGTACCGGGCGCCTTTTATATGTCCTCCCAAAGCTTGACGTTGGCGAACAAAAACTCAACATTATCAATTAGAGGCTTATGAATTTACCCTCGTGTTTTTCGTATTGCATCATCATTTCCTCCTGATCCGATGAGGATTTTTCCATAGGCTCGCAGAATGAAGCTGGGATTCCCCTCATGGCGACGCCAAACGATGCAAGGCAGCGGAGCCTCGACTCCGAAGCACCTGATGTGAGTCATTATGATTCGCCAAAAGATAGAGCCATGAGGGGAGAGAAGGGAGGCCTTAATGTGAGACCACCCCTCACCTGCAGCAGCCAGTACAAGCTTCAATGTAACGCAGTACTCCCCTCAGGGATTGATTAAAAACTGCCAGAAGTGGAAGAGGTCGCGGGATCATCGATGGCTGCAAGTTGTCGCAATACCAACCGAAGCCGGAAACGGGATACGCCATCGAAGCAATAGCTTCGGGCAGACGCAGGTGGCTTGGAAATAGGGTCGGCTGACTTGTCCAAAGTGCTGCCGGCCCGGGAGCATCACAGGCACCTCGAGCCAATCCGGACATTATCAAAATGAAAATAGACCCGCTCTATATGAGCAAGGACACGTTCTGGAACAGCAAGGTTCTCTAAAAATGTAATGTAAATAGAATCCAGACTGTTTCGATTTGTCAACAAGGTGCATACATACGTCATGAAATTTAAGTATGTTGCACAAACAAGAATATATATCGACCGGATCATAGCTATCACGAGTAGAGGGGAAAATGGACGACGGTATATTGGGAATGTGCTAAGCTTCTCAGCCAAGGATGCCGAGAAAAGCCTAAAACACAGAAAATCCCCGCCATGCCCGTTATCCCCGGCTGTGTCGGTGACGCGAGTGGATACATGACAATTTCCCCCAACAGGTGGATCTTCTATCAACATTCAATCAACATCGGCTTTTATTTCCGCGTGCGGGGAAATCGCCACCAGTAAGCTTGAACGTGTATGAAAGTTGGAGATAATTGATCCTTGTGTGAAAAAGTTTGGTAGAGGAGGGCGCGTGGCTGGTTGGTTAGAAGTCCAAAGAGACTTCCTTAGTCTTGGTATTATCTCCGTGTCTTACTTGGCCGGCTTAAGCTGAAGGGGGTATGCTGCGAGTAAGGCGGAGTTAGCAAGGAAACAATTGAGAATGGAGGTGGCCTACTCAAAGGTAAGGAGGAACGTGCTCACTTGATTTGGACAGGGCTACAGGGGCGCAGTTCCGTGACGACGCGCGATAAAAGTATCTCCGTAGACAAAATTTATACAACAATATACCTGGAAAGAAGAAGCAGTTCGAATAATTGATTGGTTTTAGTTCAAGTTCCAAATGCGACTAAACATTCAATACTCCGTATACCATCTCCAATTCTCCCATGCTTGCTACATATATTGAGATATGGAAATACAGAAATATAGACAGGGGTTCATCCGTAAAAGCGACTCCACTGCCCAGAAATGCAATCAATCTTAGAATTCGAATACCCAGACCTTGGCTTGACCTTTGCTTAATATTTTTCAGCCCTAGGCTGATATATTTGCAGCATACGTGTTCAGTGTGAGGGTCAATGTATCGAATGCTCACATCAGCTTTATATCCAGTTTTGGAGCCCGAATGATTCTAGTTTTGGAGCCCGAATGATTGCCAATAGTAATCTCAAATTTTTACTGTCCCCAACAACGAGATTGAAATCGAAGCTGAAAAGATTATTCCCAGAACCCGAACCAGTTTATCCCCGATTTTAGGTGCACCCGCGACTGTCAAATCCAACCTTAGAGTCAAATTCAGCCCTACCCGGATGGCATTTGGTAAGGATCCGCATACTTATTCACTGCTCTGTTTAGATCGATCATGCGAGACATTTATCGCTCAAGTAGACCTATAATGTAAGATGCAAGGCACGTCTTGCTTCATAAATTAAGTCCGTTTACATGACACATGTGTGTTGACGGTGGGCTTCATCAGAACTCATTATTAGGCTATATTCAAATGCATATCGAACGCTAGTAATGCCTAACCCAGGGGTAGGCAAGTCAGTAAGGGGCTCCACGGTTATGTAACATTCGATAGACAAGGCAGCAAGATAGCAATCTGTATTTCAACTGCTCTGCAACCCTAGGTACCTTGGCATTATCAATGGCTACCCCCGACCGCAAACTGGTTCACATATTGTTGGCTCGGCACCACAGGAATTGTCTGCGAGAATAGTCACCATCTAGAGCAGGTTATCAAGCCCGCCCCCCTGATAGGCAACCTTCAAAGCTGCAGCGCAGAAGCTACGAAAGCAAGATTGCATAGCGAGAACCAATCTATTTCATGCGTTGAGCGCAAAAAGGTCATTTACGAAATTCTACCGAAGGACCCAACTATCCTTGATTGCCTCGCAATTACGGACAACGGTATACACCTTCCTGTTTTACGAATTGAAAACATACGTGAATACCTTGAGCTCCATACCCAAAACACCCAGACCCAAATCCGAGAACAGTGGGTTATAGCGGCTGCTGGTGCTACATGTATACGCCATCGCTTTGGAGTTATACGTGTGGAAATCTGTGCACGGAACCTGTTGTTGTGGGCGACCTATCGGTTAAGATTTGCGGCTTTTCTAGACCGGCCATTGAGGGCCAAGCTCGTCTCGCAGATCGATATCAAATGTCCTCAGACTGCTCGCGGTCTACTACGACGGATATTTTTGCACTTGGGTGTCTGATATTTGAGAACATGACTGGCCTTCGCTTACATGATGAAATCGATGATGTTAGTATCAGAAAATCAAAAGCCGCTATGCTACTGGACAGTACTCTAGCATTGGCGGGTTCCCTCGCCAGGAGATAATTTATAAGCGCTGGACCTGTCAATACAAAAGCATTGACGAAGCTAAGTATGATCTGTAGAAGGATCATTAAGAAGTGCAAGTGGTCTAGACAGCCAGTCATTGGCTAGAGGTTCATTCTGCACTGCATTAAAGATTGGTTTGGTTGAAGTGGATGGCTTGCTTGAATGGGTGAGATCGGTAAGGTCGGCGAGGTAGGTGGGAGTCGTGACGTAGCGTAATGAGTTCTTGTGGAAACGACTTGTTGAAAGGAATATGGCATGGATGATATGAAGGAAGAATGAGAAGAAGTTGGCTGGTTACCGGTGGTTGGCAAGGGGAAGAGATATAAGAGGCAAGTGACACATGAAGAAAGTGAGAGCTAACTTTGTTAGCTCACAGGGAGAACTTGTCTGGTGAGAAGGTGTGGTTTTGAGAGGTAGATCGAAGGAAGGTATAGCCTAAATTCAATACCTTTATGTGTATTTACTATCCCAATATATATAGGTACTTCGTTCTATTCACTGCATCACATCCGATAGTTGTTGGTATATTTTGAGGATTCAAACCTCGAAGCCTATACATGGATTCGGAAAATCTTTAACACCACTTTGAATGTTTTTTGGACGTCTTTTCAGATTATATTTCCCCCTTCTAGTGTTAGAGCTAGATGGATAAAAACAAGTAAATATCGTGACCATCGTTCTACCTATGGAGACCATCGGAGTCAGTTGGCACCCGAATTGGTCCTGTCGATATGCATTGACTAAGCGAGATAGCCAATGACCGAGGAGTCTGTCGGCGGGAATGGACTTGCTTTCGGGGGTTGAACCAGGTATTGCGGACCGATTGGTGATTCGCAGCTGGCCCTAGAAAGACGTGACATGCTCTTGGGTGTCAGATAGCCTATGCGGCTAGGGATGAGAGATACTGATAATGGCCGAATCATACCCCTTCTTGATTGAAATTGTGGACAAGAAAGGATACAGTCTGGAAGACGATATTCTTATATTTTGCTAACACCTCTCACACAGCCAAAGTTCCATCAACGACATCACTTGTTTCCGCTTTGGGGGTATGCTCACCCAAGCTGGGGTTCAGCTCGATAATTTGGATGTTGTGGTCAGTCGAGACAATCTGTCTATCGCTATGCTGTCTCGGATCTCGACACTGAATCAAGAATCGGGGTAGTTAAGTGATATGAGGCAGTGATCTGATCGGTCTGTTCGGGGGTTTCAGTCGGGGGTGGGGGGGTCCATTTTATTTGCGTTGTATGGAAGCATCCGCCATATAGTGTGCTATAGATATCAGCTTCACGGAAGGCGGAAGGTACACGCGCTGCGGAGACATTTGAGTCATGACCTTTCTGAATCCATTCAACACGAGACTAGAAGGAATCTGTTATGATATTCTGTTGAAGATAGAAATCTAAAAGGCCAGTTCTTCGAGAATGATATCTGCGATGCTATACCAGATGGCTCTGTCGGGTGAGGTGAGTATCGTTGGGTTCACTTTTTTTGGAAATAAAGGAAGACAAGGAACCGACCTTCGGGCTCAGGGGCCTAGAGAGACAAGAATTTGCATGTTAGTCACCTGTCTCCGTTCATCTCCTATGGGATCGGGTCTCCTTTGCATCCGGCGCTTTGCTAGGTTCTCAAATTCAGTGATGCTAGATTTATACACAGAGTGCACGATAGATTAGTCTGGCAGTTAAAGTTTCTTCCTTGGCGGAGAGCCAAGGAAGTTTTGCAATTCTGGGGAAAGGGCGTGACTCCGGCAGGGGTCAACTATTTTCCATATGCTATTTGGATTTCGAAACATACACGAGAAAGAAAAGAAACATAGTTCGATTGAAATAATGGCTGCTTCTAACTCGAGAGATCTTAGAGCGATCGAAACACCTGTTTATGTCTCTCTTTGGTTCCTTCCTACCAGTCGAGTCATACACATCTGCATGGACCAAGTAGAATTCTGGGGGTACTCCTACGCCGTAGGCTCGGTAGGCTCGGCAGCAATTAATTTCACTTACTGAGAGGATACTGAGCCAATCATGTCTCACTCCTGTGCTAATGGACAAGGCTAACCACCGAGTTTAAGAACACCAAATTACAACGCTCCCAATAATCCTTTCGCAGGGCTTTCATCAGAGAACGTTCAAAGGCTGGTTTAACCGGGCAATTACTTACTTTACCTACCAATCTAAGAAGCCCATTATTTCCCGTCAACCGACTCGATAAGGAAATTCCACACACGAAACACAAACGCGGGGTCGCCAAGCCCCTAGACAGAAGCTAACGCATGCACCCATCAACAATGAGATCATCCTAGGGGCCAAGCCCAGCTCAGTGACGACGCCTTGAATTAATCGAAGAGATATGATAGGACAAGAGGTTGTTTACAAAGTGTCTGCCTGAGGTATTATGTCTCGTGTACAGTTGAGGCGAGGGGCCGAGCACACTCCTTATTCCTTTGGGCGATGGTGAAGTGGATCATCTCAGATTCTGGGGGTGGGTTCTTCAGCCGAGTGGATCTGACAGTTCTCAGTTTCTACTTCGAGTGACTTGTTTATGTGTACTGGTACATAAGTTGAATGCTAGGGGTGCAATTATTTTGGGTATTCATACAGTGGACGTTCGATGTGTGTGTACCTTGTTGAAAAAAAAAACATCTGGGCCTTCGCTCTGTTTACACCCCTGATTTGAGAGCGCGTATTGCTCCTTGGCTGGTGTTAGGTCTAGTCTGGCCCTATTGCCTGTGCTGTTCTGGGCAGTCTGTTATTCTGTCATTATTACCACACGCTCTTCAAAACTTGATGGTCATCGCCGGTACCTTCGGCTGAGCGATGTCATTCTTACCATAACATATGATACCTCTACATACCGAAATAGAGGCAGCGAGTTGATATAGATACCTACAATATGATGTAGAGTCGGGAGTACTTGTAAGATATTCATTGTGATAGTATTGATGTAGGGTAAAGTAGCCCTTAAAACAAAAACGCCAGGTCTATCTTGCCATTCTATGGCGAAGGTTCCAAAGACCGACCGAACAAAAGAAAGAAAGGTCCCGCCTAGGACATGAGTAGTTCCTCTGGTCGCATGCAGCTGATGTCGATGGATACATGTCGACAAGGTAAAAGGGGGTATGTGTGTGAATAGTAGTGGAAAACATGCGTGAGTTGTAGAATCAAGTAGTTGAGTCGAGTAGGCAGCAGTAACTGGGCTGAGCACTCTACCGAGCAACACGCTTCAGATATCGCATCGTGAGGTACACAGCCGCCATGCTGGTGTACAGACCACCACCAGCAGTGATCCAGACAGGACGGTGAACGCTGAAGGAGGTTCGCAGAAAGTTGGCTTCCTTGGGTTGTCTCTCTCCTTTGGGTAGTGTTAGCTATGTCTGAATATCAGGAGCAAGGTGGATGAGACGGTCGGAAGACAAAAGGGAAGAACATACCCTGCTGGAAGATACGCTGGCGCAGATTATTCAAACCCTGCCTTGAGCGGGCAGGGAGGGCTTGCAGTTGCTGCATGATAGGACCCATGGCTGCTGACATCTTGGATGTAGTGTATTGGATTGTATAGTAATGGAAAAGTGAAGTTGATGGATAGAAGTGGATGGAGAGGAGAGTTTCTTGAAAAGTAAACAGTTACACAATCAGGAGACACATAAAAGAAGGACTTATATACACTTTCCAGTATCATCTGACTTAATGCGGGGTTGGGAGTCAGTCAGGACTTGGGACTGAGGGAAAGGTGACATCTAGGGCATCCATGTACGGTGGCAAGCCAATGGTCACAATGCGTCACATAATTTTGGAATTCTAGGCTGAGTTTCAAGACCCAAAACATCCCCATATGGCCTAAATGGCCTTCATTTGATGTCGTGGTGATGATTCAAGTCAGTTAGCTTTCCAACTTCCACGGGTTGTGTTATCTACTTCGAGGTACACAGTTATCCGTTTACAGAAGACTTAAACATTAAAGAGACTTGACGTGGTAGAATTCTTAAAAATAATAATAACCGCCTTTGTGGTTGATAGTGGGCAGTGCCAGTCGATCATCATGGGCATTAGCCCTCTCCCCACATTCTCTGTGTCGAAGTGGTCTTGACTAGCCTTAATTGTATGCTATTGGCTAGGTTTGGCATCAGAGACCAAAATTACATCAATACATGTATATTAAGACATTGTAAAGTACCTGTGTACCTTCAGCTACTTGCAACTGTACATTGTGACACACAGACAAATAGGGGGCTGTCTAGGCGAGATGATCACCCTGCTATAGGATGGTTCCCCTGAAAAGTGACACAGGCTAAATTGGGATATATTATCTATGATTTTATATTTACTTTCATTATTGCTATATGCGTATAGATTTTATGATGATAAACAAAAGTGGAATGTCGTGGTGGAGTCCGGGGGGTTTGGCCCGGTCCCACACAAATCTGGGGGATTGCGGGGTTAGTGGGCCTGGCTGAGCTTAGATTGACTCTGAACTTCAAGACTGGACATGTGCCCTGGTATGGATTCAGCTCTAGAGGGACCTTATTATTAGCGATATACGAAAGTTGATACACTCTGTTGCCATTTGTGAGGACAGCATTTGGAGGGAGAATACTTCATCACCCGACTCTTGGTGACAGGAAAGCCTGAGGCAAATATACATTGTCACCCGACAGAAAGGAGTATTAGGGCAAGAACAGTCCGAAATCTGACTCAACTTTATGTAGATCTACACATTCGTAAAATAAGCATACATTTGAGGAAAACTAGTTTCATTAGAAGTATAAAAGGAGCTAAAAATGAAGCAGGCTAAGAGCATTCTATCCATATCGTTCACCTGAGACAGAATGTCAATGCTCATAAGATATCTAGCCTGTATCTAAAAAGGCGGCGATATAACACTTTCTATACCGATAAGTGAAGGTAAGACCAAGAGAGCCTCTTAAATCATAGAACTTAAAAGCTACTACCACAAATTACTGGCTATAGAAGAAAATATGTTTTCTTAGAATAAGTCCGATGCTTTCAGAGAACCCACAGGTATTAAAGCAAGGGAATTTAGATTATGCTGGTATTTTTGCGAGTCTTGTATGACCTTTTGGATTCGAAGTTTGCAAAGCTCTCACAGTCTCACCTATAATTCCTCGTGAGGAGACGGTTTTCATCTCACTGCTTCTCAATATCGCTGAATGAGTTTGACGGGATTGCATGTCGTACAAGAACAGGCAGACACAGCATGCCTTACTCTCTTATAATGTGACTAGTCCTTCACTTGAAATATTGAATTCTTTTAGCTGAATGATTACAGATAGCATAGTGACATGATACTGAGTCATAGTCAGGCAAGAAAATTAGATTTGATTCAGCCTTCACGCCCTAGTTGCAGATAAATGTCAGTAACTGTTACGGATGAAAAGTTCATTTTAGTCTGATTGACCTCGATGCTACTCATTTCTGCGACGCAGTATAAAGCTTCCGAAACTCTGACTCGCGCCCCAACAATGCCCCAGGAGCATCAAACTCTATCAGTGACCCATTCTGCAGAAGCGCCACGCTATCAAAGCGCTCGATATGCCGTAACCTATGCACGACGGCTATCACCGTTTGCGCCGCACACTCCTGCTCGATTATCTCAAGCATCCGGACTTCGGTTTCCCAGTCAACGCTGCTAGTCGCCTCGTCCAAGATGAGCAGCGGGCTTGGGGTGGTCAAGGCCCGGGCTAGTGCCAACAGTTGCTTTTCGCCATATGACCAGTCCAGCGCGTCGAGAGTCACATCCAGCCCGCCCTTTGCGCTGAGCGACTCCCATAGGCCCACTTTCTTGATAGCGGTGACAATCTGCTCTTCTGATAAGGTGCCTCTAGGGTCAAAGCTATCACGCAGCGTACCAGGGAGAAAGAAGGGGTCCTGTGGGATGACAGTGATCTGTGAACGGAGCGCGGCGGGGTGGATGGTAGAGATGTCCACGTTGTCTATGGTGATGCGGCCCTGGGAGAGTTCCAGCATACGCAAGAGGGCCATGATGAGGGAAGTCTTGCCGCTGCCAGAAGGCCCGCAGACGGCGATCTTTTGGCCGCAGGGAATTTTCAAGGAGAGGTCTGAGAGAACGGGTTTATCGCGAGGACTATCAGACCAGGAAAAGATTGTCAGCAACCTATTGAAGGGGGTTGGAGGGGGAGGTTTTGTCAGCTACTTTCCATCTACATACCTATATCCCGCGGAGACATTCTCGAAACGGATCTCTGCGCGCGTCAGCCAGCCCGCTTCTATCCCCTCTGATGCTTCGACGGGAGTCTCCTTCATAAATTCTTGCACGCGGGCCACGGCACCGAGTGAGATCTCCATCTCCGTCCATGACTCGATGGTGGTGTTCAGGTTCTGACTGATAGAAATAATCAGGTTCAGTGCAACTCCGATTTCACCGGCGCTGAAACGGTCCTTAAGGGAGGTGACCACTGCGACGAGTATAACCGCGAGGAGCATGACTAGCATATCCAGCGCCAGCTTGAGACCCTGTCTTATACAGTACAACATGTAGAAGGGCTTCTGGGTGACATCGAGCTTAGCAATGCATTGCCGGTGGAACTCCGGTTGCCACTGCAAGCTCTGAATTACCGATAGTCCGCTGACGGTCTCTTGAAAGTGGGAGAACAGGAGTGCCTTGGCTTCTATATCCAAAAGACGGACCTGGCGGGAAGTCCGGAGATAGCCGTGTTGGAGGACCCAGATCGCGAGTAGCATGAATGGGAGCGCGATGGTAATGTATTTGCCGACCACGCATAGGATGACCAGGCTGACGACGCATAGACTGAAGGCTGGATGAATGATGTTAATGAAAGAACCTTGATCATGTGTAGTGATTAGATGCTTGCCTTCCACAAAGTTTAATGCGGTGGTAGGGAGCGCAAAGTCGATCAGCTCCATGTCTTGACTAAACCGATTCATAATGCTTCCACTATCTGTTTTCTGGAAGAAACTGAAGGGCGCGCTGGAAGTTCGTTAGTCGAGGCTTCTGATAGCTGATGGTCTTTCAATATACCGTAGAACAGCTTGCAATAGGTCCGAATGCAGAGCTAGGGAAGTGTTGCCAACAATCTCAACGATCAACATCCTACATCAAGATAAGCGACTTTCCAATGCAGGAGGGAAAACGGTCTTACCAGCACCCGGCCCCGAGGGAAAAAATAGCCAACAGAGAAATGACTGTATAAACCCCGAGATATTTTCCCACATGCGAATTCGGATCAGTCTCATTTGCATTGGACCACCATTCTAACCAAATTGCTAAATAACTAGCTTAGCCTCGATTCTTTGAGAGCATATGAGCAAACTTACAGGAGAACTGAGTGGTGAAGCCGTACGCGAGCAAAAATAAGGCAAAGAAGGCTACTTGCAGGAGCCCTGCTTTTCGGGCGTAGTAGCTGTAAATAGACCAGCTGCCATCTCGCCTCGCCAGGTTTTTCTTCAACTCGGTAGATTCGGATTCACTTCTTTCGCTACTTGCATGCCTTGACAGCGGGTTGGGTTCTGTTATTTCGTTGGATTCTGCGTTCACTGCGTCATCATTGCCGTCAAGTCTGGACTGTGTATACTCGGGTAACTGGTCGATCAGTTCTTGGTATGTGCCTTGCAGAATTCTACGACCGGTTTTGAGGACAATAACTTCGTCCGCATACGGAAGTAGGGATCCTAAGGTTTTCATATTAACAACCTTGCATCAAGGAGCCACAGGATATACCCACGAGTATGAGTCGCAAGAACCACGGTTGTACTTGTCCGTCGCAAGATTCCATCACGTCCAAATAGACGCTCGCCCACTATGCGAGTATTTTGTGCATCTAGTCCACTGAATGTATCATCAAGAAGCACATTTGGGAGGCGGGAGTAGACTGCGCGTGCAAGAGCCTAGGTTAAATCAGCATTTAGTCCGTGGCAATGGATTTCCCGGCTATTCTCTCACCACCCGCTGTTTTTGCCCACCGCTGAGACTTATTCCACTACTACCAGCAATGTGCATGCTTCCTTGGGGGAATTTGTTGATATCGTCCACGAGTCCACAAGCCGAGATAGTAAGATCATACCATTTCTGATCTAGTGCTGTCCAGCCAGTGATGTTATCCTGGATGGAGCTGTTCATAATCCAAGGAGTTTGCGGACAATATGCTATATTTCCCGGGGCATGGTACATAGTGCCACTCTCAATCTGAGTCTGGCCCATGATGGTATCCAAGAGAGCAGATTTTCCACACCCGACCGAACCCACGATCATGACAATCTTACCTGTAGGAATGGACAGGGTTAGATCGTGAAGAACGGCAGGGCTTCCAGCTGTCCAAGATATGGATGCGTTCTGGAATGACACGAATTTGTCGGACGAAGCTGATATCCCAAGGGCCTTGGCAGCCACAGAAAGCTTGGAAAGCTCAACACTATCACCCATCGAAAATTCAGGTTTCGTCTGGGCAGGAGGCAATTCACTTGATCTTTCTCGCAGGCAATAATTCTGAATCCGGTCGAAGCAGCCGATAGACTGTGTTACTGTGGGCAGCGCCTGGATTAACGCCATCAGAGGCGTTGTCAAGATGGAGATAAGAGAAAGTGTTGTAAATGCCTGCGTAGTGAGGATCTGCGCATCGTGCTTGGTCACAGCTATAATCGTATACACAAGAAAGACCGAATACGGCGCAAGGTCCACGGAAATAGACGCTAACCAAGACATAATCACATTTAGTTGGTGCTTTTCTAAGAGGTTTCCTCACTTTCAAAGAACACGACTTACATAGTATGACGATTCCCACGATAAGCTTTCGAAATCGCCTAGAGGCACTGAGCTCGACCTTCCGATACCGAGTAATGATATTAAACAAGATGACTTCGAGTCCCATCATTTTGACAGCTTTCATATCCCCCAGCATTGCTGTGGTAGCTGCTAAGCGTTCCTGGATATGTCCCACCCACTTCTTCTGCGCCTCTCCGCATTTAGCGGAAACAGGAGTAGTGGCAATAATACATACCACGGCGATGACAGCCGGAAGCACACAAGCGACATATACTTGACTCTCTAGCAGCCAAATAGCAATCACCACAGAGATGAGAGAAGCCCATATCTCATGCAGCAACCGCATGCTCATTGTGATACGTGTCGTATCCGTGCCCATGAGGGCGACCGCGTCCCCAGTTTTTGAGCCGGTTGTACTTCGTAGCGCCAGAGTTTGCTCATGAATCATGGCAATCAGACCCGACCGTACGACGGTCGCCAGTCGGCTGGCCTGGCGGTAGTAGCTCGCTGTGCAGATGGCGATTCCGGTGTAAACGAGCGCATATGCCCCGACCAGCGCATTTCCATATCGCTGCCTCTCCGCGGTCATCGGGGAACCCATCCACTCGATTGTGGCGGAAAGCAGAAACGGCTGGCAGAAGGTGAATCCTGCGAGGAGAATCCGCGGGATGATCGCGGAGAGAAGGGGCCGATAGTATGCTCGGAAGGTCGCTTTGATCAGTCGGTACTTCCCGTGGCCGTTGGACCAGGTTTGCGCCAGGCGCGCCTCTGCGCATTGTCCCAGTAGCTTGGAGTCTATATCTGTCAGGTCTTCCAGGCAGATAATGGATTTATAGGCGTTCCGAAAGAGCGGAAGGACCCAGAAAAAGAGGTTGCGTCCCCAGAATCCGTGGATCTCTTCGATCGCAACATTTTGGTAGAGTGGCTTGATGAAGTTGACTTTCCGAGCAGACTCCAGGACAGTAGTCGTGACAACAATAATATATATAGCCGTGAACAGTCCTCGGGGAACTGGAATGGAGGGGATGAGCCATAATGTGCGCAAGTGAGGTATGTAGAGAATAGACAAGGTCGAAAAATAAACGATGAGCGCATCAGACGGCTGGATAGCTCGTTGATCTTCAAGAAAGGACAGAATAATCGCTGCGAGTGTTGCGACTATATTGATCGCTGCCGCCGGAGTCGAAATCTTGGTGTGTAGTGCTACGGTTTGCACTTGGTAGACAGTAAAGACGATATGCAGCACGAAAAGCACAAACAGTAGGATCTAATGTTCTTGAACAGTGAACAAATGTACATAAATCATCCCAAATCCGATGGGAAATACAATCGTACCGATTTATAGATTGCGAATTTGAGGGAGTTGGACTTCACGGCTGACCGTCGCAAGATCTCGAGTCGAGGGATGAGCCATAGTAAGAAAGCGAGTGACGGCAAGATACTGAAAATGGCATCTTCAAAAAGCAGAGTAAAATCAAATGCTCGACATTTGATATCGACTCGAATATTGAACTGATTGTCACCATCGACAGGACAAATGTTCGAAACCATCCTATTCAAACGTTGAACCTCTGTCTCTACTCCAGAGTCAGTCTCAAATTTTGAAATGACCAAATTTTATGGTCCCACAGGTTTAAGGAGATAAGAGACTAAGTGCTCAAAAGATATAGGCTACTGGACTAGCCTAGTGTGATATCGTAATAGTAATTCACTGGTCCTACTGGCTGGAGTTGTTTGAGGCGCTTTTATTCCGTCGGATCCCCGCTTCAGTTCAGGGGTGAGAGATCGGATAAGAACCCCCCAAATCCTACATGTACAAGGAAAGGTTTGATCTCATAAATGATGTTGATTTTAGGTTGAATTTTCGCCATGGGCTATGATTTGATTATTTGGATGAGGTAGATCACTTAATGGGAGGCCATCTCTAGCACTTTCTTGGTCGCCCATACAATCCCCCATATCTCTTTTGTTCAATAACGTCGAGATCACCAGTGACAACATTATACAGATGCAGCCCATAAAGGAAACAACACTCGGTACCTTGTTCCAGAAGAGTGCATCGACAATCAGCGCGAGCACTGCCTGGGCATAAATCATATTGATTCCTCGCTGCGACTTTGCTGTAGACAGACCGGCTGCAAGTAAAACGTCCTGCAAGTCTTATTAGCCCGATTCAATTATTTTAGACGGTCGGATTGCGAATAGAAAACATGACGTGTAAAACTAATGTAATGGGATATCCTACCATCAAGAATCCGAACACGCCGACCGCGAGAAGCAAAAGACAACTCGACCAGTCTAAGCGTGATATATTATCCCACTTCACGATCCCAGAGCTCATGACACATGAGATTATTGCGGCAAGTATTAAGGTAGCCGCAGCAAAATATTTGACGCTTGTCAATGGATGAGTCCTGGTCCCGATGTAATGAAGGGCTATGATTGCAGTCTAGGTGGAATATTTAGTAAATCAGAGTCCTTCCGCTTCCGATAGCTTGGAAATTGACCATTCCCCCTTGTGCTCCTAGGATAGCAAATCCAACCCCTGCACTTTTGAACACGTTATCTATATCCCTTGTTCCTGCCCGCCCCGAGCTAGGTTCAACGTGGGTGATCAGTCCAATACCTGTTAACGATGTTAGCCCAGACATGATCTGAACCCACGAGACTGATCCTGAGGAAATGATTCCTATGACTGCGCAAGCCCCCATCGGGGCCAAGAAATTTAACACTGTCGCCTCCGCTAGAGAAAGATAGATTAACGAAACTAAGTGGTGGCGATTATAGTCAGTCTTCATTTTTCAACTTAGGCTTTTGAAAGCAAATAGAGAAAAAGGCAATCGATACTTGCAGTAAAATCCGATCACCCCAAATGCCCCCGCGACGCCTCGCACCATCAACAACATCTGCAGCGAACCAGGCTTTCCACTGCTTGTGTCCTTCTCGGAAAGAGGGGGTGACATGGGCTTTGGGGAGTCAGGTCTCCACCAGAGATAGACTATGCTCGCCACGACGGTAAAGGCCATGCGAATTCCCAGTATCTGGAGCGGGTGAACGGTCGAGCTGCCTGAGGTCTGGAGAGACTTCGCCGAACTGTTCAGAAATACGGCGAACAGTTGTGAAAGCAGGATTAGAAGCCAATCTCTGTTTTCCACGTATCGTTTGCGACACGAATTGATCATCCTCTCACTACGACTCATAGCGAAAAATATGGGGTAACATAAACGGATACAATTTGCCTCGGACATTCGCGACTATGCATTTTATGATTGATGATTTTCCGCTCAATCTCGTTGTCAAACGCTTTCCAAAAAAAATAGAAATTAGAAATAATAACACCGTATGCAACTAAAAAGGAAAAAGGGGGCATGTAACGCTATTGTGGCAAAGAAGATCGAACAGAGGATCAAAACCTATCAATTATGAGTAGTTCAATTTTAGTGAATCTTTCCGACGAAGCAACGAATTGGAAGGCCGATTGATAGGGAGGAAATGAGGACAGGGATATAGATCAGCAGGCGCTCATTCGTAAAGTTTTGCCCGGGGCTAGGATGGCGACAGATAGCTAGGCGTTTGCTAAGCACTAGCAGGGTACTAAGAGTGGATACACACATAATTTAAGATAGAGTATAAAGTACGGGTGATGCACCGGGGCACCACCGGCATAAAATTATCCTACTTGTGAGACAACCTCGGCAAGTCGAATATGAAAAGATTCCGTTCCTCAAAGAGACTAAATGCGGGGAAAATAAGAAGAAAAACAACTGACACTTCCTCTTCCGAAACTCCTGAGCCCCAATTAGGATAAAGCCAAGAGTTCAATATAACTTCCTATACCCCCACTTATCAGGTTTCAGCAGGCAAAAGCCGGAAATCCCCGATTGGCGACACAAAAGGCGATCCCATTTTCAGTATTTGCCCCAAATGGCTCGGACAAAGAGATGGCTTATCAAAATCCATAGGTAACTGCACTAACAGGTACTATATTCCTACGGAGTACTCCGTACTCAGTAACTAAACTAGTCAATTGATAGCAAATGTGATATTTCCATCATGCATGAGAGATAGATAACATTATAGCCTCTAAGCTTCTAACTCTAATACTGCCCAGAACACATCCATAGTATCCCACTTGACCATCCCCTCGGGGCGTAATGCCTGCGTAGACTGCTCGACGGCTTGAATCGCAGCTGCTAGTGACTCGTCATTTTCTAGTCCCTCCTCTCGGATCCATCCTTGGAAGAGCGGTGATGAGACGAATCGAACCTCCAAGTCTCCATCTCGCATCTTTTGCGGCGGCTGCAGATAACCGGACCGGGACTCACGCCATCCAAACTGTCCTGCGAGTGAGACTATCTCCTCCGGTGTTGGCGCGCTGCGCACATTGGGCTCACGCACTCCCGTGGCTGCTGACTTGCGCAGTGCATGGAAGGTAGATTGCGCGCGCGCCGCTAGTACATGCGGCACCTGCGCTGGGCGTGACGCCCGTAAGCCATACTCTGCTAAACAGAGGTAACGCACTTTCGCGTCAGCAAGAAGTCGGAAGACTTCCGAAATCGCGTCATGACTTGGGAAATACCACAAACAGTGGCACAGGACTGCGCAATCAAAGGGACGATTGCTGTCACGATCATCGCGCAGCAGGCTGGCAATGTCGGCACGTCGAAACTCGATCTGGTCACCCAAAATGGAGGCCTTAATGTGCTTCTGAGATTGTGCTACCGTGTAGGGACCACCGTAATCTGGGGGTGCCGTGTCGATGCCCACGATATGCCCGTTGGGACCCGTGGCCACTGCGAGCACTAGGCTTGATTCGCCTTGCCCACATCCCACATCTAGCACACGGGAGCCGGGATCAATCTGCCAGGCATCGCTAAGAGCGAGTCTGTGCAGGAATTTCGGTTCCACGCTGGACTCGCGTGCACGCTCATCGTGGAGATAGCTTGCCAGGAGGGTATCCATTGGGTAGTAGGTGCCGAGGTACGGAAAATGATAAAATGTTTCGACAAGAGAAGTACTGGCCATATGCAGGTCAGCTTCCCTTTCTCAGCACGCAAGATATTTATAGCGTGTTCTTTCCAATATTATGCCAAGCTGCACTTGATAGGAGATAAGGACCTCTGTCAGCCGCCATGCGATGTCGGGGATCAAACTTGCTTTGCATGGATGAGACAAGGATGGTAAGCTTTTCATCAGATCGCCTCAGATTGCCTCACATTGCGTTAGATCGCCACCCTGGGTGGTTACATCGAAACCAGCCAGGACTAGGTATTCCAATGCGCGTGTCAGCCTCGGTGCATGGGCCATTTATCGTACAAATCACCTCTGATCTATGATACAGTATGGGTACACTAGAGATACCGTATTACCAAAACATGTTATCTCCAGTTAGAATAGCTAGCGACTATAGCCAACGTTGAACCTACTTGCTTATTTGCATCTGTTGTGTTGTCTCCAAACTCATTTTGACCGTAGATCCTCCTGCTTTATTGCCTCCACCATTCTGCCAATTTACTTACCATGCCTAATATCCGAGCGCTGGCAATGGACTCTCTTAAAGGTAGTCCTCCTCGTTACTCATCCGATTCTGAAGCAAACGAGGAAGACGGACAGTTCTTGCGCCATGTTCCAGGAATTCAGGAAGGGCCAAAGTCTCGTCAAGCTCGAATGGCATTATCGCGGACCTGGTGGATAGCGACTGCGCTGAACCTGTTGCTATTCCTCGTCTCCGTGTATATACTGTTTGACTCGCACCACCTGCTGCAAGATCTTCGACAGAACAAGAACAATGTTTTAGTCAAAGAAGTGGATTTCTTTTGTAAGCTCCCTAATTTCTAACGATTTTTTATCCGCGAGGCCAATACACGTGTTCTACATCAGTACTAACCAACTATATAAATATACAGCCCCCTTCCTCGACCAAGTCAACATTCCTCTCCGCGATATCAAAATCAATGGCAGCCTTCTAGATATGGACACCTCCATCTTCCGAGCACCGCCCTCGCCCGAAGTAGACCGCGCCTGGAGTCGCATCAGCAGCCTCGCACCCCATGTCATGAGTGGAGACGACGTTTTGCGGTTGGGCAAGGACCCCACCAAGACCGCTCGCTTCACCGAGGACTTTGGATTTGGTGAAGATGCCCACATTGCTGAGTTGGATGTCCTACACACGATTCACTGCTTGAACGCCATCCGCCGCGATGTCCACTGGCGCCACTACTACCTCGACACGTACCCAACTGGCGAGTTTCCAGAGCTGCACCGCATCCACACAGACCACTGCCTCTATGTCGTACTACAAAACCTCATGTGTGCGGCTACGTTAGATGTGGTGACTCAGCCCTGGGTTCACGGCCAACTGCACCCATTCCCGGACTTTAGCATCAACAAGAAATGCCGCGATTTTGGGTCAATCTTGGACTGGCATGAGAAGACGATGGTGAGTGATCTGGATGCATATGCAGAGCTGCGTATGCCCGAGGGTCATGTTCCATATGAGATGTCGGAGGAGTTTTATCGGGCATTTGGGGTTGAGGGTGGGGAAGAGGAGCATCACCATTGATTTGTTGTAGATGTGTTCCGTTTGCTGAGTAGTTGCACATTTCTTCGGCGATAAACCCATGAAGACAGTAACTATCAGATGGAGGGCCTGGAATTACTTATCAGAAATATATTTTCGGCGTATTGCCGTTAGTTGAATATAAATATAAGGGTTGAATTATCTAGGCTGGACTAGACTCAGGCCTTTACTATGTGTATTGGTCTATGCTACGTATGACTTGAAAAAATCTCGGCAGACTATTACATCCATGAGTACATAAATGTAAATCAATCATTTATAAAATTGAGCTCATATATAGGAGGAAACTACCTGGAGACCTGTCTGTGCAGAGTGCAGAGCACAATAATCGCAAAAGCATAAGTATAGTATACACTCCAGTACATGTATAGACATCTAGGGATTTATTTTAAGGAACGGTATGGCTAAAATTTGACATAAACACTACGAATAGAATGGAATAAGTTTTTGAACATATTTAAGGAACATTTGAGGTTATATGTAAGAGATGGTTATACGTGGCCTATATAGTGATCAGAATATCTAGCGCACGTAACAATGACAAGTGCTTCAAGTATTTCCATATGTATCGGTGTAGTGCCCCAAATGTAACTTCCATATAGAAATCCACCTGTGCGCGACATTCACTCGTAGATGGTGACAATTGGAAACGTGTACGTTCTACCTCTAAGCCAGCCCCGCTTCTGCGCTTCCCGCCACTGACCCTGGCCTTTCGAGACGGATAAGGAAAATGACCGCTGTCATCGCTCCACAAAGGGCGGCCGAAATTATGTATGGCATGCCCAGCCAGACACCACCTAGATTCATTCCCCAGCGGAAGGCCCACGACATCATAGGTCCCGCCAAGAGCGATCCAAGGGTATCCATCAGGGCCAGAGTGCTGTATAATGTACCCATCATAGTTGGATCCGTCAAGGAGCTGATCAGGCTTCGTGCAAAAGTTGAGAATCCGGACCCCGCGGTATAGATTGCGATGCCTATTTTTTATTCACATCATTAGCCAAAGGAAAACACAAACTTTCTTGAGCGTGACAAGAGGTAGTGGAAGTTACCAAACATGGAGAGCCCGACTACTGGGGCGATTCCTATGATCGCAAACCCGATAGTGATGGCAACTATGCTGATTTGAGCAAGGTAGAGGTCCTTCTTTCGTGGCTGTTGCTCAAAGCGCTTGCTCATCTTGCGATCTATCCACGGGAGGATCAACATGAATTGCAGTAGCTGTGCCGCAGCTCGGAAGGAGAAAAGCCAGCTCGTCTGAGAAATAAATGGATGTCAGCATGTATTTCAAATTCCTTCCCAGCTTGAGGTAAAAGAGGATATTTTTCCTTGTACCTTTGCAATGGGCCAAGAATATCGATTGGAGATATACTGTAGGAGAAAGGCCATAGAGTCCCGCGCAAACGTCGAGATGAGAAAAGAAAGTGCGAGAAGGGCGATGTTCTTCTGCGTAAAAATCACCCGCATGCTATTCTTAAGGCTGTAAACCAAAGCCATAATGCTCCCGGAGTCTTCCAAAGGCGGGGTCGACAATTCCTCATCGTCATTGGAGCTTGGGATCTTGGTGTAATCGCTTTTTTTATCTCGGACAGCATAGCGATTGGTCTCGGGCATGTACCATGAGAGGGTAATGGAAATAGCACCACAGACGGAGTTCAAGAGAAGGGGAACCCAGAGGCTTTTTTTCATCAAAAGTGAGCCAATTGGGGGCGAAATGATTTCCGCAATAATCACCACTGCGTTGAAGTACATAAAAATCTGCGACCTGCATTCACGCCCTTATAATTAGTGCTGACGATTGATAGAAATACTAGCTATTAAAAAAGAGTTTACCTCTTAATCTCCGGCGTTGAGTCCGTAATGACCATCATACTCACTGAAGCGGCTACATTGCTGCCGCCTCCAATGATGAGAGATAGAGACGATAACCATATCGCCTTGATTGGTAATCCTAGCCAACCTGCGTGCCATAAATTAGCGCACTGCTTGTGATAATAAAACTCGACTTGAAAAAGATAACCTACAAACGATCAACACCCACGTCATTCCAATAAACTGCCCCACGAAGCTCAGCGTCATGATCAATCGCCTTCCATACTTATCTGCTAGAATCCCATATGGTAGGGCAAGGAGAAGTCCGGGGATGTTGTCGAAGAACGATTGCCATCCAAGCAATTGAGCTAGCGCGGCCTGAACAGGTTCTTCCTTACAGAGATGCTCAGGAATCCCCGCTTGTGACGCCGAAGGATCCAAATCTTCATAGTACTGCTGGCATATGATCGACTCCAAGAGACGCAATTGCGGTGCGGCACTAATAAAGTACCCAATTCCCATCAGAAGGTAGATAAGAGTACAGAAAATCGCGGGGCGCCAGTAGACAGTGCTAACATCATTGTCTTGATCTGGACTTGGGTCTATTGTGGACTGATCAGGCTCTTCGAATGTTTGGTGATGAGCCATTCTTTCAAGTGTAGATTGAATGAATGTTGGGAAAATATCGCGCCTGCTAGGAGTGGATGTGTAGAATGGAGAGAAGAGGGGATTGCACGGAGATTGCATGGGTAGGAACTAGCCGTTTGAGATGAAAGATACCAAACCAATACGATACAAGCATGACACAACGGTACATACTATCTTACATACCATTACATACCATGGCCGCTTCTCCGCCGGAGATCCGACGGGGCAGCGGCCCGTCCCGTTTCCCGCATTCTAATACCAAGTTCCAAACTGGAAGGTAGCCGCTCAACAAAACACAATAATCCTAGTAAAGTACATTGCGTCCATTATCTAGATCAAAAAAAAAGTACGTGATAGCAATTCCGATTCCCAGTACTGCCAAACAGGGAGTGAAACAGGAATTCAACCCGATCCACACTGTACGCTTAGACTTTGACTAGGAAGGCCAACTATTCCCCACTTCCATAGTAAATTCAGCACCAGTCACATCTTGCCTTCCATTCAACCATTCCATCACTCTCCATTTTTTCAATATTTTTCTTCTTGAAAACGCAATCTCAAAGAATCATGCTTGGAGTAGTAGAGACTGGCTATTCTCGAGTATCATCAAGCGATGGAGGGCTTGATGAGCTCAAGCACGGGGATGGGCTGCAAAAGCCTAAGCCCTGGAAGAGGAATGGTCTTGTCTTGACCATTCTCGTCAGTGCCTTGACAGGTCTGATCTTTGGCTCCATCTCCTCAACCTTGACAACTGCGGCCGTCAACCATATCCACCTCAGCGTCAACACCACCGAGACTGCGTCTCCTATTCATGTGAGCGATGTCAACTTCATGAACGACTGCGGTGACTCGCCAGCCAAAGCGCGCGCCCAAGGCTGTGCTTTCGATACCATAATGCAACTGTGGGTGCCGCCTGCCTGCCAGGACACCCACCTGACCGACCGGTTTGTGGCCGAGGGCAACTGGACCTGGTATGCCGACCAACGCGCTCATAATCCCATTCCATATGAGGTGCTAGAGCAAGGCGAACATCAAGTGGCATTTGCGGCGGACCATTACCATCGTGCCCACTGCTTCTACACCTGGGAGGCACTGGTGCGCGCTCTCCGCAATCGCAGTCCCATCATGGAGGAAATGATGTCCTACGATCATGTCATGCACTGTAAGATGATGGGGTTACAGCCCACGCCAGTTAACTCAACCATCGGTGTGGAAATTCATCCAGGATATACGCGCTGTGCACCTTACGAGACGTGGATTCGCAATTTGCCGGAAGATGAGCATTCCTCTCGAGACTAGGCACCAGATGCCCTTGGATATATATTTGTCGCCTTATTTTCTCTATTTGTCAAAGGGGCGAGTGGATAGGAAGGGGATATCGATATTTTTGTCATTAGTCTGCATTCAAACGTCATATATTGTAGAATCAAGTGCAGCAATACGCCATTGTGGACTTTGAAGTGACTTGCTAGCTATTGCGACTTGCGTCAACAAGGTAATACTCGTATACTAAGAAAATCGTATCCTAAATTGAGACTATTGCGGATCAGTGAAACTTACGTAGATTGACTGAGCGCGTGGAAGGTGGTAGACCGTAAACTCCCTAGGTCAATTTGAGCTCCACACCACCCTATCCATAAGTGGTAATCCTCTAAGACTCCTTTAGTCCGGATATAGATTTTCAAGCGCAAAGTCAAGTGAGGGGTATCACAACCCAATGCCATATCTTCAACTGTCCCTATCTTCGTGGCGTACGGACCAGTCGCGATGTAAGTGTCAGACCGGCTAATCTGGTCAAATGAGGCAAAGACGGCACGTCTTTCGTAAGATTTACTAGTGTAATCCTCTTGCGTGATGATTAGCGTATTTCCTCGTGCATATCTAGTCTCATCGGCCAGGTTAGGATGTGACCCTGGAATCCGCTAAGTATTGTACCAATTGATCCCGGCATCGGTGATAGAGAGTGCGTTGTTCGAATTCATTAGAATTTCCGAGGAGGGGTTGGTAAAAAGCGTATCGCTGACGAGAATGTTGCTCTTTGTCCCGAGGTCTGAAGTACTATAAAGGGTGCATAGATCCCATCACATATCGTTCTATCCAGACAACGACAGCCAGTTCAGTTTCAAATCTTTCTATTCAGGAAAATCGTGAAGCCACATCTCCAGTCTTCCGTTCTAATATTTCATCGGTCTAAAATCTTCCTTGCAATATGCATCAATCCAAGGTCCTCGTCGGTGTTTTTGCCATGCTTGTGTCTACGGGACTTGCACTGCCCGCTGGCAAGCAGTACCTCCACGTGACCTCTGATGTCCTGGACAAGCGTGAGGCTGCCAAGCAGTATCTCCACGTTACGTCCGATGTCCTCGACAAGCGTGACCCTGAGGCCGCCAAGCAGTACCTCCACGTGACCTCTGATGTCCTCGACAAGCGTGACCCTGAGGCCGCCAAGCAGTACCTCCACGTGACCTCTGATGTCCTCGACAAGCGTGAGGCTGCCAAGCAGTATCTCCACGTTACGTCCGATGTCCTCGACAAGCGTGACCCTGAGGCCGCTAAGCAGTACCTCCACGTGACCTCTGATGTCCTGGACAAGCGTGAGGCTGCCAAGCAGTATCTCCACGTTACGTCCGATGTCCTCGACAAGCGTGACCCTGAGGCCGCCAAGCAGTACCTCCACGTGACCTCTGATGTCCTCGACAAGCGTGACCCTGAGGCCGCCAAGCAGTACCTCCACGTGACCTCTGATGTCCTGGACAAGCGTGACCCTGAGGCTGCCAAGCAGTATCTCCACGTTACCTCTGATGTCCTGGACAAGCGTGAGGCTGCCAAGCAGTATCTCCACGTGACGTCCGATGTCCTCGACAAGCGTGAGGCCGCCAAGCAGTACCTCCACGTGACCTCTGATGTCCTCGACAAGCGTGACCCTGAGGCTGCCAAGCAGTACCTCCACGTGACCTCTGATGTCCTCGACAAGCGTGACCCTGAGGCCGCCAAGCAGTACCTCCACGTGACCTCTGATGTCCTCGACAAGCGTGACCCTGAGGCCGCTAAGCAGTACCTCCACGTGACCTCGGACATTCTTGACTAGATTGGATGCCACCTGCTGTCCCTTCTGTGTATGTCCTCCTACCAAACAGGAGGCGTGCTGTTTAGGAGAGAGGGTTTATATTGGACTGTCACGATTGAAAACTAGTTTCTACAAGCCAGATATCCTCACTCTAGGGCATTATATTATTTCTGCCTCTTGTGTCCTTTTTGTACCCTTTCGGATCTAGACAGTTGCCTACAGTTGGAATATTCTTTCATCACTATGTGGTTAGTGTAGCTTTGAACTGTAGTTATTTTATTCCTATAATGTAAGCTGCAGTGGTTAGGTAGGTAGGATTTCAACGGTCAAAGGTATTCCGAGGTTTATATTGGTCTTAGTTTTTCCGAGCCTAATAGATTTCAAAGTACAGAAACCGCCATTGGGCTCAGTTTGCTGCGAGGGGTTGATGTGTTATAGGTAGTGCATAACATCACGCAATGAATCAAGAAGTCAACTATCATCATATTCAACGATGTTAGTAACTTGTATAAACGTGGTTCGATCGCCGGGTGAGCATCCAAGGTTGCTCCCAGAGCGTCTATAGGAATAAGAATGACGTGTTGTAGCTGAAATTTTTATTTATATATAGGGTATAATATACAAGAATACGGAATACCTAAACAGGTATAAGCTAATCCACGGCTACCATGTCTAAGTTCACACCGCGAGGGGCACGGCATGTCCGACGTGCGTCATCAGGCATACTTGTCCAAATCACCTGATTGACCTCCCTGCCAACCTGCTCGATCGCATCCATTGCCCAAAGCACATCCAGATGCTCGTACTCTTCAATTACCTTTGAATGAACAAGGCTCACATGAGGCTCACGGCCACTCTGGAAACGATTCAGGAGTCGACGACCATCAACAAGAGCATCGGAGCCTCCGATCCAAAATGCAAACGGGGGTGTTCTCGGGCCATACCAGGGGCTCTGAGCCGGAGCTCCCAAGCATGCATCTCGGGGATCGTCGCCATGCTCAGAACCAGGATCTCGCATATGTATATTCGCGTTTGTCTCATGAAGGAGCTCGTTATCTGTGGACAAAATGCATTTATGTTTTGCGAAGCTGTCGCTTCCCAGCCACCAGCGCATTAGCTCAACACTGACATATACAGGAGCGAACTGAAACATTCTATGACGCAGATCGCGCTCCCAGCGCGTGTCTGACCAGTCGAACAAAAAGGAGAACACCCAATATGCTAAGGTTCCATATATCCTAGACGGAAGCAGACGCTGGGCTGTCATCATGGAAGGAATGAAAGAGTGGATTCCGAAGATGAGGCGGAAAATTGCCGGAGGGAGAAGGGTAATGAATCGGAAATACGGTCTGCTCACAAGCGGACCGGCATATGCAGCCGGTGCAAGCGCGCAGAAAACCGAGATGTATTCACCCAGCTCGGGACGATGTTCCTTGGCTAGGGCAACAAAGGTCTGTGTAGTTCCTTGGGAGTGGCACACGAGACCTAGCTTCTCGAACCCAGTCTCGTAGAGCACACGCGAAGTGAGTGCTGCAAGGTCCAGCGTTCCGAGATGTCGAATGTCCCAAGACCACATACGCGGGTCGTGGGTCGACAATGTGGTGTGCTCTGGGTGTGATCCACAGCGATTATTCCCTAACCACACGTCATATCCAGACTTGCAGAGGTAAAACGCCAGACTATCCTCGTCATTGGTACAGAATGCACCAGCGCTTTGCAGCAGCCCATGGACCAGGAGAACAGGATATCGACGGTTAGATTGTGGACGGGATGTATTCGGCATTTTCGGCTTAGTAAAAACATCAGGCCCACGCTCACGTCGCTCTTCTGGTGATAATGCCTCGTACTCCTGAGGATTGTAGACATGCCACAGGGTGATAATGAAACCGTCCTCCGTCTGAACCCGAAATGTTTCCACGTCGAGACCAACTCGGCGGGCATAGTATGCAACGTCACAAATCAAAGGGTCCTTGCCTCCTTCCAATGACGGGCATTCTTGGCACTCTTCAGGTCCCTGTTCTTCGTCCATATCCCTCTTCTGTTGACGTAGGGCCCACCTCCGATCGATGCTGGCCCTTGCCTTCCTGCGTTGCTGTTCCTCTGTATAGAATGACCTCCTCGTATCTGGATCATGGCCACTCAATCGTAGACGAGCTTCCGAAATTACGACTCCGGCTGTGCGGAACAGGGCTCCAACAAATATGACCGTCAAAAAGCCTAGCGACAGAAAGAAGGAGGCGACAATGAACGCACAGTACTGGGCTCTGCGAAATGCGGATGGGGGCCCGTACGACGGCATGGGTGGGAAAAGTGGGTGTTCTGAAGTCAGGAAATGGAGTCCGGGCGAAGGTAGCTTTTCTCTACACGATGTCCCAGCGAGCTCCATGGCCGACATAGCCTTGCTATCGCGGGCATCCTTCCCCACGTTCCATTTCTCCTCGGGTTGTATTCGGTTGGATAGGATGTCTCGTGTGGCTGCGCCGGCGTGACTCGACTCCGCACGTGCGGTCGATATGAGGGGTTCAAGCGGAATTGTTGTGACCGTCATTGTCATAAATTTCTCTCTTCATCCGGGATCCAAAGGGCACATTATGATATCTGCTTCTAGGCCCCGGGAATGGCGAGTAGAGTCCGGAGCACTAGAGTTATAAAATATCACCATGTATCACCGTGATTACCAGGGCCATGCATGCCAAGGCGCCCTGGACGGAGTCACGTGAGACTCCAGGCACAGGATCTACTCAGCCAATCGGAGGTCCCATGTGCATTGCTCTATAAATAGCATGACAAGGCATGTCAACTGCTTACGGTTTCTGCAGATTCCACCGACGATAATCTTATTTTAAATTGTATAGATAAAATGCCAATATTATCTCTAAATAAATACAAACTCGAGGGGTATCAAGCGTGTCAGACTTCGGCAGCTCTTTCATTGCCCCCTGCTGCCATTGCTGCTCTTTCATCAAGTGTAAACTCGCTCTTAGCCTCTCGGATTCGCACGAAAAAAGCGACAATAAGAAGGCCTAGTATGGCTAGTCCGGTTTCATACCAAAAGACAGCCTTATAGCTGTCTTTACTACCTAGCTCAGATGTCTGGGTATGAACAATATCTGCAAAACCAAGCATCACAGAAATTCCCATGTGCAGAGTGCAGTTGATTAATGCACCAGCTAAGCCTTGCCTTGATTTTGGAAGGTTTGTAGTGATGAAGACATTGGCAACATTGAAGCTGATGTCAATGCCGACTGTGCCGCATATCATCGCCGGGAATACGAAAGCCCAGTAATTTCCGCCAAGAGGGATAACTGCGAAAAACAATCCAGAACCCACGTAACCAAGACATGATATCAACATCAATATCGTTCCTGGGACTTTGTGGAAGATCATCCCTCCTCCCACGGAGAGAATAAGACCACCAATTCCCATAGGCGCAGTCCATCCCACGATTTGCATTGGGGAAGCACCCATTATCTCAGACATACTATAGATGTTGTCAGCACCAGTCTAAACGAGATCACAATGATATAACTCACTAAAGCACGGCATAGAGCAAAAATATGCCCAATGTACCATAAAGAAATAGCAAAGCGATGACCAGAGGGAGCATATACTTGACTCGAAAAACGTCACCAGGTAGCAGAGGGTTCTCCACGACCCACCCTTCCACATAAACCATGACTCCAAGGAGAATGAAGCCAAGAACGAAGAATAGAGGGATGTATGGTGTTTTCCATCCTTGTGGCGCATAGGAACTCTCAGCAATGGCAAAAACAAAGAGTACAGCGGCCGGAATAGAAAGACACGCTCCAGGCCAATCCATCCTGATGCCCAGTTTTCTCTTCTCGGAATAATCGCGCGGAATAGAGAAGAGTGACAACGCTGCTGTGATAGCGGAGAGAATCGCTCCAAAGAAGAAGTACCATCTCCAGGTGAGGTATTCACCGGAGAGTCCAGAGAAGAAAATTCCCACGAAGAAGCCCAATGCCGCGCATGCACCGTAGATACTGAAGACCATATTTTTCCTCGGTCCCGGTCTGTATGTGCTACCAAGAATCATGATTCCCGATGGAAGGAAAGCAGCCAGAGCAAAACCCTGCAATGCTCGGCAGATAATCAACATCAGCCATGTTTGGGAGACGCCACATAGGATGGATGATATAGTGAGCCAAATAGCGCCTGCGCTGTAAATAATATATCCACCGAACATATCCGTTAATCTGCCGAAGATGAGGAGCGTTGAGGTTACAACCAGCGATAATGCGGTAGACGGCCATATCGTGGAGGCTTCGGGAAGGTCAAGCTCTTTGACAAGCGTTGGAAGGAGGACATTTGAGCCTGAGATGTAGTATTCCTGGTAAAAAGTCAGAATTTTGCCTGATGGTGTAGCGCCATCGTCGATGACCTACTGCAAGGATTTGGGACATGAAAATGGAGAGACAAAAAGAAACCTCTGACCAAGGGCCAGCAAAGCACTTTGGGCGCTCTCTTCCCAATCTTTCCAAATCAGCAGTCTCTTGATCTATCCTGGCCTGCTCCGTAGGATACGGCAAAGCCTCATCGCTCGGGCTAGAAGCCTCTCGTGCGCCCATGATACTTGATCAAAAAGCGTGTCTTTTCTTGGTGTTAGATTATAGGTGAGCAGTGCACCATTGTATGTGTGGTGTTGTAAATATTTTTATAGCCATGGTAGATGGCATTTCTAAGCGATGACGCCCCTAACAACTACACTGCCAGACCCAGTAAACTAGTATTATCTGGTGAAAAGTACCCATTTCTCGAAGACAAGTAGAACTTCTTGCACAAGGAAGAAACATGATTTGTGGATGAGAATAGATTCTGTGTTAAATCTCCGCGCCAAGACTTCTACTTTGGGCTTCCTCTTTAGGAAGTTGTGGGGAGTGGGGCTGACGAAATCGGAGACGACGTTGAGCATCGACCTCATTCAGGGGGCTTCTTCGATTGGACATAACTATTCAGGATTCATTGAAAATGTTTTATGTGATGTCTCGTTGTCATCGTGTATTTTGCGCAGAACTTTGGCTCGATATTTTGCTGCTCAGCCAAGTTTATCTGACAATTGAATAATCTCCTGACACTTTACCCCTGTGGCAGCCCTGACCAACGATCTATGTAGAGCATTCTTGCCGTGGTTAGTGACCAAACTGTTATATATGTACATACTCCGTACATATGTTCAGTCACATGTTTAGCCCCGCTTTGAGGCTCTTTGCCTTTAGAGACAACAAAAATAGTTGTCCACACTCAACGTTAAAGTTGAATTGCCTTTTTGGGCGATTGGCGAGTTCTAAGCTTGAATTCTGTCCCTTTTATACTCTAGCATCCTTGTAATATCATATCTAATATTCATGTATCAGAACTTTGACGATGCAATACTTTTGGCATTAATTTCAGACCGTCCATCGAATCAACACAAGAGATAGAAGCCAGAGCGACCGGTGAAGAGTCACAACCCCACTCCACACGACGAGAGAACCGGTGACACAGAAGATCTAACTGTGCTAGGCACCGATCCAGAATATGAACAATACTGCATAGAACTGAAGAACCAATTTCTCGACCAACTTGCCGAAACACTAGCTCGCTTCAAAACTGATGCTCCGGCCAAAACATCGAATGATGCAAAACATGTTTCCACGGCTATGATGGTCTGCAATTAAGACGAAGAGCACCTTACGATATTTTGTGCTAAGTATGAAGGGCTTGGGAAGGAGAATGATGACTTTCTGGCTAGCAATCCCGGGACGAAATGCCTCTCAGACGCGTTTCCCCATTCACACAAATACAAGCTGTGTGGTCAATTGTGCGGATTTTGTTGCTCAGCTTGTCGCATGGATTATTGCTCAAGGAAATGTCAACCAAGAGACTGGTTTAGACTTGTTTTCATCTGCTGTGTCAAGAATCGGCACAATGACGTGGAGTATCTAAAGATCCTCACCAGGAAATGGTCTACCCTGATGAACGACTTGGTCTCCCGAACTCATATCCGAAGAGTTCTCTTTCGAAATGACCATCTCTGCAAAATTTTCCGATTGAAGGTTTGCGCACAAGAAAAAGAAATTGCCAATCTTTTCTCCATATACAACAGTTTGACCTACAACTTTTCGTCAAAGACGCCTCGGCTTTTTGTCGAGCACCATACTCTAGGTGGGTTTATTGAGCTTTAGATCCAGATTAACCCGAAAACAACAGTTCCCTATCATTGTTTCTCAGTCGGTGTCTGTCACGCTTCCTCCATATCCCTAGTCCTGGTTTGCAGTATATTTACCAGCTTTGGTCCATACAAAAGATGGAAAAAAACGTTTTGCATTGTCTCTGACAGTGTTTTATCCAGACCAGACCATGTCATTACATTTTTGTATGGGAGTCTTCTTCAAAACTTCAACAAGATCCCTAATGCCGGTGACCCAGAAGGGATCGGATTTGGCGTTTGTTATTGCACAAATAAGGCCCAGATAGAACAGCTTGCAAAGGCTTACATACAGCTTGCTACCCCCGCATCGCTCGGTGAAATAGCAACAGCATGGATGTCAGATATACTACTTGATATCATGGCGACTGAAGGTATTGCAGTATCATCTCTCGTTTTTGATGGAATCTACCCCAGGCAACCTTCCCGCGAAACGGACACCTACTGTCTCATGCCAGAGGTCTCACACGGTCTCAATGGTTGTCCATGCTATCCATACAAGAAGGCTAGATTCCAATCACATTTAAAAGATGAGCATTTGCTCTACAAGCAATCCGATGCGGGATACGGATTCCATTTAGTTGATACCTAGGAATGCTAAAGACTACTGAAATTTTATTCCGATCTTTTCGCAAATTCGAAGTTCAATCTGCAAAAGATGCAACAAGTAGAATGACATCTAGATGCATAGAGCATATATCGAATCCTTGGTTACGGTTTTTTTGCCATATAATGTGGAATGAACATCTTACGGATGGAATATTTCCCAGACTTACCTCTCGATTGGAATTCCAGGGCTGTTATCCGTTTTACGAGTATTTTACTCATCAACTTCCTGTCTCTGAAGGGCTGGATCATGGCTTCAATACGGAAATTGACCGACTCCGTAAGCAACACGAGGGGAGACATAGAGACCAGGTTTCTAAATCATAAATCGGGAGTGACCCGTACTCGCCCGAGCACCATCCGAACATCCAACATATGCCATTTTTCGCTATCTCTTTTCGATTTTTTGGTTCCCTACGCTCGACCTACTGCGACCGCGATATGCCTTTGTACGCTGCAGCGCGGTGGTTTATCAAGCACCAGAATTATCTCTACTATCCCATACCTTTAATAAGTCATTTCAACTTATACCGCCTAGCATGGTTATATCTACTGGATCCACAGCAAGCGTCCCGTAAAGATTCAGTATAGTGGTATCGCTACCTTGAAATTACTAGTCAGGTGTTCTTCTGGTTTTGCTACGGCTACCGACCGCTTTATCTCTCGATCCGGACATAGTCTTCCCGCGTCGCATTCTTATTCATCTCGAATATAGTCACCGTCCCGTTGTACGTCCAACTTACGCTTAGTCACTTTGCTATGTCGAGCGCCGATAGGGGTCTTCACGACTCGTTTGCTCAGAAGCTAGTCCGGACGACGATAGACGTCAATTGCTTACCTTGGTTGGACTTTATATATGGCGTTCTCAATTACCAAGTAGTGTACTATTTATTCCCTCGTCTCTGGAGATATAACCTCCACCGGGTACAAATTTATCTCACGGAGTTCTGCGACACTGTTGAAATTCCTTACGTGAAATTTACTTTCACACGCGGAAATAAGGAAGTCATTGGCAGACTAGGTGAGGTTGCTGAGCAATTGAGAATGATAGAGGAATGCAAAAATGTTGCTGCAAAGGATTTGATCGAGGGTCATCATAGCCTTTGGTTGTTTGTTTTTGTTTTGTTCTTTTATTTTGGGACATATAGCCAAACATACATATACTGTAGGTAAAATTATCTAGATGTATGGTAATATCAATTAATAAGGCGAAGCGAAATTGGCCATATACATTATAAAGTATACTATGTGACTACCTAGATCATTGGCAAACCCCCAGCGCCAGATAAAATGATCATTCATGGCAATAAGATTTTCCACCTGCAGGTTAGAACCTTGGAACGTTGCCAAGTAGACTCTTATTCGGAACTTTAAAGAAACCGCACTTGAGGTTTTCGGCACTGAGATGAAATTCCAGATACTCAATCCGAGGGCTCACTTCCAACACACCATTTGCGATTTCTGCTTCTCTTCCTTGGCTTTTCTTGCTATGTCAGCCGAGAGATGGAGTTCTTCTACTCCATGACTCGGCTTATCTATTGCAACTTGTAAGATACAGTTTAGATAGTCATTCTACACAAAGTAAATTAGCATACCTGTAGAAGCCCCATTTTCAAACATATATCTTTGATGTAGAAGGTGACATGAAGCAATCAATTTAAATGCCACAAATTCCGAGGACGCCCCGGATGTCAGATAGTAACCTCGTGCGCGGGTGTTTACCCTTTCAGGAATCTTCAGTGGCGATCAATGTAATCAATGTAACACCCCTCACAAACTGAAGAATTTATCCACTGATTCAGCAACAATTTGGACAATCTAAAACTACCTCAAGATAAAATAGGAGTTCTCAAAATGTTCATAATTCCCGAGGGGTAGTATATATGCAACGATAGCCACGAATTGGACAGTTTAAACAGCCTGCAATCAAAATGAAATTTCCCACACACCTTCTTCCTTTCTTCCTCGCTCTTGCCCCTTCAGCTTGGGCTGCTTCCCCTAGCGATCTTCAAGCACAAATTGGGCACCATGTTATCTTTTCTTACCCTGGCCTTGAGCCACCAGCCCATCTCCTCGACCTGATCAAGGAAGGCAAAGTCGGTGGTATCATCCTCTTCGGCGAAAATGTCGGTGCCAACCTCACAACCACAATCGATAACTTCCAGGAGACCTATAAGCAAAGCCCGTACTATTCAGGCAGTCCATTATTCATCATGACGGACCAAGAAGGCGGAAAAGTGCGCCGCTTAGCCGGCGGACCAGTGGAAAGTGCTAAGCAAATCGGCCAAGCCGCCGATCCGGAAGTAGCAGCGACACAGATGGGCAAAGATGCCGCAAGTACCCTCGAGAAATTCAAGAACAACGTCAATCTGGCTCCTGTATTGGATGTTTATCGCGAGGCTGGAGACTTTACCGATGCCTACCAGCGCTCCTTCAGCAACTCATCCCGCATCGTTGGAACATGCGGGTCTGCGTTTATCAGCGCACAGCAGTCAGCTAATATCATTGCATCTGCCAAGCATTTCCCTGGCCTTGGTGCAGCAGGCGCAAGCGAGAATACGGATGTGCAGCCCGTCACCATTAACTTGACTACTGAGGAGCTGCACAAGGTGGATATGGCACCGTATACTCAGGCCATCGCGGCAGGTGTGGACATGGTCATGACTTCCTGGGCTATTTATCCTGCTTTGGACCCGACCTATCCCTCTGGACTGAGCAAGACTATTATTCAAAATGAGTTGCGGGGTAGACTTGGATTCAAGGGTGTCACTATCACTGATGCCATTGAGGCGGGAGCGCTAGAGGCGTTTGGTGATCAGGCTGCTCGTGGATTGTTGGCCGCACAAGCTGGTATTGATATCTTGCTTGCGGCTAAGAGAGATGTCACGCAGGGAGAGGCTATATATAACGCTCTGCTTGCTGCGTTGCAGGCCGGGTCGTTGGATGAGACTTCGTTCTCAGCTGCCACCCAGAGAATTCTGGAGGTTCGGAAGAAGCTTGCTCCTGTTTAGATAGATGATGGATTGTTTGCTTTTAAATAGACCGAAGCTGTGTTGTCTAGAGTTGCGTTGACTTCGAGGAAATAAATTCTACCATAGATTTTGTATAGCGAGAGTGACGTCGACAATGATATATTCCTGTTTCTTATTTCCCACGCAGTGCAACCCTGTAAATAGATAAATATTGATCAACCAGAGCTTTGTCTAAATCAGATTAGAAGCCGAATAATCTACACGATTGCCTCGCCTGCTGATAAGGCTCCTTGCAGTTGGGGAATCAACTCCGGTAAGCATTCAATTATGACCGCATCCAAGGGGGGAAATCTAACGCGTTGGAATTACCAAGAACGAAGTTGAACCCTTCTAAAAGATTCGTGCCAGGAAGGATAGCGCACGCTCGTTCTGAAAATCGGGCCAATCGTGACATTATCCGAGCCATACATGAATGAGACTTTGTATGGCGATCACTATATAAGGCTTCTCTGGCAGATCTTGGCCTGTCCATGTCAAGGACAATAACTTTATTCTCACATCCAAATAATGACGAGACTAACTACACATATCATATGCCACTTGATAAAAAAATCCATGTCTGCTCGCACTGATAACAACAACCATCGCGACTCCACCACCACCACCACCAACAATGGCCATTTTTAGATGAAAAAAATATACCAAGCCAAAAAAGAAACCATTTGACCGACGCAGGGATCGAACCTGCAATCTCTTGATTCGTAGTCAAGCGCCTTGCCATTGGGCCAGCCGGCCGTTATGAAATTTCGCCCAAATGTGGACTATAACCGAAAACGAGGCGGGACCCACTTTTATGGGTCTTATTCTCATAGGGGACATTTGTGTACTCCGTACAGTCGTCGCAACTGGACTATATTTACTTATTTATGTATGAGACTACTCTAGAAGTAGTGCAGGTGGCTTGTTTTACTTTTGGTGTATTTTTTGGCCGTTTTGTATCTATATCCCCCATGTCGCAATAACCGGACACATTATATATATTACCACCCAGCCTATAGATACAATCTCTTCTACTAGTTAACCCTTAACCAAAATCTAAAATATAAACCATCCAATTTCATACTCACTGCTGCTGTACAGACCCATGGTTGAATATCAACAGACAAAATGCTAATTGTCGCCGAGGTATTTCCTAGTCAAGCCAAGCAGATGAACTAGGGTCATATGGAAAGTAGAATATACGTGAAGTACGAATAACCAAGTTAGTATTTCTATATAGAACGCTGCTACGGTGGGAATTGACGTTCTCATCCACGTGATAAATCTTGTAGCCCACATGGTTTACCAATAGCGTCAAATAGCTTGTATGACTAGTTTAGGGACAGAGGCATGAAAGGCAAAGTTCATCACATGTCGGCATATATTTGCTTCTTTCTACAATACTCCGTGATAGCGATAGAAATTTCGTATACATATAGCATTGGGGATAAAGCACACCAAGTGGTTTGCGGTACGGTGTACAAACTAGACCGACGTCGTGTTGGTGCGAAGATGTGAATATTTGCATTTAGCACAGGCATTGGTTCATTGAGCCCCCACTATTCTAGGTTTTACTATTGCAAAAGGCCGTACACAATGCGTCTGCTGATAAAAGAGGACCAAAGATACCACAGGGAAAATCGCGATTTAGGGCTTTCAAACTGCGTGATATCCTGGTATCGAGGTTTCCCAAGAGCTTAGCGAAGTGAGTACCCTACATAGAGAGTTAGGGTGTATAAGTGGGTATTACCGAGAGAACAGAGGAACTAAAGTATACCCATAACCCCCGTAGCACAGCTACAGTGATCAGTCCCACAGGAACCAGTTGATTTTATAATAATTCGTGGTGTGGCTACGATCCTGTACGGAGTACAAACATCACATGAAGCTATTTCAATGGGTGCTTTCACAGAGCTTAAAGGATACCGATAGGACCATATGTGATTTTAACATTAATGCATATTGTGATTAGAGGATAGGAAGGAATCTGAATTGGTTCGGAGGCCGAAACAATTTCAATAATGAAGCTCCGGTCCAATGGGAGATTTCCTCTAGAGCTAGGCCGATCATGAAGACAGGTGGACCCTGAGATTTCTTAGGATCAGGCTGTGAATATAAAAATATAACGAAGGCCAAATTTGCTCTAAGTTGAAGTAAATCTATTGTTTTGAGACATGTGGGAAATTGGCGGAATAACGAAGTACCTTGAAAGAAGTCTCGCCACTATCGGGAGGTGGTTCCGCCCTTCGCCATTTCGAGCTCCACTGCGTCAGCGGCCTGTGGTTATCTCTGGCGCTCTTATTTTTCGTCCCTTTCAACCCCTCCTTTGTCTAACTCTCTGTCACTCCCTTTCCCCATTTTTCATTACAGGTTCTCTACCTATTGAGTAGAATCTTGCCATTTTTATTCCGTGGAGCTCTGATTGAGCGCCGCAAACCTCGAGCCACCATCATGGGGCTATCCAAAACGAACAGGATCTTGATCTTGCTGGTCATCGATACAGCATTTTTCTTACTTGAATTAATCACTGGTTCGTCTATTGGTAGATTGGCCGTATGCGACCGGGTTCTGACTGTACTTTCCTAGGTTATGCCGTCCACTCCCTTGCGCTCGTCGCCGATTCCTTCCACATGGTACGCCACCATCTACGAATCTGCTCTCCGGCTGAAACTGACCTGAATAGTTGAATGATGTCTTGTCCCTGTGTGTCGGATTATGGGCCGTGAAGGTGGCGAACCGCGAGACCAGCTCCAACACTTACACCTATGGCGTAAGTTGATTGTCATACCAGCCGAGAAGGACGATCTGACAGTTGGATTTCTTTATGCAGTGGCAACGAGCGGAGACACTTGGTGCCTTGGTAAATGGTGTATTCCTAGTCGCCCTGTGCATGTCGATCTTCTTGGAGGCGACTCAGCGATTGTTTGAACCCCAGGAAGTGCAGAACCCCCGATTCGTCTGCATTGTTGGCTGCTTCGGCCTAGCTTCCAATATCATTGGATTGGCGCTATTCCATGACCACTCCCACGGACCCGGCGGCGGCCACGACCACGGCCACAGTCACGATCACGATCACGACGACCATGATCATGACATCGAGGCTGGAGGTGACCATGATCACGATCATGACCACACACCGGTCACTGATCAGAGTGAGAGCATGGCGGGCGCTACTGCTGGCTTTGGCAAACCCGCAAGCTTGCCTCAAACCTCCATCACCCACTCTACCACAGAGCCATCCCGAAAACGGAACGACACCCAAGCCCGCCCAAGGATATACAGTACTTCGGCCCGTGGATTTGTGAGCCCCGACGATATTCCCGTGCTTCCAGAGAGACTGAGACAAGGGATCATTGCGGCCAGCCAATACCGAAATGAACAATCATCGGATTCAGAGAATGGCCATGACGAGGATGAGATTCCGTCTGAGCGCTCAGGTCTTCTGAGCCACCGCGATCGCACTACCAACTACACTGACGAGGAAGGAGCTCCGATCCACGTCCACAAGCCCCGCGATGAAGATGTCCACAAATCTCATAATCATGCTCAGCCTAAGCCGAAGGACCAAAAGAAGGGCCACAGTCACGACCTCAACATGCGTGGTGTCTTCCTTCATGTTATGGGAGACGCCCTTGGAAATATTGGTGTGATCGTTTCCGCGCTTGTTATCTGGCTGACTGACTATAAATGGCGCTTTTACGTCGACCCAGGCATTTCCCTCGTTATCACACTGATCATTCTTGCATCCGCTATTCCATTGTGCAAAGCCGCCTCTCGTATCCTTCTTCAAGCCGTGCCCGCCGGTATGAGCATTGATCACATCAAGGAGGATATTGAGGGTCTTCCTGGTGTCATTGGCTCACACCATCTGCACGTTTGGCAGCTCAGCGATACCAAGATTGTTGCTTCAATCCATCTTCAAGTGGACACCGAAATCAAGGGTGAAGGCTCGGAGAGGTATATGCGTCTGGCCAGACAGGTGAGGCGCTGTCTCCATGCCTACGGTATTCACTCTTCGACTATCCAACCTGAGTTTGCGCCGGAAAGTGATACCGAAGAAAATGGACAACCATCATCCTCTCGGGACACCGATGACCATGTTCCTAGCCGAGCTGCCAGTGTTCGGGAGGGTGACCCTCAAGCATGCCTTCTGGAGTGTGACGAGAACTGCGCCCGCGGAGGCCAGTGTTGCCCTAAGAAGTGAACTTAATACCCTCATGTGGTGACTTTCCACATACTTTCGTTTCTCGTTTGGTACCATGATCCTCAAACATTCCACCTCTACGGTGTTCCTATCCAGATACCCTATCTTTTATTCGTCTCCTATTTGTTCGGGCAGATTCACATAGACCTGTGTCACTCATTCCCAATATTAATTGCCTGGTTTTCTTAGAAGTGCTCCTCTCCTTTCAGCCAACTGCTTTTGGGAAATGCATGAGAAAGCATGCCATGCAATATCATCCTAGTATCTGCGGACATAGACCCGCTGACCTGCTGTATTCTTTGAGCTGCATTTTTTTTATGTACTTCTACTGTTATCTTTAATTCAAGACCTGCGAATCAGCCTTGGAAATGTATATGAGTAATTTCTATTGTAGATCATACCCCTGTTAAGGGTCTACACGTGACCACCCCATGTCTGGCGATCGACACATCTCGACCCAAAGCTTAAAACAATTGCGTGTCTGAAAATCCCCCTGTCTTCAAATTGAACACCATGTTATGAACTTTTTCCTTTTTTGATCCTTCATATTTCATTCCTTTGATTTGTTCTTTTCAGTCGTATGCTCAGAGCATGACCAGTCATTCCTTTTATTGAACATCAACCCCGTTTCGTCCGGGGTCGAGCCACCTTGTCACTTAATTTAGTCTTGCTGTCAAGCTAAACCAAACATGACATTCGCCTACCCACGCAACACGGGCGCTTCTTCCCTTCCCTCCTTCAACCAAAATCAGTCGTCAACATCGCAAAATATTCTCAGTCGCGCCTGGGACTGCATTCCCTCAGCAAAACAATGGCTGCCCGGGAGTGTTATTCGGGAAATGGGCAGAAACCAGGAGAGTGAGGGGATCAAGGCAAGAACAGTTAACCTTGTCAAACGTATCTTTACGATACCCAACGCCATTATTTTGCTGTGGATATTCTCGATTCGGTGGGGTGAACGGACGGTATTCCAAGACAGCATCAACCAATGCCTTTGGGATAGCTGGGAAGAATGGGTAAGTTGGGAGTGGCATACCTGTCGCAACTCATTCTGCTTGCCTTATTTGGTACTAACAATTGGATGTCTCTCTAGCCTCAAGGCGCCACACCACACCACATTGCCTTTATCGCCGACCCCCAACTCGTTGATCCCCACACTTACCCCGGTCGACCATGGCCTGTGTCGACGTTGACGGTCAAATACACCGACCAATATATGCGACGGTCATTTTCTTTGATACAAGATTTCCTCGAGCCGGACTCAGTGCTGTTTCTTGGTGACCTTTTCGACGGTGGTAGAGAATGGGCCACGGCTACAACTAGCAGCCCCGAACAGCGGTGGAAGAAGTACAAGGACACCTTTTGGAAGAAGGAGTACAAGCGATTTGTTAAAATCTTCTTGGACCCGTGGGTAACATCCGTGAAGCCACCTGTCGATGGACGAGGGCGCAAAATGATTGCTAGTCTACCTGGCAATCACGATCTTGGGTTCGGTAACGGCATCCAGGAACCCGTCCGTGATCGATTTGAGTCCTTCTTTGGAAACCCCAACCGCGTCGATGTTATTGGGAACCACACCTTTGTTTCAGTAGACACTCCCTCGCTGAGCGCGATGGACCAGCCTGATCCGTTGACGGGTAGTTCTCCGACCGCCAGCGATGAAAACCGTCTCCAGCGCCCGATCTGGAAAGACGCAGATGACTTCCTGGATAAGATGGCTATTTACAAGGCCAAGGCAGAGACGGACGAACTGCGAACGTTCCAAAACCAGAGTGAAGGGCATAATGTGTTCGATTATCGTATTGTTGACGCTGTCGAGCCTAACATCCACCAAAAGCCCCAGTCAGCAGGCGTTGGGCTTCCTACTATTATTCTCACTCACGTCCCTCTCTACCGCAAGCCAGCGACTCCCTGTGGTCATCTCCGCGAACACTACCCGCCAACTCCATCAGACGAGGAACTGACAGAGGACGAACCTAACTCTCTGAGAATTGCCGGAGGATATCAGTACCAGAATGTCCTCACGCAGACCATTTCCACCGAATTGGTTTCCAAGGCAGGACCCAACGTCGTCCAGGTGTATTCCGGCGACGATCATGACTACTGTGAAGTGTCCCATCGGGAATTCAACGGCTCGCCCGATGAAATTACAGTGAAAAGCATTTCCTGGGCGATGGGAGTGCGTCGCCCGGGCTTTGTGCTCACCAGTCTGTGGAATCCAATCGACCCCAAGACTGGCAAAGCGATCCAAGACGGATCACCACCCACTATCCAAAACCACCTCTGTCTCCTCCCCGACCAGCTGGGCATCTTCCTCTATTACCTTACTATCCTCGGCCTTAGCGCCTCCATCCTCCTCCTCCGTTCTATATACTGCGTCCTCTACACCCCAGAACCATCCCCATCCGGCGCCATTCTCCCCCTCACCGAGCGCCGCTCTCTCCCACATCACCAGCACCAGACCTCCGGTGCGTCCAGCTCTACCCCCTCATCGGCGGGTGGCTTGGCCAGTCGCAATGGCATGGCAGCCTTCCCCCGCTACCCCGGCGCTAAATCCCCGCAAGATCCTTATCGGGGTATAGACGATGACTTTGGAGGCGTTACTTCCAAGGAGAAGGCTGCATGGCGTCCCGCCTTGGCTACCGGTCCCCGCTCCACGGTGTCCCTCATCGCCCGGGATCTGTACCATTCTATTAAGTTTGTGGCGCAAGTGGTGCTGATTGTGTATTTCATCCTGATCTGGCGCTGGTAGCTAGTCCAGTCTTTTTTTTTCAGCGAGCATCAAAACATAATAGACAAGCATTTTGCCGGAGCATGCCGAATTTGGGCGTAGTCTTAGTGTGATCGTGTGACCTTTTCCTAGCACCCCGGGATAACAATAGGGAAAAAGTACGGGCTAGAGCTCAAAATGCTACATTGAAATACTCCACTTCTTGGCAAAACCACCTGACCGGCACGTTTTTATTCAAAGAGCCCGATACCGACAGTCAAGTGTCGCCGACGATTCGCCGGGACTGACTAACCTCGGGAAAGCTCCGGGGACTTCGGGCTGTCTGTCCAATCCGCGACTCGGGAAAAATAGCTGCACGGGACCCGTTGAAGCTTTTTGCTTAATTTTTCCCCGAGATTGTTTTGGGCCTTGGAATAGTGAGACTTGGGGAAATTAGTGTCTTTTTCCATGCTTTTTCTCTCAAATTGTACGCCGGTGAACACCATATTCTGATCATTCCTGGTTACGGAAATCTTGGGGTATGCAATCCATGTCTGGGGAAATTTGGAGGGGAAAAGATGAGGATTTGAATTTACAATATACTATCCAGTCTAAATAATATTTTGTACTATATTGTATGTGATCTAGGAACTCAACTAGTTACTCTATACCAATGACTCAACTAATTTCAGATATAAAACCCATAGAATCATGTGAGAGAGAAAAATCCCGCTTCCTTTTCCCCCAGATGCGGCACGCCGATTACCGATCGGCATTGTCTCAACTCGGGTCTCCCCCGTTTTCGGCTGTCATGTGGTATGTAACTATTTTTGTAACACAAATATTATATAAACGCAATACTATGTAGTATGTACATTTCATACATTTTACTAGTATATCTATAACATTGTAGTTTTTGTATCGTATGTAGATACAATGTTCAGGGCAAAACCTTGGGAAAAACCTGGGGGAAAAACAAAGTCGGTTCGGCGCGAAAGCCAATTTTCCGATGACAAAGTAAGACACTAACTGCATTTGGCATCTCCACAGACTAGTCCTCCCCAAAACATCCAGATGTCCGAATGGATGGGGTGGGGGGAATATGCTATTCTGGGGGGTTTTTCGCCTTCTATAGGCTTGGGGCTGTTTTCGGCAATTTGTTGGCATATTTCCCCCATGTGGTTTGGGGGTTTCATGGAGAAGTACAAATAGAAGACCATTGACCCCCAGGTTTTCACTTTCTTCATTACTCTACTTATTCTACTTCCTTCAACCTACTCTACTACTCTACTACTCTACTACTCTAATACTCTACCTACTCTACCTACTCTACCTCTTTCAACCCTTCCCTACTGTGATCTTCACACTCAACACATACACACTTAGATCAAACTTCCTTCCATCTGACCACATTCACAATGGGCTTCGCTTTGAAGAGGCCAGATGATGCCGTGGGCTCTGCTGCCCCGGCAATCATGATTGGATTGTTCGTTGCATTCGGTGGTGTTCTCTTTGGGTATGTACCTCACACATCTATACTCCTATTACTCCAGGTCTAACAAGCACCATCTAGATATGACACCGGTACCATCAGCGGTATCCTCGCCATGAAGAAATGGCGCGAGATGTTCTCGACCGGCTACATCAACCCCACAGACAACCTGCCTGATGTCACATCCTCAGAATCATCAATGATTGTCTCTCTGCTCTCAGCAGGCACATTCTTCGGTGCCCTCGGCGCCGCCCCCATCGCCGATAAATTCGGCCGCCGAATGGGCATGATCATGGAGTGCTTCGTCTTCGTCTTCGGTGTCATCCTCCAAACCGCCGCAACCTCCATCCCCCTCTTCGTCGCCGGCCGCTTCTTCGCCGGTCTGGGCGTCGGTCTTCTCTCTGCCACTATCCCCCTCTACCAGTCCGAGACAGCACCCAAATGGATCCGCGGTACCGTCGTTGGCGCCTACCAGCTCGCGATCACATTCGGTCTTCTCCTTGCTGCTATCGTCAATAACTCCACCAAGGACCGTGATGACACTGGGTGCTACAGAATCCCTATCTCCATCCAATTCGCCTGGGCTATCATCCTCGTCGTAGGCATGCTGCTCCTCCCCGAGACTCCCCGCTTCTTGATTAAGCAGGACCGCTACGAAGATGCCACTAAGGCCCTCGCTCGCGTCCGCCGCATGGACGTCAACGACCCCGCTCTCATTGCTGAACTCGCTGAAATCCAGGCAAACCACGAGTTCGAAATGCGTCTCGGAAAGGCTACCTACCTTGAGATCGTCCGTGGATCCCTTGGCAAGCGTCTGGCAACTGGTTGTGCTGTCCAGGGTCTGCAACAGCTCGCCGGTGTCAACTTCATCTGTATGTTTCCCCATTCCAACCAATGATCCTTTCAACACATCACTAACAAAACACAGTCTACTACGGCACAACCTTCTTCCAAAACTCCGGCATCCAAAACTCCTTCGTGATCACCCTGATAACCAACATCATCAACGTGATCTCCACATTCCCGGGTCTCTACATGGTCGAGAAATGGGGTCGCCGCCCCCTCCTCCTGTTCGGCGCCGTGGGAATGTGCGTCTCGCAACTCATCGTCGCGATCGTCGGCACAGCCATCAACTCCGAAGTCTCGAACAAGGTCCTCATCGCCTTCGTCTGCATCTACATCTTCTTCTTCGCCAGTTCCTGGGGCCCCGTTGCCTGGGTCGTGACCGGTGAACTGTACCCCCTCAAGGCTCGTGCCAAGTGTCTTTCCATCACCACCGCCACCAACTGGCTGCTCAACTGGGCTATTGCCTACGCCACGCCGTACATGGTCAACAGCGGGCCTGGAAATGCCAACCTCCAGTCTAAGGTTTTCTTTATCTGGGGTGGATTCTGCTTTATTTGTGCCGTGTTTGTTTACACTTGCATTTATGAGACTAAGGGCCTTTCGCTGGAGCAGGTTGATGAGCTTTATGCTAAGGTGCCCCGTGCTTGGAACTCGGTTGGATGGGTTCCTTCGGCAAACTATAATCTCGAGCAGCTTGAGATTGATGCTGGGGAGAAGAGGTCTGAGGGTGCTATGCATCTTGAGAGCGTTGAGGCCAAGACTGATGTTTGAGCTTGATGTTTTGGGATGTTTTTACGATTTTCTTTCTGGTTTTGTGGACGCTTGGGTCTGCTTTGAGCGCTTTTATTTTAACTCAATGGTTCTATGGGCTTGATTCTCTTATTTATTATTGTGATATCTATGGAATATGATGATTTTTATTTCAATCTGGTTTGAAATTCTTTATTCGTATCTTTAGAGTAAGAGAAATGCCGCATACATGGTTGGCTAGTTAATGTAGGCTATATGGGCATAATCCTTTTGTTTTTCCCCCTATAAGTGGTTCTTATGTGTGTCTTCTTTTCTCTTCTAAGAAAAGACCAATGATGCAGTCAACCCTATGGTATTACGAGCTAACAGAGAACCGGAAGAGAAGACACAGAGGGAGACTAAGGAAGGAGCCTTCACACTACAAGCAAATAAACAGGCAGTCTAGCCTGAGGTGTCAGGCAACAACCAGGCGCCCAACGTTTTCTACATGAATACCAGAGCTTAAACAATTATACATAGATCTAGTAATACCGAGATAGATCAAATCCAGGATGCTCTGCAATATACAGAAACTCGATCTACTAGCTACTAATAATGAATTCAAAGTACTACATAGTAATAATAATCGTATCATGCATGACGATACCACGCAGATACAGGCACTGTAGCTGCATAAATCGTCTGTATCGGCTACTATTTCCTACATGAACATAGCACATAATGTATCAATTGACCCAAGTGATTGGACCACTTGCAGAATCCATTCATTCCATTGTTTTGGTGTGTATGCTCCTACCTATAAGTGTACATTTTGGAAACCAATACCCCCAAACCCATCACCATCCCTCTATTCTTTCTACTTGATGGCAAGTCTTGTTTCCTCACTCCAGCATTACAATGGCCGCGCATGAAAATTTCCAGTCTCACGAGGACTCCTCTCTCGAGTCAGGTGGAAGTGATTCGAACTCAGCACTACTTCCTCGCGCCGAACCTTGGAACTACCAGTCCGGAGAATCTTCCTCGTTTCTGGGAGGGCAGATTTGCAATTCTCGGAATTGGCTAATCGCTCTCAATGTTCTTCTGTTTCTTGTTACCATAGGCCTGTCGGCTACTGGCATATTTTCTAGGATTACAGAGGATTGTCATTGCAGTACAGACTCGTGGACAACCAAGTTCGAGGAAGACCGTGAGGACAAAACCCTTCTCTCGCAAAAAAGGCTAAAAAAAGGAACCGGCTAACCAAGAGTTTTCTAAACCATAGTGCAATATACAAGCCGGGTTACATTCCAACCTCATTCATATTTCGGCGGACCACCATCAAACAGGACAGATGAGATGTGGAAACGGCTTTCTCCCCGTGAGTGCAACCTTTCCTTTCAGTTAAGAAATATGATCAAAACTAACCAATTATCTATCAGCTGGTGATGGTATCATCGAACTTCCAATCGCAGCCGCAAAGAACCTCCCCGAGTCCCTACCCGCCCCAAATAACCCAGAGACAGCACTAGTCTACGGCGTATCAGTCTTTCACCAGCTACACTGTCTGGTACGAATTTCAAATTTGGATTATTCATAACGGATCCTCCATATTCATAAAATATTTAACCATTCGTGTAGAACTTCCTCCGATTCGCCTATTACCCCTCCTCCTTGCAAGACATGGACGCAGAAGAAGTCGTCTTCCACCGCGACCACTGTCTTGACTATATCCGACAGGCTCTCATGTGCCATGCAGACCCTACTTTCGAGCCAATGACCCAGGTAGGAATCAACGGTATGGGAGCGACCCATCAGTGCCGAGATTTCGATAAGATCTTTGCTTGGGCGTATGAGCATCGGTCGAATAAGGTGTATGGATCGGGGTATACTGGTGGCAAACTTACGCACACACCTGCCGACAGGAATGATTTCGATGAGAGTCTGCATGCTGGACATGGTCATTGAGAAAATAGATCTATAGGCTCGGCTGGAATTTCCTATGTGGTTAGGTTTAGTATCTGAGAATGTGAAATGGGAAATTCGAGGTTCTAAACTTGCAATATTTGCCGAATTAAATACAGTAATAATTATCTCGAGTGTATATAGTATTTTTCTTTAGTTCCTTGCGTCCTGCAATCGTAGCGTCTTATAATATTTATGTAGTCTACTGCATTAGGACATTTCATATCTGGAAATCTGGAAGCCCTTGCCTTGGACATAACTTACACAGTATCAATTGGGCGCGTAACTCAGTTGGTAGAGTGTTCGCTTTGCATGCGAAAAGTCCAGCGTTCGAATCGCTGCCCGTCCATTTCATTTTTTTTTCCCGCAAGGAAGAATAGTGGGGCATTTTTCACTACCGCGGGTTATTCTTGTTGGAAATATCTACCAAGCAGACTTCATCTCAAGTATGAACCGTCGATTCTATATGTACGGTCTTTTTTGGTCGGGCGTTTGTCTATGTATGACTCTTTAGGCCAAAGCAACGTTTCGGGCAATATGTCGGTCAAACATGCATTTACGTAGTGATTTTCTACGGTCGGGCTCTTTTGTACGTAGTTCCACAGCTTAGCCCTGGAGTCCGTCTAGACCACTTGGGAGGTTGGAGGCATTCGGGTAGGAAAGGCCCTACACCTTTGCCTGGTGTCTTTCTGCGACATTGAACCAGTACAACAACAATATAGCATACATGTGCATATGCATGTCATCTAATCTTCACAAAAGCTAAACTCCAGTCTAGTCAAAGATCGGCACTGCACATCTCCTCTGGCCAGATCTATGAATATTCACAAGTGACTGCGTTTTGAGACCCCCTACATATGTTGCATTCAATGTGGTATTTCACCGAATATGCCATGAAACCTGCGGTGTCTCTGTCTTCCCCGCATATCGTCCGCAATACCGTCCGCAATACCCCTTGTTTTCTCTCTGTGTGTCTTGCCTGTGCTTTATTCCGATGAGGTCTGACGCAACTGGATTAGCCAAGGAGAAATGAGGCAGTTCTAAGTAGCAATGACCTGAAAATGCAAAATTAGTATCTTACCAATATTGCTGCAGCTCTTACTCATTTGGCTCCTCTATTCGGCACAACTCCCTTTTTCTTTCGCTCTGATTCTCTACTTTCTTTGCGGACTAACATCATGCGGGCTTCGAATCTAAGAGATTCCGATTTGAAATACCGAGAAATAAACCACAACGACGGAGAAGATATACCACCTCCAGTGCCTGAAGACCATAGGCATTGGAATCTTCTCCTATACATTGTGATCTCAATCCTTGCAACTGGGTGGACTACGACCACAGTTCTCTGTTGGAAATTATCTACTACAGCACCCGCAATTAATGGCAAGTTCCCGCTCGGCACGCTCACCCCTATTCCAGAGGATGTGTTTAAACCAGTGAGGAGGGTATTTCAACCCGATGACAGATATATTGGAAATTCGAGAGAGGTAGATCACCATTGGGATGAGCTAGTAGCTGGTGAGATGATAAAACTCTTCCCTTCACATTGGCTTGTTTACTCACATTTTTAATTACAGGTCATGATGCCGTCTAGATCGAGGACCCTGACAGGTGGGGGTTGCCCGAGGGCATCGTCGCGCCATTCGATCATCCAAACGAAACCGATCCCCCAAAACACGATTTCTACGTGATCTCAATCCTTCACCAGCTTCACTGTTTAGTGCGTTTGAGACTGGCATATCTGAATTAAAGATTTTTCTAACGCTAAATAACAGAACATGGTTCGCTTTCAGTTCTGGCAGGCTCGGGACGGTGTCGACCTCGATACCGAACACGATGCGGTCAAATGGAATCTACATGTCCTGCATTGCTTTGAATATCTCCGGCAAGCGATCTCGTGTGGAGGAGATCTCATAATAGAGGGATCAAGTCCGATCAAAGTTGGAAATGGTAAATTCAACCCTTTTTTGTTATGTATTATTCGAACTAATCTAATCCTTTGATTTCTACAGGGCATGCTACTTCGGTTACTGGCTGGGGAGTTCAGCATGACTGTATTGATTTCGAGCTACTGCGTCAGTTTCAGATTGAACAGGAGAGAAAATACAATCTGACCTGGCAGCATGATTTCCTTGGCTGATAGTGAGGAATCAAGGCTGGCTCTTTGTATGGGTGGTAGTGCCGAGGCTGAGTTGGCAGCTCATCAGGCAAGGCAGTCGATCTACAAAAATTATAATATTGAAGCAGGCTACTAGAATTCAGTTAAATTTCTTTGTCCCATCATATCTGATATCCAATCCGCACTTCTTTCTTCGGGTAGATGTACTACGCGTGCTGTGTACTGATAGCACAATTCTTGAGCAATCAAACGATGCCTAGGGTTCTTTTTGTATAATATTTGCCCAGAATTAAATTAAGGTGTCTTGATTGAAAGATATGATGTATCAGTTGTTTTTTTCCCCCATATTTAATTTAAGTAATCTTATACGTAAATCATGCTAAGAGGGTTGTAATTCCTGGGTCCTTCGGTGCTTCCGATGCTATTGAGATCATTTTCTTGGGAACAGATGTGTCCCACCTGGGCATATTGATCTATTAATAAATGCGGTTGCATAATTATAAGCTGAATTATAGTCTTAACCCAATTATCCCAGTACTTTATGCAGAACCCGAAATGTTATATGAGATTTGATTTAGAAATGAAGACAGATCAATTTAGGTACACACAATATCCCACTTCCATTGCAATCAAAAAATAATTTTTTCCTTGGCCGACCCAGTTTGGCTACGCGACCTCGGGCTTTGCAAGCTCTTCAAATTCTCGCTTCGAGGAGGAAGACCACACCCAGGCCGGCTCCGGCTTTGTAGACCCTTCAATCTCTCTCTTGGAGGATGAGGACCAGACCCAAGCTGGCTCTGGCTTTGTAGACACTTCCACCTCTCTCTTGGAAGATGAAGACCAAACCCAAGCTGGCTCCGGCTTTCCAGACCCTTCCACCTCTCTCTTGGAGGATGAAGACCAGACCCAGGCCGGCTCCGGTTTTCCAGATCCTTCGACCTCTCGCTTTGTAGCCTCGGGATTGATAGTCAACCCACTGACTACTGCAGCTAATGCAACAGCCAGGACTGTCTGAGCGATACTGAACCTCATATCGAAGACTAGATATAATTAGCCTGTGTATACTGGGTGTAAATCTAACCGGGTAGCTTTGATATCTCACAATTATTCGTAGGCTGGAAGTTGGAAGGTTGAAATGTGTTTGGAGATTTTGAAGTTCGATTGACGTCGATGAAAAATAGATTTTAGGTGGTTAAGATGCCAAGTATTTATAGGGAATTGATATGCGCATCTTTCCCTATAGATTCTCGTACCCCTTTGAATAATGCCCCCGTTTGGATGGCATTACAGGTTAGGAAGTTCCTAGCGAGTTCAATGAGACTGGGTGGGCCATTTTCGATGGGATTCCCCTTTTTTTAGCCAAATACCACTATTTAGGGTTGAAAAGTATTGAATATTTAGAAAAAGAATATACCATGCCGTTGGTATGAAATATCAAATACCAAATAGTAATAATCTACACCGTATCACAGCTCCAAGCCACCTCGAAAGCTCCGGCCTAGAGCCCCGGGGCCTCGTCCCGCCTAAAGCTGAGGGTTACGTGTACTTCATTCCGATCATGAAAGATTGCATATTCTTACCGATTCCCGCGCCAATCTACTTTACAGATCTATCATGCATGCTAGATCTCATGCCTTTCCTGGTCCCATTCCCTGTATACAACCGCAGCGACTCCTTGCCCCGATGAAACAATTGACCGATTGAGCCGAAGATAAGGTGGCTGGCAGTGAATTAGTCGATAAAATTGTTTGAAAAAGTCTTATGGAGTAAAATGTGATAGAAGTGACTTGCTTTTGCTAGTGGTTTGTATATAAAGTACCAGCAATTAGGAATTTGCAACTGATTTTCAGGCAGGGAGGAGCGCTACTTCCTCTGCGGCCACGAGCGGGCTGTCTCCGACTTTTCATCTTTTGCATCCGTAGTTGCCTCATTGATCAGAAATTGCCTTGAAATGCATCAAGCTAGGGATTGCTAATTAAATATGTTATCGCTTTATGGAAGTAGTGGAACATTCCCTTAGATCGTACAATCGTATCTACGATTTATAGATCCTAAATATGCACCCAAATTACAGTAAATGCCAGTAGTGCTCACCGATATTTCTGTTCAGTGGGATGGTAATACCTAGTAATCCACTAGTATTTATCAATAGGCCCTTGTGCTGTCCCTGCTCAAGAGATCTATTACATGCAGGTCCCAAGGAAGGAACTTCTGCCCATTTCAAGGGTGTTCCCCAAGAACAGAAACATTTCTTACTCTGAGACGCATTCGATGATTGCTGCTTAATTTTCCTAAATACAACCCTTTCCACTCAAATTTCATTATAATTTTACTCTAAGCATTGTCGGTCAACCAAAAAATGAAACTTCCAAGTATACTGTCATCAAGCTTGTCCAGAGGTTATACACTTAGAGGTGTATATAATGAGAAGCATCCGAATTTCAATGATGACAGATCTACCTCTGGTGAAACTTTGCTGGGAGAAACTAGGATTCAATATCGTGTATCCAAAAGACTTTCCAGGGCATATCTTATTCTTCTGCCCGTAGTCTTTGGACTGGGAATTGTTCTAGGGTTTACTAGTCTGTCATTCTTTGAGACCCCTGGATTTATTTCGGGACAGCATCTACAGACCCCCATACCCAACGAGATCTTTAAGCAGCGATTGAAAATACCGTTTGTGCCAGACGACAAATACTATGGCAGTGGCGATGCCGCCAATAATGCCTGGAAAGACATCACGAGCGGTAAGCTGATTTATCCTCATCCCACCAGGGATAAATGTGGTTGGCAAAAGAAAGCTAATTTTCAACTCCTAGGAGGTGATTCCATCTGGCTGAAAAATCCATCAGATTATGGCTTACCCAAAGGTATTTCTGATCCTTTGAATACGGATAACACGGATGAGCGGTTCTATGTCTTGTCAAATCTCCACCAACTTCATTGTGTCGTAAGTCAGACAGTGGTTCTAAGAAAGAAATCGAACTTGCGGTATTTCAATGATTCTGACTGGTTACTATTCATTAGAATGTTGTTCGAAAACGTTTTCGCCACTATGAGTCTCACATTGGACAACCCGTCAACGAATCAGAGGCGATTTTTGCAGCCTGGACAGAGCATACTGACCACTGCTTTGAATATCTCCGGCTTTCTATTACATGTGGAGACTTCTTAGTTTTAGAACCTGCCAGTCCACCGGGGACATCGCCAGAGCTGACAGCTGGCGGTCTGGGATGGGGGGTAGTTCATGAGTGTATTGACTTTGACGCGTTACGGAAATGGCAGGCTGCCAAGAGGCAGGAATCTAAAGAGTCAATACTTTAGCCTATATTTGCCTTGTTAGAAAAGATCCAGGTCTAGGCTGCCTATTAATTTTTACCTATCTACAGCATTATAATACAGTAGACGTCTATAACATGTTCTAAAATGTGGCATTATTCTAAGGTTTTATTACATATGCACTAAGCTGCCTGAAGAACTTGAAAGAAGGCTTGTTTTATCTATCCCTGCCAATATTTAGCCTACTTTCCTCTCATTGTTGCAATATAAACCTCTATCTTTCGCATTTTTTAATACTAATAACCTCAGGTGCGTACTTGAGATGTGGCCATGTTTTGTGATGTGTCGCAAAAAATAACTACTTTTATGCTGTTAAGATTAATAACATTGAAATTACCAGTTAATGCACGGGGAATAATGGATAGCAGCACGAACCGAAGCCACGATGATCGAAGCGATCGATTCCACTCTCATAAAGCTTCGAATGAGATCTCATGTACGTACATAGATGTATGTACTGCGATAAGTGGGGGTTATGTATACATCCCTCATGCTGCAAGGGTTGAGATCTAGATGTCTTTTTAGAGGCCTGTTTAGATGCCTTCTTAGGATAACCAGTCACAAACTGTACAATGTAATAAAAGAGAAAATTTCTACGAAATGGCGTTTGATTTATAATATCCATATGATTGTAAGTACTTAATTAATTAATCCTTATACTATAATATGTTACAAATCACGTAGATGGCCAATGTTCTGCTGGCAATAAAAGCCGATAGGACCAAAGTCCTCAGTGTCATTACCAGTCAGACCCCTGACGTTAATCCAAATAACGAGAATCCGCAATCTCCATTACAGATTATGATTTTAAAATCAATATAAAATAGGCCCAAGGTCAGATGATGTAATCTAGAGAGCGCATGGAGCACGAAAACCAATTGACTACTCGCCAGTTGGTAGTACAGCCAGGAATCTCTACTGGCGTTTTTTAATGTCACAAGTCTCACTCCTGCTAATTACTTCATCTCTGAGAACTTAGCTTTTAGGCCAGTTTATTGCTAAATAAGCACCTATGTTGTCTTCGTTCAAGGCATCTCCCACGTTCTCGATTGAAAGCAGACGCCTCCAAATCTCCTACTTTTTACATGACTCCCCCGAGCACTGTCTTTTCCTGGTAAAACTATGGAACACCAATGAGTTTATGAAAACATGCCGCCGCACCGGTATTGATACGGCAGAAAAGACCTCCAATTTCCTTCGCAACCGCGTCCACGCCGACTACGCCCGGAACAACTAAGGCTTGTTTCTAGTCTCGTCAAAGCCGCATGAGTGCGCATCTTTGGCTGAAAGCACCTCTATCGGCTCCGTGTCATTGATGCAAGGCAAGCCATCAAATGATTACCTGGTGCCTGACATTGGATATGCCTTTCTGCCTGAAGAGGCTGGAAAGGGGTATGCCACCGAAGCTGCACTTGCGTTGCTGGAGTATGCGAAGAGGAAACTGGGAGTTGATTCGGTATTTGGATTATGTGGCAAAGATGATAGTCACAGTGCGAGATTGTTGGAGAAGATTGGGCTCGAGTTTCGAGGACAGAAGAAATTGAAAGTTTTTGGAGGGAAGGAGAGTGCTGTTTTTGCGCTTCCTATAATGAGCCAGGATCTGACGTTGTACGGGTTAGACGATTGAGAATAAAGACCCCAGCACTGTGCTGTGAGCTAGAGTGCCTTATAAACATATTCGGTTTGCAATATGACTAAGGTCTGAAATCTATCCATACATGCGCGAAGAGAAAAGGAGAGTAGAGACCAGGTTACATGCTCTCCAATCTCTAAGAATTGTTGAAGGTTGGCGATAATTCATAATAAGTTACCAACAAATCCAAAAGATCAGTTCCTAGGTTTCTGCTGAACATCTTCACGATCAATGTTAGCTGAAATGATTGCACCAAGGACTTTGAAATCGAGACTGTTACCAAGGGAATGAGTGGCATACTCGAATATCTTTGGACGACGTCGTCGTCTGGCTCAACAGTCGGCCTCTCCACTCTCCTTCCAAAATTAGATGGAAAGATTGAATCGCGAGTCCTGCACATCAACGAGCAATTTGAGGAACTACGAAAAATGAAAGTAATCAAAGGAAGAAAAATAATCCTCACTCGAAAATCCAAATAGCCTACCGCCTACCGTGGATGGGCGATGTCGCAGTCTGACTTCAACCGAACACGAGATATGGAAGAAAGAGAAAAATGAATTTGGTTCCTAATATTTAGTTCCTAATATCTAACCCCCCAAACAGATCCCAAAAAGCAACCATCCAGTCTAATCATCGTCGACAGTGCAGCGGGAGAAAGAAGCCCCAGCATCTTCAATCATCACTCCAACAAAGTTGTCTTTGTAGTCGGTAACAACGCGGTACTTGCCGGGTACACCGCCTATTACAATTTTCAGTCTCGATCCAACAACCATAGTCTCCATGACTTACCAGTCCAAGTTCCACCTTCAATGATAGGATACTCGCGCAGGTCCTTGGTGACACCCTCAAAGACCTGGCCGTTACCACTCTTGTTACCGAATTTGTGCGGGTAGCCGCCGACACCACGGTTATCGAACTTCTTGCACTCCTTGAATGCATTGCCGACAGAGTCCTTAGAGAGAGTGACGCCGTCAGAGCACGTAGCGCTACCGACCTTCTTCTTCTTGGCGCGGGTGGCTAGATCGTCGACAGTGTTGTCGGTGGAGTCCGCAGGGATCTCAGTCTCAGTCAGATGGACGCTGCCCTACTCGTTGTTACCATTCTCCTCTTTCTCTTTGACAGGGTCAGGTTTGGTGTTTGCGACACGCGTACAGGCCGTGTAGGCACCGCCGACGGTTGTGCCAGTATGCTGCATCACACCGCGGAAGTCACCACGGTTGTCCTTGTAGTCTGTGACCACACGGTACGCGCCAGGTACACCTGCACTCACTATTCAACTTGGGTCACAGTCTTTGCTGTTTGAGAAACTTGCCGCCGGTGTACTTTCCACCCACGATGATGGGGAATTCCCGCAGATCGGTGCTATCGGGGATATTGTTGAATACCTTTTGGTAGTTGCTCTTGTTGCCAAAGTGGGCTGGATACTTGCCTACTTTGCCGTCGTCATGTGTTTGGCACTCGTGCAGAGCCTCGCAGATGTCATGTTCAGACAGGGTGGTGCCGTCGGGGCAGTGGAAGTCGCTGAGTTTGGCGCGCTTGCTCAGCTCGGGGAGGGGAGAGGCATGGGCCAGAGCCACCAGTCCGTAGAGGACGATGGATTTTAGGTCAAAGAGCATTTCGAGAGGCTGGTGCTTTGGACAATAGTTTAGAAGAAGAATAAGACTTGTGGGTAGGAATAGATTGCGTTGATGCTGCTGCTGCTGATGAGAGATTTGGCGATATTCTCATAGCTTTTTATGTCCAGGTTCATGTAGATCATCTCCATTCTAACTTGTGTCTAAACTCGGAACACTGATGGAACGTCTCATGATCGACAGCTTAGGTGAGATGTGTTCAATATTGTGGGCTGAGCTGCATCCATGATTTGACCCCCAGGCTCAGTGAGATGGCCTCAATATTCACGGCTAATGTGCACTGCATGATTAGGCGTCTAGGATTGGTAGAAATACTACCTACCCAGCTAAGAATATGGTTGATGCCTCGCCCTGCTGCGAGGAACCGGGCGAGAATCACGCTAATGCACATGCAGGTACTTGCTTCTTTTGCTGATAATACCAGTACTCCTCAAGTATTCCTAATCGATTAGAAGTATGTAGCTTACAGCATCTTGGGTATTTAAGTAGTTGTGTTAATCTGAAAGAATACCGTACTTATTACGAGTGGCTTGCATTAGGGTAGTTCTCGCCTGGGTGTCGTAGGGTTGGGGCTAAGAGTGGGAGCTGTGGGGACTGGGTCATGAGGGAGCTAAGACTTGGGGCTGGGAGTTGGGGCCGGGAGTAAGCGCTAGTACAAGCGCCACAAGCCTAGGCTAGCCCCCGCAGCTTAGACGCTGAGTGTCGATGTCACCCAACACAGCCCACATCGTGCAGATCTCAATTATACCTCTTCCTTCTTTTACTTGCCCACTCGAATTTTCTACTTTCCACATTCTCCATCTCAAAAATACTTTCAATATACCCAAGAACACCTCCTTTCTTTGGTTACCTACACACACCCTCACTATGGGAAAAGAGAACTTCATCCGACAAATTGAGAACTCGGTTGAGTTCAAATTCCTCGATAAAGTACTAAAGGAAGAAGTCACGGCACAAGATGCAGTCCAAGACGTCATCAACATGACCATGAGTGCATTGTCCATTCATAATCCAGACAAACATAACGGGATCGGTCTCCCAGACTACAACGTCTCTCTTGCGGTAATGGAGCTCGCTCAACGCCTGGAACCACCCAAGCACACCAGGCTTGTTGAGTTTATATGTCATCTCCAGAAGAAAGCTCCTCTTGATCCATGTACGAGCGAACACCTGAAGGTCCAGGGCGATACCCTCTGGACAGATATGCCGTCGTTCGGCTATACGGAGCTTGAGACGTGGTACGAGTTTGGTGGCGATTACAAAGGTGATCCGATGTATTTTCCAGTTTAAACGGCCAAAACGCTAACGTATGTAGACCCATGTGATGGAGCTCTAGATTCTAAGCAACGAGAACGATGGGTGAATCTCAACGCTTTCCTCGCGCAGCTCACTCAGGCTGCAGAAATTCACTATCCACTTCCCAATGAAGAAGTGCGATACTTCGCCCTGGATAAATCACTGCGAGCAATCTGGAATATGGCAATGGCACTTGAGAACGAGGACCCTCCTGCATCGCTGGGAGATACGGCGGTGATGGAGGCCACTTGTCAGTGGTTTATCTACGCTGCGGGCCGACTGTGGGCGAATGTGCTCAATAGGCGCACGTATCCTGGGGCGGCTGGCGCTGGGCCAGGGAAGAGATACGGAGAGAAGGGCTGGACGGGCTATACCGAGGAGCGATGGGGAATCTGGGAAGAGGCACTGGATGAGGCTAGGGCTCAATGTCAAGATGAGCGGATGGCAAAGCTCATTGATGATGCTTTGGCGAGTCTGAGGAGGGCAATGGTGAATGAATAGCGCATAGACGCATTTAGTTTCAATGGACATTCATTTTTCGTTTTTTGTACGAAGTAGGATCATCCCGATCAGAGGTTCTTTCTTTTTCGCTATTCATATACTCAAGTCATGGCCACCTTATGGTCCCTTCCTATCCAAAATACCCTAGATCTTAAATACACAAAAACAAAAAAAGAATAACATACAACAGTGAGGACTCGCTGGTGGTCACCCACCCAACTCCTAACTCACCGGCGTGTGGCTTATACGCAGTCAATAGTCGGGTGGGTGCTGCCCGGGTGAGAAGTGGGTAAGCGCCGCTTTACGGTCGCGCGACCGGGGGTGACAAGGGTGAGTGCACTATAGACAGGGTGAGAATCGGGGTGAGAATCATTCCCAGTCGCGCGACCGCCGCACTGACCCTGAATTGACGCCCCGCTGAACTCAATCTAAATATTATGGACTACCGCATTCTATCTAAAACAGCTCTCAAGGCCTCGGTCTTTTGGTAACCTCCTTTATAATACCCACGAATTTGCTTAAAGATTAACAATAAGAGTAGCCTCAATCTACAGTAATATTCGAAATCGGGTTTACCTCCAATCTTTCTCTATTTATTTCCTAAGACCCCACGTATAGTGAGCTAGTCCGTATTAGGATAATACCGCGCTAGCCTTTGTATTGTTCTTGTACCTTCGATAAGCGCACCTTCCGGCAGCTATTCAAACTGAACTCTGGCTTGCTTATATATACTCCGAGTTCCACTAGTATAGTTATACGCGGATAGGCGAGGTTATATAACTCTCCAGGCCCTACCTCCGCGGGTCATGGATCATGTCTCTACATAGATACATCGAGTCCTGCGAACCTCATTGGGAGAGGTCATGACAATTCTAAATACTATCTAGAATCCTCCGCTTCTAGCGACGGTATGCGTACTATTTGTCTCGGGCTTGGCGATCATGGCCTGGCTATTCTGGGAATTTCGCAGGAATTATGTTTGGCTTATTAATCGTATTTTTATGTGAGTGTCGCGTATTAATGATACGAGATCTTTCCTAATTCTGTTAGCCCCACGCTTCTGAATGCATTAGCTGGATTTCTTACTACGATTGTTAGCCTATACACTGCTTATGATGGCGATTGGTCTATTATGGTACTTTTGACTGTGATTACCTCTGACCTATCCGTTGCCTGCTCCCTCATCCTGCTATATATCTATAAATTTGGCAAACTACAGAGACTGAAACGGGAACACAATCAGATGTTTCGCAACTACGAACATCCTCCCCATGTCCAAGAATTACCCACTCTTTATACGATGTTATTACAGAGAAATGGTATATTGGATATCCTGAAGGCTACAGTAATTCTAGCAGTTTTAAACTGAAGCTTTTCGTTGTTCATCTGAGGAGGTGACGGAGGAATTTACAATTATGGAACGCCACTAGCGCTACTTAAGCAGAGCTGAAAGGGCTCCTAACGCTTCAGAATCTAGAGAAATCAATTATACTGCGCCGCCTCTCCTCAGCCTTAATTAAGGTCGCCGCCGGAAGAGTCTCTAGCTACGAGGTAGCAATCCTGTTTGGCAAACACACGGCCTCGGCGGTCGAGACTGCGCAGATCGGTACGTAAATCGCGCTATAATGGCAGCTACCCTTCCTAGGTTATTTTTTTTACGTCAAGGCATGGTTGTATAGGAATAACAAATTATTTTGTTTTCCCTTTGCTATGAAAGTCATCGATAGTCATTGAGGTACAGATACGCTCGAAACAAGCTCCTTTCATTTCTTCTCTTTAGACCTTCCTGAGCCAATAAGGGGCGATGGGTTGAAGTATGGAAAGAAAGGAGAAAAAAAAAAAAGCAAGGACGGAGCAAGAGATAATGACTTTGTTCACGGACCCGAGCTTGCTAAAAAGTGTAGAATGTTCCGGGAAGGTAAAAGCCACTGGTTTCCAATCCTAGATCAAGGCTTCCGTTGATTCCAATTGATGGCCGTTCTATGTCGCGTTGTGCTGATATCACGTAAGAATGTGACCTGCAATTTCTGTGCTTCCCAGCATTGAATTAGCTTTTGACATCATGACGATGAGATATCACGATGCAGTGAGGTAGCGAACGCATGCTCAACATCAGCCTTGCGGAACCCCGGTACTCGACCTAGAATGACAGTACTGTGTAGTAGTTCTGTCAACGTTTTGTAAGTATATCTTGGCAACCCATCACGACATCTTCGAACTTACTGCGAAAGAATAAGTCAATATCAAGGATGCGATCTGCTTTCCTATCCGGTATCTTAGGAAGTGCACAGTATTTTTTCAGGGATACTCCGCGCTCGCTAATATATCCTTCGACATCTTGACAATCGAACCATTGACCCCCGAGCCCAAATGTCTCGAGCGCTTTCTGTTGATTAAAGCTTGTATCCCCATCCAAACAGCTCTCAGCTATTGCCATGCTGCCAAGAATCCGCCTTGGCATCCGGCGATTTGGAGCGAAAATTGCATTTCCAGATTCGTCTTTGGGCGGGTAGTGTGTCCCAGCGCCTCCGATACAATAGAATGGGAGGCCCGGTAGCTCGAGTTTATCTCCGATTCCCCCTGTCACCAACCTTTTGAAGTATGGATATGTCTTCTCCCTGTCTCGTATGCAGGATACCAATCTGAATACCCGATAGGTGGCAGTTGGAGACGAGCGGGGGTCGATGAACAAGCGAAATGCATGCTCCAAGCAATAACGGTGCAAGCTGCGGGTAAAACTCGTTTCTTGAAAGTAATAGGAAAGATGCTCGCTGTCTGAAAGTGGACGTTCTACTGAACTTCGGCTTTGTATCGCTGAGTGACCGTCATCCAGATGAAAACTGGATGAAGTCGAAGAGGAAACACCTTCTCCAAGCAGATTTTCGAAGCCAGGTTGTAGTACTGGTCTCTGAAAAGCCACATATTCAATGGTATCAGGTTTTGGACTAAGATTTGCCTTTTCAGGTGCAGCTGAGCTGTTCTCTGGACTTTCTGATTGCGGTAGAAAGATTGCTGCACGTAGCTTAATCAGTCGCTGATAGATTGCTGGATTACTGACAGAGGCATCATTCTCAAGGTTGGCAAATGCATCTCGGATCTTCCCAATCTGATCTTCCAGCTCAGATACTCGCACAGTTGTATTCTGTAGAATCGTTTTCTGCTTCAACCTGTGTACTTTTTGAGCCTGTCGGAGTTGGTTTCTCCGCTCCTGCTGAGTGTCAGCCATAGCCCGCCCAAAAGAATTATATTAGCATAAACAGTTCTAACCTGAGATAAGACAGACGCACCTGGTGCATCTAGCCGCGGTCTACCTGATCGCTTAGAGAGGCGTGGTGGATTGTTCCGTCTATCCACTGAAGTGCCTTTCTCCGGATTAGTCCTTGATCTATTGTTAAGCATTTCGGTGTCGTGGGTCAAGGGCTTTGTATGTTTTGTCATGGCAAGGGAGCGAGATGGTATTTTTGAGAGCAAAAATATATCGGTGGATTGGGCAGGAGAACTAGTATGGAGCGAAAAGTCGCATGGAAAACGTTATTCTCACGAATACATGGTTCTACTCTTCCCACAACAGAACAGGAACCACATAATTGATCTGGATGGTGTGCTGATGTTTCTATGATATTCTAATCACTTGACGACCTCGGCTCTCATTACGTTGGGGTTGACCTCGGCTCTCATTACGTTGGGGTCAACCACGTGGGTCACAACCAAATCTTGAATAGCCAAGCAATCAAACTTTGACTGGGTTCCCCAACAGTGGCAAACTTCTTCAGACCGTCCAGTTCTTTTTCGACTTCCGAGAAAATACTTTTGTCCGACAATGATAGTAAAATGTAAAAGATATCCTAGGCACGCATTCTTTCACCGGGCCAAAAGACCACTACATCTGACCCCTTGTTCAGATTTGTCTAGAACTGATACATACTAGAAGTTTCGTTGAACATGCCATAATGCAACGGGTGCATTTATCGATGACGTGAAACTAGAGGAAAAGCAGAAAGAAGGTGGTTTTTCAATTTCTATGGAAAGCCCGCTATATTAAGAAAGAGGCACTGAATGACAGATAAATATGCGGAAACTATTTAAAGCTTTCAGATAGAAAGCAAAACACAGCGGGCCAAAGGCCTGAGGTACAGGCAAACAAGCATAGCCTGAAACACAGGACCCATGCCCAACCAAGCAGGCCGAAGCAGATGCCTGATTAGGCCAGCAAGATGAGGTACATCGCAGAAACGGCTCTCTGTTATCTCCATAAGAGATCAGTGTATCTTCCAAGCGCGATATGAATCTCGCCCTCGAAACAGTTGTTGACGCCGTCCCATCCCAGTTTCAATTGAGCAACTTCCAAATCCCTTTTGCGCCGTGCCTCAATTTCTTGCCAGATTAAACGAGAAGTTTTTGCTTCCTCAGATCCAGTAGGGCTAGAGCCTATCTCGGTATCTATAGACGGAAGCAGGTTACATTCCTTTAGCATTTTTTCTGGAGGGAAAGTTTTCCTCCCTTGCTTGAACACGTATCGCGAGACTGCAGACGCGAATACACTTCGGCGCTTCTTCTCTTGCATCACCGCGGCTCCATTCTCCATCGAACGAGATGGTATCTCGGAACTATCCTTCTGGAGATAGAATTGTTTTGGCCGATAGGCGCCCCGGACGACAAAATGCGTCACGATATAGATCCATTTCTCATCCCAACTCAGAACACGCGACCAAACTTCAAATGGCTGATATGGCTTGATCTCTCTGTGAAAAACACACTGAACACCACTTAAGATCATGACTGCAGTATTGTGCGTTGGACGGAACGACAGCCGCTGGCTGAACAGGAGAAGACTAAGGTTGCCCCGCGAGATATCCATGTCGGTGAAGTATGTCGAATTGGATTTGTGTATATTGTAATCGCATTCGCTCAGGGGTGACCTTGTACGGTGAATAGCGGGAAGAAAGATACATTCTGGGCTCAGGTGGTCGATAGTGACAGGGGCGATGAAGAGTCGAGTCAAAAGCGTTCGGATAAACCGAAACTGTGTATAATTTGTTAGTGACATGACTTTCTATAGGTTCGGTTGTAGCAAAATACTCACATGCCATACCCATGGCAGGTTCTTGTATGCAAGTAGTAAAATCACCAGAACTGCGATAACCGTTGGTGTATCGAGCGCGAAGTTGGGCATTTTATTGTCAGAGATAACAGTGAAAGGAGATTACCGGAGACGAGAAGACAAAATCCAGGAAAGGGATCCTATCTTTTGTAATAAGAAAAATGATCCCAGTTTCACTTTGTTGAGAATATCCCCAACGTACGTGTCTAGATGTCGTTGATTAGAATATCTCGGCATTCCGATCTATGCCCTCCCTACAAGGGCGCTTCTGGTTATAAATAGTATTCAATTCGCCAGCAACCAGCCTTATACTTATGATTTTTACACTTCTGTCTCTATTTTGATGTCCGGTCTTACATCCATAATGGTTGAGACGGTCTCGATTTACAACGCTCATCAACTCGCATATCTTGCAGTGGGTCTCTCTGTAATCTATATTCTGGCCGTGAGGAAATATCGTTACCAACGAGCCAGTTCTGCTGAAACAAAATATTACCAAAATGGACGTCCATTATCGGAGATGACTGTGAAAGAAGCCCATGAGGTGGTGCGCAATCTACGGGAATTGGAATTTCCATTCTCAATGCACCTCTCTATGAAACTATCTCTGCTGAAGGTTTTGCTTTCTAGATATCTCCGTATCCGCTTCATGTGCTAATTAGTTTCTCTTATCAGACTGGTTCAATTCCCACGATGGCCAAGTTGTTTGTCGCAACTAGACAACTAAAGGACAAAAATGCGTCAAAACGGGCAGCAGACACAGAAATCATTCTGAACGAGGTTCACGACAGAGAACCTGGGTCCGACTCTCATCTGCTTGGAATTTCCCGCATGAACTATCTGCACGCCCGATTCCGGAAAGCCGGCAAGATTCTGGATGATGATATGCTACATACTCTGGGCTCTGCTGTGCTCGATATTTTCCAAACCATTGGATCGATCGAATGGCGAGATCTCACAAACGTCGAAAAGTGTGCGATTGGTGTTTTTCATAAAGCTCTTGGTGACGCAATGGAAATCCCGTTCACACATCTCCCGTCACAGAAGGACGGTTGGAGAGATGGGACCCATTTTGCTGAGGAGATTATGGACTGGACATTGAAATACGAAAGGCGAGTTGCTGAGCCGACCAACGCTACTCGCGAGATCGGACGGCAGCTCATGAATCTGGCCACATTCCATCTTCCGTCTGCGTTGAAACCATTTGGAGAGCGAATGATTGCTTCTAGGGTGGAAGGTTATGTGCAGGAGAGTATGGGGTATGTGCCAACGATCGTTGGAAGTGACTCAGAGTAGACGCTGACGGTGGTGACAGATTTCGGAAGCCAACAAGCCTTCATTACACTCTGATGGGAGTTGTTTTCAACGTCCGAAAATTTATTTTACGATATTTAAGCTTCCCCCGGCCAGAGAGCAAGAAAGTCCACATGCTCAGTAGCTCTCCAGACCCTGTCACCGGTCTGTACACAGCCAACTTCTGGATTGCCCATCCTTGGTATGTGAAGCCAACCTTTTCTAATCGGTGGGGTTTCAAGGCTATTTTGGCATGGACAACAGGTGGGACTTCTCTGACGGACGGGGGTCTATGGCGAGCGGACGGTTATGACCTGAGAACTATTGGCCCGACTGCCCAGGAGACACGCGGAGCAGATGAAATGGAGGAGATATTTGCAGACTTGAAGAAGCAAGGATATGCTGATGGATGCCCGTTTCATTCCTGAATTCCAGGCCCGATATCTCTGTTCTCTCACATGTTACATTTTTCAACAAAGTAGGTTTGTGGTAAGGACAGTCTCAAAAATACACGAGATACCATCAGGCCTAGGATAGCTCCGTGTGGGGGACGGATGGCTCCGCGCTTTATTATTGTGTAGGGACACCACCACCCTTGAGCCCAATGACTCTTTGAAAGAATGCTATAAGTTCAAACCGACTTTAAATTATTCAGTGACAAGATACATATTCAAAAGGATTGATGTCAAATTGTGATCATGTCGAATAGTTCAATGTATCTCAAAGCGTACCCTCATGGTTCGTTCAACCAGCTGCAAAATGGGCCTGGATCTCCCTTTCTGCCTTTGCTACACTCCGATTATACTTCAATCAAACAATCTTTGATGCACCTTGGGCAGGCCAAGTGAGCGATTCCTCGCTAGGTCGAACGTACTTACTAGAGTGCCACCGCTAACTCCCTGAATAGCTGTGAAGCAATAGGAATAGTTTCGCTCACTTTTCCAGGTTGCAATAGGTAAACAAAACCGACTGAGTGGTCTATGATCCCAAATTATTCAGTATCAAAGGCGCTGAAGCCACGATTGAGCATGTCCAGAAGCTCGCTTACCAGTCCCACAGGCGCCCTGTTACATTCAAAATACTATACAGCTGTTCTTTGTTGAATGGGAGCCACCTGGTGGCAGTGATGGTACTCAAAAATGTCAATATCTGCTGGATGTGGATATCAATAGCATCAAAAAGATAGTAACTGACCCGCCAACCTTCAACGTCCACGGCTATGTGTCATACCAGGGCCATATTTATGTTGCGACCGATGGTGCTGGAAGAAGTGAGAGCGGCAGTCTGGTTCAAATTGATCCGTTCTCTGAAGAAAAAGGTTCTTCTAAATAATTTTTTCGGGCAGCCGTTTGCTGGGTTTGATGATCTAGAGATGGATCAAGAAGGAAACTTCTACCTAAGAGACTCCAAATCAGGATGGGTATGTGACAAAGTATTGAATTGTGCTCTGGCTTTTCTTGTTTTACCGCAAAATAGTGAATTATACTGACTTGCTATCTTCTCCTAGGGCCGTGAAATCGCCAACTTCACCCCTCCAACCAATCCATCGATCTACTTCGTCAGGAGCTTAATAATGCAGTCGAAGGTTATCTGGACAACAGAAGTCAACAAAAATGGAGTATTCATCTCTCCAGATGGGAAAACGCTCTACATTCCGGATACGGGCGTCTCCAATTTTCGACCCTCAAACAAGAACCCTTACGGCAAACGAGTTTTATGGGCATTCAACATGTCCTGATCAGGAGCAGTAATCACCAACCAGCGTATATTGGGGAATCCAGTGTCATATTTCTATGATGGGATCCGCGCGTCAAGGGAAGGACGGCTATATACAGGTTCCGGTAATGGAGTGGATGGGATTGAGCCGGATACTGGGTTTGTGCTGGGGAGTATTCCGGTTTGAGGGGGATCAAACGTGGCAGTGAGCCTGGCATTTGGGGGGCATGGGATGTGGATTGTTGGTAAGGGGAAAGTTTGGCATGTAAAGAATATCAAGGCTCAGTTGATGCGGGATTGGTAGGACCGTGCTACTTTTTAATACTACTCACTGGGACGATAGATTAACTAAACAAATCAGTTAATAAGGTCCACTAAAATTGACTCCCGGTAGCCTTCGGTTATACATACATTTGGTCCAACAAGCATAAATTCAGACTCCCATCGCGGCAGAAGAAAGAACTTGTGACGCGTATGTCTCATAACAGAAGACTCCCAAAGCAACTCCAGCAAAAAGATCCGTGAAAATCGTCAAAAACCAGAACCATGGGATCTGAGGAACTCCTCCAAAGAAGTGAGCCGGTGTGCGGATGCCCAGGGTTGCATAGCTGCCAAGATACAGGAGCGATTTTCGATATTTACCAGACATGTACAGCCTGTATCCATAGAATCCGCAAAACGTGTGAAATGGATAGGAGATGACTATCCCAATGCGATATGCTTTGGGGCTTTCGTAGATGAAAGGAACTGGAGGATAGTCTGCGGCCCGAGTGTAATTTTGCGTGTAGTGAATGGTGGTTGTAAACATCAAACAGAAAAGGAGCATTCGCAGGCGAGGCAGTTCTGCAGAAGACGAAGGTGTAACGGTCTCCGAAGACATGATTATCGGGTCCTTATTTTGGATTTTTGGTCCAAGTTGTTTTTGAGGAATTAAAGCAGCGAGACGAATGGATAAGCGTGCTAAGGGTGCAATAGCCAACAAAGCTTGCGATCAGGGCGACAGAGAATATAAACCTTCGTTCAAACCAGCAAGTAATATTTTAAAAGTCACTCCAAGTGATGTGTTCTTCGGTCTCACAATTGGAAGAAACCGAGGTATTAGAATATCGTTTGTCTTCCGAGTCACCCAGATATTCTAATCAAGCAAGAAGCACCTCGGTGAATTTGATCATTCATTAGCCAGCTGCCTCTGCAACATGTAGGCAAAACTGAAGATTGGCCCTGGTTTCCAAAGGGCCTTATTGCAGTGTCGGCACAATCATAGAAATATAATCAACAAAATCTGCAGCAGTGATTCAACTTGCCGAAACTCTACCAGTAAGATCATTTTAGTGAACCTAGCGCGCATTAAGAAAATAATGTATATCTTAGCTAGTCTTCAATAACTTCTATAGATCATTTCATGATTATAATAGCAAAGGGTGAGAATATGAAGCCTTCCAAAGGTTTATTGCTACCTCGGCATATTCATGATTCATGATCATGATTCTTCCCTATTTAAATATCGTGAACGTTCCAAAATATTGAATTGATTCATATTTGGTTTATACTCATGGTATCCTAGCTAGTTGATATTTGTTCCATAACCTCAAGCATTTCATTGACAGCCAATGAACGACTCCGACATTACCCTCAACCGCCAAATCGGCGTTAAAGCTATACGGCCTGGCTGCTATCGTTCTATTATCAATCCGACACGAATGGGCAAGCTCTCATCAACTGCATTCGGAGGGAACTTGTTGGCAATTGCAGTGAATTCGACATACCAGACTGTTTCATGTCTTCACCACTTATATTCCATTTGTGGGCACTTCCTCCGTCCCGCCACAACAGACCGCAAGCTGATTTGCGAGGTGGAAAATGTACGGGATGGCAGGAGCTTCCAGACGCGAGTCGTAAGAGTCAGCCAGGAAGAAGATGATGGTTCGATGAGAATATGCCTCGTCGCATCGGCCGATTTCCATGTCGAGGAATCCGCATCTATGGTCACATACAGCCTTCTCCCGCAATCTAGTGCATCGGCGCCTCTGGCGTCGGTCAATACGAAGCATTCTGCGCACCATAGATATGGTCTTTACAAGTATATTGAGAAATTCACGGAAGTTCAACCAATCTTCCTTCAAGAAGGCGACAGAGACCGAATTCCAGAGACCGCTCCGTCAGTGATATCCAGCGAAAGATTTCGAGTGCGGGGTCCGCTGGAAAGTCAGGCTGAAGAGCTGTCCGCTCTTGCTTTCTACATGGATCGAGGTCTTGCGTACATCCCTGCAAATCATAGTGGATATGAATTGCTAGACGCAAGTGCTTGTGCCACTTTGGATTTTGCCCTGCGGATATTCCGGCCACAAATCACCCTAAAGAATTGGCATGTCTCAGAACAGCGAACTGTTGTTGCAAACAAAGCCAGGGCTTTTAGTGAGGGGCAAGTGTGGGACGAGAATGGAATTCTCATTGCCAGCATGACCCAGCAAACTATGCTGCGTCCTAAACCAGGGTTTATACCGCGAATTTGATTAACAATTCAATTTGCAAATAAACGCCTCATCCTTCTAGTCCGATTAGGTGTCCACCTAGGTCAACCTAGCTTAGCATACTCCTTTTGTTTTCTTGTTTTTATGTGTCTCAGGCGTTCCTCCGTCTGCTTGCCATTTTCTGTTTACCCACTAGCCCAATGGATAACGTATTTCACCACCGAGTGGCCACAACCACCGAGTGGCCACCCTACCCAAAACGCGTTAATTAATTTAATCCCTTCTTCTTCAACCACCCACTATGCCACCAATTCGCTCTCAAAGCTCGAAAAATTCAATTGAGCAAGAGGGTAGGCTTTTATTAGCTATCCAGGCTTTTAAAAATGGAGATATCAGTAATATTACTCTCGCTGCTCGCACTTTCAATATGCCGCGTTCAACTCTCCGCCGCCGCCTTAGCGGCGTCCAAGACCGCGCGACTTCTCGCGCTAATTCGCATAAATTGACAGAACTTGAAGAGGAATCTCTTGAAAAATGGATTATCTCTATGGATTCTCGTGGAGCAGCCCCCCGGCCCTCTTCCGTACGAGAAATAGCGGATCTTCTTCTTCAACAACGTGGAACTACCCCGGTTCTTTCGGTCGGCGAAAATTGGGTTACGAAATTCGTGAAACGACATCCTCTCCTCTCCTCCCGATTCTCGAAACGGTATAATTACGAGCGTGCGAAATGCGAAGACCCTAAAATCATTGGGGAGTGGTTTAATCTGGTTCAAAAGACGATCCTTCAATTTGGAATCGACCCCGATGACGTTTATAACTTTGACGAGACCGGTTTCGCGTTAGGATTAACCGCGACCGCGAAGGTTATTACGAGAAGTGATATAACCGGTCGGCGTAAGACTTTACAACCTGGAACTCGCGAGTGGGTAACAGTAATTGAATGTACGGGTGCTTCTGGCTAGGTGCTTCCTCCGTGTGTGATTTTTAAAGGCAAAGTCTTCCTCGAATCTTGGTTTAAAAGCGTCCCGAATGACTGGCGCTTTGAAGTAAGCCCTAACGGTTGGACTTCGGATGAAATTGGACTTCGTTGGCTCGAAAAGCTCTTTATTCCTTCGACTTCTTCGCGTACGAAGGGGAGGTATCGGCTTCTAGTACTCGACGGTCACGGAAGCTATTTAACACCGAAGTTCGACGAAATCTGCGAACAAAATGGTATTATACCAATTTGTATACCTCCGCATTCCTCTCACCTTTTACAACCTCTCGATATCGGCTGTTTTGCGGTACTAAAACGTGCGTACGGTCGGTTTGTTGAATTCAAAATACGGAGTGGGATAAATCATGTCGATAAACTTAACTTCCTCGAAGCATACCCACTTATACGAATTGAAGCTTTTAAATCAGAGACTATTAAAAATAGCTTCGGAGCAGCTGGTTTAATACCTTTTACACCCGATCGAGTGATTTCAAAGCTTGATATTCGTCTTCGAACCCCGACCCCCCCTCCGAGCCGGGGTAGTGATTGGGACCCAAAAACCCCTTCGAACTACGTCCAATTACAAAAACAAGCTTCGTCAATTAAAGCATTGCTTCGTATAAGATCAAGGAGCCCTCCAAGTCCTCTCAATTCCGCTATAAACCAGGTTTTAAAGGCGTGCCAGATCACTATGCAATCCGCCGCACTTCTTGAGAAAGAAGTAAGCGATTTACGCGCCGCCAACGAGAAGCAGAAGCAAAAGCGCACTCGATCCCGAAGGCAGATACCCGCCGAAGAAGGCCTCTTAGTTCAAGAAGCATCTGCATTAATTATGCAGCAACTGGAAGCAACTGAAGCACCTTCCCCCGCCGCCGGCATACCTAGAGAATCGGGTTTACAACCACGTACAAAGCCCCCCCGGGGATGTGGAATATGCAGATTGCCAGGGCATAGAAGAGAAACATGTCCAGATAGACCAATTAGTTAGTTGAATTAATTTAATGGAGTTTTGGTTGAGAAAAATGCATTTAAATTTAATATGTAGGGTTGGGGTGGCCACTCGGTGGTTGTGGCCACTCGGTGGTGAAATACGTTAGGAGACGACTACAGTACAACGCTAGCGCTATTAAGTGGGTCTAGTAATGTTTGCCCGAGTCCACGTGGCACGTGCATGTATAGTGGTGTATCATAAGTATTGAGAAGAGGGTCAGTGCGGCGGTCGCGCGACTTGAGTGATTTCTCACCCTGATTCTCACCCTAATTCTCATCCTGTCTATAGTGCACTCACCCTTGTCACGCGGGCGACATCCACCGAACTATTGACCGCACAAAAGCTACATGTAGTAAACACGAGCCAATCATAAATCAGAAAAGCTTTGCTCCTAGAATAATGAAGCCGGCAATGTTCACCTGTTTTATTCTTGAGCCAATTCCTGTCGGGAGACATTGTCTCGATTGCATTTCCTGGGGATCCACCATGGAGATACAAACTTTCTTATTCGTGATTCATAAGCTGTTTTAATCGATTTTGACTCGATACGGAAGTGTGGCGATCGAGATGCGCTTCTAAAAG